CCCTGCACTCTCACTGTTCCCCTCCAACATGTTCTACGAGGGCAAGCTGCAGGCAAGCCCTTACATTTCCCCTGCACATTATGTCCATTCCCTGATTTTCCAGACATCACACAATTACTGTTCCTGCTCTGTCATGCGCACACAAGACTAATGGGCCACGTTTGGTGTGTTTGTTGATGCATTGCTTCATCTTCTCTCTTTATCATACCTTCACATCTTGGATGTGTTTTCAGAATGGCGTGACTGCAGCAGAGAGGACGAGTGCTGGTGTTGCATTCCCATGGCCAGAACCCGAGAAGCCGATGATGTTTTACTGCCAGCTGGGCAACGAGGAGATGTCCTCGTCCGGCACATCCTTCCTCAACCGCACCGGTACGCTGTCAGCCACTTTCCTTGTGGATGCATGAAGTCACATCTTTGCTGGCTGGACACTGCCTGTGCTAAGACAAACTCTCAGCCTATTTTGCCATTCCCTGGACCTCTGGGGCTTTTGCAAGATGCAAGTTGTCACACTGTCCCATGCAGAGGCTGCAAATGTGGAGAAGATAGTGACGCACTTCATGCGGGGCGGCATCACTCCAAGCCAGATTGGAGTCATCACGCCGTACGAGGGCCAGCGCGCGCACATCCTGGCTACCATGCAGCGGTCTGGCTCCCTCAATACGACTCTCTACACCGAGGTGTGCACAAACATTTACCCCTGTGCCCCACATGCTGCCATGTTGTGTCATGGGCTGCAAAGGTGTCTTGAGAGCCACGAAAAGGTGCTTATGTACTCGTGCACGATTGAAATCTATGCCCTTGACATAGACAGCAAGAGGTGATTTTGTGCCTCAGATTGAGGTGAGCAGCGTGGATGCCTTCCAAGGCCGCGAGAAGGACTTCATCATCCTCTCCTGCGTCCGCTCCAACGAGCACCAGGTGACTGTCATTTTGAACCCACTTTATTGATGTCTTTACTTGGTCTCTTCATAAAATTCAATCTTCAACATCACGGCCATTGGCTGCAGAATGGCTGATGCGATGTCTTTTTTCATGCAGGGCATCGGATTCCTGAGCGATCCCCGCCGCCTGAATGTGGCCATCACCCGCGCCAAGTATGGCCTGGTCATCCTGGGCAACCCCAAGGTGCGACCAGATCATTCTCTAAATTTTGATCACTTTACCAACCCGTTTGTCCTGTATAAGGCAGTTGTCGCCTGTGCTCATTCTGCACTGGAAATGCTTGATCTTGAGTAGAGTACTGCTCCTTGAGGTTGATTTACAAGGTCTCCTACCAGCATGCACATGAGAGGCCCAGGGGTGGGATGCACCTGACAAACGTGATGGACTGTAGCCAAGTGGACTGCCTGCCATGGAGAAATCCTCTCTATGGGGCAGCCAATGTGGCCAAGGGTTGCTTAGGCTGCTCATCTGTGGGTGTGCAGGTCCTCAGCAAGCAGCCGCTGTGGAATGCGCTGCTGAACCACTTCAAGGAGGCTCGTTGCATGGTGGAAGGGCCCCTCTCAAACCTGAAGCAGTCCATGGTGCAGCTGGCCAAGCCTAAAAAGGTATGGCCATGTGCAGACCGACTGTACTGTCTTCCATTTCATGCCTTTTGGCTACACATTTCCCTGCAAAATGCCCACTGTATGTGGCGTAATCCAAGTCCTGTCTGTCACTTCTCAGCAGTATTCTTAAATGGGAACGAGGTCAACCCATGAGCAAGATGATTGGTATTGGCGAAGAATAGACACGCGATGTGTGCTGCCAGATCTTTGACAGCCGCGCCTTTGCGATCGGCGGGGCGCACTCTGTGCGCTTTGTGCCAGTCCCGAGGGCAGAGCCGGTGCACCGCGGCCGCGGCCGGGGAGCGCCCAGCGGCAGGACGACTGTTGCCGTTCCCGTGAATGCTGCCGCAGCCCTGCCCAATGGGCAGCACCGCGGAGCTTTTGGGCCCATGACGCAGTCCTCCATGCAGCCGCACGCCACCCAATTTACCCAGCATTTCACCCAGTTCTCCCAGCACGTGCGTGACAACATTGCCTGCTCCCGCCTTGCATCCAATGCACCTCAGTGATTATGCTAGCAGTATCTAGCTCTTAAAGTTTTCTCCTGCTACTTTTGCACCTTGCTAAGTATGTCTCGGATCTAGCAAGTGATCTGTGTTGAGATCATTGCTGAGATATTGGGGGTGCTGCAGGGAGGTGCATCACAGCCCAACTTTGACGGCTACAGCCTGCCAGCGTCACAGCTGCCATACGCAATACCAACGGAGGCATGGTCACGCTCCGGGCCGCTGCCTCAGCAGACTTATTCTCTCCCTGGCGTCAATGGAGCAGCATACCAGCAGGCACGCTCCCATCTGCAAGCTTTGCACTGTCTCACCCTGAGCATCACTCAAGCCAGATTGAGCCCTTTTTCCTCTTGCTCTTGTGATGTGAAAGAGTCAGCCACTGACAAGGTTCCAAGAAGGCCTCTGCCCTGCCGAATCCTTGGTGCAATTGTGTACGGACTTCTGCACACTGGGAGGAGTGAAAGTCCTGGATCGCAGATTGTATGTCACAGGAGCAGCCCTCACATGTGTGCTGGGCTGCAGGGCATCGGCTTCAGTGGCACCCAGAATTTCACGCAGAATGCTGCGGGCAGCCAGTACGAGTTTGCAGCATCCCAGCCCGGCGGCCACTCGCAGTCTCTCTACAGCTCGTCCTTCTTCGGGGACAGGCCGCCCTGAGACCAGCATAAAACACCCGGAAACCTCTCGCAATGCACTGGTGCGCCATCCCTCATATCTGAAGGTGACCAGATCTCAAGATTGGGTGGCAACGTGAAGGAGGCAATGCATGAGCGCGCGTGCCGTTTCATTACTGGGCAAGTTTAGCGTGTCGCAACATTGTGAGGCGTGCTTGTAAATTCGATGTCCCTGCGCTTGGGTTACCCTGAGTCCTAACAACCATGGATTGCAACATTTCATACATGAATATCGTGCTTCTCTTGCAAACCAACAATTCTTGGGTTGGTTTGCCAAAGAACTTTGGAATATGTGTGCAGGAGCTCCTTCTGGCTCCTGGCAGCTGCTGTGCTGGCCTCTCTATGCTGCTGGCTGTGAAGCTTCAGCGACAGGCGTGTCAGCCGCAACCAATATGCCAGAGCGTGGCCCACGCTGCGTCCCGCAGCCACTATGGCGCCCCGCAGCCCCTGGTGATGCGTGCACCTTTGGCGACAAGCACAGCTCTGCATGGCCTGCCAGTTGCTGAGCACCCTGTGCTGAGGTTCAGTAATGCAGCACTCAGACGCTTGCATGTGGACTCCCATGCACGCACCTCTGCAGCCTGCTCTGCTCACATGCCGCAGTGGTCTCTCTCTGTGCCTGGACCGTGCTGCTGTGTTCCACAGCCAACTGCTTTTACAAAGACCTGTGAGGCTGGTGCAGCTGCTGGCGTTTTGAAGTCTTGTATAAGGATATGGAGGTGTCTTGCTACACCTTAAAGTCGAATTGTGTCACCTGCCTGCATGTGCCATCTGAGACGGTTTGCGTTATACTTATCTGCAGCCAGAAGGGCAACATACTGGGGTCTGAACTTTGTTCTGCCATGCGTAACATTTTGTGCATGAGGGTGCAGTGCACTGTATTGTGTAGGCTAAGCGGAACACGTATGTGAGTGTATATGCATGTAGCGTTGATAATGATGATTAAGCACATCACTCAAAGGCTGAGAGCATACTTACTAGCTCGCTATCAATCCAACCATGATGCGTTACAGGAATGATACCAAGCAGGCTTTGCATTCATAAGCACTAGTCGGCAAGTGTTTACAATCACTTCAATGCCAACATGGGTACTGAAGACAAGTGAACGTTTATAATGCTGCAGAATGTCCTGTTCCCCAAGGCGTCCTTTGGAGGAGTCCCCATTTTGGATGCCTAGGGGAGAGGGCTTTGCCACGTGCAATGCTTGCTGCAACATGACGCAAGGATAACTCATGACGCAAGGATAACTCTTGATCAAATCTTAGCACAATACAGTGAAAATACTGGAATGCCAATTCCACACCCTCACCCTTCTAAATTATTCATCTCACCGCTTCTTGTCTGTTCTATTTTGCTGATGGCTGTCCTGAATGCATGCGGCACATCAGTAGGGGCCAGTACAGAAACGCAGCGCTTGAGACTTGAAAGAAATGAAAAACACAGGGCTGAGCACCTGCTTGGCAAGCAGTACAGCAAAAGAGCGCATCTGCCCGCACCGCACTCACAATGGCAGTATCAAAAGTTGCCTCGGCAGCACACAGAACATCCGCTCGGCACATGACCCAGTCTGACTGACAATGGGCGTGAGCTGCTGTACAAAAGTCGTAATATGGGCTCAAAAGTTGCTTGGCACACCACATTGATCAGACGATCAGTACATGATCCTCGCTGTCTGCTCATTAGTTATATCAATGGATGCTAGGGACCACTGTACAAGGTTAGGACTGAGGAACTGATGCGTTAGCGACGTGGGGTGTACTTTGCGGCTGGTACAGTTCATAGTATGTGACTAAAGGCAGTATGCAAAAGGATAAAAGGCAACTTGCTGCACAGTATGCTGCACACCATGCGGCAAGTGCTTGCGACTAATTAGACGCATGCCAGACTGAAGCTGACAGGAGTGAAATCGGTCAGCGCACAGCAGTGCACTCTAAGATGACACGCTGAGCGGACACAAACTCACAAGTCCTCACTGTGCGCCTCAATATCAGCGTCAGCAAGCTGTGCACAAGACAGAGGCTGGTGAGCAGATTGCGAGCCTGACTGTACAGAGATCTCATGAAGCAGCATGACCCATGCCCGCCTGCCCTTATGGAAAGTAGACACTGGCAGCCTGCACACAGTCAAGCTGCCCATCCTCACCTCACGTTTTAAAAGCTACAAAACTCAGAAACTTGTGTTCCTCTGGGCGTGATTCACCAGGATAGAAAAGCAATGGCAGACAGCTTGAGGTGAGTGTGAGAATACAATGGAATTCCAGGTTTGAGGGCTTACCTCTCGTCATTTCTATATGCTCCGTCCATCTCGGATTGTGCTTCGTAGTCCGTGACGCCAAAGCCAAATTGGGTGGTGAAAATCCCAAGGAATTCCCGGAACTGGTTGACACATGCCACCGAGTGGCCCTCCATGTACCAGAGCACATCACTGCCCATCACCTCCTTCAGCACCTGCAGCATATGTTTGGCGCATGAGCCATGGAGCAAGCCAGATGCCCAAAATGGTAGATTCATGCGCACAAGCACTTCATCTTGTATAGGCTGCAATCTAGCCACAAGCACAGCAATCGACCTCTAAATCCATATCATGCTGAGGAGGAGGCCAGATGCAATGCACATATCTGAGCAGAATCATGGAAGGGTGACAGCTGTCACCTTGGCAGCAGCACGGTTCCCGAGGCTGTCCTTGGGCATGCGGTAGGGCTCTGTCACCAGGCGGCCCTGCTGGGCAACTGCGCGGAAGCTGATGTGCGCATACGGGGGCACATGCTTAGTCATGTGACGTTCGACCGCCTCAAGGACAGCTGTCGCATTCTGATCGGCCACCAGCCTGCACATGACCTTAGCGCTGGCTTTTGAGGTCACCAGGCCTCGCATTCCCTCCCCTGTGTGTCCACCGCCAATCCCCACAATCTCCAACGAGGGTCTCAACCACCTGTGCATGCACATGTATATCCCTCTGGACCCTAAACTGACATGACCTCCAAAGGGGCACCATGTCAGATGACATGCAAAGCGGGCAAGTTTGAAGTCAGTCCTGGCTCGGGTGTGGGGTACTCAGGCACTGTGAATCCTCATAATCTCATCTCAATTCATGGCGATCTTAAGGCAACCACAGTTGCCCAACGCTCCAGGAAAGGAGCTCTTGATGCCTTGTCATTAGACAATCAAGCCGTATGAGCCAGCAGAACATACCGCCTCTCCAGGGTGGAATACCCATCCTCCCCATGGTGCGTTTTCAGCCCAAGGTTGGCGACCTCACTGTCTTCATCAAAGGGGAATGCAGCAAGATCTTGCTGGTCCTCCTCACTTATCTCCCTCACCCCGCTGCATGCAATAAGCTTGTGTCATGCCTTTCGCAAGTTAATTGCATGAATTAGCCGTGTCAATGTATGCAAATAGGCTACTTGCAGCCCAAATGTCGAGCTAATACTGTACAAATTGTCACTCATTTGCTGGCATCCAGTCATTGCATGACAGTGCAGGTATAAACCAAGCATTCTGGTGTTGGCCCATTAGGTAACTCAGGTGGACAGATGACGAAATGGAGTGTCACTCACTTGTAAAAGCCTTCCACAGCAATGCTGCCATTGGGCAGGTGCAGAGAAGAGAGGACGCTAAGGAGGGCATGCACCGCATTTGGCACTGAGCCTCCCACAAAACCTGTATGGTGCAGACAGCAGATACAACGACAATTATTCCTTGCACACCAACACTGCTGGCAGTGCATTAGTTTGATTTGCATTCAAGAAGGAGATTGATAATCCTGGCAACGCGCAATCATGACAGAGCAGCGCGAATCTTGGCTCTAAGGTCATTTCAAGAGGCCTGGTGGATTTGGGCCTGGAGGTTGGGATCAGATACCAGCAGCTCATGGGAGCAGGTCAAACAGCCTCCCAAGATTGGTGCAGGCAGCCGGCTCGCACCTGAGTGTGCGTCGTGGGAGGCTGTGACAGCATCCACCTCGAATGACACTCGACCGCGCATGCTGATGGGGATGCCACCCTGCGTTGCGCTGACCTGGCCGCCATCGCTGGAAACTGCCAGGTCAGCTGCCAGCAGCTTCCTCTTCCTCCGCAGCAGGTGCGCCAAATTCGCGCTTCCCGTCTCCTCCTCCGCCTCAAACAGAAACTGCATGACATCGGCAGCGCTCAACCAATGCCATATATCCCTCGAGGCGTAATGCAAGTTGTCTCCCCTTGCAGCAGCCCGGCACTTCCACTTGATGGAGCGCTATGGTCCAGTAGGGTAAAGATGATAGACATGTGACTGGGCTTCGCTTCTTGCCATTTGTAACTTACCTTCACGTTTATCGGCAGCCCCCCTGTCTTCAAGTAAGCCTCTACCGCCTGCGATTAGAGCATCCATCAGTGTCGCTTCACATTTGGCTTGCTGATGTGCACAAGAGCTCGCAAGGTGTGCACACTGGTGCCCACTGTCCCAAGACATACTGACCTGGAGAGCCATGAGCAGATTCCCCTTATTGTCATCCACTCCGCGGCCCATGAAATCCCCGTCTTCTATTACTGCATCAAAGGGCTTGTGCGGCCATTGATCAAAGTGATTGATATAGATCGGCTGCACATCTGCAGGCAGCATCTTGCAATCAGTCTTTGCAGATCTGGTCTAGGCTGTAAATCTACTGCGCTCTCGTGTTGGTAAAATGCACATGGGAAGCAGAGGAAGCACCATAATGACCGTAGATCAGAACTGTGGGAGCATCTGCCGGAGCTCGTGTCCATTGGGCAAATACAGCTGGTAAGCCGTTTGTGCGCAGCATTTGGACATTCTGTAGCGGGCATGCCAGAGATGTCAGGAAACATCTTCAGGTACACTGATTGACATGTCTGAACCTAAAGGAGAGACACAAAAGCATGCAGCTGTGAGGAATGCAATGACAAAATAAGCGAGATACAGAAGCTAGGGCAAGACCTCAAGTCCAGCTCTCCTCATGCGTCTGACGAGCCATTGCCCTGCTTCTCTCACGCTCTCTTTATATTGTGGCATGGATGATATTGATGGGATTCTGACAAGCTGGAGGACATCCTGCTGTGCCTCATCCTGATTATTATCGAGGAATTCAAGAGCTGCAGGAAGGGCATCCAGGGAGCCTGCTCTCGGCAAGCAGCTATCCTCGCTGGCTGAAATACTGTTTGCAGAGATGCTTGCTGACAATAGCGCCAAGATGATGGCGGTCCACATCCACATCCTAGGTGCTGGTCTACACCTGTGTCAGGCGAGTTCCCCTGTGATGCAGGGGCACTGAACATATGCGTGGCCAGTGGTAAGAGCTAACATAGACCCAAAGGCATCGATCAAGAATGCGAAGCATAAAATTGGCGATCAAATTGCAAGGCAGAGGTAAAGTGGACGTATATAACGTGATTTCTCAAGGCATTCAAGTAATACCTGGATCTAAGTCTCTCAACGGGCAGCGATACTGATCCTTCAAAGGATAGGCACATTTATTAAGAACTTCAGAAGTAGCATTCTTTTCGTGTGCCGGTGGTCGCAATGGAACAGACCAAGCGCTTGATCAGGCTTGCTTCAGTGGCCCCCCAGAATGGCGACAATCTGGACATCGCAATTCGCTGGGAGCAAATGATGCTCATGCGCATTACTACAAATTACTGGGCCTCTGAAACGCAACATCTTTCCTCGTTCATTGCCGTCTGCTCCGTCCCGCCCATCGTGTACGCATCCCTGCTCCCCTAGATTTCTTATAGCCCCCGGTAAAAGGGAGATATGCTATTTTGTACAGGCTTTGCAAGCTTTTGCAAGAACATTGCCTGCTGCCTCCCAAGAAGCCAGACAGGGCCATATTCGTGCAAAAGTAGTTATGGCTCTTCTAGGAGCTCTGCAGGGTCTGCGATCGTCAATTCTGACCCGTGTCAGCATCCCTGTGAATAGAGTGCAGGTTGTGGGTGCAGCGTCCACGCTCTCTTTAGTGCGCGCCTTCTCAGAAAGCACATACCTGGACAAGAATATAGTGACAGATCGAGTCCTGGATGTCGTGAAAAATTTCGACAAGGTGGACCCATCAAAGGTACGTGTGTTTTGGATCGCATTGATCCTGTAGGGTTGGGCAGACACCATCGATGTGTTGGCAGCATGTACACAGTCGTGAAAGGCAGATACCTTTGCTCTTGGAAAATCTAAAATTGACGCCATGTTTCATTGAAGGACTGCATCTTATTCCTATTCCGAAGGACTGTTGCCAGACAGTGCAGTGAGTTTTTCTCTCTGTGGGGCCAGGTCACCCCGTCGTCGAGCTTCCAAAAAGATCTTGGGCTGGATAGCTTGGACACAGTGGAGGTGGTCATGGCATTTGAGGAGGAGTTTGCAGTGGAGATCCCTGACAGTGAAGCAGACAAGATCCTGAGCACAGCTGATGCAATCAACTACATTGCAGCCCACCCGCAGGCCAAATAAGCAGATTGGTAGATCCTGACACGACCTTGTGTAGGTGGCTAGGCAGGGACACGGTGATTGGATAGTCTCTAGACATGTCACAGCACATACGGCTGCAATGCATGATACTCTCAAGAACCTGTTTTAGCCGCTGCAGACGGGGGTGCAATATTGTTCCTTTCTGGTGCCTTCCTCTATTCACAAGAGCAATGTCCAATACTCTGTGGGACACGACTTCTGTGTTGCAGCCTGTGATCTTACGAGTTCGTGGTCTGTAAACGTGTTGAAATACCATCCTGGATCCTTTAATTTCGTGATGCGGGACAGAGGCACAGCAGTAATGCAGAATATGCTTGCAGCCCTCCCTTTCACACGCTGTGTTGGCTGCAACATCGATTTCTATAGTCCTGTGCTGCATCAGTAGTCCCGTGCATAAAAGGTTCCGCAGTGGGATCATTACATCAGACATGAAATTCAGATGCCAAAAGAATTTGGCAAACACCTGCATCAACAACAGATGACCTGAAACTTTGAGACTGTGGGAGCCGAAGAGCAGCTGGCCATGCCGGACACATGTCAGCCTGGCAGTGGCGGTGGAAGCTTCTCCCTGCCGGCATGCCAATATTGCGACTCGCCCCCTGGGGCCCAGGAGTCCTTAGCTGCTAAAGCAGATCTCCGCAGGGATCTGATGTACCTGGCCCAGCCATTGCCATACGCCGCTTGCATGCAGGTACTACTGGTGCCAGCTGTCGCCCACCCTGACCTGCAGGGGCCAATTGGAGGGCCCGGGCCGCTAAGCATGTGGCTAGTCTGCAGACTAGCTGGTGTACCTGGGCCTGAGGGCACTGAGTGTGTCACCACGGTATTCATGCCGGCCGCAAGTCCAGCACATCAAAGAAGTGCTTTGGTTTCACAATCATTTAAGGGTTTTGAACACTCAAGGAAAAATTATAGTCTGGGCCCCATATGGCCATGGAATGGAACCCAAGCAAATCAGGCCCTAACGCTAAATGTAATGCGACCCTTGCAGCGAGGGCTTTTATAAACCCTGTATACGGTGTTGTCCTGGACAGCAAAGCAGGTTCAATTCCTTCCAGCACCTTCTTCTTGTTGCCCTCGTTACGGATACGTAAGGGGACAGCAGGTCACTTGGTAACTATAAAAGGGCCCAGCTTGCATTGCCTTCTCATTATTATATCACTGAAGGTGCTGAGTGATTGCTCTTTCTGACTGACATTACGCTTACGACAAGTACAATGGCAACAGCAACGATGTCTCAGATCTCTTCGCCTCTGGTTTCTCGTGGAGGTGTTGCGTACACCAGCAGCAGGTGCGGGACCACCGTCGTTCTTTTTATGATCTAGCCCAGGATGTCGGTAACTAGTTTTGTTCTATATACGATGCCATTGCTATCTCTACTTATGTAAAAATGGTTCCGGTATCATGGGATTTATACGCCTGTAGCTTTACGAGATTTGTGATCAAAGCAAAATTTAGGGAATCTGCTGTCCTCTGCTGATTTCGACAGAGACGTGTATGCTTCCTTTTGACGTCTTTCGTCGTCATACTAGGAAGGTGTAGCAAGGTTATTGACGTCGTCGTGATCGTGCTTTACAATTTTTGCTGGCAGCAGGCTTCGTCACACACCCACGACGTGCTTGATGTTCCGGCCTCGCCGCTGCAACGGTGTCCCCAACTACGCCAGTCGTCCCGCTTTCCGACCTCAGGCAGGACGATGCAACTCTGGATGGGCTGGCGGCAGCGCTTTTGGTGAGATTCTTACAAGGTCTCGGAGGCATAGAACTTTCTAGCCAAGCTTGCTGTCCAGTGAGCTGTCCTTGCTTCCCTTACTGTGTAGACGTGCATATGTGACGCCTCAACTTACTTGTTTGTGTGGCCTGTCAGGCGCGGGGCCGCAGGTGTTCTGGGGTGCTGGTGCAAACCCGCAGTCTTGGGAGCAGCTGCTGCGCACGTGGGGCGTGTCGGCTGACCCTGCCAAGATCCAGGAGATGATGCGCAACTTGGAGCGTGGCCAGTCTCCTTGGGACAACGTGAACGAGGTGCGGGATTCTGCTAGTTGCATCTGGTTCTGCGCAGTCGGTCTGTCTTGACCTTCACAGCCTCCTCTGCCCGCTTCTTTTCCTGGCTTCTTTGTTCCTATGCAGATGCAGCTTCCTTTCTGTCTAGCAGTCATCAGTCACCAGTCACTTTTGCGCATCTAGAGTGCTGATAGTTGTAGCTCTTCAAGTATGCTTTGCTGGGCTTTACAATGCCAAAGCATAACATTTGACTGACAGGTTGTATGTGCCTCGAATGCAGGTTGTGAACGATGTCACCAGCGCCTTCATCCTCCCAATCGATGTTGAGGACGCAGATGACAGCTACCACTTCATCGCTGACGTGCCAGGCCTTGAGAAGGGCGACATCAAGGCATGCCCTCCACTCACTCCGATTGGAAGTTTTGCTGCCAAAATGCTGGTGTCCAACTCTAGACCCCAACCAAGCACACTGGCTCTCGTTGCCTGCCGACCGTGCAGATCAGGCCTCATAGTCTCCTGCTGTAGGCTCTTTGCAGACTAAGTTTTGAAGTGTTTGCATCCAAGTAGAGGAGGAGAGCGTTTGGCACCTGCGCTCCTGGCCAGCGTGTTCTACCAAACAACCTTTCTGTCGGCCAAGTGCATGCAGATCTCATCAGTTTTGTGTTACCTGCAGATCCGCGTGAATCAGGAGGAGCGACAGCTAACCATCAGCGGCGAGCGCCGGCGAGCCGAGGCGGCTGACGGCGCGGCCAAGCCGCGCCGCCGCAGCGAGCGCCGCTTCGGCAAGTTTGAACGCAAGTTCAAGCTGCCCAAGGACGCTGATGTGGAGGCCGTCACCGCCCGGTGCGCATTCCACTCATCTTTACTCCTCAACGTTACCCTTCTGCCATGTATCTACGTGGCATTTCAATGTTTCTTTTGCTACTGTGGAAAGCGAGTTGCGCATCTGGTGGTGTAATGCAGCTATGGGCTTCTGAGGCTCCCATCATTAGGCTATGAACCTGCCTGTGCCGCTTGCCATAGAGCATGCAAACCTTTTCTGTGCTAGCTGACTGTAATATGCCACTCACAAGTGAGGACATGGGCTCGGGCATTGAGGGCGGGGAGGGCTGGAGGCAGCAAAGGCTGTTGTGAGAGATGATGCTGATCCGAGACTGATGGGTAATGTTGTTGTGTGCAGTGTGGAGAAGGGTGTGCTGACACTGATGGTCCGCAAGACCGAAGCAGCGCGCTCAAATGAGCGTGATGTGAACATCGATTAGGGCTGTGCAACTACCTGCGCAACGGAGCCTTACTCCAAACGCATGCAATGATATTTTTTCCTGCCTTCAATGCCGGTCCTGTATTTGCTTGTATGATGTAGTGTGTAGTCTTTGAGTCTTGGCTTAGTATAGCTGTTGGTCAATTTCCTGTAGATCTTGAATTTTCTTGTATCAAGACAAAATATTGGGTTCCACTGTATTGATACTGATTCTCCCAGATCAGTCGATGCCATTTGATCAGTGTAGGTTTGTTGGCATTGATGTTTTAACGTGGTGTTCAGTATCCTGGCACCCAGCTCTTATCTCTTGTAAATGTTTATAAGGTCTCTCTTCTCTTCCGCAGCGTTTGTCACATCAAGTCTCACCAGTGTCAAGTCAGCTCAATCGAAACTGCAATTTAGGACGCAGCATGCAACAGTCACCCAGCTCCTTAACTGCCTCGAATGTCAGATGTTTTAGACTCTGCACCAGCGAATGCACTTTGCTCTGTTTTCTACCACGTACTGATCCCTGGTGAAACAGTCAAGAGCACTCAATTTGCTTGCAGTATGCAGCACGATGCGAGGCTGCCCTTTCTGCTGGAGGCCAGCGCTCTCAGCACCGCTGCTAGCACTCAATGGCATCCATCTATACCACCATTAAATATTATGTGCATGTGCCCACCACTGCAGAACAGATGGTCACAGTATGGTAATCGGTACTGATCCGTGGGATTATCGTCATATACCGTAGTATTCCACTCCTTTGATGTCAAAATTTTGATGGCCCAAAGTAGGCCACTTCATTCTGGCACACTGCTGTCAGGGACGGGTGAGCCGGCTGCCGCTGAGATCCACCAGCTGGTCTCGTAGGTGCGCGCAGCATCATGGAACAGGCAGCGCACATCACTCTGGTCACCTGTCCTCACCGCATGCAGGAAAGCATCGAACTGCTTCTCATACATGTCTCGGCCCAGATCCAGGGGCACCTGCAAGCACCAACCAGTGGTGTCAATGATATTGCAAAGTGCTCAAGCCAAACATAAGATTAGGACTGAACAAAATTGCTGCAATGGGCCAAATGCACTGTCTGCATGGAAAGGGTAAAATTCAAGGCAACTCTCAACAATCGATTGCTTGCCCGACTGCGATTCGCAACATCAGCGCCACACTGAGTTCAGTGACAACAAGAGAAGCACAAGACAAGTGCATGTCTAGAAATCCTGCATTACCAAGTGAATCCTTTCTGTATGACAGCAGGAATGTCAATGCTCCTCTACACAAGCATACGCCCGCATATCTCAGGCGTGTAGGGGTCAACAGGACGCTACCTCAAAGTGCTTGCAGCCCCGTTGAGGACAAATGTGCATACCTGCTCGTAGTCATTTGAGTTTGGCCGCCGCACAATAACTGCAGGCTTCTGGTAGGGGTCTCTGACTATGATGTGGAAGCCATCGCCGAAGATGTCCAGCTCTGTGAAGAAGTTCTGGCCGTGCATCAGCAGCGTGTGGTTTAAGGAACCCACCGCCCCGCTTTCAAATTTGAACACCGCCAGAGTTGCACGATTCACCCTCATGTCATATGGCACCTGCTCAGCAGCAGTTGGCAGGTGTCAGCCAGCAGCACATCACTGCCTACCTCTGCAAAGAGACAGATCTGAAGGTAATGACAAGTGCTTCTTAGGGCCTGCAGCCCGGAGGGAAGACAGCGTAAGCTGGGGGCCTTGCTGCTACATTTGCGCATAACCCCTGCAGCAATGTGAACCAGCCTGTGCTACTGCTGTCTCACATTGTTTTTCTTATGCTTTCTCTTCTTCATCAAACTCCTAATGGCGCTGTCCCCTTTGATTGCTCTGCTGACAGGAACCCCTGGATATGTACGTGGCATGTACCAGAAGGCAAGAAGAAAGTACAAGGGGCAGGAGTCTCCCACCTCGTGCTCGGCATGCGGCGGGGGCGGCATGTCAGAGAGCTTCATGTCAGGGCCCACGGCGACTGCGCGGATGGAGTCTCGGTCGAGCTCTGAGCCTGACAGGTAGCGCATGGCATCCACAAAGTGCGTGGCCTGCTCCACAATGCAGCCGCCGCTCTGCAGTGTGTGCCACCACTGCGGCTTGTAGATGTTGTTGTAGGTGCAGTTGTAACGCCCCACTATTGATGTCAGCGGCCGCCCCAGCTGCCCAGAGCATCTCCAGTCAGCTTATAAGAAACCAGCCAGACAAACTATTGGCAAAGGTGCACACTCTTAGTGCCTTAATAATCTTTTACCAGGAGTCAGAGACACTGTAGCATGCGAAGGGGTGCATACCTCCTTCAGGAGTGCCTTGGCAGTTTCAATGGCAGGGTTGTAGCGAAGCATGTAGCCCACTGCAATGACCAGCTTCTTCTCATCTGCCATCTCATGCAGCACCTGGCGACATAATCGAATATCTCAAGCCATGATAAGCAGTGCAATTATCCCAACAAAAGTTATTTACTGATCAGCCAGTAGGAAGTCTTGGACAACAAGATTGAGGCCAGCGAGCCGATATAATTGTACAGATTGTGAAAGTGGAATGCTCAAGATCTGTGTCTTCACAGTGGCTGGTGAGCAACTCTGGTATCGGGACAGAGCACCAAGATAGCGATAGCATTTTCACCTGGGCTAATCTCTCAACCTCCTCAGCAGGGCGCATGCTTATTGGCTTCTCCACAAGCATGTGCATCCCTGCCTTTGCCAGATCAAGCTCCATCGCAGACGAAGGCACATCCAATGAGCCTGTGTACAAGATGTCACCAAGTATGAGGACATGATCACACCAATTCCTGAAGACGAGAATTCCTTTGATCAGCTGCTCAGTGCAAACAAACAGTCTGCACCAACAATCCGTTGACAGAGAGTCCTCGAGCGCCAGTAGCAAGTTGGCACTGCTTCCTCACCGTGAAGCATGGGTGGAACGCCAATGATCATAGCATCCGGGCGGTTTTCCTGCTTAGATTCTTCCAGCATGGCCTGGTAGCTTTTGTACACAGGGCAGCCCTTCCACTTGTGGCCATAAGAGCCCTTGCTGAGATCGTCCACCCGTTTCTGCGATTGCATGTAACCGTTTGTCAGGCAAGCTGCAAACAGGAAGCCGCAGAAACTCTCTTGCCCTGCTGATCAACATGGGACATAAAGTATGGCCGGCATTGGACCTCACGTGCGACTTGCATTGCAACGTCCAATCTGTACCTGCGCTAGGTCCAGGTTGGGATCGATGATGGCAGTGAACTGGACGTTGGGCTGCTTTTCTAGCCGCACAGAATGATTCCAGGGGCCTTCTGCAGTGCCAAAAGAAACACCCCCTGCCCCGACAAAGCCGATCTTGACCAACTCATCAGCGCCTGAAGTGGCAGCAGAGGAAGTGGCGAACGTCCTGCAACCAGGAAAGCTCCCTTGTCATCACAGGCACATTAGCCAGAAAAGCGAAACGTATCAAAGTAACATTTAGAAGGTATAACAATACTGCATCACCTTGTGCAATATTTCCCGCGTCATCGGGAATTACGGATCGACATGGATGAGAAACTATCGGTATGACGCACCTGCCAAGAGTGGATGCAGGACGTGCCGCAGAAAACGGTGATGCTCCGAGTGATCGCATGGCACAGCCATTGCGCAGTAGGTTAGAGAATACTCTGATCATTCTGAATAGGCCCTCAAATCTTGAAAATGCGTACTATGTGCGATTCAGATCAGAATCCCGTCCACTTTGCCAAAGGAAGGCAAGTGAAGTACACGATATCGCTGTCAGACATCGGCCATTGGGAAGTACTATTAAATCATCATGAACAGTATCAACTGCTGAAACACAGGACTACATCTTTCATGAGATCTGCAGTGAGTCATGGATGCCGACAACCTTCATTGGAAGGGCAGACCACAATATAATACGTGCCCAATTTTTTTGCCAACCTTTCGAAAGTGGTTGTTGAAGAGTAAACCAAGCTTGACTGCGAGTTGGAAGAGGGAGAGGATACAAGAAGGACAATCTGCAGTGTAGTGCAGATCATTGAGCAAAAGCTGCGAGAGAAAGTTTTTGCAACAGAACATCCTGCTCTCCCTTTAAACACCAAGTGTGCGGCGCCTCTGGTTCACAAAGCCCCACAGATTGCAGGTGAGTAAGCTATGAACAATCGCCTCTTTTTCTAGGTGCCTGGAGAAAAGAACAAACGACCAGCCTGCACTTAGTGTTTTCACAGCAGCCAGCCGAAACTCAGTGAAAATTTGATGATGGCTGCATCCAACACCAATTAGGGAGAAACAGAAAAAGAGAGAGGAGTTTAGATCGGGTGGGCACAGAGTCTCATGTATAGAGCATCCCTAGGCTCTTGCCACCTATGCAGCTGTTTGGGGCTGAACTGAGACACCATACAGCATGGCAGGCCACTGAAAGATGCAGTTGGTGCAGGACCTGGGCCTTTCTTTTTCACGGAGCGTCACAGGAGGTATCGTTGGGTGAGAGCGTAGCATCTTCCCTCCGTGAGCTTGTGGCACTTTGAGGTGTGGTGCCCTACTGGTGTCTCGCTAGGGATGCAGAGCATCTCGCCATCTGACATTGTCACATGCACTTGGCAATTACTGTGCTGAAGCTTGCGGTGTTTGTTGCATCGCCACGCATGTGCCAAATGGGCGCAATCCTCATGTGGTGCACTTTCATATGCTTACAGGGTAGATTAGATGGGCAAGGCGAAGCCAGCAAAGCACACAGCAGCAGAGATCAAGGCCAAGGTTGCCGCTTCGACCCAAAACAAGGGCGGCGGCAATGCTGGCAAGGAGGACAGATTGGGTGGGAAGGCAGGCCATGCAAAGTACAAGTGCCCTACCTGTGCTCAGCAGGCGCCAGACATGAAGACCATGCAGGTGAGCTGCTGAGGTCTGCTGGTCCCACTTGCAAATGAGCAAGACAGCTTCCGGCGAGAGGACAGTTCAAGATGGACTCCATCTCGTCCAAGTGATGGGGCCTTTGTTAAAGTCAGGTTTTTAATTTACACTGTGGAAGCTGACTGGCTCACAACACGAATGATGTCATTGGCACCCTTTGCCTATGAGTGAATTTTGTGTTGCCTGCAGATCCACTATGAAGCGAAGCACCCCAAGCTTCCATGGGAGGCAGATAAGATTATCGACATGCATGCTCTCGTTGGGGCAACCACGCAAGGCATTGCAATCAGAGGCAGCACTAAGAAGAAGTGAAGCGCATCATAGCCTGGGCAACTAACCATGTGGGTTTTGGACTGTGAGCGCTGATGGTCCTTTTGCAAAGTGTCTATTATCTACTTACTATATATAGCAAGGTTGCTAGGCACAGCGAATAACTAATACTGCAAAAACGCCATTCTGCCGAGATTGTGTCAGACTAGCTTCGGCCATAAGCGCTGTTTATACAGTTACAAAGCGGCACAGGGGACAAGAATTGTCAACATCTCTTGACACATAGCAGCATGCTTCCAACTGGTGGCATGATGGTCTTTGGTCACGTCGGTGGTTTCTCTGCTGGAAGATCATTAGAGCCCCTTTGACTGCGGCAGAGCGCAGCGCTAGCAAGATTGTCATCCAATCCTAGAAAAGCATTGCAAGAATGTAAGCACACAAGGAGGCCGCATACTATCCAAGGATTGGCGAGGGCTCAATGCTTGGCCAGGTATTATCACAAGACGCTACGAACGTCTTGAGACATCACCCATTCATGGCATCAGCCCATGTCACCCTTCCTACCTGACGATGGGCACCACACACCTGGCACAGCAGGTGATATCATCGATGTCAGGACCTCTCCAATGGCATCTTTACATCAGAGCTCATGCATCATCACTGGACAGATACAATCTCGTGACGCGAATCGATGCAGGGCATTCAGGGCGCCTTTGCAACACCGGCACTGCAATGGCGCCAGGTGGCGTCAGAAAGGGAGAGCGTAAAAATTTAGCGGTTTCATGCCAACATCATCAGACACCAGGGCTGAAGGGATGTTCACTTGACATCATGTGACGGGCGGTGTCAATTTGCATCACATGATCTTCGATTATCTGATGTCATCTGACGCTGCTGTGACCCCATTCAAACTCAAGGGGGTGCACGTCTTGTGAGACTTGACATGTCAGGTGGACCTGCGCCATATCACATGCATGCATGCATGGCATGAAGTGGTGTCGTTGGCTGTCTAGCATCTTCATGCCTCCCCAAGGACCTTTCGGTGACTGGCGCCCTGTAATTTATTGTGAGTAATGTTACAAGCCATCTTTGGTGTCACTCTTCAATCTCAAAGAATAGATTGACATGTGGCATCCTCAGCCACATGTACCTTTTGGTGCGTTTTTGACATGTGAGCACGCCCCCAAACCAGGGATGCTTGGCCAGATACCATCTGACTCTCCAACTCAGCACATCTGGACTGGCCTAATTGCTGGTAAAAAACCAATCCATTGCAGGTGCTCACTCGCTACATAAGATACAGTATCCAAAGCAATCGCATGACTGCGCAGCTAGGCACGCTGGGCGCATTCAGATCTTCCGGTAGATGGCACAGAGTCGGGCGGGCTTGAAGACCTTCGCCTGCGGCACCAAGATGAAGGTGTCTTTTCTTGTGGCGGTTGAATGGCACGTTCTAAGTTGCAAAGCATAGAAATTTGAGATCCAGCAGAATGAGATCCAGCAAGACCACCGCGCAAGTACACGGAGCATTATGTCTGCTGCGGCATGTACCTTGAACATGAAGTTTGGAGGGATGTTAATCATGACGTAGTCTGGATCGGCATGGTACTTCTCAAATTCCTGGGGCATGCCCTTCTTCGTGGTGGGGCTCCACGGAACAGGCTGAAACAACACCCCAGAGTACTCCACCCGTGTCCCTTCTGCCTGTTCTGTCTCCTTGGCCACCTGCAGGTTGAAAGATTATTTAGAAGTGCTACATCCTACATGCACTCAAGAAGCCCCAGTGCGGCTTCATTCCCAAAAATCTGCATGTAGAGCCAGTAAACGTGCCTGCTTGCAGAACACCTCTGAGCCCAGCAGTGCTCTGAGTGTGTCGTCAGACTCCTTGGTGAGATCAAATTTCCCATCGTACGTGTCCACAGCCTTGATTCCAGCAAAGGTACTCACAGACATCCGTTGTCTTGTGGGTTGGGTTCGTGTGAATGCTGCTGTATGTCTATGTGGCACCGATCGACCCATTGAAGAAGTGGACAAGTTTCTCATGTTTACATAGCAGCTGGCAGGAACACGGTAAGAAGTTGAACAGGGTGAGGTGATCTGCGATGAAACGTTTCCAGTCCGCATGATGATCCTCGGATTCCTTCTGCAGCCACAACAAATATTGACACAACTATTATGTCGTTTTATGCTGGCCTGATTTTGTCTGTTTTAAAAACGTTTCAACAGCGGATAGCTAAAATGGATTTGGCTCACAAGGGAAGCAACCAACTGTACACATGTGTTTCCTTTTATCCCTTGAAAACCCTGATGCTCTTCTTGTGCATCTGTCAGAGCAGCCGTCAAGCAACACAGAAATATTATAGGATCCAGGAAGGAAATATTTAGGCACGATGTCTAATCTGAGGCTGTACACGTTTCCCGGCAACAAGAACGCCTGGAAGGCGCAGATTGCGGCCGAGTATGTGGGCGTCAAGCTCGACGTGCCAGCCTTCGAGATGGGAAAGACCAACAAAAGCCCGCAGTTCCTGAAGCTGAACCCAAATGGAAAGGTGAGCGCTGCCAAATTATTCCAGTCATGTTCATGATGTTGCAAAACGACGGATAGAACGTTTCTTCAGGAGCACAAGAACAACTTGTTGATGATGGATGAGACGAATTTCCAATGCATGGGAATTACAAGTGCTTCCTGATCAAGAAGTGTAGGTTGTAAATGTGATCAGATTCCAATCTGTCGATGTGATCGCTTTCAGTCGAATTGATTGCTGCTGACTTTGTGTACATTGTTTCCTTCAGATCGCTGTGAATGCTGTTCATTGACTCAAGCCAAAAACGCCTTTTGAACATGGCAAATCTTAAAGTTTTGATCATTTCTGAAACTCAATCTCTTGCGGTACAGGTGCCAACTTTGCAGACTCCTGAAGGAGGCATCTGGGAGAGCAATGCAATTGCTCGCTACGTGGCTCGGCTGGCAGACAAGGGCCTCTTTGGCGCCACGGCATACGATGCTGTAAGCTCACATCGTCTGGGAGACTTGCCAGCACTGTGTGCATGCGTACCTGAGGAGAACTATCTTGGTGATCTGTCTCTGTCTTGCGAAAAAGCCCAGTGCAGAGTCTGAGCTGCTGTGGGCTTTTCAATGCAGGCTCTGGTCGAGCAGTGGATTGAGTTCGCCACTGGGGAGCTGGATGCACCACTTGCCTCCTGGTACTATCCCATTGCTGGCTACATGGAGTACAATAAGAAGGTGGGCCCCACCCTGCTCACTCAAAGCACCCTTGACGATTTAAACTCTTTGAGGATGCGATTATTGACGGCCGGCCAGCTGATGCATGCTTGTTGCTACATGCACATGAGGTGGGCATCCCATCTTCTACGACTTGCTATATGCTGAGATTATTCAGCGGGGTACAGAAAGAGGAGGCTGCCATTGCAACGGTGAAGAAGTCCCTGGGAGTTCTGAACGAGTACCTGGCCACCCACACCTTCCTAGTGGGCAACTCTGTCACTCTCGCTGACATCGTCGGTGCCGCCAATCTCTACCACGGCTACACCAAGGTGCTCCATTGTCTCAGCAACTGATATTGGACCCAAAATGCTCAATTGACAATCAAGTACTCACCTGTTGGCTGGCAAGTCTTGAAGAATTCTTCTTCATGAGACCCAAGCAAGGCTTGGGTCTCATGAAGATGTATCGTTTAAAGACCGCCGACCCAGTGCTTTTTAGATAGTAAGGCTTGTCTGCAATTATATATATGTATTCATCCAGATGGTTGCAAGTGCTGACTAGAGCGCCATTTGGGTGCATGCTAGATACCAGGGCACGTGCAGCCACATGGCTCCCTGGAGTAAATTGGTGCCATCCCTGCCTTTCCTATCAGATGCCTTCATGTTCAGCAGGTCAAGCTGGCAGCTTCAGATGCAGTGGATCACGGACTGTCATGGACTGACTGCGAGTGCTGACGTCATGTGTTTGTTGGCGCAGCTGTTCGACGAGGCCTTCAGGAAGGACTTTCCCAATGTGCAGCGCTGGTTTTTGACGCTGGTGAACCAGCCGGAGTTCAAGAAGGTCATGGGAGAGGTGGCCCTGGCAAAGGAGGCCCTGACGTACCAGGCCAAGAAGAATGACAAGCCCGCGCCTGCTGCCAAGAAGGAGAGCAAGCCCGAGCCCCCTAAGAAGGAGAGCAAACCCGCGCCTGCTGCAAAGGTGCAGAACAAGTGTCCCTGCAGAAATGATCCTGACCCCAAAACGCCTGATGTGACACTCAGGCTGATAAACTGATAATGCATCCATTTGGGCTGCAAGTAGAGTCGTGCTTGCAAAGCAATGGAGTCCTTCTTACAGAGTTTGCCTGCAGTAAGGGGATCCATGCCTTGACATGTGCATGTGATACTTACAGTGCACGCTAGCACAAAAACGGGGGGCAAATTAAAATTATTACTGAGACAATATGATTACTACGGTGCAGGAGGCGGCGGCTGCAGAGGAGGGTGAGGAGAAGCCCGCGCCGAAGCCGAAGGACCCGCTGGCATCGCTGCCGCCCAGCAAGATGATCATGGACTCGTGGAAGCGGCTCTATTCCAACACGCCCGGCGCCAAGTTCAAAGAGATCTGCGTCAACGGCCTCTGGAACGGCGCCGACATCCCCAACTCACCCAACAACGAGGTGCGCACCCGCACAATGCTCCACGTTGGAAGCTGTCCACTCCGCTGACGGACACCCTCCGTGCGTGGGTGTCTGTCAGCAAACAGGACCAGGCCGAACTGAAGGGGAAACTAGCCCCACGCGATTGGAGTGCAAGTGAGCATCCCGTCCAGAGCTTCTGCATGCTAGCTGTGGCTGCCGTCTCAGCTAGGGTCACGGGCTCGCAAGATTTTGTTGACGACGGGCGCTGACAGGACATGCTGAAAATGTGGAGATGCTGCAAAGTGTTGAAAGCTCAGTCATGCACATGCTGCAGCGGAATCTTTCAGTGCGCCCTGATCAGAAGATGCAGATCTTGTTCCTTATGACGACACTTCTGCAAAGCCACGCTAAGGGCACAACAATGACAGTGTGCTGCTGTATGTTGCGCAGCACTTTGAGGGCTTTGACCCGGAGGGCTACAGCATCTGGTTCTGCGAGTACAAATACCCCGAGGAGAACACCGTCAACTTCATCGTCATGAACAAGGCATGCACCTCCCCTCCTGTCTGCAAATTGCTCCTGAAGCTCTTTGTATGATTTTCAATGCCATGATTCTCTCCTTTCACCCAGTCGCTCAACTGTGCGCACCCTGCTGCATGCTCTGTGGTACCTGTTGAGTGAGTTTTGGGTGCAAGCAAAGTTTTGATGGTCAACTTAATAAAATGTGCAGGTGGGCGGCTTCCTGCAGCGCATTGACTACGTGCGAAAGCACGCCTTTGCCGTCATGTCCATCCTGAAGGACGACAAGGGCCAGTTCCCCATCAGGTGCCCCCTCCTGCCCGCTTATTGTGATCACAGTCTTAGCTCACTGCCGAAGGGATGCTGATTCTGCCTGGAGAGAGTGGACATGACTGTGACCTACCCTCAATGTTGCATTCATGTTTCCACACGTCAAGGCTGCGCAGATGATTGACTGCGGCTGGCGCCCAGAAAGCACGTGCACGGATCTCATTTAGTAATGAATGAAAGCATCTGGGGACGAGTGAAACGCCACTTGAGTTGGAGGTGATCAGCTGGCAGGCGCTGAGGTGTTTATCTGTATGCCACAGGGGGATGTGGATCTTCCGTGGGCAGGAGATCCCGGCCATCATGGTGGAGGAGTGCTTTGACCTGCCCCTGTATGAGTGGAACAAGGTCGACACCAGCGACGCGGTGAGTTCCAGGCCCTTTCCTGCAGTGCTAATCTTGCAAACGTGTCCATTTGATTTCTGCCAAAGGGAGGTTGTCTAGTGATGGATGATTTGGAAGGATGCATGCATGCCAGCAAACCACCCATCCTCGTTGTTTTTGCCTCAAGCCAATTTAGCTGTGTACCAGTGCTTCTAGGCCGGGACTTTCATTAATTGTTGTTAATTGACGGTCACACGCGAGGCAGCCCTTCCTCTTATTTTTGCTGCTCGCTCTGTCTTGATACCTGCATGCCCCTTTCTCTAAAGCATGCCATCTCTCCTGTATGCACTTTCTCCTGATTTAATCTGTATTGACAGGCAGCGCTGTGTTGATGTTCAGGCTGTCCGCGAGCGCATCAGCTCCCTGCTGTGCGAAGAGGACAAGATTGATGGCCTGGAGAATGTGGAGGTCAAGGTGTTCAAGTAGGCACTGTTTATCACAATGTTCAGGTCTTTTCCAGAGTCCGTATAGGTGGTGTTGACATCAGCTCTCTGTGCTTGTGTGATGAATGTGCGCATAAATGCCCTGGCTAAAAGCATCTAATTAGAGTCAGGACTGGGAATGGGGTCTTAGAAGCACCACAATCATTGCAGACATTACAGTTGTAAACAACCCAATCTTCAAATTATACCAAAGTTGTCCCATCCGTGTTTTTTAGTGGAGCGTATCAGCACAATTCAATCTTGACTTGTCTATATTGCACAATGTTCTTCTTCTCAGGCGCTTCAAAAATGACAACCAAGTAGTGCCCTTCAAACCAAGGCCCCCAGCTTTGCTGCTTTGAAGTGGTCACACCAATTTTAGCAAGGGCAATAAAAGAGACTGAATTGTCTCGTCAGATTGACTTAGGTCCCATCTGTGGCATTCCTTGGGTTGTTCACCAGGTGCTTGACAAGACATGGCCACTACAATGCGCACTGTAGCATGCACAAGTCACATCCTCAACTTGATCTGCTAAACATGATGCAAATCTAGATCTCGGCAAAGACCTCGCGTGCTGCCTGGATGGTGGCCTCAATGTCCTCGTCAGTGTGGGCCAGTGATGTGAAGCCAGCCTGCGCAGCAAATGGCGCTCATGTTATGCCCTGCTCCCTCACAGATCATAACAGCACCCAGAAAATACCGCCCTGCTTTGCAAGGCCGCTGGTCCGCAATCACTGCTCTGTCCCGAACTCAGTAAGTGCAAAGGAAACGCACATACGGATGCCAAAGGGGCAAGAGCAATGCGGAATATAGCATCTGCATGAGGGATTATCTGGCACTACGCAGGGGTTGTTACCTCGTATGCGGAGGGAGCGAGGTAGATGCCGTGCTCGAGCATGCCGCGGTGGAAGCGGCCAAACTTGGCCGTGTCCGACTGCTTGGCGTCCTCAAAGTTGTTCACTGGGCCCTTGTTAAAGAAGAAGCCGAACATGCCTGCATGCGCATCACCAGAACTCACCACATTTAACCACATCACCACCTGGATGACTAGTGTAATTGTTCTGAGGCACTGATGACACCCATCTGCTGGGTGTTTCTCCAATGCTGAGCTGTGATGCATGTGCTGCTGACATCATTCAGTAATTCTGCCTAACAGGTCAAGGTGACATTCAGCAATGTAAAACCGATTTGAGCAAAACTACCCAGAGCATATCTGGCATTGGAAAACAAACGCCGATCAACAGGCCGGGCATGACTCATAACATCTTCCATCAATATAAGATACCCTGATATTATGATCTGCCCGGAGTGACCCACCGCTGATGTGGCCGCCGCACATGTCGTGGCCAGCCTCGCGCCCGGCTTGCAGCAGGCCCTGGATGAGCTTGCCAGTGACAGCGTCCAGATGCTCGTAGGCCCCTGGCCTGTCTAGGATCTCCAGGGTCTTGATACCGGCCACCATGGCGAGCGGGTTGCCTGACAGTGTGCCTGCCTGGTACATGGGACCTGCGCATGCACAAGAAATCCTTATCAGGACTGTCTTCATGCATCCTTCTTTGAATGGCCATGCAATGTACTGCCCCGCCTAAAGGCCAGGCAGGTGCCCTGGCGTCCAGTCAACGTTAAAAGAAGCCGCATGAACCCCTCTTGATGTTCCCGAGAGCCTCAAGGTAGTATGAGGGTAGCGGACACTTTAAGCTTGAGAAAAGAAGCTGAGAAGGCAACGTTGTCCCATGCACGTGCCAAGCCTCTCAGGAGTTGGAATGTTTTATTTGCCCGGATTAGTTTTGTGTCCCAATAGCATATGACGGGCAGATCAGTAAGCAGGACGATAAAAATGTGTGGGAACTCAAATCACCTGCAGGTGCCACCATCTGCATGATCTCCTTGCGGCCTCCATATGCGCCCACAGGGAGTCCACCTCCAATCACCTTGCCCAGCTGCAGACAGCAGAACAACGATCAGATATTTGTGAGTGGCATCATGAGAAGCGCATGCCTAATCTGATGCGCATGCATAGTCTGATGGGAAACAGACACGCTTGCGGGTGTATAGGCGCAAGTATCTCTGTCTCCCATCATGGCCCTTAATTTCAGCCCTTAAGGGTTGAGCTGTATGTTCGCCACAGCTTTGCCACACCAGCAGACGGGCATAAGCCCAAAACCCCAATATCCAGCCAGCTACACTTGACAGCCAGCATAGACATGCTCATTGCCTAAATTGATTGCAAGTGCTTCCAGGGGTGTACTCTGAAGCAGGTCAGCAGCGCACGGTGGTGAGGTCGGGCATGATGTTGAAGTGCGCCTGCGCGCAGCCCTTGGCGATGCGGAAGCCGGTCATGACCTCGTCAAAGCACAGCAGCGTGCCGTGCTCCGTGCACAGCGACCGCAGGCCCTGTCAATACCATACCACACACCCGTCAGCCAATACAATGTAGAACTCAGCCGATGCAGCAGCTTGCTACCCCAAAGGTATCAACTCTCTTGTTTCCAAGGCGCATCTATCAAAGATACCAATATGGTACATGTCAGACATGGATCGCCTTGTCCCAGCAGCCCTCAACCCGACCTTGCCTCAATTCAAGCGGGCTCAGGTGATCTGACCCATGCACACAAAGATCCCTTGTCTACAACTGCATGCTTCCTACAATGGCCCCTTCACCGGGCTCCCCCAAGAAGTGGTTTACCAAACCTCACTTTCGCCCAACAAAGGCTTGCCGTCTACAGAGGTGACAAGCACCACAATGCGGGCATGTGCAGCCACTTGTTCTGCCCACTTTCACTGCCCAATTCTAGTGAGGTCTTCAGGGAACGAATTTGGCTCACAGGGCTTGGCAGAAGCTTTGCTAAGACCCCAAAGCCAGCCTCACAGCAAGGCTGTATGTACAGAGTATTTGAAGGGGCTCGGGGGGCGTGGCACAGGGCATGCTGCTCCTTACAAGCACTCTCAGACATGGGCGGATATTTCTCTTGTCTCTCGTCATGTGGACTCGTGGGGAGGGGGTTTTTTATTAGAGCGCTAAATGGGGAGAGAAAAGGGAACGCCGCGCACCTCCAGGAACTCCTGTGTGGGAGGGATGAACCCGGAGTTGCCCACTACAGGCTCCAGGATGACACCCGCCAGCTCGTTCTTGTTGGCCTCAAAGACCGCGCGCACGGCCTCCAAGTCATTGTACTCCGCCGTCAGCGTGGTGGCTGCATTGCGAACAGGAGTCAATACTTAGGCTGCAGCAACTTGGCGTCTCTTGGCAACATGCAATGTTTGCGAAGAGAGGCAAGGTACGTCTGCAGACAAAGTGCAGATAGAGGTCATTGCAGTGTGGTGGATGCTGCGCACTCCTTCTTCCTTCACACTGTCCTTTAAGAAAAAATTTGCCCTCTAGTGCTAGGTGAAGCCCTTTGCAAGTTCTGCAGTCTGCACATCTCCTCTGCTCCAGCTAGAAATCTCTTTCCTAAGCTTCATGGCCTTGTGACCTCAGAGACAAGACCTCAAGCTGTTCTGGGAGAATCCGCATTCCAGGTTACATCACATAGAAAGGCAATGCAGAAGAGCTACAGGTGAATTAGAATTTGCGGGCTCACCTGTGGAGGAAGCAGGCACTCCTGGGGAGTCTGGGAGGCCCAGGGTGGCAACACCAGAGCCAGCCTGCACCAGGAAGCTGTCTGCGTGGCCGTGGTAGCAGCCCACAAACTTGAGCACCTGCGCCCGTAAAATGCACCATCAGCAGCCATTCTGGGCCTGTGCACCCATGAAAAAGATGCATGATGCCTCCTTCTTTTCTCAACAAAGCATGGCGCTGAAGGTTTGTCGATCACTACGGAACAGCAGCATGCTTTGCTCCCATGCACCGGAGCAGCACAACATTGTGGGCAATGCTCAGCCACCTCAGGTCGCGGGCCGGACGAAACAAGTTACTAGAATGGAGGGGCAGGGGATGATTGCGCGCACCTTGTCACGGCCGGTGAAGGCGCGCATGAGGCGCAGCACGGAGAGGCAGGCCTCAGTGCCGCTGTTGACAAAGCGGACCATCTCAATGGAGGGAACGCGGTCGATCACCACCTTGGCCAGCACGTTCTCTAGCGCGCAGGGGGCGCCGTACGACGTGCCCTGCAGTACAGCAACTTGATCACTAATGAAGGAATTTCTTTAATCCAGTGAACCTCCAATAAACGGCCTGATTGGTTCCCAAGAGAGGGCTCAGTCTTATAAGACCCCAGGTGCATGCCAATATTCCACCTTGGCCAGGTCTGTGAAAAAGTGAACTGTGATTGCAGTCACTGACAGGCAGCCCTTGGCGCACAAGTGGACCGGAGTCTGTGCAGCACTAAGAAAAATAATCATGTGCAGCATGGTTGATATGCATTCAAACCCAAAGGGCCACACCTTCTTGATCTGCTCGGCCAGAGCCGCTGTGACCTCTGGGTGCGCATGGCCCACGATGGCAGGACCCCAGCTGCCCACATAGTCGATGTACTGCGCACACAAATGCAGCCACCCATGCTCAGTCCAATTCATTCGTCCATTTTTGAATAGCAGTCCTATAATCTGAGAATTTGCACATCCTGTAAGATTTTGGTAGCTCATAAGTTGGTCACTGGAAGTGCAGTCACTACAGTCCAAAAGACCAAGTCCTACAACACCAGCAGGTGCTGTAGAGGGCATGAGCATGCATGGACATGTGAAGGCCGCTGGCATGTCAAGGGAGAGAAAGAGAGCCAAGGAGATAAAGAGGCCTCGAGCGCACCTTGTTACCGTCCACATCAAAGCAGTAGGGGCCGTTGACGCTCTCAAAGATGATGGGCTGGCCGCCCACAGACTTGAACGCACGCACCGGCGAGTTGACTCCTCCCGGCAGCAGCGTCTGGGCCTCTGCAAAGATCTGCAGGCACCACCCATGTGTTGACATTCCCCCTTGTGATGGGCACCATCTGATGGGATTCTGGCAGCCTCCAGTGCATCCACTGGATAAAACTCCAGGTGTCTGCTCACGCACAGCGCTACAATGGGCCACACTTCGGTGTGTAGTTTTGACAACATTAATAAGACGCACTGCATGACACACAAAGGGGCATAGATACTATCAAAGGGGCTTACCTCCTCAGACTTCTGTGTGTTGAGCTTAGTCTTGGGAGGCGCTGCAATGGCAGCCATTGTCCTGACAGAGGTGCGGCGGCAGGGGAGGGCGGCTGATGGCTGTGCAAATGCTCTGTCGAGCCTTGTGTGCATGTGGGTCGCTACCATTTTTCCTGCACCGAAACAGGCCAGTGCTGCTCAGCAGGATGTCTGATGCGCTGGGCTCAACCAACTCACTCTCACACTCACAACGAGATAGCTACCCTAAGCGGACAGGCGCAATATATCTCTTTCTAAACGGAGATCTTGCGTTTTCATCGCAGAACTCTTGAAAAGTAAAGAAGTATTCCGGTACAGCAACAAGATCGTCGGCGTCAGAATGAGATCAGGGACTTGCGTCAGTGCGAAAATAGCCATTTGGATACACATATCAGGAGGGAAACTCGCTTATGGCAAGATGATCGCTGAAGGTCGCCTTAATATGTGGACTTGCCCTACGAGCAGCCAGCAATGAAATATCAGTCACAATTGTAGCTGCAAGTGTTGCCTTCCCCCCTTTTGTGGTCCCAAAGGATAGCTCTAAATAGATTAAGTATTATAGAATCTAAAACAGACGCTTCAGCTTCTGGTATCTACTGAAGAGAATCACAAGGAGGGATCCGTCACTGTGGTCCTGAAGATCACCTGTGTTCCTCAACGATAAGTTACAATATCTGAATCAAAATCGAAGGACGTATTAGGAATTTCAATTTATGTTCTGAGGAATGCAATTTTGCGGGCGCTACGATGGAGATAGGAAACAGATCAAGGGTCCACCTCACCTTATCTTCGCCCACGTGGGGCACTGCACTAATTTGGCACCCCACGCTTGGAAGACGAACAATGGCGACAACGTTTGCGACACACTGAACTGAAAGCTTGCATGCAGGCAATGCTTTGCAATAAGTCAACCCTATGCATAGCTCTCAGGAATGAGCTGAGTCCTGAAATTGCTGGGTCGTCTCATCAACCTTAAGCTTGGTGAATGAAGTTTTACCCTCCTCCGAGTCGCATCCAAAATGATTTTGTAAAAGTTTGCTCGATGATATCAGAACGAATTTACATGCACTATACTCTGCCAGATCTGGAGCAGACCGCTGCCAGCTGCGGCTTTACAATGCTGAAGTACAGCCTTTGTCACCCCTGAGTCAGGGGCCCTGCCACTTCCTCTAGGGGCCACAAGTGGCGCATGAGGCACCCTTGCTGCAGGTAATCAAGTGTACTTTTGGCCGCCGCTCGTCAATTTGCGGGAGGCAGGAATCCCGCCGGCGCAGCAAAAGAATCAAAGAATGAGGACAGAGTAAGCAGGGTGGCTTCAGGAGCACAGGACTGAAGTGACCCTGATTTTCACAAGAAAAACACAAATGTCCCGGCGATTCACAGTGCACACGCGATAAGAACCGCCTTGCTACTGCAATGCGGTCTCATCACTGGGCCTTCTTTGTCTCCTTTCCAGCAGCCTTGGCCGGTGCCTTTGCCGGAGCCTTCCGCTTCTTTAGCTTGGCAGCAGGGGAGGTGGCGGCATGCCATAACAAGCCAGCGGCCATTGCTCCCGACAATGGAGCCACCCAGAAGACAGCAATGTGTTGCGCGCGGTCGTGGCCCTGCATGCATGACCCAAAACCTTTCACCATCTGTGACAGCTGCCAGAAAACCCATATGTTACACCACAGGGCAACAGAGACATCTTCCATGCAGTGCCACCTAAGGTCTGCATGATGCCGATTCCCTAACAAGACGACATATACAGTATTGCAGGAATCTTCAACATCATCAGTGAAGCCTACAGCCATCAGGTAACCATGGCGTCATTTCAGGGGCGATGGATCGCACATCCAGGAAGTAGTTCCAGCTGAAGGCATGTGCCGGGTTCATGGAAGGCCCTGTGAAGCCTGCTCCAGCCACCACCTGCATAGCACATGCTCACATATTCAATTCTGGCATCATACTGTCAAGTGCAGCATGGCAAGGCAGAGGAAGGTGTGGAGCTTCTGCAAGGGCCCCAATCAGAGATGGGTGACTCACCAGCACGACAGTGATGACAAGCGGCGCCAGCGCTCCCACAAGCTTCCTCTTAGTGCCTGCGAGTGACAGACTAGGCACCTTTATGCTGCACATTATGCGCGGAGGACCTGATGTTCGAATCAAGCATGGGCTAATACCACGTATACCGTTACCATGTCAGCACCTCAGATCTTGTCTACAGCAGACTGCAGGGGGCAGGGAGCTCACTCATGGAATACAAGATGGCAAGGTTGAGGACGAGGGCGAGTGCAAATTCACAGAAGGCGCCAGCCGCTAAGGAGACACCGGGCTTCACTCCCTCTGCCAGCTCACCCAGGTTTCTGCAGCCACACTGTAGGATTCAGAGAGGCCTGACTCTGAAAGCCTTTGGCACTGAGGTCTCCACTCCACATACCTACCCAACATCACTCTCGAAAGCTTCCTTCATCCCTGCATGATGCAATAATGAGGAAGTACCTCAGCCACGGCTTTGGAATGTATTTGATGGCGGCTGCTGCCCCCAGCACCCCACCTGCCACCTGAGCTCCCTGAACACCAGCATGGATGTCTCAGAAATTCAGACATACTAGGCCAAGCTTCTCCGGCAAGTTCCGCACAAATGCGGTGTTCTGATCTGGGCAAAGACTCTGAACTCGGAATTGAAAGTATGTCCATGTACATGGTCCAGGTGTGGCCTCACAATGCGGACAGTGGCCTTCGAGAAGACATCCTTTCCAGCAGCTGCAAAGGCCAGCGTATTGCTGGGATTGTTCAAGACTCCCTCCCCCAAGACGGTGTTGTTGAAGGTGTCCAAAGAAATCAGAGCCGCCACCAGTACCCCCAGGCCTGCAACAATTGGGGGGACGCCATTCTTCTCTAGGATGCCGGCAAACTGCACCAAGAAGAGACATCAGGCAAGTCAGATTGACGCTCATGAATTTTTCATTGGAGCGTCATGCCCTGGAGTTCAGAAGGAGGCTTGCAAGCCTTGTTGACCAAGGGCTGAATAATCCATGACATGGGATGATGCGAGGGCACTGCCAAAAATGGAGTGAGCAGTGGTTGAGTACAATAGAATTACCTCGCCAAAGACGGAGCTTGCAAATACAAAGACAGCGGTCGCAATGGCATCTGTGAAGGCAGATTTAAGAGTGCCTGTCGGCTTTTTCACGGGTGGTGGCCTTGCTATCTTCTTGCCCGAACTGGCCATTCTGGTCACTTTTTAATTTGCTCCTTCCTTTTAACAAGAACAGCCTCTTGTTCTGCATCAACATAATGCGATCATCACGAACACCATCTTTAATATATCGACGCATTCGACTCGGAATTTCAGCTCCTCTTTACACTTCAGGTTCTGAAGAGACTCTAGGTCAATACTTTCGCAGTTGTGATTCTTACACAGAACAATCTTGGCATTTAGAACACAATTATTGCATTTTTCAGCGGATCTTTACAGTTGTTTACCTGCTTGTGAGGCACACAGGAATTCTGCTTTGTGACAATTCTGGGCTACGAAGCTAAAAATTTTCCTAAGCTCTTGCTTCTCAGTAACGTACTGAAACTTACATGTGCAGATTTGGATCGTATAACTTTGATAGAGGAATGCAGCAAAGCTGCATTGCTAGCTTTGCAGTGAAGAAGGGTTCAGTCAACGGCCTGCTGGTCCCAGGAAGCTACGGTTACGGCTTCACCTTCCGATGATGCGGGAAGCTATGCGGGCATGCCGGGATGGCGGGATGAGCCATCAACAGTTGCCCAGAACGATGTCTCCTTGTGATCTCCAGTCCTAGGACACTTTTCGCAGACGCAATCTTCCTTTCCTCATTGGTATTGTCGAATTGTCGTTTAAGGCTTTGTAGAGGAGCTCGCTGTCTTTATACGTCAGCATCGTGGCCACCACATAGGCGCCCCTCTTGCAATGTTGAATCCATTCAAAAGGCGTTCATCACCCTCAACATGTAAAGAAGGCGATGTGGACATGGAATCGTGGTCGGACAGGGATGCCAAGGTGGAGGTCACACGGCCAGAAGGTTTCCTGATGAAGGTTGGCCTAGTAGCTCTGGCCTCAGGCAATGATTGCAAACGAATAGCATGCCAATACCTGTGGCAACCTCAGCTTCAATATCCGACCTGTTCATTCAAAATTTATCATGGACCCTCAATTCCTTGCCTTTCAAACACAAACCACCTAGGCCCTGTCTTGGGCTAAATATATGGCTGTTATTCTGAATTGAGCACATTTACTGGCAACGTAGGTAGCTCTGCAAGCCAAAGTTGATTTGTCTCCAGACGAAGTCTACGATATCTTGACGGCGCCAGACAATGCTTCCGTCTTCAAGGGAATAAAGGTGAGAGGATCCTTGCTTTTGCTGCAGTGTGTCAACCCTCAGGAGATACGGTACTCGCCACTGGCGCATCCGTCTGCATGCAGTGCTCATGACTGCATGATTGCGTGAATGCTCAGTACAAAATTCTTGGACAATAAGCATCCCAAGCCTTCCTCACAAACCTGAGTAGATCTACCTTGCTGGCCAATCGCAATCGCGGCACCATGCGCATGTGGCCACTTTGATCACAGAAGAAGCAAGCATCACCACGCAATAAGGACGCGGGTGAGATGATGCATGCTGCCTGCTTGCGCAGAAAGTGCCTTACAGGAAGGTGCTACAGGATGATGGCAGGGGAAAGCAGAAGGTGGAGGTGGAACAGCTGGCGGCGTGGAAGTTTCTCATGTTCAGTGGCAGCTTCGCCACCCGCCTCTATGTGTTTCAGGACAAGCGGCGCCACATTGTGAGTTTACTCCCTTATTGCCTCCTTTGAAAGCAGCCAGCACGTGCTTTTTTTACTAGTGTCCTTGCTGCCAAAAGCGGCCTTGCTGAGTGCGGCATAGTACTGCAGCACATCCTGCTATCTTTCAAGTTAAGAGGGCACTTGGTCATTGCTCTGCACTACAGTTATCTGTGGCCAGGTGCCAGGGTGATGTAAGCTTTCAGTCCCTTTTTAGGGCCTGGTATTGAGGTACTGGGGTGCTGGCTGATGCACTCTACTTAGCGTGAAGTTCAGACACTGAAAAATGCAAGGAGATTTGTGCAGGTGGAATTCCGGCTTGCGCGGCCCGGGTTGATGAAGGATTTTGCTGGGACGTGGCGGGTGCAGCCCTTCACACAAGATGCAGTGGGCGCGCTATTCAAGGCCGACCAGCCGCAGGCGCAGAACCCCTGGCACAGCCTCACCAACACCCTCAACAGCTGTGCGCACAGTCTACTTTGGCCATTCTGATCTTCTCCATCTCTGTGCTGTTACTCAGTTTCCCATGCAACATAGTCCGAGGACCAGGGGCAGGCATATGTTGTTTTGAGCATGAGGATGATGGCATGCTAGGAACTTTAATGCTTGAAAAGAAGTCGACGAAGCTGGTGATCAATAGTGGGTCTGCGAATGATGCAGATTTGGGTGACAGAAAGGTGAAGGCGACTCTTGTGTCACTGGAGCAGTCATTGGAGCCTGCTGTGCGGCCGCCCAAGGCCCTCGAAGGCCTTGTCAAAGGTACTTCTTATCTCTTCCCAAAGCTACCAAATTGCGGGTGTGGCCGTCTCTCTATTTTCATCACTGTTAATATGATCAGCCAGTTTGGGCACCTTTCTCAAGTTCAAAGCTGCCAGGTTAGGTTCAAGGCTTCACATGGATCCTGTGGGTGCAGGTATTGCAGTCTCGCAGCTGCAGGGGCTCTTGAAGGACCTGAGAGAGGAGGTGCCTCGAATCAAGGCTGGTGCGTGCGCTCATCTTGTCACATTACTTGTTGCATACTTCAACAACCCTCCCTGACCCCATACTTCTAAGAATGCACATGGGTTGGTGGATTTGGCTTGCCCAAGGGCGGTACAAGAGAATGTTTTTGCAGGAACTGCCAATTTACTGCCTCGTACAATAGTTGGAGAATCCTTGCACCATCAGTGATACAGAATTGTCACTTGCTGTCTGGGCAGGGAATCCCAGTTGCGCCAGCCTGCAGCAGCGGCAAGAATCACAAGGCAGCGGTAGCGTACAGGGTGCCAGGCGCGATCAGCAGAACAGCAGGGGAGCAACCACAGACGATGATGAGGAACGAGAACAGGAGGGTGGATATGGGTTCTGGCGGAGGTCACGCCCCAGGAGGAGCATTCCCACAGCCAGTGTGGGTGACTGCATGGTGACTCTGGCGGCTGCGCCAAGTTTGACGCCCCCTGTGCAGCAGACGGATGAATCATCCTCGGAGGGGGATCCGCGGCGGCACCTGTGGCCGGCCGACAGCTGGTGGGGCGCCATCGCAGGCAAGTGTTCAGTTCTCCTATTTCAGTCTTAGGCGACAACAAATATCGGGAAAATTTGCAAATATGCAGGACAGAGCGAGCGTCGATGTAGGGAGGAACGGCTGCCTTGCACGTGTGGGAGTTTCATGGACATTATTAATAGACCGATTGAAGCACCCAGATTCACAACCAAGCGTGACATCTACCAAATGCCAAGTTTGCTGCTGGCTTGAGTTCAAGTGAAGCCTGCCGGAATGGCTAGATTCTGGGATCATGTTGAGAATATAAGAGTAATCTTGACCGTGCCTGACATTTGGCATTTGTGTGATGAGCAGGCAGCAAGAAGCAGAGGAAGCAGGTCATGTGGCTGGAGACAGACCTGCAGGACAGGCACAGCTGGGCGCTGAGGGGAGGGTCTCCCATGGGTGTAAATAGGCGCTGCTAGTCTCGCAGCGAATCAACATCAGACATTTGTGGTCGATTGTTGTCTCAAAGTTGAAAGCAGGAGATCAAGACTGTCTCGTCTGAGCACACATTTGCTGAGCAAATTCGCACCTGCAGCTGCTCTCTCAACACAAAATCAAACATAGCTAATAACAACAGTAGTATAGCTTTCATGCAGAAGTAGGTTTGTGGCAGCCTCTACTTCTCTGGGAAATCATCTTGCCTCATGGCAGGAACAGCGTTGGAAGCCGAAACACATTTATGATAGCATGCTTAAAATTGCAAAAGAGCTGCTAAGTGCAATCTCCAGCGTCACAGTAAGCGACCAAGAATGGCAAATGTAAGCCCAACGCCAGCTCCCACTCCTACAAGGCCCAGCAGTGAAGTCTCTTGGTTAATGGTCCTTGGCGGGTACTGCACTCGCCCGTGTGGCCCAGGCTTCGGCTCTCCGATTGCAGTTGTCTCATCTGCATCAGCGTTCAAAATTTCATGGAGTACATAATAATACTCGTACATGCCTTTTAGGTTCTAGTTTGCTTCATTAAAGCCACTTCTGCTTCGGCTTAGGCCACAGGGCTGTGATATATGGGCCCACACAGAGGCTTCCATTATGCCCCAATCATACATCACGTGGGTGTTCAACTTTTCCAGAAAGGCTGGCTTCTGACCACAAGGCATAAACAAAAAAAATGAAGCCCACCAAATTGGGGAATTGGTCCCTTACTCGTTTGCTCATTCCAGTAGTAGATCTGGCCGGTGTCCTTATGAACAACCTCTGTCCAGGGATCTGCTGCGCTGGCAAGCTCACTCTCAGGAGCAGACGCTGGCGCGATGGCATCTGCCTCGGCACTGGGTCCGCTCCTTCTAGATTGCTGTGAAGCGCTCTTTCTATGCAAGGCTGCTGCAGCAGCTGCGCTTGACGTGAAACTGCACTGGCCACTATTCCCGCTGCCTGTTCTGATCCTGTGATCTGCAAGCTTGTACACAGAAAACTTCAGAAACAGCAGGCGGTGCAGACACTTAACGTTGCATTGCCGTGCCCTCGTACATGCTCTGGTGTGGAAGCAAGTCCAGTACTAACATTCATGCCTGGAGATGAGACCATAGTCACCGGGGAGAAGCAAGAGCTGCTGCGTGTACGGCTGTCTGTCTGAAATGATGTAGTATGACTTGCCAGCCCTGTCCCCAACAGTGCAGCAAGGCCGCAGACCTTCCGCGATAGGAGAGACTGCATAGACCCAATTGGACGTCCTCCTGAAAGTGCATTAGCCTTTAAAGGTCAAGGCTATGCCAACAGGTCAAGAGCATCAGGTGATGTCAGTTGTGCAACTTGCTCTACCTTAAGCTTGAAAGAGGAGTGTCACCTGATGCTTGCGAAACCTCCTTTTATAGACATCCTGACAGAATTGTTAGTGGATCCTAACGTTCTACTAGGGCCTTTGGCCACTCAGAAGTCCCTGACCTTCTTAAAAAGGCAGGTCGATGCAAGCACTTTCCAGTGCCCAATCATGCGAGATACGGAAATTATCTTGAGGATCTGATCATCCAAATTTTGGATTCTAACTTTCTTGTGGAGAGCACGTCGTGCGCTATTGAATCGACGCTCTAGCCTTTTGAAGTGGTTTCGATGATCCGCGTAATGATCTCAAGAGCTCACGAAATAAAGGTGACAGTGAAAGTGAACAACCTGCAGCTTATACTATACTAATTGTGTTGGCATCATCGCCATCATTCACGCGATGGCCTTTCAAGGTATGTGTTGAGGTAGTCACCATTACATGATGGCCTCTGTGGACCCTACTGCATGAATTGTGCTTGGGCCCCAATCATTGATGGCCATGCTTCGACTCATGGTTACACAATCACGTATCAGCACATGGAACCGTGCAGGCCTGCCCATGCAATGCATCTCTTGTGCGGGCATAAAAAATAGACAGAAATTCATGCTGCAATTTGCTGGAAACACCTAAAGCATGCATCCCCGATGTCCCACGGGGCCCACGACTGCAAGCCGCTATCTATAGCTGTTTGGGGAAAGTGCTCCACCCGTGTGCCATATCTGTCAGCTGAACCCAGCTGCAAAAAATCAGCGGCATGCCCACTCCAATAATCCCCCCCTCGCACCTCGACTTGCCCACGCGCTTTGAGGCCAAGTCTATTTCGCCCTCCAGTAGGTTTCCAATGATCGCGTCATGTGCACCTAGCTCAGCATCTCCTTTCTCGCCTTCTCCGAGGTCGCTCTGTGTCATGGCAAGCTTATCTATAAATTCTCATTTGAGTAACGTTACTTATACCTATTCTTCTCAGCCCCGGCTAAGCCCCGGCTGGCAGGGGGCGGTACAAAAACTGAGCACCTTGCCCACCATTAATTGGGTCTTGCTTGGATCTGGGGAGTCCAACATTGAGTAGGATTGTGGCAGCCTTTGACTGCAGCTTGTCTGCAGGACGCACCGTGCCTCTTGGGAGAAAACGCATGTAATCATGATAAAAATTTATCTTAGTGTCCAGACATCTTTGCATCTTCTCGATGTGCATAAGGTCCTCCTAACCAGTCTCACACAATGGCATTTGCAATGAATCCCACATTCCTAGCTTTGCCACATGTATGGCCTTAAGAGCAGGTTGACTCAAGCGCTGAAGCTTACTCTTGGGCATCGTACGTAAGCCGGTTTCACTCTACTGCCCACCGTGTTGTTCGCCATTTGCGACGAGCAGCCAAAGCTCCACCGTCCACGGCCACACACCCGGTCAGCTGCTCTCCTTGGGCCAAGCACACCATCTTGTGCACCCACTTGGAGTACAGCCAGGGAGTGGGATCATCGTCCTTGGTGTCAGTGAAGACCAACACAAGATCATTTGGTTGTCTTTCACAGGGATTCGCATAGCAAGCGCTGGAGCTGCACAAACCAAGGCAATTCCTGGCAGGCAAAAGGACTTAAAGCGATTTCTGCCAGATGGGGAAGCTTACTAAGCTTGTGCATTGTTTGTCTTTTCCTGTGGCTGTCAATGCTACTAACTAGTATCTAGATAGTATCTAGAACCTGCTTCTGAAGGGCCATACTGGCTTCAATCCTTTTTCCCGGCGCAGCACAGCGCTCCTAAAGCTTCAGAACACAAGGGGGGGGGTGGATATTCTTACATCAATATGACATCATCTGGTTTCGACGTAGCACCTAACTGGTATTTTGCAGGCAACTTAACTACTGTTCGGCCCTGCACACGATTGCACACCAAAAGCAAAAATTTTGAATTACTACATTAAACACGAGCACATCTGCAGCGCTGAAGTACAAATTACATGCAGATCTTGAGATCAATATAAGCAATCACCGGAATTTCACTGGAGAGGAAACTTCGGTCAATCCTGACAAGGCCGTTCGTCAGCTGAGCTGGCAATCTTCTTTTCTCACAACGGGTGAGCGGCTTTCCTGCAAGAAGCTCTCGGTCCCGGAACTAAGAAGGTTTCACCGGATATAACAGTGTAAATTGCATTGCAAGTTGCAAGGTGCCTCTCATCCAGTCACATTGTGCATTAGTCACCAGTCGAATACATATTTCCTCGCCCACGACGTCTTTGTACTTCACTCTCGCTAATGATCAGTAATTCTGGTTCTTCTTGACAAGGCACAGGGAAGAAATTAGACGACTGTGGAGAGCTTACCGCGCTCAAGGTGGCCCCTTCTTCCCAGAATGTTTAATAGGTATTCGATCGATCAAGCTACCTGGTTCACTTTCTGAGATGCTAAGAGCCCCTTCATTTGTCTGCATTGCGTTCTGATTACATTCAAATAACAATAAGATACATTATCCGCACTAAAAACAAGACGGCCAGTCTCACGAATAGCTGGACAGTGAGGCCCTGGGATATGTCTGGGCAAGCTTATACCTGGGCTCCCCTTATTTTCCAGAGATCGGAACAGGCAGCTAATATTATGCCAAATTATTGCTCATCCACTCCACGCATTGCTCGACTGCAGGAGCATGGAGGATGTGATCGTGAAAGTGTTCAAAGGCGACATAGAGCTTGCAACCGAGCCAGTCTCCAGCCCTGCAATTGCTTCGGAAGCAAAAAAGAATTTGCGCGAGGCGAATGCAGCCTGGATCGGCAAGTTGACAGAACCAGGTAGACAAACGGGCTTGGTGGGGCGGCGCGAGCTTACTCCAGGCGCCACCTACCACCTGCACCTGCCGGAGCAGTCAGGTGAAGCAACCCCATTCTTGCAATGATATTTTACTGCTGCCTTGTTATGCACTGTGGCATCGTCCCCTTGTCTTGAAGGTTGCTAGCGCTCAGCATCCGGTACAGTGCTATGCCCAATCCTGCCTGATCCTTGATGGAGCCGAGCATTTTGTCTTGGCCTCAGCAGATTTTAGGGTGTGCTGGCCTCTGTTGGACCGTTGCCAGTATCACTGGAATGTCAGAAAGCCATGCTGCCCCACTGCAGTTCTAGTCAAGATATTGTTTAAGCAGCAGTGAACCTCATGTCTTCCAGTACATCTGAAGTTCTGCCTGCTTAATTTGTGTGATGTTTGGCCAGGTGTCATCGGCGCAGACCAGATGCGCACAGTCATTCGCATTGAACATACAGCAGGCATATCTAGGTGCGTGATGCATCCATGCTTGTCTCTTGGGCCATGCCTACGACTGCTTATTGTGGAGGTACTACTTCATATTTCTTTCTTGCTTCAATTTCGTGTGCAGACTTTGCCCAAGTGTGGGTTGACTGGTATTCAACGTCAAGTATCGAGCACAGCTGTGCTGCTCTTCGCAGGATGGTGAAGGTCGGAGATCTTGTGGATACAGCCGACCTGCCAGACACCAGCAAGCCAAGGATGAAGGAGGCATTGCGAGTCCTTGGCTATGAAGAGGATGAGGAGGTAGGAGAGGCCTTCATGATGCTGACTAGCACTCAGCTGACGAGCGCGGGACTGAATGTGCGCGAAGCCAATGCAATCCTGGCAAAGGCAGCCCCTCCCACAGGTAGGTCGACTTGGCTATCCTTATACATCTCACAATTGCAGATTGAATCCAAATCGTTGCTGTGGCTATGTGTGGTATGCTGCCCCTGCAACGGACACTGCTGAGGCTCACTTCTTGCAGCTGCTAAACGTGGTTAGGCTTGGCAGATACAAAGCTTTTTTTTAATGCCTTTCCAAACTCATTGGTGTTGCCAATCTTTTTATACTGCTGCCTTGTTGTGCACTGTGGCATCGTCCCCTTGTCTTGAAGGTTGCTAGCGCTCAGCATCCGGTACTGTGCTATGCCCAATCCTGCCTGATCCTTGATGGAGCCGAGCATTTTGTCTTGGCCTCAACATATTTTAGGGTGTGCTGGCCTCTGTTGGACCGTACTAGTCAAGATATTGTTTGAGCAGCAGTGAACCTCATGTCTTCCAGTACATCTGAAGTTCTGCCTGCTCTAATTGTGTGATGCGCAGACCAGATGCGCACAGTCATTCGCGAGGAGCTGGTGCGTCACGACGAAAGCCAAAGCAAGAGCAACAAGAGCTTCTCAGAAGTGGGTTCGTCCGAGGTTGACTCGCTTCTGGTAGAGCTAAACCTCAATGAAGTGGACGGGAACGCAGTAGAGCCCATCATTGTCCCAGCAGATGCGCCGCAGCCCGGCAGTTTTGCCTATGAGAATTATCCGGATGAAAACACCGGCACTCCGTTCCTGCTGGCGCACCATCAGAAGGAGCTGGAACGGCATGACGTGCACTTCGGACGCAACGATTTCAAAATGTACGACATACACAGCGAAAGGAAGATGTACGGCATTACAGCGCGCTCAGGTCAGAGGTACAACGGCTCGTTGGATGGCTGCGCTGCACCCTATGGGCTGATGGCCAGCTCAGCGGGCTTGCACAGCAGACTGGCCTACAAGCACAAGCAGAATGAAGCCCAGAAACAGATATATCGTGACAAGCATTCTGATCATTACCAGGTGAGCAGCACCAGTGCAACTACATAATGCCCTTACATAGCTTGCTCTTTGAGCTTCACATATTGTATGACTTTAATCCTCACTTGTCCGTTTGCTGTCCTAGAGCTTGGCGCATGCATGCTTCCTCATGTTTTAAAGTTTGCACAAGTCTTTATAAGGCCACGCTGATTCTAGACCTTGGCATCTGATGCGCAAATTAGGTGTCTTATAGTAATCCATGCATCTCACAGGCGATTGGTCGTGTCACAGGACAAGGACACCCCCTCATCCGCCGATCACATCACCTTCAGCGGAGCTTACAGGGCCCGGAGCGTGACGGCACGGCTTGGGGCTTACGCATACAACAACTATCCCCTGATGATTGATCTCACCGATGGCGTCACACACCATCTCCTCCAGATCCGCGGCGACGAGGTGTACGTGTGGACAGACCTGACCGCAGCACAGGCATACTTCAAGCAGGCGGAGTTGCTGAAGAGCCTGCCCACGCACCTGCCAAATCGCCAGCTCAAAATGGAGGCCATCCCTGAAGAACTGCAGGTGCCGCTCAAGAAGATGCGCACCTTGCGCACGCGGTCAGGAGTTGTCGAGCAGCTGAGCTCAGTGTTACCGTGCCTGCCACCCTCAGAGAGGCTCAGCGGCGCCTACGACATCATTAACACATGGGTTTCTGCTGCAGCGGCAGCCGCACCTCTGCCTTAGTCTTCAGATGCGCTTGGCATGTTTGCTTGATGGCTCAGCCAGCTTAAATGCCTCTTGAAATGTAGAGGCCCGAACGGACAGAAGGGCCGATGGATCAGCAATGGACACAGTTGAGCTGCTTGTCTTGAGGAAACTGCAATGGTAGACTTGTCGTCAATGTCATGATAAACTGGATGGCTGATCTTGCGCTTTGCTGACCTCACTTGATTTGCATGCAATGGATGTCCTGTGCTGAAAAGTCACTTTTGGAACAACGTCAAGAAGACACATGGTTTGGGACCATGGTCTTGAGATACAGAAGGCTGTCATTTTGTGTGAAATGAATGTGACATGATGTCGAATGGATGTCAAGAACAAGCATCATCATCTTCATCTCAGTCTAATGTTCGATCTTAATCATTATGTCAGGGCTGACATGGCATGACATCAGCCATGAAGACTCGCAATTTAAGACTCTTCGATGAAGAGCTGAGCAGGGCTTTGGTGATGTGGAAGGGCCTTGATATACCTTGCTCAGCCAGCACATGTTGCGGCTCTATGCAGTTCCAGGAGTCTCTCACCCTCGCCAGCCTGGCAATTTTGCCAGAGCCAACCCCATCCCAACCGCCCATCCCAAGTGATTTGTCAAAGCAATCTGATTTATGAGATAATATGTGACCAAAGTCGGGTGCGTACAAGTGATTAAGCGTTGTGGCTGAGGAAATTAGGGTGGATCTCCCCATACGACGTGCTGGGCTGCACGGTGCAGGCTGTACCCAGTGGTAAACTTGCCAGAAGAATGTGGGCGCTTTTGCGATAGAGGAGGCCACCATGAATCAATTTCAGTACGCTTCTGTCATCACAACCAAATTGCGTCATTCGTGCAAACCTGGTGCAGATGCCAGTGTCCGTTATTGTATAGATGCAAGATGGTGTACTTTGCACTCAAGCATGCATGTGAAGGAAATTCATTACTCTTGATGGCGATGAGAAGACCGCAATCTCCACATATTGCATCTATTCATGGTTCTGGGACTTCCATTCTTAAATTGTGCCTGTTGTTGTGCCCAGCATCTTCGAGGTGTTGGGGTCTGGCAAGCACTCCACGGTGTACAAGGGCCGCAAGAAAAACACAATCATCTACTATGCCATCAAAAGCGTGGGGAAGGAGGAGAGAGCTCGAGTACTGCAGGAGGTAATGTGCTTTGTGCTGCATCCTTGGCATCATGGGTAGGCAGCACTGCTGAATGTGCTAGCACATTCGCACAGTTGCACTGAGCCATGAGTTGTCTCAAAAAAATTTGGAACTCTTCCCTTTGATCCTTGTTGCTAAGAGGTGCATGCAATCCTGGACTGACCATGTCTTTTGAGTTTGTAGACCTTGTCGCTGCAGGTGCGAGCGATGCACATGCTCAGACACAGCAACATCCTCAAGTTCTACGCCTGGTAAGGCCACAGCTCCCTGGCATGCACCTCCTGCCTCTGCTTGTGACTGCCCCACAAACAAGTCATCCCTCCCGTGAAGGCCACCTGGATTTGCTGACCTGGACTATGAACAAAATTTCCTGTCCAGCAGAGCCTCCAGAGTGGCCTTGGTTCTCATGACACTCAGCAAGTCATGGATCCAACACGTATCAAGGAAGGACCAGGGATGTACGTCAGATGAAAGCTGACTCACAGTATAAATTGTTGGATTTATAGTAATTGCTGGCGCAGGTATGAGACACGCAACCACCTGTGGCTCATCCTGGAGTACTGTGTGGGCGGCGACCTCATGTCCCTACTCAAAGAGGATGGTAAGCTGCCGGAGGACTCCATCCACGGCTTTGCGCGCGATCTTACTGCAGCGCTGCAGCATTTGCATGCAGCCGGTATGGCGTACAACGATTTGAAGCCCTCCAACATCCTGCTGGACGAGGACGGCCGCGTCAAGCTCGGCGGCTTCGGCCTCTCGCACAAGATGTCCGCCGCCGCCAAGGCCGGCGCACAGCAGGCAAGCAGATCTTCCTTGCTGCCGCCTCCTTGGTCAAATGCTCAAAGGCTGAAAAAGCATGCGCGCTGAGCTGCACGGAGTAGACATTCTGGGCTAGTCACGTGAGCAGACCCTTGACTGTACTAAACTATATCTACGCTCTAGGCACGCTGCAAGGGCAGGATCAAACATCACCCTGTGGAGACTGACGTCTGATCAGGCACTAGGAATGATAGGCTGCTGTGCCGCACTTAATCTGTGCAATGCTGGGGCGGGTACTCATCATGATAAATCTGTAAGCCACCTTTCAAACGCTCATAAAACCCATATATACACATAAATACATATATGGGTATATATATATAGCCCGCTGTATGACAAGGGGAATGTAATGACTGCAGGCCAGGCGGGGAACGCCAGCATACATGGCGCCGGAGCTGTTCCAGCCGAACGCCCCGCACAGCAGCGCCAGCGACCTATGGGCCCTCGGCTGCGTGCTGTATGAGTGCGCCGCCGGCCGCCCGCCCTTCATGTCCACCTCGCTCACCCAGCTTGTGCACGAGATCCTCAACACTGACCCCGCCCCCATCCCAGGTGCTGCCAAATTTCACCCGTGTGCACCTTGACCCCTGTATCCAGTGCAGTCAAAAGTACATCCAGATGGTGTGGATACCATTTTGTGCCATCTACCCAGATCATGGCTCAAAGGCAACATCGCACCCATAGAATTATAGCCCGTGCCGCAACTATCCAAGATCTCCACAAAGGGAGGCTGAAGTAACCCGAAGAGCATGCTTTTCGAATTTCTTCAGACTGCTGACGATCACCAGTGCAGTGCTTGTTTTCCATCAAGTTGCAACATACCCCCTCGGGAGTGGTTTGCCCCTTCAGGGGCGTCGCCGGAGTTTGAGGACCTGGTATCGCGGCTGCTGGACAAGAACCCGGCGACGCGCATCGGCTGGGCCGAGCTGCCGGGGCATGGCTTCTGGATGGCCCCACTGCCGCCGCGCGACATGCCGCCCGAGCCGCTGCTGGAGCAATTCATTGCGGAGCACGGCCTGACGCCTGCGCCGCCCGCTGAGTCCCAAGCAGATCAGGTGAACCTCTTGTCAGATCTGCAAAGGATGAATATGTGGGAACTACAAATGTGACCTATTGCAGTCTTGAAAATTCCTAGGGGAACATTTGACCCCTGGGGTGCCCGCTGTGACTGTCTCGAAGGTCTTTGAAGGCTGCTGATCCAACGAAAAGCGCAGTACTTGTGAACACTGCGAGTGTGACCTTGTCCACAATGGCAGTGACTGCATGACACATGGGAGATTCTCTTTGGCTGGCCCTCTTGACTTCTGCTATTCTGCAGCCCTCCAGTTAATATAAGGTGTTTCTTCGTATGGTCTGCAGTAACAAATGTTGTCACGACACTGTTTTTTTTTTCTGTAGGCACCAGAGCCGGAGGTTGGCGGTCGCACGCTGCGCAGCAGCGGGGTGGACGTGGTGAGGATGAGTCACATCGCGCGGGTGAACCTCGAGCGCGATCCGGAGGCGCTCGGCTACGCGGAAGCTTCCGCGGCAGCCGCGCCGGCTGGCGACGTGCGGCTCAACCACCCCAACGCTGAGCTGGACTTCCGGGAGAAGCTGTCGCCCTCCAGCACAGGCACTGTCCCAGACCGGCAAAACTGCTTTGCCTCTGGTTGTGAAATGACCTGATCAGCGTACTAGAGTACTTAGTCCGGCCAGATCTTGAGAAGGTGCTTGCCACCGTCAAGGAGATAGGGTATGACCTGCCCAATCGAAAGAGTAATGGACCAGCCAGACACAACCACAAAAATCCTCGACGAACCATCCATACAATGGCAGAGTACCACACCCATAGACATTAAAGGTGCCATTGCCCGTGCGCTTCTTATGCATGTATGAAAAATGATGAACTGTGGCAGGCACGGACGAAGAGGAGCCTCCTTCAACGCCAACTGTGTCGGAAATGGATGTGCACATGACGCCGCCGCCGAGCTCGCAGTCCCGTGGCGCCCTGCCGCGGTTACAGCAGAGCCGAGTCAGCCCCATCCGGCAGCCCAACTTCGACTCTGCCGCCGCGCGCGATGACCTGGGAGGCGGCACACAGGCGGCCATGCCGGCAGGGGAGCCGAGGGATGTAGGTGCGCAAAACTTTCTGACGAAGCCTTTGTCTCAGCAGCAAGGCTGCATAGGTGCACGCTGGCCTCTCCCCCACTCCCCCACATAGCCATGGGACCGAGGTGCAATTAAGGAGCTTTCTACTGGAGGCACTTTTCTTCGCAGCCATGAGAACAGATGCATGTCAAAATGCTGTACACTTGATGCAAGGTTCGAGGTGTCAAGTAAGGAGCTGTTCACTGGAGGCAGCATACAGATCCCCTGGAAAAGTAGAGCATCAAACATGAGCGGACCTTGTCACAGGTGGTGGATCAGAGGCAGAGCTGAGGCTGGAGGACCTGATCTGGCACCCTTCAGACAGCGCGGTTCTGCCGATTGTAGCCAACCGGCGCATTGAAAACATGGCCGATCCGCAGTTTGACGCTGCAGCCCTGCCGTTTCAACCCCTGGTGCGTGCTTAATAATTCCTAAAGTGTGGGCACAACCCCGCTGATTGCTGTTAGATTGCTGTCAAACTGCTGTGTATAGTGTTGATGGTAATTTGGGGCATTGACAGGCAGACAAGCAGATCTTGGCATGCACCATTCTGCCATATTTGATATGTGGGCTCTGATCCAATAGCGTGCTTCCTTTGCAGTCACTCCAGGAGCTCATAGACTTGGATGGCCACCCGAGTGCGCAGCAGGAGTTCATAGGGTCTATTTTTATGGCACTGCACGGACCTGAGACCACCAATGTAAAGGTGGGCCAACAACCCTTCTGACTCTCCTTTACTGCCCAGATCGGGACTTTGAAAACTGAAGACATGATAGACCCTTGTATGACTTCAAGATTTGCTTCGCACAAGATGAGTCTCCTCCAGGCTTTGCCCGTGTCAATTTTACACCACTACAAAGCTTGAGGCATGGAGGTGCCCCAAGAACCCAAAGGATCTGAGTAAGGTGCATGATGCAAGCGCAGGAAGCACAGCACTATTATCATTTACATGAAATATTGGGTATTGAGGTCAGACAAAGCGAAGGCTCTGTTCATTTGTTGAAAGGGGGATGTGAGGTGTTATCGTTGGGCCGCAGGTGAACGTGCTGAACTATCTGCAGACCATCTGCTGCGACGTCTCTCTGGCGAATGTGATTGTCAACGCGCCCCTCACAAAGCTGCTGGTGCGCATGCTTGCCTCTGCGCAGCATCCGGCGCTGCGAGTGCGGCTGGCATGCGTGCTGGGGCTGCTCGTGCGCTTCTGCACCTTCATCGAGGACGATGTCAACGCCTCAGGTGCCCCGCCCTACCCTGCTGCCGTCGCTGTGTAATGCTTGCTTCCTACTTGCGTGTTGAGAGCCGACAATGATGCTGACACTTTCCGCAATCAGAGAACACCTTGCATGCGAAGACCCTGGTCCAATAGAAAAGGGTCCTCTTGTATACTCCCTTAGGTCACATGGGTGATGTATTGCTGTGCCTAGAGTATTGAAAGCATTGTGATTGCTCATGTCTCCTGAAATTCCACCCACGGCTTTATTGATCTGACAAACACAAGTGGTGCCACTCACGATGCAGTTTTCAGTTTCATCTCATTCAACATGCACATGCAACAGTGCTGGCTTGGATGCCCACAAAGGGAGAACATGGGTGCGGGCATGGTGTGTGTGAATACTGTCAAAGGGAGTGGCTTTATGGCAGGACAGAACACTGACAGAGGGAGGACAACTGTTGCAGGCATGGTGGGAGTCCTGACGGAGTGCCTTGGAGACGCCAACGAGCGCGTGAGGCGGCGCATCATGGGGACGCTGGGAGAGCTGCTCTTCTACATGGCCTCGCAGGCGACCGAGCGCGGCAGCGACTGCCCCTGGCGAATCCCCCCGGCCAGCCTAGCCGCCACCGCCGGCCTGCTCGCCCCCGGAGAGGACGAAATCACCCAGGTACCGAGCTTCTCTGTTGTTGCAAAACTACAAACTACACCAAGAACACAATATACACCAAGAACACAACCCGTTAAAAATCCAGGTGTGCAAGAGGCGCGGCGGGCATGCGATGAGAGCAGTATACACCTGTGTGGGGACAGCGTGCAGAAGAGCTGTTATAAAACAGGGCCTTGGAGCTCTGCATACTGTTGACAACGTGACGCGCCCAACATGGCTGATTCAGGCGCTTTGACAACAGCATGCCAACCATGTCCTCGCAGCTCAGCCGAGCATAGATATTACCGTCAATGTCACACGAGAACTCGCCTACCCGGTTGATTTGGCCGAGATGCCTTTATGTCCAGTGGTTTGTATTGGAGTCATCGCTCAGGGGTCTTTGACCTCATTTGCTATGAGTGCATGCGCGCAGCACTACGCTGTGAAGACGATCGAGAACCTGGCGAGCCGGCGGGGCGAGTGGGTGGATTCACTCGCCAGCGCTGACGTGGCGGAGCGGCTGGCCGCCATCTGGGCGGGGGCGCGCACCGAAGCGCTGCGCTCATGCGCCGCATCCGCGCTGTGCAGATTGGCGCGGCAGTCCCCCGGCCACTTGCTCCCACTGCTGACCTCCCAGCGCAGCATCCTGCACCTGGTGCGCATCTTGTTCATATTCAGCTAAGAGATTCCATTTCGAGACGCTCTGTGATTGTTCCTCGCCAACTTGACCTGGTCCGCGCATCTTGTCCTCTGCATGCCATGCCAAGCTTGGCTTGCTTGAATAGACGGCGTGATTCGAAGTGTTCTTGTCACGTCGATTGCCACTTTCTGTGAATTGTCGGGCAACCTCCTGCACCTGTGTGCAAGCAATGGGACACTTCGCTATGAGGATACACTGGCCCAATTGACAGTATACCGTATGCCGAGACATACTCCCTGTCAGGGGCCCATTTTAAATTTGCACATGGTTGATGCGCAAGCCGATGCACTCAGCCTGAATGACAGGACCATCAGGAGGCTCTGACGACTAATTTGTCATGGTTGCATGCAGGTGGCCAGCGGGCTTGGTGAGGGCAATACGCGGGGGGTGCAGATTGCAGCAGTGAATCTGCTCAACCTCATGCTGTCCACTCCAGCAGTGCTGCCCACAGTCTTTGCCGGCCTCCAGGTACATATTCTGAGCATTTCTTTGCATGCAGACTGTGTACTTGATCACCTGTGTTTGCCTTCAAGTCCACGGAGCATTTACCATCCCAGAAGTGGAAGGCGAAGACCACAGTCTCCATTTTGGTCTCATCCAATGGGGTCTCTTGCAGTATACCTTAGCAAATGCTGCATGTGTGGCAAGAGCCAAAGCACCAGCCGTCTTATTTCAGTGTACCCTCCCTGCTGCACTGCTGCCAGCCAACTCCTGCGGAGCAACTAAACTCCCCGTGAGACAAGAAGGAAAATTCAGTAGATTGAGAATAGTTTCAATAGTATGGCTGATGCGCACAGGAAGAGCGGGGGCTGATGGCAGGCGTGCTGTCTCTGCTGGATGCGGTGCCATTTCTGGCAGCCAAGGGCCTTGTGGCTGTGGCGCTTATCTCTCGTGCCACCTACAAATTCCTCGCGCACGCTGTGAAGTCCCGTTTGCTGCATCAGGTGCGCGGCTGCCCTGAAGTGTGCTAGTGTGTTGGCTCCTGAGCACACCTCTTTGTACAACTATGTCAGGCACAAGGTAGAGTCCAAAAACATGTGGTTTGGGGGCAACAAAAGTTGGTCTTCCTTTGTTTTGCTCGTGTGCCGCCATGCTCAGGACATTTTTGCTGCAAATGCAGAGACCTAAATAATGCAGCAAAGTAAGCTTAAGTGGTAAATTCATTCCCGTGCGATGCAGCTTGAGCGGTTGTTTCAAGAGGAAGATCCAGCAGTGACCAAGGCCCTGGCCGCCCTCTCTCAGGAGATTGCAGCCGCCGTGGACAGCATCTGCTCAAATGTGAGCCTCTCCTGCTCTACATGCTCTTCCTTCCCTGTGAAACAGCTAGCATCACATAATTAGAAGTGGTCACTGTCTTAGTCAGAATTTGATCAGGACAAATCAAGGCCAGTGAAGTATGCAATTTCTGCCTGATGACTTTTCTGTGGAGAATGGCTTGAGAAAGAATCTCAGGCACAGATAATGACAAATGCCGTACTCGGCCTAATACTTAGTCGAAAAATAAATAGTTGTCTTCCAAAAGTCTTCCAAAAAGGTCAAAGATTAATATTTCATTTCCCAGAATATTGAGGCTCTGATATTGTTAAATGCGCTTTTGGAAAGCTCTCAATGAGGGCATTCCGTTGGAGTTGGCTGTATGCAATCTTGCATTGTAGTGACAGAGCTATGCCTTCCTAGATGTCATCCGACTGAAGTGCAATTCGACTTGAATTAGGCCAAATACGTATAAAGGACAGGATGATAGCAGCAACTTGAGGCATGACAGGGACTGTTTTTGATCGTGCAGGTGAAGGCAGCGCTGCAGAGCAGGATCCCACCCTTGTCTCAGAGGGGGCCGGCCTCTGCATTCCCCATTCTGGTGCCGCTGCTCGAGGCGCCCTGCCTGCGAAGTGCCCTTGTCACAGAGGGTCTCATTGCGGACCTGGCAGACTTTGTGACATGCCTGACGGCCAGAGGCGCTGAGGCCACACAGGCAGGACCCCTGTCAGATTTCCAGGTGACGCAGATAATCCAATTTGCTAAAACAATTGTTTTCTGGATCTTTGCAGGGGGTTGATGTTGTGCACCGGCATCCGTGTCTCCTGCATGTGACTGTGCAGGAACGATGGACCTGTGCTGCATGTGTCACTTTCTCAAGCTGTGTTGGATTCCCAGAGAGCCAGTGTCAACAATGCTGCTCCAATGGCGGGTCCTATTCTTCTCTGAACAATTTGACACACATGTCTGCTATGCTTAGCTATGGAATACTGTGCATCTGCAGGCAGTAGTGCTGAGTATGTTGGAAGCCCTGGTGCGCCACACTGAGACAGTCATCGCGAACGCTGAGGTCATCCTAGATGTGCTGATGCCAGCGCTGGTGGCCGCTGTCAGCGCTGATGTCGGCGGTGACATGCGCTTCGGCTGCCTCAAGGTTCTGGGTGATGTCATCGCCACGCTGCTCTCCGCCTCCAGGCCAGGTGAGCTTCCTTTCTCCATTCTCGCTCAATCTTTCGATCTTTCAGATATTCTCGGTCAAATGTTGTTGTTCCTTGTGAAAAAACACCTTATAAGCATGCAGACACATCACAATCTGTGTATGTTGCACGCACTGATGATCACAGCTCTATGAAGACTGCGCCTTGCAGATTGAACTAACGCCGCGTGTGATCAAGCTTGTCAAGATCTTCTTCTGGGGGCACCCAGCTGCTCCTCCAATCCCAAGCTGAATTTGCAGTGCCCATGAACATTTTCAGCACCGATCATGGTCATTGGTTTGCGTTGTAGAGCTGGGGCTCTGACCTTCATCCAAAGATCTGTTGTGTCACATGCGCAGATCCGGCAGTCACTGGGCGGTTGCATGCATTGCTGGGAGCGCACGTCCTCCCATTGGTGCCAGCGCTGCTGCTGGAAGATGAACCCATCCCAGTCTTTGCGCTGAAGCTGGTGGGAGACTGCCTGGAGGACATCCCTGGCATTGCCCTGCCACCTCTTGCAGCGTGAGTTCACCCTTTTCCACTCCTTTCCCTCCGATAAACACCTTGATTCGCCAAGGTTTTTGCACCTGCAATCCAGGGGGTACAGCACATGGAAAATATAGCACCCCCTGTGCAGTTAGTTTTGCACAGAGGTCAAGGCAGCTGGAGATGAGGCCGAGGGTAAACACCTGGCAATTCTTCGGAAGGCTTGAATTCTCAATGTCATGTTGCAGCGATGTCACGGCCTGTTGCAGGGAGTCGGATTCTTTTATGGTTGGCAGTGCAGGTAGGGGTACTAAGATGTGGAAAAATTGTGGAAACAAAGTGACACCATACTCTTGGGTCAAACACTTAATGTGCTTGATGTACGGCAATGCAGGCAAGGGCTGCTGCCCCAATTCTTTGGCTTTCTAGCTCTGGACTCGCACCACAACAACGTGCACAACCTGCGCGTGTGCCAGCTGCTGCTGGAGAGCCATGCCATGACACCTGTTGAGCTGCAGCAGCACAGCGTTGTGAACAAGGTGCGCAGTTCCACACTTTAAGTGAGCAGGCATAGGAGAAGCTCGAGGAACGGCTGTCTCGTACGCGAACACCATCCAGCAACAACCCCCTCGGTACAAAACGCAGTTGTATGCCCCTTGATGTGGGCATTTCTTCTTTTGTGGGCATTTCTTCTTTTGTGGGCATTTCTTCTTTTGTGTTGACAAGACAACTATTGACTGAAGCAGGGAAAGTGTTTAACACACGTATGGCAGTACTAAGAGACCACTTGAACATCACGTACAGTATATTGCATGCATACTGGGAACATTTTTTACTGCAGCTTGTCAAAGAAGGGTTAGATCGCAAGGTGGTTGTACTGAATGATCAATGATTCCCAGGAATGGCTTTGCATGATTGCCAGGTGGTAGCTGTTGTGGAGTACGCGATTGACAATGCGATGGAGACCTTTCTGCCCGCCGTGCTGCAGTTGCTGGCCTCGCTCCTCGAGTTTGACAGAATAGCTCTCGCAGAGGGCTCCGAAGGTGAGTCATCTTTGCGCCATGCCCTGCATTTGGCGTCTACAACCCTGTCATGGGGAACTTTGTAGTACTGCATTTGCCGCTTGGCCGTTCCTAAGCACAGCACACATCTCGCTCTCTTGGTTGATAAATTCTCCCAATCCCAAGCATGATGCATGCTGACACTGCAGTGTCCCCATGCATGCTTGGCGGTTGAAGAGAGAACAGGCAGAGGTTCGCAGGCCCATTATTCACAGCAATGCATGCGCTGCAGGTGCCGGCCAGACAAATGTGCTCACAAGCTTGACGGCAGCACTTGTGGACCTGGCCTCATCGTCTGGGCCAGCCATAGCCAGCGTGGCTGCATCCTGTGCCAACACCCTCATGGACATGTGGCCTGCTCGACCAGCATGACTCATTTACGAGTCATCTATTCGTCATTTTGCTTGAGACGGACTCCTGTGGAAGGGCGAGCAAGGGACAGCTTTCTGGCTTTGTATTGAATATTATATATATACAAGTATTTACAGATTTTGCACCAACAGTTGCACTTGCTGTTCTGATGTCTGGTATTGTATTGTATTGTTTGTCAAAATGGACCATAAGTGATGAGCATGACCAGCTGCTGTTGTTCTCTGTCGACTGGTGGCTGTTCTGGCAGTCAGCTGACCATAAAATCTACAGTCCTCAGGAGCAGGCTGCCCATCGATGATATCAATATCGCATGATGCATGTGTTTGGTTTCATGTCCTTCCAAGCACTTTGTGGGGCTCTTGCTGACCCTCAAACCCTCAATTGGCAGCTGTGGAAGGGCTTATTGTGCTCTGGGAATGATAAAGGAATTTGAGAACTGCAAATTGCAGGCATGGAAAATCTGGAAAAAGGACAAGCGTAGGGTTCACCCTTGGAAGCACTAGCAAGACCCTAGAAGAGAGAGGCTCATGCATCCTCTGAGCAAAAGATGCTAATTTCAGATGATAATTGTTGTAAAATAGTAGCTTGTAATCCTTGAGGATGTTCAGCGAGTTTTCCGTGCATAGCTCTGCAGTCGTTCAGGGCTCTTGAGGGGCACGTCTGAGAATAGTGCTGCGTTCCCATGGCTTCTCCACATGTACTTGGTGGACATCTTGGACCCGTACGATACAGCAATGGCCCAAGGCTTCCATTCAGCCCCGTTAGGTGTTCTAGCAGGCAGCAGCCTGCCAGTCAACAGCGGCATGCGCTGGGGAAGCATATACTGCCTGGTCCTAGGCGTACCTCGTCGTTCAGGCACAGCAGGCAATTCTCATCAATAAATTCTCTCTGCCGTTCTTTGGAGCTTGTGCAGCACGATTAGTTAGCATGATATGGTTTAGATACTTGTCCTAGATATTATGCATCAGCAGCCCTGAACCTCCAGGAATGTCCCAGGCAATCGTCAAGCCTATGATTTGGATGTCGACAATACAGTAACTCTACCTGAAAGCATTTATTTGTAGGTTTGCATTGCGGCGATGGTTCTGTCCGAAACGATTGTGCTTTCAAGATGTTGCAGGCTACCTCAACGCTTAAGGCCGAAATGTGCTTTGCAGGATCATAGTATCAGTAGCCTCGCCGGCAGGCTCAGATGGCAATGGTGCAGCTCCAGGCAGCCCTTCGAGCAGCGAGGTGAACTGTGCAGAGCAAATTTCTGCTGTAGACATGGACCTGAGCAAGCTGAGCAGGATCATTGTTTCCCTCCCTTGCTCAAAGAATAGGGTGTACATCACAATCATAGCAAATGAGTGAGGGACTGCCATGTGCTGACGCGTTGAGATTGTGCAGGTCGTTGCACTGCAAATGGAGGATGTGATCCAGCAGAGCACACCTGAGGAGCTGGCGCCTCTCATAGAAGCTCTGGAGAGGGCTCGCATGCAGCAGGAGGAGGCGACTGGGATCAGAGAGGCTCTGGAAGCGGAGGTGCGCCCTCTCTGTATCATGCACTGCTCGAATGTTCCTTGGTCCCCTTGTAGACGCACCCTCCACCCTTATCACAATCTGGTGTGGACCATGTGATGCAAGCAATATCGCTCGTACACAGACCCTCTGCGCACGCACGTCAGCTCACCATGTCTCCCACTTGAGCAGTCCTTAATCTGAGCTGGCTTGGATATTATTGATTTGCGGCACTCCAAGACTACTAGAATGCATGCATGTGAGTCTCTCTTGCATAGCTCCCATCTGAAGCATCCCGCACAATCTGTGCAGGCGCAAGAAGTGGCGCAGCTGGCCATCAATGCAAATGACAACTACCAGGGCGCTCAGGTCAGGGTGGAGGTGGCACGAGCCGAGCTGGAGGCAGCTCAGCAAGAGAAGGACTTTCTGATCGGCGAGATGGCTAAGCTGCAGTTGGAGCTTGAGCAGGAAGTGAATGCTGCTGAGGGGGAGGATGCCACCATTGAGAAGGCCCTTGTCACCGGCGAGTCACGATTCCTATTTGTTGACAAACAAGTTCATCCTCTTATTATACAGGAGCAGCACATCCCCGTGATGATGGGGAGTGGGCTGACAAAGATAGGGTCGATCTGCCAAAGTCCCTAGACAGCTCTGTAATGTGTGAAAATTATAGAAATGATTTGGCTTCATTTGGCAAGGGTCATGAGTTGATCAAATTTTGCCGGCCACACTGGGGGGGGCACACACTGAGATGTGTTGCATGGTTGACTCGCAGAAACCCAGGATCTGGGCATCAGAGAAGTCCCAGATGCGGAGGCGCTCCTGATTGAGATGGGATTGCGCCTGGAGGAGATCACAGCAAATGTGGTGTCCCTCCAAGAGAAGGTTTGTGCCTCATATTGTCCCTGAAACAGCGCATGAAGATTCTGAGACGTTACATGCAGTATACCCTGAGCTGGGAAAGGAGGATAATTACACAGCACCTTGTCATGCATGGTTTCAATCACATGCGCCCAGTATGCTTATCAATGGTTTTATCAGGGCACAGTGCCTGACAAGACTGTCCTGCCTGTCTAAACAGGTGTTGACGCTGGATGTGAAAGCAGCATCAGCAAAGGCGGCGGCAGACAATGCAGAGGCGGTTGCATCTGCGGCGATGAGCGCTGCAGAGGGCGCAGTGCGCGAGGAAATGGAGGCGGCAGCGGTGGCAAAGTCGACAGCTGGCGCTCTGAACAACGTCATAGCGGAGCTCAAAGACCTCGGCGTCAGTTTTGAGACCTCGGACAAGCTGGAGCGCTCCCTGCAGGCCAAGGGCGTCAGCAGGGTAGGATCATTTCTCTATTTGCAAAAGATCACTTCGCCTATAGGGTGAAGCATGCGACACTTTACTCGGTCGCTGTATCAGTGAGGTTCTGGCGCCCCACAAAAGCTGGTTTTAAACCTCCTACCCAAACAGGCGCTAAACTTTTTGATATCTTAGTGGGCGCCTCCTTGACAGGCTCAAGGGGGCTGCTTCATCATCTGCTCCACTGATATGCAACGGCGCTCGCAGCGGCAGGAAGCTCCAATGTGCTCTCTACGGCTGTGTGAGGTAGTGAGCGCCCTGTCCTGGCTGTGCAGGTTGACTTGGAGGCGGCTGTGGACAAGGCACTCACCAAGACAGGGCCAGTTGCGCCAGCAAAGGCGCCTTCTGACTTGCGCGCGCCTGTCAAGGAGACGGCCACTGCACCTGCTGCGGCAGCTGCAAAGGAGCCGGAGAAAAAATCAACTGTCGCTGCCACTGTCCTGAGGTACGCAGCACTGACTCTTTCCTACAGATACCTTTGATCTTGCACCATTGGCCGAGCAATACTGTTCTGGGTATCATGCCAAAAGCTGCCTTCCTCTGATAGAGCAGACGAATCACTTGGTCCTTGCTTACAAAGGATGATTTTGGCAAATTGGTGGAATATGGTTGCCTTCATCGTGCATCTATGTGCTCGATATGGACAAGCGGCAGGTGAAAGGTATGTCAGGCACGTTTGATGGGATCACATCTGGCATTGCAGGTCCATGGAGGAGGATGCGGGGCCCTCAGAGACCTCAAAGCTCGCAGCATTCCTCCCCAGCTTCAAATGGATGGCGGCTGTGGCTACTGTCCTAGCAGCAGTGGCTGCGGTGGGAGTGGCCCTCTATTTTGCCAGGCACACCGTCGCTGGCAGCACCATCAATGCCAAACTCTTCACACTATATGGCATGGCCCAGCAGGTGCGCCGCAATGATACCATTTCTTAAAGTGACAGAACATGCACTTGACATTCTTGCAGGTGTAGCGAGCTTGCATTCTGCTTTTTTGGGAACGAGAAAGTTTGTTTCAGCGCTACCAACAAGATCCTCAGCATCTGTGAGACTGCATGCTTGCGCACAAGTAGTGCGGCGGCAATGTCTGTGAGGCAAAAGCAAAGAGTTTGTCCCGCTCGACTGTGCTGGATTTATGTGAGCTGGGTTTGCTGTGTAAATTCAGGCAAAGGCGGCAGTGCTGTCCCTGCTGAGCCACATCCCACTGCCGGAAATCCCTCACGGCGAAGAGGGCCTCTTCGAGAGCATCTATCTGCTGCTCACCTCCGTCATTGTGGTGCCACTCGTGTGCAAACTGCCCGGCGGCAGCCCAGTCCTCGGCTTCCTGGTAAGTCCCTCACCTCTATTTGCAAAATTCAATCTGAGAGCATCTTGAAGGCCCCTTAGACTTGCCATCATGTCCCTGACTGCTTGCCGTGATTTCTGAATATGCTGCATGATGTGGGCTACAGTATATCATAACAGGGAAGAATTAGCGTTTGCTGGAGGAATCTAGTTCCAAAGGAGAAGAAACAAATGATTCTTGACCGTTGACAAGTTGCATACAAAGTCTAGGAGATGCCTTCTAGACATTGCCGTGCAGATTATGGTGTGATGCCTCCACTTGCGCATGCAAAGTGTTTCCTCCTATAGATGTAATAACCCGGCCGCAGGCTGGCGGCGCGCTGATTGGGCCGCACGCGCTGGGAGTGATAAAGGACGTGGACGCGGTGCGCCACCTGGCGGAGCTTGGAGTGGTGTTCCTGCTGTTCAACATCGGCCTGGAGCTTAGCCTGGAGCGCCTGCGCCAGATGCAGAAGTACGTCTTCGGCCTCGGCAGCGCGCAGGTGCGTCATGAAAGGAAGAGAAAGACGAAGAAGAAGTTACACAAGTCTGCAGTCTGCTGTGAACATCAGAGCTTTATCCTGAGATGCTCTGGAATCTGGCAGGCTAGAATGGTCAGGGGGAGTCCCCGGCATTCCGCATCCGTGGACCTGCCATTTTGACATGTCTTGTGCGTGGGACTTTGCCTGGAATGCCCAGAAGCTGTGGGGATCCTTCTAAATGTGCCATACCCCACTGATGGCACCTTTGCTGGCACCTTTTGGGGAGCGCTAGCATACAATACCTTGCAATGTGTCAGGTCCCCATTGTGCCAGATCTTTAGAGGCGCTGATCTATACATCCCATTGCTGAGGATGGCACACAACGTGGATTCTGCATGTGCAAAAGTACAGCTCTTTCCCAGAGTGATGGTCCTTACCTGCGACTAAGAATATAGCACGGACATGACGGGTTCCTTGTGCGTGCCAGGTGTGCGCCACGCTGGCGGTGGTGGCGTACACAGTCATGGCGGTGACTGGGCTGAGCGGGCCAGCCTCCATTGTGCTGGGCGGCGGCCTCGCGCTGTCGTCCACGGCCGTCGCGATGCAGGTGCTGCAGGACCGCGGCGAGACCGGCTCGCGCCACGGACGCGCCACCTTCGCCGTGCTGCTCTTCCAGGTGGGACTCACATAATTATTATGAATGTATGTTATTGTTGGGTAGCCTGCCTCTCTAGTCAGCAACCCGATGTTCACCGAGTACACCTGGAAACTCTTAGGGGTCTTCAACGGACATGTAGCGCGAGACCTTCGCCGTGCTCCTCTTCCAGGTGGGAAAGACGCTTTGAGAGATGGTTCAGGATGCTCCGCCCATTTGCCAAATCTTGCGGGTGTATTAATCCTCCCTCGGCAGAGCATCTTATTGTCTACACATTTCTTCTCCCATTCATCACCGTCAGTCCGTATACAATTTTGATATGGGTTTGTCAAGTGTATTCTCAATGCTGTCCATAGACTTTGTTTCCCAGAGCTTCCTAACGCACAGACAATGGCTTCAGCTGGCTGCACTGTGCAGGATCTTGCCGTGGTGGTGCTTTTGATGCTCATTCCGCTTCTAGCTCCCAATGAGTCGGGCGCCCCCTTCGGCCTGGCCACCATCTCCAAGGCTCTGGGCCTCGCCGCCATCAAGGTGCGATACCGTGCCCTCTTTTCATACTGACAAGAGACGGGTTGTCACGAAGAAATTTCGTGATGGTGATATTGCAAACAATTGGCAGCGTAATGGGATAGGTCTGCCGAATTGCCTGCCAAAGCTGAATGCTATCCTTTGAAAACCCTGATACTTGCTTCCGCATTGCAGGAATTTCCATTGAACACCCCGACACAAGTATAAGACCATGTAAATCTCGTGCATATAGGCCGGGAGTAGCAAGTTGAAAAGCAGCAAAGCACCGAGTTTTGTCTCTGTTTCAGGCTGTCGCGTGCATTGGCGTGATCATCGCCGGAGGCCGCACGCTGCTGCGCCCGATCTACCGGCGCATGGCAGACATGGGCAACACGGACGTGTTTGCCGCCACCACTCTGCTGGTAGTTCTGGGCACCTCCGTGCTCACACAGATCGCCGGGCTCTCCCTGGCTCTCGGCGCCTTCCTGGTGAGCAGGCGCCTGCTTGTGCATCTTGCAAGCATCATGTTCATCACCAGGCTGTTTTGAAAGGGTATGCAAGTGCAGCTGGAGGGTGGCAGTGTGTGCACGAAGTTCTGGGTCAGTGCATGAGCTTATAGGCTGCGACGAAGCTGTCGAGTGTTTACTATAATTGGCCCTCAGCATAGGGTATGGCATAGAAAGCACGTTGCACTGCAGCAGAATCCTTTTCTTGCATCGACAATCGTCATCATGCAATTGACCTGGAAGCAGGTCATTCAGAACCAGATGTTCTTCCTGGAGAATGAACTGATGATTTTGGTGCATGCCCGCAGGCGGGGCTGCTGATAGCGGAGACAGAGTTCGCGCTGCAGGTGGAGAGCGACATAGCGCCCTACAAGGGCCTGCTCATGGGCCTTTTCTTCATGACCGTGGGCATGGAGATCAGCGTTGGCCTCTTCTTCGCCAAAATCCGCACCGTCATCGCCGGCATCCTCGGCCTGCTCATTGGCAAGGTGCGCTCTTTGGAATTTTTCGAATGTATAAGTCAGCTCAAAGCAGCGCTATGCGCGCCCCGCAGCCCCCAGCTTGCTGCCCGGCAGCTGCCCGGCAGCTGCGCCAGGAGCCGGGCTGGCGGGCATGTCTGTCCCCTTTCACTGCTGTCGTTTGGAACAAAGGGGTTGGATTCTATGTCTGATTGTCACAGCAGGGCGGCATGTCTATTTGACCCCTCATGTCATTTCATATATCAGGTAGGGAGTCCTCTTAGAGTCTCCAGGCCTGATGCATGCCTGGACGCATGCAGGGATGCCATGTAGACAAGCATATAGGATGACATCTTGATCAATGCAGGTGGCTGTGGTGGGAGCGGTTGGGCCGCTGTTTGGGCTGTCGCGCATCCAATCCGTGCGCGCTGGACTGCTGCTGGCTGCAGGCGGAGAGTTCGCCTTTGTCGCCTTGTGCGCCCCTGCCACTGTTGTCATAATGAACGCACACAGAGCCTGTCTGTGCCACTGTGTTGTCACATCCTTACATTTAGCATCCTATTGCTCCCATTATCTCTGTCAGAGTGGGCAAGAGGAAGCATTTCCGATGGCTGCATGGAATGACATCAGAAAATCTCTTCTCGCTTGCTCTGACAAAGGTGGTGAGGCGCACGCAGCGAGGAAGCAATGCCGCATGGCCTATTGATGCCCTGAGCCTCTGTATCAACTATCGGAATTTTGCCTCCTCAAAGACGGAATGCTCACTCGGTGTGGCGCGCGCAGCGGGGAGGCTGTGTCACACGGCTTGATAGGCAAGGCGATGGTGAGCGAGCTGTTCCTGGTGGTCGCGCTCACAATGGCGCTCACGCCGCTGCTGGCCGAGATTGGGCAGCGCCTCGGCAAGGCCTTCGAGAAGAGCGACGTCAAGGTGCGCTGCACGCTGTGAGACATGTGAGGGCTCATCCCTCTGTGAGGAGACAGCAGGGTTTTATACCCTGCATGATGAACCTTGACCCTGCGGCTGGTGTTCAGCGAGAGGAGCTTCACTGTCTTAAGAAGCTCCATGGAGATCAGGAAACCGGATTTGAGTTGCTGGCGTTTACTCTGTGGAGTTCTTGAAGCTCCTCAGGAACTTCACATTACACGCCAGCAACCCAGATCCGACATGTCCCCGGGCAGCACAGCGCAGTGTCAGCGTTTTATGTTCACTGCATGCTAAATGTGTTGACGGGTTCCCTGGTCCCAGACAGCAGAGCAGCCTGGTAGCTGCTCCATCTCTGCGATTTATTGAAACGATATGAAGAGGGAGCTCCCTCTTTAAGCTGAACCTCTTATGGTGCATGTACCTTTGACTGCTTCTCCGTTTAGACATGTATTACAGTCATTGGCAGCTGTGTTGATTAGGGTGCAGGACATGAGGGTGCGTGAAGTTCGAATTTTGAAATAGGATGTGACTTCACCCAGGCGCTGCAAGCGACGGAGGGGCAGACGGAGGAGCTGCGCGGCCACGTCATCATCGCCGGTTTCGGGCGCGTTGGGCAGATCATTGGGCAGCTTCTGGCCGAGCGCCTCATCCCCTTTGTGGCCGTTGATGTGCGCATGGAATGCGTCCAGGTGCGGGCTCTTTTGAAAGGGATTTATCTTTACATGTTAATTAAAATTTAGTATAGGTGTAAGGTTCAGGATGTTTGGGAGTTTGTCACCTTGTCATGACTGCGCGGAGTGCATCCGGGTGTGTGGGGAATTTATCGATAAGAGCCCCTGTGGTTGTCACCGCCCAAGTGTTACGCTGGTGCACTACAACTTAGGGCAGTCATTATCAGAAGTGCTTGTCCAGTCTATGCCCCATGTGATGAGCAATCTGTTCAGGGTCGTTTGGATCGCTTGAGTAATATGCCTTGCTGCATCCTTGAAGCTTCAACTCCACTTCACTGCTGTGCCGGGCCTTTCTTTGGCTTACTGTGTAGCCTTCGTACTTCCTGGTCAGTTTTTCTCTAGGATCCGGAGAATACGTGGTAAATCCCTTGCAGAATTTCTCCTGAGATGGCTAAACTGCGCGGGCAGGCCGGAAAGGAGCTGGACCTGCCGGTGTACTTTGGGGACGCCGGCAGCAGCGCAGTGCTGCACAGCCTGGGAGCGCACCACGCAGCATGCGCAGTCATCACACTCGACACCCCAGGCGAGCCGTGGGAAATCTCCTGCATATACAGTGTATTGCCACAACGGCATCTGCTCTTATGCATTTGCTTTTGGCAGTAGACAGCCACGAGAATAAAGTGATATATAGCAACTGCAGCAAGGATATTCAGCAACTGCATGTGCTGGGGTGCATGTGCTTTTTGCTGTAGAAGGGCGCAGAGCTTTCTGATGTGTGGCACCCAGCTGCCCTGGACGCTTCAAATCCAACATGTGGATTTTGTGTGCAGGTGCCAACTACCGCAGCGTGTGGGCGCTGCACAAGCACTTCCCCAACGTGAAGATCTACGTGCGCGCGCATGATGTCCAGCATGGGCTCAACCTCGAGAAGGTGTGCCACCTGTCAATGCAACCACTTGTCTAACAATGGTGGCTGGCTTTGGACAGCCCAAGAAGCTGCTACCCTTGGTGTATAATTGAGTCTACCCCACAGGTGGATTGATGATAGAGCTGCAAACCAAGATTTCAGCTGTGGGGCAAGCGTCTTTTGTATTGAAAGGCCACCTTCAAATTCCCAGACCCCACATGCATACTCATTTGCAATGTGGGGCGGTGAGGCTCTGGGGCCATGGGTATGCGCTCACCAACAGATGCCTCGAAATCAATATTCCACGGACAGATGGCGGAAGCATCCATTCCCTTGTGCGATTTTTTGAATGGTGTGGTACTGTAGTAGTCATTCTAAAACCCACATTTGATAATTATTTTCGGCCAAAAGGGTGGATGAATACAACCCCAACCCCCAAAATATAGACATGAAGATCATTTTACCATTTATTACCTTAGTTTATTTTGAGACCAGATTCGGAAAGCTCTCGACAAGCCCAATCTAATGGAGCATGACTTTGGTACATTGGAATTCAGGAAGATCACTAAAAGTTGCTTTGGAAAAATCCCCGCACCGCCGAGGGTACGGGTTTTAGAATAACTACTAAAGTATTTTTTTTCTGTGATATTTTGGCGTAGGCTGGCGCGACTGCGGTGGTGCCAGAGACGCTGGAGCCGAGCCTGCAGCTGGCGAGCGCGGTGCTGAGTCAGCTCAACATGCCGCCCGACGACGTGCAGGAGGCCATCCAAGACTTCCGCCGCGCGCACATCGGCGAGCTCCAGGTGACAGCTCTCTGCATGCGCAAGCATGCCCTGCTGTCCAGTAACTTCGTTCTGAAGCACCACAATGGCGAGCTTCTGGCGCAAATATTGTACTCCCTGCTCCTGCATGCGCAAAATTGACTGCTTTGTGGTTTTCTATGGAGCGCCCACATCAGCGGGCTGCAGGAGCGGGCCGTCGGTGCTCCCTGCCCCTACATGCGTGAGAATGTATCACTTTCTATGATCGTTCTTCTGAAACACAACATCTTTCCCAGCAGCTTTTGCAAGCCTTGAGGTCTCAGAGTCTAGTTGTCATATGGTGTCCACTCTCCAGTGGTTTTGGAGCTCCTCTGGCTGGTGTTCTTCAGGCCACTCGTCAGGATGCGGTTTAATTGCTCAATAGAGAAATCTGTGCTTGTGCGGCACGTGCATGTGTGGGACATGCAAAAGCCTTAAGACAGTGTGTAACCCTATCATGTGCACAGGCGCTGTGCAAGACGAGCGGGTCGACGCTGGGCTACGGCTTCCCAACCATGGACTTGGATGAGGACGAAGTCATCTCTTTCAACGGCGACGGCGCTGCCCCCGGTCTGCCCCTGGCGGAGGCCGTGCCCTGATTTTGCACTTGCAATGTTACTTTCTGCTTAGCCAGAGGCAGAGCGAGTACCAGGGGACAGAGGAAGGCCTCTTGACCCTCCATAATAAGGTCCAGAGAGTGCCCAAGCCCATGAGCAGGTTCTAGGCCAATGATGGGCACGGGTGCAAGGAGGCCGTGCTTGCTTGCTCTGATGGGCATTGGAGCAATGGCAGAGGTTGATGCCAGTGGCAGTCTTGTCATATGGCGGAAAGTTCTGATCGTTGTGGACAACAGAAGCACTAGCAGACTTGTGTTCAGGTCTGCAAAAAGGAGGTAGCTGTAGTGGGAGCTGATGCGACAGTGCCGGGAGGATCTGGAGTGTTCACATGCCAGCCTGACTCTTCTTATATAGTGACTGGGAGTCGCCTTGTTCCCCTTGCTACATTGTACAGGGACCTTTTGCAAGGAGTAGGATGGTTGCTGTGGACGGATTGGTTTCGTGAGGACAAATGTGAGACCGGTGCAAACGCCATGTCTCGTACCGACATGTCACAAGACTACAGAAAGATCATTTGCCGATTCATGGCGCTATTTATAGCACAACGACAAGCTTTTGCATACCTGCCACCTGGCAAACTATTCTGCCTTAATGTTGGCAATGCAATTGCCCTAGGCGACATGGAAATGGCCCTTGCCCTGCGGGGCTGGCCACTTTGACATTCTGGATGTTTGTTTCAGTGCTTTGCCACACAGAATGCATGTACAATACAGTTTTGCTTGCATCAGCAGTAGCCTCTGTCATGAGATCATCCGTTGGGACTGTGATTTGGTCTTCAGAAGTGCTTTTTGGTCTTAGACCTTTGGCAGCCATGATCATTGCCGCCTTTGGGAACGCGAGCACATGCTTGTACTTGAGACTGTCTGAAGTGCACATATGAAATTGTAATCGATTCATCAGTAAGCAATTGCAAGGCATTGGATACTGCATATGATCCAGCGCTACTTGCCAGAAGCGGATCTGGGCACACATGCGTGCGGCATTAGAATGTGGCCACAAGCCCCAGCATGCTGGAAGTGTGGCATTGTGCATCACAGCATTACAGGGGCCATGCAGCACTTGCTCACCCTTACATTACACCCTTATGAGAGCGAGGGATGCTTATCCAAGACCGACTTGTTTCGACAGCTGCAAATTGCAATTACACAGCTGGACATTGCACAGACTAGAGTACATTCTGTCACCATCATGCTCAAATGTTCTTTTTCAAATGCCACACGGAACAGCTTGCACTTGAACAGCACGTCTGAGACGTGACGTCCCATCATTGCTCTGTCAGCTCCGCACAACCGTGTCGTAACTCTCACTGACAGCATTTTGCATGGGGTGCTTCCGGCTGCCGCACACTTGTCGGCATGCACTAAGCCTCATGCTCCAAGTGTATGGGTCCTCACACCTCCAGAATGCATCACTTATTCATCACTGCTCAACCTTCTGAGGCAGTAGATTAACCCCCCAGCGATATAAACTGAAGGCTTCCCAACATCATTATCATCACCTTATTCACAGCGGCGGGGCGTGTGCACTCGGGTCTCCAATGAAGATTGCACCACAAGTGGAGGACCCCCCCTTGAAGCTGGCCAAGCATGGCGGCCAGGCTGGCATACGTGCACACGCAGGTGTAGCACGAAATTGGCCACTCATCAGGCGCCGGACATGGCGTGGTCGCCGCCGGTGTCAGCGCTGCGATGCGCGGAGGAGCCCCGCCGCCGTTTGGGCTTGTACATGACCGTGGTCACGTACTTGCTCTTGTAGCGGTGCGTCGTGCCAACCACGGTCGCGTTGATGGATCGGCTGTTGCGCTGGCAGTAGAGGTGGTTCAGGATCACGTGCTGCGGCCGCGGCAGCGACTCCTGCTCCTCGGAGGAGGGAACGTTGAGCAACGTCAGCTGCAGGTGCGGCGGCATCGCCGGGGGGTCCTTCGCGAAGTCCTCCGCCACCTGGCGTGGGTTGTCGTAGCTGCGCAGCAGCCGCCACAAAATACAGTCAGCCTACAGCCTCCTTCCTAAATCCCAATACGAAAGAATCAGAGTTCTCTTTGCTTCATTCCCGCCACTGCAGAGCACTGCAACACATGATAGCGCGCCCTGTGCTCTCTAAATTCTCCAAGCAACGATTGCGGCAGACTCTCTCACCCCCACCTCTATGCTCCTTCTGCAAGCAACTCAGCACATCTTTTCCTTTTACAGAGCCTTGGGAGCCTTCACTCTTGAGAATGTTCAGAAGACCTTTCTGGATGGTCTCAGAGAGAGCTGCTTGTAAAAACTGCTCACCTCTCGGGGGGCGAGGGCGGCGGCTCGAAGCCGATGAGGGAATCGAGGTGGTCTGGCACGTACTCCTGGACCTCAACCACGTTGTTGATGATGCCCCGCTCGTCATGCATCGCCGGCTGGTCCGGCGCATACTTCCACTCCCCATCCACTATGAACTTGTACTGCGCAGCCACACCGGAGATCTCAGCTTGATGGAGCCCAGTGGCCTCATACTAGAGTTTTAGTGTAACGCGCAAAGATCAGCGCTTCTGGGTGCGCCCAGCTTGGTGCTTGACTGCTGCGGAGCCCTGTTCGTGGAAGCCATCAGGTCTCTTCGGATTGATCAGAGCAACAGATCATAACGCAAACTGGTCCCTGATCAGGATTTTGCAATCAGCTGAGCAGGCGTCGAAATCGCTCTCGGGTGCATGTGATGTGGAGATCAAGTTGGAACACAGCCCATACGACATGCATGTTATAATTGCTCATCATCTACCAAACGTACGGGTTGTCTGTCATCAGCCGCTGCCTGACACCAACAGAACTGCTGCTAAAATGACGGCAGCAAGGTGCCGTGCATGTCCCAACGGCTGCACGATTTATGGAAACAAAGAGTCAGCGGATCCAAGCGTGCAGGGCGGCACCTGGTAGACGCCGGGAGGCAGCAACTTGATGATGGTGAAGTCCTTGCCGGACTTCTGCATCGTGTGCCGCACTCCCCAGTTGTCAAACGACCCCTCCACCTCCACATGCTCGCCCCCGTGGCTCCCTGCACATTACACATTGACAGCGTCATGCGTGACTTATCGCCCCATGTCATGTGGCCACCAGAGCTTTTATATTGCTCCGCTGTTCCTCTCCCCCAAGCCAGCTGAAGCTGAAGCCAGCGTCTGTGCCAATTTTCATGCCAACAGAAGTGAAAGTGCAATTTTGGCCAATTATTGCACTGCAACGGAGTCTCTGGGACATGCCTGAGGTGAACGCAGATGGTGAAGGACCCCTCATGACACCCCTGCACCAGCTTAGCTGGCACCTTGCAATCCCCAAACTACAGTATCGCTTCTGCAATGGAATGCAATGTGGAGGGTTGTGGGGGCCAACTCACATACGATGACAGTGGGCACCAGCTTGGGCTGCGCCGGCCACGCAGCGACGCCGTGGAACTCTGCTGCGTGGTCCCTCACCAGCTGCACAGTCTCCGCCATGGGCATGGGGTCCATCGCCATCTGCGGGCTGCACAACAAACCAGGGCAACTAATGTTGGCAGTCCCTCTTAGGCATACTTATACCTGCTGCCGCTGCTGCTGGCTCCAGCACTACGCCTAGAAGACTTGCTAATATATGAGCGGCAATTGGCATCACGGCATTGATTGAAGTTTGCAAGACAACCATATCCCGATCAATGCTCAATTGACCCAGCACAGGGGACGATGGTGACATGGCACTCGGCTGCTGTGTTGTTCTGCGCCAAGATAGACCACGCATAGCAGCTGACTGCCATCACATGCTCGGCTGAGATATGGAGCGTGGGAACAAGCGTGGAGGGCACAGGCGTTGAAGAGCCGGATGTGTCATGTGTTGCTAGACAGGCCGAGGCACCTGTATGTGAGAGGAGATCCTGGTCCAGGGCTAGGTGGCGGAGATCCAGGGCCAAAGCTGCCATCCTCACTGACCCCATCGTCACCAGCGGCACGCTTTGCATGAGTGTTGCCCTACACAGTTGAACCACGATAGAAAAGTGAGAGCCTCTACACTTATGACCATACAATCACCTAACATCTTATACTTACCCAAAGGGCAACACAGAGCAGGATGCACCAAGGCAGAAGATGCAAGAGCCCTGAGGTCACCCCTTGCAACAGGGAGCAGGGCTTTGGCTATAGTGCTCTGAGTAGCTGGCATCGTATGACAACAAATCCATAACATCAGATAAATCGGAGGCATTTGATGCTTACCATGCCTTTCTGGCTTTTAGTGACAGGTGGTCATTGCTCCATCTCTTGAGACTGTCATCTCAGCATTACAAGATTGCTAGTAGAAACCTCATACGTCCCCCCGGCTTTCTGTTTATGGAAATTTAATAAGTATTACAGATGATGACTGTGGATAGAAGACGGAGCTTGCTGAGTACTATAAAGATCTGCGTCAGGATTCTCCGACCTTTGCAATGAGAAATGATGCTTTAGGGAATGGGGCAGCAACAGCAGCGAACTTCACAAAGATAGTTGCCAACGCGCTTGTCCGTCTGCACAGGGAGAGTTGCAGAAAGGTTGGGAACAGATGGCTGCCAACTCAGCACATGCATAGAATCCGGAGGACGGCGAGATCGGGGCAACGACGAGCGAACCAACCTTACTTTTGAAATCTCCTTGGAGGTATGGTGTGGACCAATCAATGCTAACACAGTCTTGAAGCAATTGCACACAGTTGCAACAGAATCTGTACGGCACTATAGGACTGTTCTCTTCATCCTCACCTGTGGTAACTGAATTTTCAGTGCCCCTCAGTTAATTGAGTCAAAATTGAGTCAATATTGAGTCAAAAATATGAAACATTACAACGCTGCATCTCAACAACAGCACAGGTGGCCATTCACGTCAGGCCATAACGTGAGGGTCACTGCAACGCCCGCATACATACAAATTCACTCGCTCACGCAATTCACTCCTCGGTAAAGCTATTTACTTCAAAAGATGATAAAGTAATAGTATCAAGTTCATCAAGGGGTGCGCAGCAAGCGCTCCACTTCGTCTTGTGCTTCTGCCTGCAGCCGCCAGTCAGCCTGCATCTCTGCAACCTCCTCCAGCCGCATCAGCTGCTCCTCAATGCCCTGCGCGCAAACATCGGCCTTCTCAAACTTAAACAGGGCCTAGAAATTGCTCAAGGATCCTTGCCACTCACATAAGGACAGAAGTCACGCCGGAATCTAGGCACCCTGCAAGCGCAGCACATGGAAAAAGCAAGAGGTGCAAAGTCAGGGACATTGGCATTGGGCAATCTACAAGCCTGGGCACTGCTGACCAGACATGTCAATATGCAGAAAACACACCTGCACCTCTGCGGCAGGCACCTCTGTATCGATCTCCACCTCTATCTCAATCATGTTCGCCACTCGTGCGTACCTATCAGCATAACACCAAAACTTCAGACAGGACATCTGCTTGCACCCACAGCACTGCATGCTCACCAACAGTAGATGTGACACCTTGTATGCTGGACGCCGCTATGACTGTGCATGATGCTGGTCATCCAACAGTCATAAACTTCACACAAGCACAAGCTTGACATGGCCTAGGAGGTTCAGAAGGGGAAAAGAGAGGCGTTCCCAGTAAGTTTTGGGGCCTCACCCATCCAGAAGCTCCAGCTTCTTGTGCAGCCTCTGCTCGAGCCCACCAATCGCTGTGGCCACCCGCTCTATCCGCGCACCTGCATGCATGCACCAGCAATCCTCACGAGGACGCTTAGATATTCTCTTTCACCTCCAGCTGGCTCACGATTAGCACAGGTAGATTGGACATAAAGGTCTCATTATGGTTTGTGGAACATGAATGAGCTCATGGAACCCACACAGCTGTGTTGCATGGGCCAAGGATACGCTGTAAAGAGGCAGTGCAACAGCGCACCATATGAGCCGCCAGTGCCCACGGACTGCATCTTGTTCTGCAGCTGCCACAGCCGGGCAAGTACGCGCACATCGTCCGACGCCTCTGCCACCAGCGCATCCATCCGCTCCACAATGGCATTGTGCTGCAACCACAGGCAACCGCCAGTAAATTTGAGATGGGGCCACAAAGCTGTCGTATGTCAGCATGGCGGAGTGAGACGTCCCCAGCCTGGCAATGATGAACGGTGCTACGATTGCGCCATGAACCTTCACCTTCAGATCAGGCTGTCCTTTTGCCCCTCAACAGAGTCTGGCGGAACCTTCAGGAGAAGAGATGACCAGAGGACCAACAGATCAGAGAAGGTTTGAACCCAGGCAGCGAGGCTCTGATGCTTGGAGTAACACCTGTGCCAGTAGCTTCTGGCGCACAGTCTCTAGCTGCAGCAGGCGCTCTGGCAGCTGCTTTAGCTTGGGCAGCAGCACGGTCGTCCCCAGCACGCCTGTCGTCGCCGCTGTGGCCACGCCGCCCGCGATGAGAAGCGGCAGCGCCGGATCTATCAGCCCTGCACAGCACAATCTGCCAATTCACAGCCCTGAAGTCGACCCCCAGAATACTCTCCAAGACTTCATGTTGAATGAGGTCCTTTATCCACAGGAAGTGACTGTTTTATAGTGAAACGTGGCTTTGCCGACCTGTGTGTTCTCACATCACTGGCTGATAGGCTAATGCCCAGAATGGCGCCAACCTGACGGCCAACAATACTGAGCAGATAAAGAGGTCGCCTGAGTACTGAGGTCTGAGGATTACACATGCACTCTAGCCATCAACCCAATTCACCGACCTTGCTTAGAAGGGTCGTTGCAGTGGCTTGAAATACAAGGCAAATGCCCCTTCTTACAAGGGGCGGAAGCGCACCGCCGGCGGGTCAATTTCCAGTATGATGCCAACCTGGCGGCACAAATATTGAGCAGCTTACAGGTTATCTGGGTCCTGACGGCCAGAGGGTTACACATGCACCTAAGCCCTTCCGAGCCGTTTTATCAACCCTCCAAGAAGGGGCAGCGCACCGCTGGCAGCGTCGCTGGCGCTGAGCAGGAGGGCAGCGGGCACGACCCATCCGGGGAGCCCAGCCGCGCTGCTGGGTGGCGGCTGCAGCGGCGTCTCCCGGCCGAGCGCGTGGTTAGTCATCACCAGCGGCTGCCCCGGCTTTGTGAAGGGGGGCGCCGAGCCCAGCAGGCCCCCCGCCCTCTGCTGCCCGCTGCCCGCCGTTGCCGGGTCCGGCGAGCACACCACACTCACCCGCTCCCCCACCTGCCAGGGGCAGTGGATATCTTCTACCTGCCTTTCTTGACACCAGATCTTCAAATATTTCCCACTCACTAAGCCACTTCACGCAAACGGCGACCTCCCGACAATCATTGTAATGGCATGACTAGACTGGCAAGGCACAGCCCATGATCCTGCTATAGAGGATTGCTGCATGCACGACCACCGGCTTGGGACTTGCAGCACCCGACAACGCAATCAACAGTGACTCACTAGTGAAATAAAATCTGGAATGGGCTACATGCAGTGGCTGTGCGCACAGCAGTCTGACTCTGGGTCGCAGGCCTCCTGCGCATACATGACGTATGTTGATTTAAAATGACTCACTGGTCATGACTCACCTGCGCGGGCACGTCAGCGGTGGCGGTCCCGAAGCGCAGGCTGCGCGCACAGCCGTCGGGCGCCTGCACGACCATCTGGTGCACCGCGGCCAGCGGCGGCTTGCGCCACAAATTCGCGGCGCGCGCCGCGGCCAGAAGTAGGCTCTGCTGCGATACCAGCGCCTCGGACGTCACGCTGACGACATCCCCCGTGAACACCTCGTACTCGTACCGCGTCGACGCGCAAGCCACCACCTGCATTGAGGGATTCTTGAAAAGTTTGAAGGGGTGATGAATTGGTGATATACGCATGGCTCTCGTGTCACTAAAGCCACATCATGGAAGCCTGCCGGTGCTACTAGATCTCACAACAGCCGATTGCAAAAGATTGTCACTCTCTCTGCAGCTGCACAAGCTCATTTGCCAAGACAGCAAGCCCTAAAGCCAATTAGGGGCAAAACAAATGACTGGCTGAGTTGCAAAAAAAAAAGGAGAGCTGATGCGCACCTTGCAGCCTTCGTGAGGCTGCACGACAGTCAGGGGCGTTCCAGGAGCCAGCGGTGAATTCACCACTCGCCCAAATGGCACCTCATCGCCCAAGGGAACGCCCCTGCGCCGCACGTCTTCAATCGCCCCAAACGCATCCCTCAATCGCAGCGCCCTCGCCAGGCCCCTCACCTGACATCATATTACACATCCCTCAGGGGTTGGCTTTTGGAAGAACTCATTACATGGCCACCCAGGCAAAGCTAGCTGGCCTACACATCAACTGCCACTGCAGAGTTCTTGCTTGAAATCTTGACGTGTCCAGTGATTGTGCACACTATAGGGATTTTGCCCTGCCCAGATATGAGGGGTCTCTCTCTCATTATGAGGGCAAAGATAAATCGCTCCCTTGTTTGGATCTGCTGCTACCCATCTTCCACATGAGTATTGCAGTGCGTCTTTTATGTACGTAGGATGCATGCGCACCACAGCAGAGACAGTCTCAAGAGATGCATGCGGCCAGGAGACAGCCCCGAGGCCGTCGCTCGGCTGCGCCGCCCCAGAGCCGCTGGGCCCCGCGCGGCACATCGCTTCATAGACAGATAGCGCCAGGACCACATTGCCGCGTGCCATGGCAGCCCCTATCAAGCTCCTGCACTCCTCCTGCACAATAGTGATGCTGTGAGCGTCCTCCAAGGGGTAGCATGCAACACTTTGAGTCCACTCAGCAGGGCTCCCAAAGTTGATGGGCTAGTAATGCAACGCAGGCTGATCCCTGCAGGCTCTAGCATGTGGACGTTAAGAACCGAGCACATGCACAGTGCACAACATAGGGACAGCTGACCGTGCTGAATCCATTTTGCTGAGTACTTTCAGGTGATACTAGAAAAGAGATTGCTGACCTCGCTGAACCCGGTGGCATATGAGGTACTGGCAGCCGACTCTGTTTCTTGCAGGAATATGTTGAGCGCCTCATTTGCTGCATCACAGGCGGTGAGTCGCCTGAGTAATGCTGCGCTGCTCAAGCGCGCAGGCAGCCCTGGCTGCTCCAGTGTTGCTGTGCTGACTGAGCTCTGCGCCTGCACGACAGGTCACCTCGTTGGTCAGAACTCCAACAATCGGGCAGAGGTCACGTGCGCCATCTGCAAGCATTGCGAGTTTACTGCTAAAGTTTGACGCACCTGAGCTCCCTCTCCCTCCCTGGAATCCAGGCTCGATGCAACTGCAGCTGCATCCTTTTGGCTGTCCACAGCTTGGAACCGTGTCAGCGACGCTTTGGTCCTTTTGCAGGCCTTGGAAAGCACTATCCGATGCGCAAGTGTGCAATGTACAGTATGAGGCGGGAATGAGGACACAGAAGCCAAAGCTGGCGAAGAGCACGACATCATCTGTGCCCACATTGGATGGTGGAAAGAATTCGCGGTAAACATTTTCATTGTCCTGGACCAAATGAATTTCTATGCAACAAAAATAGTTTTACACAGGTGCTTTCTATTTATATGACACGGGTGCCATTGGTTCTCGGACCCATGTCCATGTAGCGGGACATTCAAGGACTTTGTGTCAGTGCGATTGCATGTACCAATGAATAAAGGTGACAGAGCATGCAATTGCAAACGTTTAGAAAGGCTGTCCTGTGCAAGAGATTGTCGCTGCTGGATTCAGTCCGATAAGACCGTTCCAAAGAGATTGTCCCCCACAAATCTCGGGGGGCATGCAATGACTCCCTCAGCTGCAGCATGCAATGACTCACCTCAAGAGCGCGCTTGGCCTCACATTGGATCACCTCGAACAATCCCTGTTTATTTGCAGTACTAATATTGATCAACGAAGCATTCCAGTACAAATAAATTGACATCATGCAAGGGGCTATTAATGGGGTGCTGCGACCCACCGAATTCGCAGGTACGTCCACCTGTATTTCCTTCGTCTTTTTGGTGATCCTGGCGCATCGCACCAGTAAAAGAATATAGTCTTGACGAAAAATCGATCTTCTGTTTTAAAGTATCTTCTTTTAGTTTTCTATTCTTATTATGCAAATTTGGTCAATTCTTCTAAATAGCATTGGCCACTTCTAGTTCTGAAGACCTGAACTATGCTCTGCAGTAGCACCCAGCAAAGTGACGAACAGTGCATGGAGGCATCCCAGGCCATTCCAAGCCCGTTCCAGCATGTTCTCGGGGCAACCAAAGCTGCTCCAGCACCGCAACCCAGCAGCAGCACAGCCCAGATCTTCTTCAACCCGTTTGTCCTTTGTCACTCGGGCGAGCTACAACGCTGGTGCCACCAATCCCTTCCGTGATGAGCTCATCGCTACAGCCAAGTACATCTCCCAGCGAGGAAAGGGCATCCTGGCATCCGACGAGAGCAATGCCACCACTGGCAAGCGTCTTGCAACAGTGGGTGAGGTTCCCATCAACCTGGTGGCATGTTCTACCCAAGATAACGCCCCTTTGTCACTTTCTGTGTTCTGTAGGATGCATGGACGTTATTACCTCCATGTGCATGTCTCACCAGGAGTGGACAACACTGAATCAAACCGGCGGGACTGGCGTGAGGTACTCTACACAGCAGATGGTCTGGGAAACTACATCTCCGGCTGCATCATGTTTGAGGAGACGCTGTACCAGAGCAGTGCAGGCGGCGTTCCCTTTGTCAAGATCCTGAAGGATGCTGGCATTGTGCCAGGCATCAAGGTCGACACCGGCCTGCAGGTACACTATTCACAAACCTCTACTTGACTGTCAAGAGGCGACACTCAAGTATAATGAGGTCATGGCTCTTGTCTACATGATGTGATGGCGTAATGTCTGACATGCCATTGTCTGGCTGTGATAACATATCACTTTGAGTGCTTGGACGTGACGTCATCCCTATTACTACATGGTGCGATGATGTCATCTGTCCTAGCCTAAGTTCTGAGTCTTTCTAATGTGTGTGATAGGTGCTGCCGGGCACAGATGGTGAGACAACCACGCAGGGCCTCGACAACCTGCCAGCACGCGTGCAGGTCAGACAGCTGCATCATGCATCATACACTCTTGCTGCTCAGCTTTGCTCTTGAGTCTGCATTGGGGCACTGTATCTCTGCTGCTAGGTATTTTCCTTGACGATGCTCCTGCTGGGCGCACCGCAGATTCTACCCATTCTGCGCTAGGTTTTGTGCAGATGTCGGGGAACCCAGAAAGACAAATTGTAGATCCCTGTGTGATGAGTGCCGCAGGAGTACTACAAGCAGGGTGCGCGTTTCGCAAAATGGCGCGCGGTCATCAAGATTGGCACCCCCACCACCCCATCCTCCATGGCTGTCCTGGAAAATGCCCACGGCTTGGCCCGCTACGCTCAGATCTGCCAGGTATTCACCACTTATCATTATTGTTATTACTGTTTTCCCTGCCACGAGGGCAAGGTGCAAGGAGCGCATCATTGATATGATTTTCAGATATAGAGTCAGCCAACACTTGCAAGTCCTCTTACAGGATGCAGATTTGTTTCCTTAATTCCTGCATCTGCTTGAAATCTGAGCATCAGTGGCTCAGGAAGCCTTGCCCTCAGCGCCTGACAAGCAACCGACACATCGACTCCTGTGAAGTCCTTCCTTACCCACACACAACGGCAGCAATCTTGCTGATCAGCACATGCAAAGCAAGGAGAAGCTTGATCACATCCCCTGGGGATTGCAACTTATAGACTGTTTGCTGCGAATTTTTACGCAGTCTGGGGAGCCCAACAAGGGGGAAGAATTTGGCAGCCTTGGCCTGCAACTTGTCTGCAGACGCACCTTGCCTCTGGCAGGAAAAGCCATTATTAAATGGTAATCAGGTGGCAATGCAACCTGCAGGAGAATGGGCTGGTGCCCATTGTGGAGCCAGAGGTCACGCTGGGCCCTGGTGACTACACAATTGAGGAGAATGCTTACTGGAGTGAGCACGCTTACAGCCACGTCTTCCGGCTGCTGAATGAGTACAACGTGCTCCTGGAGGGCATCCTGCTGAAACCCAACATGTGCCTCCCAGGTCTGTAACATCCCTCTCCTTCTTCCCTTCTTCTCCCCCTAGTCTGCCCCACTTGTTTGCGTGGCTGAATGCCCCACTGAACAAGTAGTATTGCCTGAGTATACCTGAGTAAGTCCTATGCCAGATATCCCCTATAAGGGTGAAGCATGCTGCTGCGAAGGGATTGATTCCAAGTGCTCAGGCCATGTCCTGAGGAAAGCAGCATGCCTGTGAGTCGAAGGCGACAGTGGCAATTATCTGTCTGGCATCTAAATACAATGATTTGCGGCTTATGAGGGTCTCGCAATATGCTCTGTGTAATATCGTCCAGACAGATCAGGAGGCTTAGCAATATAACACAAGGACAGGCAGTGCTCAACCTGACAGCTGTTGTGCTGCAGGCCTGGACGTCCCAACTCCGCCGCCGTCCGAGGTGGCAAAGTACACTGTGCGCACAATGCTGCGCAGCATCCCCCCAGCCGTCCCCGGAATCCACTTCCTCAGCGGCGGAATGAGCGAGGAGGAATCCACCCTGAACCTGCAGGTGCATGCTGTCATCACAGCAATGTCATGGAACTGTGTCCATTCTGTCAGTCATGCCAAAGTTACCTGAATGGCGCACTGTCCAACAGCTCCTGCTGTGGAAAGCAACTATGCTGTGTGCAGCAGTAATGGAGCTGACAGAGAGTCACACTTCTGCGATACTTTGTTGCACGGGACACTGATAGGACTGCATGCATGCAACCTGCAGGCCCTGCAGGAGGAGTGCCCGAATTCTCCCTGGAGCCTCACCTTCTCATACGGCCGGGCTCTCCAGTCTACCACCCTGAAGGTACTGTTATATCCTCCATCTAGCTCCTCACATATCGACTCTCGAGCTACATGACTTGCACTCAACCTTGCAGGCATCAAGAGCAGCATCTCTGGACCACAACAGTGCTAGGATTGGCAAGTCTTAACAGAGTGTAGACACCACCAGAAGGTTTGTGAGATGATGTGCAGGGACAGTGGGATACTCTAAATTAGAACAGTGAGCCTCGCGTGGCTCCCAACGGGTCTCAATAGTGTGATTATTGTTGTGAGTCTCATCAAAGTCTGAGGCCGTGCTTGTTTTACAGACATGGGCTGGGCATCCTGAGAACAAGCACAAGGCACAGGACATTCTGGTGAAGCTGGCAAAGGCCAACTCAGAGGCGCAGCTAGGGCAGTACAAGGGGCCACACCCCGTGCCAGGAGGACAGCGCATCTTGCAAGCTCTTCGCCTTGGCGGTTCCGGCACATGAGGAAGAAAATTATTGATTATGATGTCCTGCACGTTGTGAGCAAGCATCTTCTTTGTACCGGCCTCACGCAATTTTGCCGAGGCATAGCGGCACACTGACAGGGAGCATTGAAGCGAGAGAGCTCTCCTGGAGGTGTAGGGACAATTAGCAAAAGCACAGTACTGGTGCTGAGCTGTGATTGAGCACTGCTTGTTATTCATCTCCAGTGCAGTTGAAGACTCCACAGTGCATGTGGGCAAGTTGGGTATGTCAGCATGAGAGTGCATTACCAACAGGTTGAGAGTCGCTAGCCACCAATTTGGCCAAAGCGAAGTTGCTCACAATTGCTGATGATTATTCGAGACTGTGAGCAATTTGAAGTTGCATGAGAAGTTTTGACAGCGATACCAGTAAGATAACAGATTGAGAATGGTTGGATGCTTGAAAAATGACACAAGCAGCTTCTATTTTAAGTTGCAACTTGCAAACAAGGAATCACCAAGATTAATTGCAGTCGATGGTGATATCAGCTGATCATCCACAGCTGCAGCTATATATGTAGCAATGCAACAAGAAAGAAACAACACACATTCCCAAAGCAAGTTATTGCTTCAAGGCGTGTTTGCCCATCATTGCTTTGACATTATCCTGATCCAGGAAATGTGGATCTGACGAGACCTGTGTACCTGGGCCACTATTATCTTTATCTTCAGTTCTGGCTAATTGCTTGCCACGAAGGGATGCGTTTGGATAGGCTTTTGGTACTGCAACAAATGCATCACGTCATCTATTAGGTTGCCATTTCCTGGGCACGGCTGCTCACTACTCTGCCTTGCTACTTGTGGAGCCAGCTCAATGGAGCGCTCTTGAGACCTCTAATCTCTATGGGAGGCCCCCGTTGGGAGCACTCTTCCCGGCCAACTGCTCCTAGCCAGGTCCTAAGCTGCTGCTGTGGCAGCTCTCCTTGCGGGTGCATGCATGCTGTGTTTGAGGGAAATCAAGGCCGAGATCTGCGGCTTGTGGCTTTCCAAGTTGGGAGAGGATCGTCTTCTCGCACATATGGATCCTCGTCTTCCTCCTCATATTGGTCAGCCTGCACATCATTCCAGTCATTCTTAGTCATGATCAACCAGAAGAGCACTGTACAGGTCCTGGCCCTTCATGACATGAGCCAGAGATGGTCCACTGCAAAGGGCGCCATTTTTCTCTCTTTGAGCACTTGCCTGCTGTAAAATTAGAACTTTAGCTGCCCTCAGTGGGGTGCTCAAAATTCATAGGACACGTATTTGAGGATGCTTCCACAGAGGCAAAGGCCACTCCTAGAGAGCAAAGATTCAGTACCTGGGCTTGGCGCCAGACAGAATCTGGGTGCTTTGTCACATGCGGCTCCTCCTCCTGAAACTCGGGGGTCAGGTCCTCTGGGGTTGCTTCAGCGCCAATGTGACCGTTCGCACCGTGCAAGTCTGCGTCCTCATCGTTCTCCTGCACAAATCCCACAGGCCCTTCATATATGCTCCAACAGGATGTCCCATGAAATATGCTCATCCTCGACACAGAGAATTGAACATGCGTGGACATGCCGCAGCGTGCCACACATTCCCACTTTCAGCTGCACAATTTTGCCTGTTCAACCTTTATAAGTCACATTTAAACATCTGCAGGCCTGCTATGGTGTTGTTGCTGGCTGTCACGAGTGAGTCACAAGATTGCACGCCCGATGCCTCTACCCATTTCCTCATTCACCTGGGGTATGACATAATCAATAGAAAACCTATCAAGGGCAGAAATAGGATCAAGGAAGTATTGAGAGTGCGCACCCGTTCTTCCCAGGCGCCGGGCTCTGCCGAGGGCGAGCGTGAGGGGTCGACGGAGGGTGCGGCTGACGCGCCGTTCGCATCGGCGACCCCATCGGCGCTCGACGCATTCCCATGGCCGTTGAATCGGCCGCGCCGCCACTCGATGGCAACGCCGTAATCCTCAGGCATGGCCGTCACCGTGTGCGCGGATCTCCCCCGCCGCATTCCCATCATGGCAGCCTCCGCGGCCGACAGCACCCTGCAGGCGATCCTCAAAACACAATAATTAGTACTGTTTTATGGCCGCTCACCTCCTTTTTCCAACCTTTTTAAATGGTTGGTCGTGGGACTTCTTTGCATACCCAGTGAATACTGGGCTCCAGTGCAGTCCGCAAACACTTTGCATTTGGCCAGTAGGACAGTAAGGCAAATGGGTTCACCACTGTTTCAGCGCTACTCTGCGCACAAATTCCAGAAATTTGCTGAGGCTGTATTGAGGCTGGGGAACAAGAGGGAGATAACATTGTATTTCATGAGGCATGCTTGCGGCAGACATTGCGTCCAGGCAGAGGGAGCGTGGACATGCTCGCCGCAATAACCTATAAAGAGACGCCCAGATTTCAACCCTGGAATGAAGTCACTGTGGGGGCCAATCAGCAAATAGTATCAGTGGCGCACATGGGCTCGTCCTGGGCTGCGCTGCGGCGGGAGCCGCCGCCGGCCTCGTGGCGCGAGGACGTGCCGCGGATGGCTGCGCGGATCAGAGAGTCGTAGGAGTTGCCTGTGTAGTCTACAGCCTTTCGCTCCCTCCTAGCTCTGCACGCAACCCCTGACTGTCAGCGGGCATGCTACCTCCAGCATGGAACAGACACTTTTCATACAAAGATACAAGTCCACAATGTTCATCTGTCACAGGACACCCGCTCAATTACAGGTCAGAAGGGTCCATTTGGAGCAGGAACTGTCGTTGTCAGATGTCATGTCAGGCTTTTCTTCATGCGAGAGACACGCGCTGTGTCCACGGCCTCTCCTTGTGAGGGACTGCAATGTAGAGACGTGGCAAGAATGCAAAAACACAGATATGCGGCTAGATTTTGGCTTTGTCAAAGGGGTGGATGCGGCACCTGCCAAAGCCCCCCTCTGGGTCCCGAAGCACGTTGCCCATCTGGCGCTGCAGCCGCTGACTCACCCTCACCCGCTTCTCCTCCTCCTCCCGCTTCACAACCAGGTCCGGCACTATCTCGTCCAATATCTGTGCAAGCGCCAAAAAGGGTGCCATTGTCAACATGGCAGACGGGTGAATGACACTTGAAAGACAACGGTATCTCTTCACTCCTCAACAACCAGTCACAGGCCAGAGGTGAGCAGGACAGGCGAAGAGTATAGGCGAGCAGACAGGTGAGGCTGGCAGGAAGTGCAATCAATCTGCCGCCTGGCTTGAGACCAAAGAAATGAGTGGAGGTGTTACGATGTAGTCATAGCGTCAGGCGTCAACTCCAGTCCCTTGTCTATTAAGACGGCGACAGCCAAAGATCTGCAGTGACAATTGGAAAATGGGTGCTCACCCTGGAGGCCAGAAGCCGATCGGGCTTCTTCTTGCTGCGCTGCAGCTTCTGGCCCAGCTCCGTCAGCTCCTCCACGGAGCTTCCCAGCAGCTCCCACACGCCCGGCAGCGGCGGCTGCGCGCGCACGCCCCGCGCCTTTGTCGCCTTGGCCTTGGGCACCAGGTCGGCCGGCGTCTCCCTGTACATCCGCCCCTCACCTATGCATATTTTGCATAAACAGCTTATCAACACACAGTCTTAGCACATCAAAAGAGGGAGTGCCCCAATGCGCCATATCACAGGAAATCGGCAAAGAGAATGACCAGCTCAACTCGACGAGTACCAGTACGGCGTCAGCTTCTCAGAGTGAATGCGACGTGCGTTGTGCGAGACGAGGCTGGCTGCAAGACTTGATGCATCAGGTGTCAGTGTGACACAGATTCCATTGGCAGCACAAGGCAAGGGCCAGGACCAAGCGAAGAGTGAAAGTAATGAAGACAGGAAAAGACAATGGTGCGCCGCCAGGGGAGATCCGCGGGCAGGCACACTTTCACTACAGAGGTGCTAGGTGCTATTGAGACACAGTAATCACGCAGTACGTGTCAACCGAAAGGAGCAAGCAGAATGAAGTGCCGGCCCAAGAGCCTTAATTGTTTACCGTCACGGGAGTGGCCCTAGGTACCGTTCAGCACCATTATAAAGGCAGCACATGTCAGGCGCAAAGCCGGACGACAGGCTAGCAAGAGAAACATTGTTGGCACCTTCGCTGGAGAGGCGCAGCTCAAAGTAATGGTACTCCAGGCCGCTGCTGTCGGCGCCCAGCGGCTGCCGGCGGAAGTCATCAACCGACGGCAGCACGCCGGTGGCCTTGGCGGCCGCGCGCGTCTCTTTGCTCGGCCGGATCGCATCCTCCACCTTATTCCTCAGATCGTCCCTGTCCAGCCTCGCCTCACACAGCGCCTTGAGCGCCTGCACCCTGCGTGGCAAATGGAAATTTCAACAGGAGCTACATTGCCCACTGCAGTGTCCCCAAACTACGCATTGGGGCAGTGAGAAAAGTCTCTATGTTGCATCAATGTTTTGGCTTATAACTGCTACCAATGTTGTGCCCAGCAGTTCTCTACATCCAGTTATTCATTATTGCACAGGTTGTCAGGGCCGCTCAGTGGATGCCCTTGGTCAATAATTATACAACGATTAGTCTTGGGCTGGTCAATAATTATACAACGATTAGTCTTGGGCTGGTCAATAATTATACAACGATTGGTCTTGGGCTGATGAAAGTGTCCTGCGATCATCCCAAGGGAGAGTGGTGCTGTTAAGCCCAAGCTATAATTGCTACAGTACCCTGCCACCCTCTGCCTAAGTCAACATCCACCGTCTTGTTAAGGGGTCTGTGGCAGCACCTTTATCTGCACAAAGCCGACTGTATATCCTTTCCTTCAAAGGAAACGGCAAAGGATGCAGATTCACATGCATTGCCATGGGGAAAGGCTGTTTCTACTGGCAGCTGTGCACCCAATGCACATTGTAAGGGATAGGTGATTCCAGCACCCACCTGTCCACTGTTGGCAGCACAGAGTACTCCATCGCCTCATGGCCCCTCCGGGGAGCGAACGGCGGCGGCCAGGGCTCGCCGCCTGTGCGCCACATCTGCTTGAGCCGCTCCGACAGATACATGGTCCAGTTGGCGGGCGTGATGTCAGATCGCGTGCTGATGCCTTTCAGCAGCGCCTGCACATCCGATCAAAAAGGTTCTCCAGAGATCCTCTATTGCTACCTCTAGATGATCGCTGCAATGGCGGACCTGGAGAGATAAGTGCTGGACATTGGGGTCCAGAATCAACTGTACATGTCCACTGTAGAACATGAATGCCAATTGCTGGGCTAATCCATGAAGGGCGTGAAATAAGTCACTCGTATGCTCCTAAATGTTTTCTTTTTTGTGAGAGGATGCAGAAAGACAATGGAATAGAGAAGTGCATGCACTGCAATGGAAAAAATGCATACCATAGCGGGGAAATAGGCCAGGGCAAGGAGACTCACCGTGTGCACAGCGCCGAGCAGCCCTTCGCCGCCAGGGGACAGGATGAGGACAGACTCCAGCTCGTGTGCGGTGAAGGCTCTGTCGAGCTTCAGGTCCTCCCGGAACAGGTCTAGAAAGTCCAGTATAGCGGCCATCTCCCACGACTTGTGCAGCTGCCGCCGCTCTGTGTCCTCCTGCTCCTTGGGCACACTCCTCGCCAGCACTGCAACACAAGAAGCCCCTCAGCGAGCAAAGTCACCCAAGTGCAGCCAGACACAAGGCCCCGCAGCATTGCCTGCCGAGCAATGCCTTTGTTACATTTGACGGGCGTTGGTGGGTGTCCTTGACTTCTTTGGAGGCTCTGCTTATTGTAGCGCAGAACAAGTCTCAACTCACTGCCCACTCATTGCTTTTTTGGGACACTAAGTTAAGACTCGTGCATTTCTCAACATGTGCATGAACAATTTGGCAGAAATGATGTCATGATGCAAAAACACATTCTGCCACCAGCCTGGCAATGCTTAAGGGAGTGTGATGGAGTCCCATCAGGTGTGCTCCAGGCTAGAAACAAATAGGATGCAGAGCTTGCCTGTTGGCCCATCCTGCATATCGTCCAGATCAGATGCATGCGCATCATCCTCTTTGGCCGCATCGATATCCGCATCGTCCTCGCCCTGAAGCGGCCGTAGCTTCCGGGTCATGTCATTGTCTGGGCGCTCCCGCTCCTCTATAAGTCTCTTCCGCTTCCTGAGATCCAAAACAATTCATGTTGGTCACTGCACCTTTCCCCAGCAACCCAAAGCAGATGCATGACTTTCGTTGCAAGGGTACCCATTGTGATGAAGGACTGGGGGTAATCACTTGCGTCATCACCCATCAAGGGTGCATGTGGTTGATACAAAGTTAAGGTGCAATGGGGGATAGTTTCCGCATGAAGTTGCACTTTGCAGAGGGATGGCTTGCGAAGGGAGTGTGCGCACCTGTTGCGCGCTGATGTGCTGTCATCGCTGAAGTCGCTGTCAGCAGACTGCTGATGCTTCGGCTGCCTGTAGTCGCTGTCGCCTGAGGGCTCCTTCACGCTGTCAGACAGTGAAACGCTGTCCTCCCTTGTCGGATACTGCTGGCTGGGGCCCTCTGGCATCCATCCTGCACCATAGCGAGAAGTCAATTTTTGCAAAAATGCTCATGAAGGTTGAATTGAGCTTGTGTCAAGGATGGGGCATGCATGCACACAGACAGCATACATTTTTGCGGTGACCTGTGTCCAGGGTGGACCACGCACCAGTACTTTGCTTCATACTGGCTTCTTGCGCGTGCTGTGATTGGAAACTGCTGTCATCGACATTGTGTGGTGGCTGGTCATCGGCAAGCATCAGGCTGCTCATGGTTTTGTACTTGTGAACAGCTGCTGTCATTACACCTCTGTCGACCCCCTCACCGGCCTGCAATCGAGGATGCTAATTTTGAAGCATTGGTGGTGCGAACCGGATTTGTCATGGACATCTAACATCACCAGAGGCTTGAGAATTGGCAGCACTGTGCAGCATCACGTTTCCTTGGACAATAAAACAGGGCCCAGGGCCAGGGTATGTTGCTGACAAGCATACACAGCCGTGGCCACAATTATGTTCACGCAGCGATGACACATGCATACGGGCATCCTCTCGGCCATGTCGATGGTGCGATTCGCTCCGCAAATCGTGTTAGTCTCGGTGACTTGCAAGATCAATAGCCACAAAAGAAAAGCCGCCCTATCTGTGCATGTGGTTCCGATGGAACCGCTGCCTTTTGACAGTCACCGATGCATAGCCCTTAAAGGCCGTCCATGAGGCATATTGGAGGTCAGAGGACGCGGCATCACAAGCCATTGCCCAAGTCGTACCTCCTTGTCATGGGGAAGCCTGCGGCAGCCTGGCCACCATCCCAGAACGTCCACGCCAACCACAAAATGGGATTGGGACGGGCTCAGGTGAGACGTACAGCGGCAACTAGCGCAGGTCGGCGGATTGCCTGCACCTTGTGCGCGGAAATTCCCTCCTGAGGTGACTAAGTCTAAAGCCATATCGACCCCAAAACGAAAGGGAATTGCCCTGCGTCTTGTGTGCAGAATTTTGGTGTGGAAGGTCCTCTTGTGCCAGGTGTTGTGGAGGTACAGTCTTTGCACCCGAAGCATCAAGGGAGTCTCGGGAACTCGGGTTTATTCTTGTCGCATCTGCTGAGGGACACAGGCTGTGCGCAGAGGGGCAAAAGGGTTCAGAGAGGTGTGCAGAAAAAGAGTTGCAGCTCACTTCCAGGGAGGCCCAGCTTTAAAAGAAGATACACAACCGGCAGCCATGAGCAGGGGCATGAATCACAAGGCGGACGACGAGTGAGGCCTATGCTGGCACTTGCTTCTTTTGACAACTTCCTTTTGCTCCAAGACTTTCTGCTGACCTATGAGCAAACCTTCAGCTCTCAAGATCTAAGATGATGCTGGAGGCCCGTGTCACCGGTATTGATGAATGTGGGTTTCTGGTGCCCCTGCAGTTATGACTACCTTTTCAAGGTTGTCCTGATTGGAGACTCCGGTGTGGGCAAGTCAAACCTGCTCAGCAGGTTTACACGTAATGAGTTCTGTCTGGAGTCCAAGTCCACGATCGGCGTTGAGTTCGCCACGCGCAGTATTCAGGTGATGGTCTCGCTTCCGTGCTTTCCCGGCACAACTGTGGCCGCTGTCCAAGCGATGCGCCAGCGGTTCCATGTCCCTTTTCTTATTAGGACGTACGGAGGCAATTGCACGCTTTGATCTTACAGCTCAACACATTGTTTGCAATCTGCAGGTTGACGGCAAGACTATCAAGGCGCAAATCTGGGACACGGCTGGGCAGGAAAGGTACCGTGCAATCACAAGTGCCTACTACCGAGGAGCAGTTGGCGCCCTGCTGGTGTATGACATCACCAAGCAAGGTGAGCTGCTGATTGCGTGTTTTACCCCTCAATTGTGTGGTACTATTAGCATTATGACAATGTGTCTTAGCACCTCCTGTGTTTTTTTTTCTTGATGTGGGGCACTATAAGTGGGGCACGCACTTGTCCGTCTGCTCTGGTGCCTTGATGAAGGGGAAAAACAAATGACTTCTTTCAGTGTCATCAGTCTATCTTGTCGCAGGAGGTTGAGCCTGATTGAGTCAAATGGTGTAAGGAGCAACTCTATCTCTGAAGGTGCTGTGCTCCTCTGGCAGTTGCTGGCTGGGAGCTGAGATGCAATGCTGTGCTGTGCAGTCACCTTTGAGAACGTGGAGCGATGGTTGAAGGAACTTAGGGACCACGCAGACTCCAACATTGTCATCATGCTCGTGGGGAACAAGAGCGATCTGCGGCACTTGCGCTCTGTACAGACGGATGATTCACAGGTGCGCAGCTGGCATGCATCGCGCAGCAGCTGCACTTCTTGTGCATGCCTGCATTCCATATTTTGGCAGCACACTGGCTACAATGCTATTTGTGATGCGTGCTAAGAGCAGAGCAGAGGGATTTCTGTCATGGGTCTCATTGATTGGGGCTTTTGCCATGCCTGGCGCCAAAAAGCATTTAATGTGCTGAGATGGAGATACTTTCAATGGGTGTACGCCCTTCAAAGTAACTCTGAAACGGCACTCCACACATCAATCCACCAACACATATAGTAATAAGGCAGTTGTGTCATTGGGACTTTATGCTATGCGCAGGCCTTCTGCGAGAAGGAGGGGCTGTCCTTCATCGAGACCAGTGCCCTGGAAAGCACCAACGTGGAGCAGGCCTTCCAGCGCATCTTGACAGAGATCTACCACATCGTGAGCAAGAAGGCGCTCGCGTCTGAAGACAAGCCGCAGCCGGACAAGGGCACCAGGATTGTGGTATCCGAGACGCAGCCAGAGGAGAAGAAGAAGTCAGCCTGCTGCAGCGGATAGACTGGGGGATGAACCACTGGGGAAGATCTGCCGCTGTGCCTCTTAGATTACCACTTCAAGTAACCATGTAGACCTAATGTGGGGAAGGCAGGGGCTGTCTGGCATTGGCAGAGCCCCCTGAATGTACATTTGCTGTGCCCTGTCGCAAGGCAATTTGATCTCTTTCGTTCCTAATTCGCCTTGAACAGATAGTTGCCTAGGAGCTACTCATCTGGCTGGGCGGGTGTACCAAGTCTCTGTATCGAAAGGATGGCCATGTTGGGGCTTGGTTGCTGTGCCCATCCGGGTGTGGAATCTCTGCAAAATCGCTGGCACTGCGCAGAAGCCAGATGTCTGCAGTATAATGAGACAGGAGTGTCGTATGGTCTGCAGCGTAATGCTGTCCCAGCAATGTAATGATTTTGCTTTTCCTGTGCGGGGGCTTCAGCGCTCGGGGCTCAGCGCTCAGCCCAGGCCCACAGTGCTGTGCAGGCATGCCAACAGCATCGGCAGCCCCACTGCGCCAGCACAGCACAGCAGTGCTGGACCAGCATCGTGCTGCCAATTGCTGTCACACTCACTGAGGCCGACTTGGCGATCTACCTATTTGACGCTGCGCCGCAACTTGCGCTTCACACTAGAATTAAGCTAACTTGCTGCTACGTTGCTACCATTTAGTATCAGCGCAAAGTGCATGCATAATGCGCCTGCGTCACCGGAAGAAGACAACCCTGGGGCATGATGTGCTGCGCACCTTGAAGCTTTCAAGCAAGCACTAGTTTAGAGCTCTTCATCGACAAGATCGTGAGGCCATGTGCCACAGATGACGATCTTCTTCCAGATTAGGCATGCCGATTCACCAAGCTTTTGGCCTGCCCGAGCCTGGAGCACCAAGGAGGCCGCAGCCAAAGTCGCAGGCCAATTGCGGACTGAGTCGCAGTTTTGGACGGGCACATCAGCGGCGATCCAAGTGAGCGAGCAGTGAGGTGCTTGTGGCGGCGAGCTGAGCAGGTCGAGGTTGCGCAAGGTGACAGCGCAGAGCATAGGAGGGCGCTCAGCTGTGCAGAGCTTTGCTGTTATTGCACAGAGGTGTGCAGCCGCTGGACACGGTGAGACGGGTATGCTCCTCCCTTAGTAGCTGAGTGTCAGGCTGGGATGCCTAGAAAGGATCGAAGGCTTGCCAAACGGTGCTAAACCCTCTGCGATCAGCCATGCGGATGTTCTAGCAGCAGCGTGCAATGCGTATTCGGAGGGCAACGGCTGGGTGGAATGCATGTGGGCGTGTGCTTTCACGAGAGGCGTCTGGATTGCTCACGAGAGCCGCCACGGCTCAGACCCGGTTAGCAGCAGTTTGCTGCGCCTGCGGATGCCGGTCACCTGGGGTGCAGGCATTTAACGGAATTGAACGCCGGGCTGGCACCACTGATGGTGTCAATAGATATTTTGGCCCTCGATAGTGGCATAGATCGTCGGTAGCTCACCCCCGGAACGCTTTCCGGGTTTTGGCGCTGTTTGGGCTGCGTGAGCAGAATGCTGCCGGTGTGGCTATAGTCTGGGGCAGATCACACCTCAGTGGCTTGCCCTCATTTCAACCAGTCTGCCCTGGTTGAGAGATTTTTGGGACAGCAGGCTTCCCGCAGTTTGTAGCACGTACCTGAACCTGTGGCATCTGGCAACCTAGTCTTATTGTTTGCTGTTGTCTGGATGGTTTAGTCGCTCAGAAGCGAGTGCAGATCGCAGAGGCAAGTTAATGTTAAGGATGCGTGGGCAGCGATGGGAGTATGGCGGTCTATTTTCTTGGTGTCTGCATCTTCAATTTTCGTGCAAACTCGTATTTCCTACGAGTCACTGGGCGCATGCGGTGAACGAGTCCGTTAATCTGGCCGGCCAAATACACCCATAAGGTTTTCTCTCCTGAAGGCTCGGGCCAGAAGAGTCAGGCAGACACAGGCGCTGGTGTCCTGGCATCGCCGCAGAATGGCGGAAGCCACTTTCTGGTGGCTCTGCGAGCCGTTGTTGTTGGCTTATGCTAGGTGTCTCGTGTGTCGTCTTGGTTTAATGTCTCTTGAGCAAGGATTGCAAGCATTCCTGCCTTCCATTTGCCAGAAATGCATGGAAAAGTTGATCTCCTAAGTCGTTTTGGGGTTGAAACCTTTGCAAAACCGCTGCAGCCCCAGTACAGACACCAGGTGCAGCACCAACTACCATGCAAAACAAGGCTGTTCCACCGGATGCGGCATACGCTGACAAGCACTGCCTGGCGCACAGGTACTCGAGAAGCGAAGGACACAATGCAGCGCAAGCGCTCTTTGGATGACATGGAGGGTCCACAGCCCGCAGTGGCCCTCGGGCACACCAGCAAGCGAGGCCGTGTGGTGAAACCCAAGCTGTGGGATGATGGCACAGAGGCGCCCATCGCTATGGGTGGCTCCAGGCTTGCAAGGAGGACACCCCCTCCCAAGGAGGACTCTGGCCCCTCCAGTGGCAGCGACCGCCCCAGGTCAGCCGCAGCCCATGCACCCTGAGACCCCTGCTGCTTTTCTATTTTGGCACAGATCATCATGACTCAGAGATCACCATGCAGTGGCATGACCAAATGGATCAGGAGCCAGTTACCTGCGCCTGTCTCCTGGACAACAGCATGCCAGCATGCTGGAGTACAGCATATGCAAAGATTCTGAGGGGCATGCATGGGCTGGGCAGGCGGCCGGCCAGTGCCAGTGCTTCACTGGGGACAGCCAAGAAGGCCACTGTCCCCCTCAGGGACGAGACAGGCCGCTTTGCTGGCGTTCGGCCCAAGACTGCAGCCGAGCGCTCCCTGGTGCGCTCAGGCATCAGTAACCCTCACTACAGTATGTAAACATGGGCATCATTGCTTATGTGGACATTCATCTAGTCTTGTTGCTTGTGTCCGTGTCAGTGCTCCTCTTGGCATTATACTGCCATGGACACCCCCATTTTGCTGTGCATTCACCGGAGCAGTCTGCATGTACTGGCATGTGGACATGACTTTGGGTGGCTGTTCGATGGCTCTGTTGCTGTGAACTGCGCAGAGCGGCGTCCCTTCCCAGGGTGGCATCTTCAAGAGCGCAGCAGAGAAGGTGTTGAGGAGCAACCGCCACCTCATGTCCACAGGTGTGCAGACAAACACTCCATCCACGCACGTCACGTTGCAAGCCGGTGGATGTCAACAATTCCCCAATTGTGCCTATGAGCAGGTGTTTGGCTGATTTGCTAGCTAATATGTGGAGCCGGACCTTACACCGGCAGTTGGATTCAGGAGGGTATTGCACAAAGCAGGAAGACTGCTTTCAAGTGGGGAATTGGACAGCGCAGAAGAGCAAGAGTCTGATCGTGTCAGGTTTTGTCTATAGTCCCACTCTCATCAATCCTTCCCATGCACTGCGCAGGCGAGATTGCAAAGATGGCAATCAAGTACAACTTCATCTCGTGCCAGGGCAAGACTCCCGAGGCAACCATGGCATCCGCGCTGTACACTGACATCAAGAGGAAGGAGTCCGGCTCCATTTTCATCCGCCCCCACGAGGGCCTCTTTGGCCTCAGGGAGTGGCTGGACCAGGACTTCGATTTCGAGGTGGGTCAGGGCTTCATTAAGATTGCTGCGCCGTGCTGTGACTGTGCAAGCAGAGAAGCATTACTCATGCGACGAGAGTGAACATGCTTATGAATTGAAGCTGAGATGGGCAAACACCCAGCTGTGGCGGACTCTTCTGAGAGGCTTCCGATACAAGTGCTGCATCAGCATGATAGCAAGAAAGCATTGCAACAGCGGACATGATACAAGTTAGTCCGCGCAGCACCAGTTTACAGCGCGGAAGAGCAAGATTGCTGCTTTGAGAAATGAGAAGTGTTGTGGTGTTGCAGGGGAAGTTTGCAGCTGGAAACGAAGCAGGAGACCAGCTGACTCTGCCCCGGGGCAACGGCAGCGCCCGGTATCGCTATGAGGCATCTGTCGGCGTAGAGGGTGAGCCTTGTTTTCTGGGCCAGGATCTCAATCCCCCTGCAGTCAACGTGGAAGCCAGCTTTCTCGCTCAAAGTTTAATCTGTGACTGGTTTGCGCCACATGCCATGCTACCATTGCCACTCTGGACCCAAGTGTCTATTGAATGAGACGTGCTCTCTCTCAAGGCCATGTGCCTGTGAGACTTCCTTTCGCCAGGTGACAGCAAAGTGGCTACCGCTATAGAAGGTCGTGACCCTGATCTAGTTTCTGTGTCAATGCAGAGTATGCAGGGGACTATGAGTCGGACGAGCAACTGGCAGCATCCACAGATGGGGGCCTGCGCGCCGGACCATACCTGCCGCCTCGAACAAAGCGCCGCGTCTCCTCTGCACAGAACGCCAACATCAAAGGCGGCGCGCAGCTTCCTGTGAGCCCCACTTGCCATGTTTCCTCAGCTAGTATTCCTGTATGCAGAAGCAAGGGTGGCTGGTTGTCCTGTAGAAGCCGTACCTAGCTTGGCGATGCAATGCATTGGTCGTCTTTCTTTCTGTGAGCTGATTTGGGCGAATAGGAAAGGAAAGAAAAGAACTTGCGCAGGCATGCATGCGAAGGAAGAGTCTGCCTGCGCTCCAGGCCCTGAGAACAGTGCTTGAGTAGAGATGCATGCCAGAGCCGAGTCTGCTCATAGCCCTGAGAATGATTCTTCTGATGTGACAGGGCTGGCCTCGCGGTGGACTGTCTCGGGCAGCCTCAACAGGCGCTGTGGAAGATGCTGCAGCTGCACGCCCCGATTTTGGAGCTGCGCGCTCTAAGAGCTTGGTGAGACCCTTGGTCTGTTTGAGAGAAAGAGTCCTGCCTTGAAAAAATGCTCAAGGGGCATGCCTGAATGCATGTTCAAGCAATAATTGCTGCAAAGCCAGGGCTCTGGATCCCAAGATGACGTTTTCAGTGGGCTGCCTTATCTTACCTAGTCCAACCCCACATGCAAGACCTGACTGCAGGGCATGGGATGTGTTCAAGATCATCTGGATGGCATGAGGGCGTAGTGCTGATTGTGTGCGTGTGTGCGAGCAGGTCAAGGATGCTCTGGGCGGCATGGATGCGCTTATGGAGGCTGTGGCTCTGGAGAACCAGCGATCGCGCCCCCTGGCTGATGCGGACTTTGACGACGATGACATGGAGCCCTCTACTGCCGGCTCGCCTCTTGGTACACCTTTAGCTCTCCACAACAGTGCTGATTGCACCCTTCAAATCTTGAGCATGAGCGCCTACGTCCTGCAGAGCGCATCTGAGCAGTGGATGCCTCAATGGATGTCATCCTGTCATGTCCATTAGACATTGAGGTGCTGCGGTCATGCATGGCACATCTGTTAATGGAATTTTGAGGATTGAAGTGCCTCATCGTGTCCAGTTGGATCAGACATGAACTGTTCATCGGGAGATCACACTCTGAGAGAATGACTGCATCAACGAGAAATCCTTTTGTAGGAAAAGAAGCCCAAAGGGACGACGCGCGCAGCCGCCGCGGCCTGCGAGCTGCACCGGTGAAGTCCAGGAAGCTGCAGCCGCCATCTCCCGAGCACAACGGCAGGTGTGCAATGGTTGACGTGCCCATTGTTGAACATTGACACCACTTGAGAGCTACAGGTCGTGCGAGCTGCATGCTGAATGCGTGAAGGGCTCCAGCTAGAATTGATGGATCTCGGGCTGTGTAAAGCTAGCTGCTGGCAGCTCACCAGGGCATTGACTGCTCCTCAAGCACTATTAGATGGGAAGGCACCTTGAAGGGAAAATCCCCATTTCTTTAGCAGCGCAAAGGTTGACAGCTGCCATCCCGCGTGCCATCGTCTGTTCACACCCTGTGTCAAGCCGCTCACGAGCGCAATGCATTGACACATCACCATGCATGACCAGATGAAATTGCATGTCTGCAGTTTGCACGCATTACTATGTACCCTGAACAGTCCTAGTGTCATGGCTGTGTGCAGGCGCGATGACCCGCTGCCGATGCGGCGCAAGCGCAGCAGCATGATTGCGCAGGCGGCCAACGGCAGCAGCGGCCACCCCCACCGGAGCGCGCTGCTGGATGACGACGCCCTCGGCCGCTCCCCAAGGAGCGTGGCCGCCAAGGCCAGGTACGCCTATGTTTTCAAGTGCTCTTGGCAACCCCAAAGCCCTGTTAGCACAATGTCCTCGACAAGATAATTATCTTGTTTAGCTGCAGTAAAATGCAAAGCTCGCTGTTCTCGAGGATCACTTCTAGTGAGTCTTTTATAAAATGGCGGTGACCGTCCACATCGTCAGGATTGTTTGCCGCTTTCCCGTCTGGGATATGACACTTCTGCTTGCCATCCATATCAGATTGGCCACAAAAGTGAGCGTCTTCATGTCAGTAGCCGTAGCGCTTTCCAAATGATGGCTGCGCCTCACATGTGCAGGTATGCCAACCCGTGCGCGCAGCGGATAGCGACCAAGGCTGAGGAGGAGGGCATGGAGGTGGAGGGCTTTGGTGTGGCGCGCCTCCAGGCTGCCCAGGCCAAGCTGGCGGCTGCCGGCGGCATCGGCCCCACCCGGGACATCAAGCAGGACAACATCCTCAACCTGCCCCTGCCCGACTTTGACATCGAGGGTGCGTCAACTTGGATCTTTTGTGTGCAGGTTCCCCATGAGTGTATATCTTAGGCCAAGCTCGACGCACACCCTCCTTTGCTCCTCGCATGTACACTAGGTGTACTTGATGTGACCTGAGATCTGCTCTTGCTTGTCGCTCCAAGCTTGGACTGCTCTAGTTGTTCTGCTGTGGCCTTGGGGGCGTGCTCTGCCCTCATTATAGGTGTCCTGAGCGCTAATGTCTGCCTGATGCCTGGCAAGCTTGATGATGTGTGATTTGTCCTGACTTTGTGCCATTGAATTCGCCTGTAGCCGGCGAGACCGGCGAGGAGGAGGAGGATGCGCTAACGCCAGATGAGGCGCCGGCCAAGGACGCGGTCATCAACGAGCCGACCGAGGTGCCGGCCGCTCCGGAGTCCAGCCGTGCCAACAGCGAGGACGGCAGCGTCGCGCCGGCCGCTGCGCCGGCCGCCGCGCCGCAGCCGGACAAGCCGCCCTCTCTGGAGCTGCTGCACAAGATGGAGGTCAAGCTGCGCAGCCTGGAGAACTCCGTGGGCCACCTGCACCCAACCGTGCGCTTTTTCCATCCCCTGAACGTCACCTGTGGGCCCTCTGGGAATATATGGACTGTGAAGCGCCTCATCTTCTTTGTGCATCATCTTTGGACTGGGATTGGTTTTGACCTGAGCCTTGGAAGATACGCTTCAGCTAGTTGCTAGGAACATACAGGTGGGCAGGCCATCGTCACAATCAATAAGCGTGCTATTGTTCCGTGGATGTTACAAGTGCGCCTTGACTGAGGCGATATCGGCAACGGTGCAGGTGGGCCAGGCATGCATTGACCTGAGTAAGGCGTACCTGGCCGCCAGGCAGGGCGAGCAGGCGGGCAAGCACCTGCAGAGGGCCATCGCCATCCTCAACAAGTCAAGCCGCGGCAACACCCTCAGCCAGGTGCGCAACCCTCCCCCTGCCTTGTTCCTTGTTCTTTGCTAGCTGAAGAGCACTTCAGCAATCTTCATTGCCATGAGCGCCTTTGCTACACAGACAAGCAACGGTGCCCATGCACAGCCTGTTGATGGTGGCATGATTTACCTCGACCATTGTAAGGGGTGATTTTGGCGTATTTGCTTGCAGGATGAGCTCATGATCCTTATTGAGCACTTGAAAGCTAAGAGCTTAGCTTTTCTCCCCGGCAATGAGAACTGAATTTCTCATGCGTGTGTTGCAGGACGCAAAGGAGCAATTCTCCTACCTGCTCGGCAGGGTCCAGGACCTCAAGGCAGAGGCGTGCCAGACCTCGGCCCGGCCAGCTCAGCAGCCAGCTCAGCAGGCGGCAGAGCCTGCGCCAGCACCCATCCCCACCCCCAAGATGCTGCACCCGCCCCCCTTCATCCTCCCGGGGGCCACCTCAGCCCTTCCCACCCCCAATCAGACCGCCGTGCCCCCACCGGCAGCACAGCCCGTCGCGCAGCCTCCTGTGCCGGCACTGGCGGCTGTTGTGAAGAGTGAGGCTCGGCCCATTGCTCCTGCCGGCCTCGGCATGGGCCTGCCATCGCCGATCGCGCCTGCGGCCGCAAGCCAGGTATGGCCGGATTCACTGGGTATCCTTTGCATGACTCTTCCATCAGCGCATCAGTACAGAGAGGTGTTGTGTACACGTCGAGCGCTGTTTCCCTGCGCTGCTGCCAAGCCATGTGGGGCTTGCCTTGTAGGAATATGTTCGCAAAATCTGCACAGAGAACTGCATTTTTTGTCCGTTCATGGAAATCCATCGCTTGTGCTCATGTCATGGCTGTGCTTCTGCAGGTGCATGCCGCTGCTGTGCCTCCGGCATCGGCAGCCTCACAAGCGACATCCATGCCTGTGACAGAAGCTGCCCTACCGTCCACGAGCACTCCAGCCTTGATCCACACCTCTGCTTGAGAGCACCGGCCTGGGCAGGCATGCCTTGACAAGGGTCCCACACTCTGAAAGGTTGGGAGAGTGCCCTGGCCCAGAAGTAGATTGCAAGGCCTACTACTGGCCGCAGGCTCATCTTGAGGGGCGCAGTCAGGTGCTGAAACGTAGGGAAGCAGACTGGTGCAGCAGACCATTGCGCCTTGGAAGTTCTTTGATGGGCAGAACTAAGTATCTGGTGGCCTAATCTGCCCTCATGTTTTGTAGACAAAGCACCTTTGTCCGCATGGTTGAGAATACCTGAGCAAGGTCGCTGGGAACAGGCGGTGCATAATCGAGATATACCATATGGGTATCTCTCATAGATGCGCAGTGGATTGCTGCCCGTGGAGCCAGGATAGTTGACACCTTCTAGGCAGCAATATGCTGGGTTGGAATTGGAGAAACATGAGGCCCTTTTGGACAAGGACGGAAGGTGTCAGTCAGAAGAGATGGAAGTCGTGGGCTGAGTGTTCCTATTGCATTGCATGGCCTTGCTTTCTCAGGGGCTGGATCAGTCTCCAGTAAGCGCTCAGGCAGCACAGAAGCATGCACAGTGCGCCAGGATCTTTTGGTGGCTAGGCGGCGCACTGCAAGGAAGGGGTGTGCCAAACCGGCACTGCAAATGGGGCATTCATAGGCCTGCATCCCTGTTGTTCGGCTTCCATCTCATGTGGGAGCTGCGATGGATTTTGGCCCTTCTGAGCAATCCTGATTGCTCAGCACAGGGGGTTCTCGATCAATTCGGTACACACTGCTTAGCAGAAACCAGCCAGTCCTGAGAGGATTGCACTCTCGGAGCAGTCATCATTTGTTCATATGTTCTGGCGGCAGTCCGCTGATTTGAGACTGCCGCTCTGTGTCAGACTTTCATCACTCTGCTGCTTTTTGTGAATGTTCTGGGTTATGTGTTAGGTTTTGCGTTGATCAACTCATCAAATTCCATTTCCTCCTGTGAAATACCGCTCGCGCCATTCATACGATATGTGTCCTTTTTGCAGTGTGTGTGTCTCAGGAAGTGTGTTGATGTTGCATCGTTTTGAGCTTTTCTTTGCTTGCGTTCCTGATCCCTGCAGCTATGGGAAGGTTGTAGCTCTTGGGCTTTGGGCTGTGTTTTCCTCGCCTTTATGGGAGGTCTATGCTGCTTTCCTATGAAACAAAGTCTGGGTGGATGTTGAACAGAAGGCTAAAGCTTGTGCCAGGGATGCAGGCAATGTTGGATGTTTTAAAGATATCTAGTTTCTTTTTCTTCCCTTCGGGGGCCAAGCTACGAGCTTTGACTCACATGCTGAACAACAGTCTGGCTCCATCACCAGTGGCTGTGTTGCTGCTACTCAAGCGCACTTCTGATCAGCGTGAGCATAGTGATGTGGGATTGAGTTCATCTGCGTGGCAATGCATGCCTTTTTGAATTCTGCTGCCCCAGTGTAAGAATGCCTCATGCTCCAGGCAGGTCAGGCAAATTTCTTTACAGCCATGCAATCCTTGGTTCTATGCTGCTCCATGAAGCAAGGGGGGAGGGTCATATCTCAAGACAGTCTGGAGATCATCTACTGTGGCATCCGGCACTGTTTCACAGCATCATGTGGCATGCAGTCACTTACCTGTCCGGCTCGGCACCGTGATCACGAAGACGGTCCGGGTATCCCCGCTGCTTGCCTTGAACTCAGCTTGCGGCGGCGTGGTAGGACTGCTCCAAGAGGGTATCTCCACGGAATAATCTTTGGTAGGCCTGGGATTAGCGAAAACTCATCCGGGGCAGGGAGTGCATGCATGTATATGGTGAGTGAGTGATAGGCTGCAGACTATTGAAGGCCCCGCAGATGTGGCTGCAGACGCCCTGCGTGTATGCCCTATGGCCTCTGGCTTTGGGTTTGCCGACCTGTAATAATAATAATAATGCAGTCACTTCCTAGATTGGCACAGCTGGGGCTAGCTGCACATGTGCTGTACAGCTGCATCAATTGACAAATTAGCTGTAAATAGCTTACATTTACACGGAGGACATAAGGATGCTGTACAAGAGGCGATGGGTGCATTTTTGCCAGCCAGCAATCAAGTCAGAGGAAATGCTTCATAAGCAACAACTTCAGTCTCAAGCTGTGCAAGCTAGCTTCCTTGGCGGAGGGTTACTCATGAGGATCAGTTAGTCAGTCCGAGATCACCTAGTAGACCCTGGCTAGCTCGCGAGCACTGTGGCACTGCTAAAATAGATGTGATGGATGGAGAGGGAACTGTAAAACATGCTGGCTGCTAGCCAGCTCTTTTTGGCGTTCTGTATCGCCATCTGCGCAGCGTTTGGTCGCGGATGCTTTGTGCTGCAGCTGCACGGTTCAGGGCTAGCGGCGAATTTGAATGTCCTACTAAGCTCGCTGCCGGCATTTTACGGTGTCAATGGGAGTATCTATCTAGACAATACACGTTTCCAGTACGGGTGCCACGATGAGGGCGGGTTTTTTGACATCTTCAGTCCGGGCGTGCTGCAACCATACACAGCGTCGAAAGAGCAGCAGGGGTGCTCTTATTATGCATTTGCTGAACCAATGCGACAGCCAGTCAGTGATATGGGGATCGCCTTCTGTGACGGCAGATATGACCCTGGCATCTTCCAACAGGTGAGCCTCGACAGATTGATCTGATTTCAGTAAGAAGCAATGTTGAACTTATGTTGAAGACGCAGAGAACGACGGCTGCTGCTTAATTGAGAAAAATTTGAAAGTGTATCTGTCAGCAGGTTTGGAAGCTGCAGCCAACTTTCAGAGAGGAGGTTGATGAAGCGTTGAGAGTGCTGAAAAGCTACAGGAGCCCCACTATAGCGTTTCATGGTAAGCATCAAATCTGCTGCACGTCTTTTGCGTATTTAATGATGGCTCTTCCAGACCTTGCCACAGGTACGGACTCTGAAACTGTTGGTGTTCTGTTTGGTTTGCAGTCAGAGGAGGTGACAAACTGAATGAAGACAAAGCAGTGGTGCGCACACACTCTCTTCTTCCCCACTATCCTAGTGAATCAGATGAGATGATCTTGGAGCTTCACAGCTGAACAAACAAACATACAACGGATTGACTATCCAGGACTGTCTGGTCTTTGCAGGGCCGAAAGACCACGTTCCCAGTCGATCTTCTGAATACATACCTGGACAATTTTCCTGGCATGAAGGCAAGAGGCTCTCAAATGCGCAATGCACTTCCTTCTGCCATCCCGCTGTACCATGCATCATTCAATTAACCTGAAGGAGCCCTGCTTGCCACATCAAGCATGTAATAGCTCTTGTGGGGGATCTGTACCAGATCCCACTCCCATAGACAGCAGAAATCCAAAGTAAATTGTTCTTACCAAGGAGCAGTGTATCTAACGTATCAGTCCAAGAGGATCTAGGGCACCTGATTGTTGCGCACAAGATTCAAAGCCTGGACTCGTTATTGTCGACATTCTTGGCATGCAATGCTCTGTGGATGTGGCACAGGGGGGCACTTGCCTGTTGTTTGGAGACGAGCACAAGGCTCTGGTGGAGATGGAGCGGCTGGTGAGGGAGCACATCGGCTGCAGGGTGGCGCACGGATCGAGGTACTACCGGGCTGAGGGACACCATCAGCAGTCATTCAACACGCAGCCCATCCAGGTGATCTTTTCACTTGCATCCTGCCAGCATTATGAAGTATGCATTTCAGTGCATAACAAATAAATAACCATGCTTTGCCTGCAGATGCACCTTGCCTCCTGGCAGGGACAGCGGGGGTTACAAGGTTAGTGCTGGGCGTGTTCTGGCAAGTGATGAGCATGCATTGAGCATGTGTTGAGCAGAATTTGCCATGTGGCCTGTCCGAAGAAACAGGGGTGATCAAAGCATTTCATGCCCCTGCAATTGATTTTATTTGGGTGCTGCTGCATATCTGCCTCTTGTTGCTCTGGTGCATTCCTGCTCCCCTACAAGCTGACGTGGACACCTGACATAGGAAAGCATAAGTACCAAGACCTTTCTCAACGCTGATTTATGAGTGACTGGTACAGCAGCAAACGACTGGGGTGGCATGCAGGAGAAGTGCAGGGCAACCAAGGAGCTGATCGCTGATCTGGAGCTGATGGCCAATGCAGACTACTTTGTGGGGTCGAGCACCAGCGGTGTTCCAGGGGTTGTGGCCGCCATGCGGCTGGTGTTGTACAAAAAGTCACAAGTCACAATGGCGGACGTGACATACAATGACATGGGGTCGAAGCTGCGGCGCTACTGGGGAATGGGCGGTTTCCAGAATGTCACAGTGGACACTGTCGCTGAAGGAGTGGGGAGTATACGAAGAAAACGTGTGCATGCATGAATCTGCAGTGCAACACCATGTATATGTATATTGAAGTGCCATTCAAGTTTTAAGTGAACTGCAAATTTGATGCAGAATAGGCTTTGCACGAACAAGATTCCTGCACATCGCAGGGCACGTCAGTATTTCTTATTATGGGAAGAATTACAGCGCTTGATACTTTTCGTATTACTGGTACAGCAAAGCGGCGCATGCGCATCATTACCACAGTTGATTGAACTAGTGTGTAAGGGCATGCTCCGCGAGGCTGATTTACATCTCAATTATTCAAACAGGCCTAGGCATGTCCCCCTGGATTCCAATCGCAATGCATTGTGGCACCTTCTGTAAAGATACCTTTTTCTTGATACGAGACATGCGCCCCTAAGCTTAAGCAGACACTCTGAAGTCTATGCTCGAAGTGGTGCTGAGAGATAGCAAAATAGCCTAGATATGATAGGCAATCTGCGGAAACAATGCAAAGAATTGCTGCATTGTAGGGCAGTGATAGAGTTGCAGCTGCTGTCCTCTTTCAGTTCTGTGGCCTGCCTTCGGTATACTTGCAGACACAGTCATACAGCCGGCCATTGAGCATTTGAGCCACCTGGCACAGCACATTACATGCATGTCTTAATACTACCAGCAGCAGTCAGCCGAAGTCAAACACAAGTGCAGCAGAACTGTACAAACTGTACACAGCCAGCATTTTGGGGGGCATGCCTCTTGGTGTTTGATCATGCCCAGTTTGAGGGAGTCGACTGTGAATTGCGCATGCAAATTCGTCTCGATGCCCCTTCCCATGCCTTCCAGGACAATGAGGTCTGCATCGGACCCCTCACTGATGACCTCTGCAGACACCTGCAGGCCATCGCACTTTTCACACAATGCTGATCAATTTAAAAATCCCAAGACTGAGAATCAAGAGCCGAACAAAGCACGCAGCGCTTGGGCGCAGTCGTATAATATGAAAAGTGAAATACAGCTTCAAATACAGTGCCGCAAGATGCCAAGAACATAGTATGTGTGAAGTGAGCAATTATGCTTCAGACCTTGACAGGTGCTGAGTACCTAGAGCAATCATTCTGTTCACCAAAGGTAGAAGAGCATGCATGTGTTTTTACAGCATTCAAAGAGCAGCGCCATACCTTTCTGAGATCGATCACCGGAAGGTCATTGCCAGAAGGCACCACCGTTAGCATCTGCTCATTGAGGGCCCGTCCGAGAATCGCATCGGACGGTGCCGCGCGCTGCACAACCCCTTGCAGCTCGTCCGCAGTGATGTCATTGATGGAGGGCTGCGAATTTGCCGCTAGCACAACGGCTGTTCCCCTCTGCAGCAGCTCTCTCGCCAGTGGCAGCATCCCTGCATCTTTCAGACATCAATAATGGCCGCAGGGCATGGGATTGAGAAAATATACTTGAATGGTTACCCAAAGAAAGTCACGGCCTGCTCAATTGCCATGGATGCTGTCTACAGAGGCGCGTGTGCTTGGAGGATTGGGCCTGACTTGGAGAGCCAGCCACGCTTAAGGCACAGTAGCCTAGCATGCATGCATGATCCGAGGAATCCTCTGCACTCAGCGCTTGATGCTGCCGTTAATTGGTAAGATATGGATTATCAGGGTTATTGGGTCTTTGATGAAGGCGCCCGCACCAAGGATCACGTCAGAGCCAGCATTGTCCACAAATAGCAGCGCTTTGGAGTAGTGCTTCTGTTTGTAGATATCCAGAATTGTGTCCAGATCATCCACTGCCCATGGACGTGCCAGAAGATTGGCTCGTGTGGAGTCAAATGCTGCCTGACCACACAGCATGCATTAGCAGAAAATTGTTGAATATGCAGGTGTTGTGTAGACATCAGCGCCCGTGTTTCGGGCAGCAGCATTGCATAGATGGAAAATTTAACAGCGTTTTTGTTTTGCTTCTGGTCAGGAGCAGCAAGAGCTCACCCCATTGGCACTGAAAAGGTCTGCCGAAGATGCAGCACCCAGGTCGAATATGTTGCCTGCAGCGGATAATACCTTTTTTAGAGTTGCTTTATGAGGTCTTTGCTTGACCTCTTTTTCCTCAGGAATTCCAGCAAGGATCTACCTGCAAAGACTCCTCTCAAGACTGTCTCCAGCCTCTGGGAATGATCTGTAATTGAATCTAGTTCCCTGCAGCAATACAACAAATACGACATCATGGGAAGCCATGCTGCAGAAATCAATATGCATTTGACAGACATTCCATGCGCCAAAACGGCCTAAAAGCCTCATCTTGTACAGCCATGCACTTGATTGGAAGCTTCATGCATGCCGCTGCGCAAACATGAAGTCGGAGTATGCAAGCAAAACAAGAGACACAGGTTTACCTCAACAATTCAGGTAGGAGAGCCAGAGCCTTGTCATTCTCCTCAGCCTTCACAGATCTGAAGACATCTTCAAAGCCTTCCTGGCGGAGACATGCCTCCCTGAGACAACATATATACATGGGTATAATTTTTGCTGTGCATACACTAATCCTTGCAAAGAATAAGGACATGATCAATCCTCTCACCTGAGTGTGCAGAGGGAGATGCATGATGGGACAACATGGCCGAAGCCTGGAATGTCTGCTCCAGAATGCTGTTCAAGCTGCTGAAGGATTGCCTCATAATGCTGTGCGAAGCTTTCCGCTTTCTCCTGCACCAGATCAAAGAGATTGTTAAGCTCCAGCTTCAGCAGCAAAGGTAGATCATATTGTCCACCAACCTGCGCAAAATACACTTTCAGGGCGTGCACAACGTAGTTGCCTGAAAACGTACCAACTAGGGAATTTGCTGGCTGCATGTGCATGTAGAGCGACAGGGGCTCACCTGTCTCTCTTCAGAAGAAAAGGTAGTGTCTAATGATGCCCTTAGCTTGAATTGGGGAATGCTTGCCCGAAATACTTGAATCCAGTCTTTCAATGTGGGTTTTTTGCTACTGTTCCTGCACATAACGCGAGATTCAGCCATCAGATCGCAACTGCGAAGGGCATAGCTCAATGCACAAGATTGCCAGCTAGAGAGCTGCAGCGCACCCTTCAGGTGGCGTTGAAACGTAGTCAAAAGTTCCAGGCTTGTAATTTCTGAGCACTTGAGGCAGAGGCTGCAGTGCGGTAGGCTCAGCGCAAGCTTGTTGTACAGGCATGCGAAGGCCTGCAGATCAGCGAGGCAGGCAGGCGTCACTGCAGTTGATCGCTACTTGGATTAATGTTGCACAAGATGCTTCGAAACTTCGATTTTTGATTGCACTTGTTCCAAGAAGCATCTTCTTTGATCAAAACAAGCCTTGTGCCAGCACGTGGATGAACACGTGGGATCCTGCGTCCTTCAGACATCTCGTAGGCTGCGAGCACTCAATCCACAATGACTATAATAGTATCCAGAATGAAAAATTCGATCTTTTGCTGAAAGTGAGCCAGGTGCCACGTGTCCAACAAGCAATTCATACATGAAGCATGTTGAGCTGACACTAGTGGCATCTCCTCCTATTTTAATACACTTCTGTGAATGGTTGGTACATTCGAGTACTTCGGTGCTTATGCGTATCTCTGGCCATGGAAATATGGCTTTTTAGGACGTCCGTCTTGAATTGCATATTGCAAGATGATGCTTAAACAGTGTTAGACCAGCATCTATGGTACTTTCTTTACAAGCATGGAAGACAATATAGAGAACTCTTCTGACATGGCAGACAGGCTGGAAAGCTCACAATCGGGGCATGAAGTTTCACTCGATCCTGTTGAACCTAGAGAGCACGCTCCAAGCAGAGCTGTCAAGAGATCGCGTGTAGCAGGCACACTTGACGCTTTTGTTGTGCGAAAGTCGTCTGCAGATGAGAGCACAGCTCAGAGTCCCAGTATCCATCTGCCAGAACCAGAGGAGGTGCCCATGCTTCCGAGCATGCACCGCTCTCTCTGCCTCACCAGGCAAGCAAAACTCCTTCAGCTATGTTATTTGATGGCATCGTAATGGTGCAACATGATGTTGTAGAGCCAACACCCATCACCAGTAGTCATGACCCGGTCTGCTGAAGTCTGCCAAAACTTGGAATGCCTTGCTGGTTTTTCCAGGGTTCTGCGGGGGCAATGTCTGCTGGGAAATTGCACAGCTGTCGGCAGGGCGGGCCTGCAGCATCATGCTAGCTCCCTCTACAAAGAGGTGCGCTGTTCCTGAAGCATCACTTACCTTGCACACATTCTGTGATACATTCTGATTTGCAGCTGCATGTTGATCGAGCCTCAGTGTAAATCAAGCACGCTTGCTCAACAGCCACGCCTGGGTGCCAGATTTGTTGCAATCCTGCATTATCGTGGCCTACTTTTGGTGCCTGTGGGCGCATCAATAAAGAAAACCGCCGAGCAGGCATGTCAGGGTGAAGAATGTGCACCCTATATTTCTTAGGATGTCTCAAAGTACTCAGAAGTACTCACGGGACCATTCCAATTATGTGTAAGTGTTAGTCATGGGCCCAGTGTGATGCGTCAGGTGGTGAGGTGGCAAGGCTGGCCGATGACTACGGTACAGCATTGGACAGCTCTGCAGCTGAACAGCAGCGGCGACTTTCTGGCTGCTGTCATGAATTATCCCGACCATGACGGTTGTGCACTCGCAGTGCAGAAGGTCTGCAGCCTCAGGCAGGGGTGGGGCACCAATCTTTCTCATGAATTGCATGCCTGTATGCTTTTACTCATCAGGTTGATAGTCGGATTCAGGGCTCTGAGCACTACGATAGTCAAAGGCATTAAATATAGTACGTGCCTTGCAATGGATGCTGACATGTGGAAAATTGCACAGGTTTGCCAACGCTCCTGAAGATGGTCAGCTTCTGCCACCATTTGTTGTTCGGCTGAAGCTTGGACGCAGCAACAGGACGAGGCTGGCATGGAATCCGCGGCAGCAGAATATGCTGTATGCCATATCATCGGCGGGTTACTGCATTGATGGCTACGACGTGACTACTTGCAATGTAGGCATCCGTCATTATAAGCTCCAGGAAAATTTGAAAGACAGATTGGAAATTTTGTAAGTACTTTAATCTTGTACTTAGACGGAAAGGGTGTTCAACTTGATAGTTTCTGGTACACACAGACCGATCCAGAACTGTCTCCCATGCATCCCTGCCTTGCATGTCACGTATTTGGATCGCCCCACTTAGAGGTCATTTGAGGCCTTGGGGTCTCAAGAGATGCATATACAGATGTTTCATTATCCTTGCCCCTGAAGAACACAGGTGCAGGGATAGGAGAGGGATTTGCGATGCTTACGTTTGCTCACGTTGCCTGCCATTTCCTTGTTCTGAGGATAGGCTGAGGTGTGCAGGTGAATCCAGTGTCCACCTATGGCAATCCCGAGCATATGCGGGGCTGTGGTTTTTCTGCCGCGCCGAGGCACCTTGCAATTGACTTCTTTCGGGGCCAGGGACCCCATGTGATGGCCACTGGGACCTCCAAAGGGACGGTGAGGAATTCGTGCCTGCCCTTCGTCAAGTCCCATTGTATTCACTGTGCTGTGCATCGAGGGCAAGTCTGCGCTACCAAATGACAAAGTGCGTCACCGAGGACGCTGGTAATGTCAAGCAGGGCCCAAAACCTTTTTGTGACGGCTTTTTTGTGCATGCATGCATGGGAGGATGGGTGCTTTGTACAAGCGCAACCTCACTCTCTCAGGGATGACATGTTTCTGTCTGTACGGAGCAGGTGGCGTTATGGGATGCACGCGCACACAAGCGGCCCTGCTCAGAGCTTCAAGGGCCGCAGCACACCGGTGCACTGCAGACCCTGCAGGTCACCCCTGACGGCAGAGCGGTCATTGCCGGCTCGCAGTGCGGCCAGGTGAAATCTCTGTGCAACACATTCAGGGAGCTTGATCCAAAGAATCAAGGGCACCATCCAGATGCCTTATTGATGTTCAGTTCACGCTCCCTGGAAACGAAATTCGCAACTCACGGCTTGGAACCCAGCACATTTGGACCACGGTACAATATGTTGATACTGACCCCTTACGTGCCTCAGCGATGATCATGCAATCGTTGCAGTAATTTCCAATTCATCGCTCGAGTATGTTTGTCTGTTCCTGCACAGCTGCCTGCCATCACTGATTCAAGGGATTAATGTGGTCAAATGACTATCGCGGCAGGTGCTGATGTGGGACATGAGGGGCGGCCGGTCGCCTACGGCTCAGCTAGGAGCTTACGGGCCGGCGCGGCACCCGCTGCTGGCGGCTGTGCGGCTGCGCGCCGCGCTGGCGGCCGTCCCAGGGCTGACTCAGCAGACCCACCTGCCGGGGACCTCCCTGCTCAGCCTAATTCTGGACGCCCTCGACCCCAGGCGGGCCGCCTTCTGCCTCCCCTGCGGCTGGCAGGGTGAGACACCGGTCACTATTTTCCCTCATCCATATACACCCTGTGGATCATGAGTTACACCTAACTACTTTGTGCTCGTGGCTGCTACGCATGTTGCTGATGTCAAGAGCGCAGCTTGCGCTCATGAGCAGTTATCAAGATTGTCAGAAGAGTGCACAGTGATACTGCAGTGCACATGCCTCCTCTAGCACTTGTGCAGTCTGCCAGATTGCATTCAAGGTCTGAGGATTATTCTGCTGAATGCCAGGAAGTGCAGACTGACAAGCTGGGCGTGCTGCACATCGTTTCACAGCAGCTGATTTTCTCTGCAGGCGTCCTGGATTTGGTGAGGCAGGAGGTCACGCATCTGTATTGCCCGCCTCATGACGAGGAGAATCCGGCGGCCCTCAACCACGACTGTCTGCCGGCGTGGGGCCGAAATGGCGGGCCTTACTGCTGCCCATCTGCATCCGGAGTCACTCTGCTCGACTTCAATTCAAAGACAGCGTCCCCGTGCGCGGTCTCAGGTACTTATCATTCCATGTTTTAAGAGACCCTTCTTTCAAGAAGGGAACTGTTGCGCAGGGTTCCATTGACCATGTCTTCTTCTGCGAAACATGGCATGCAGCATGTCATGGCAGTCTGCAGATTCCCCGTGTGGGCAATGCGAGTGTTGTGACACAGGCAGAAGCACACTCCTCCTTGTGTGCATGAGTAGGTGACTGCCTGTCTGCATGTGCTGCCAGAATGCTAGTCAAACAGGCTGGCACAGTGTCATCACTGTGGCGGTGGTAGTCATGAATTTCATAGAGTTTGTAAAGTGTCATAGAGTTTGCAAAGTCTCAGGGTGTGACTTGCGCAGGGAATCCAGAGGAGCATGCAATGCTACCTTCAGCTTTGCATATTTCGACATGTGACAAGCCAACGGCTCTGGCGGTGCATCCGCACACCCAGGAGATTATTGTTGCCACAGCAGGCGATAACAAGCTGCTTTTGCTTGACCGCATGGGAACCTGAAAAGACTAGGCAGTGAGTGCAAATGTTCATGGCGTGTGTTTGAGTGCAAAAGCTTATGCCTGGAACGATTCCTCATCAAGGCATCTGCTTTACATCTTGTGTCGACAAAAGTGTAAAATATGCGTTGACCTCTCAGGCCTCAAAGACAGATATTTTCTCATCACATTGAAATGTCTCCCTGTGGCAGAAACTGCCTCCCATTTTTGACGCATTTCCACTTCAGAGATTTCCAAGAAAGAATTCTTGGCCAGATGAGTCAGTACAATTATGGCCAGCTTGGGAATAGATGATGTCATGCGCATGCCCTTTCCTGAACTAAAGTTTACGCCGTAACATATATGATATTATCAGACGAGATTTCCTGTGCATGCCTTCACTTGTGCAGGCACTTGCGCTTCTTGATGTATAATCTGCCAGACTCCCTGTCAACGCCTAACCCGAGCCTGGCCATGCCCGTTGACCCCAAAATTGCGGCAGAGTTCCTGTTGTCGTTTCCCTTGCGCACGGGGGACAACACCTTGATAATCAGTATGTTTGAGCTATGTCCACCTGCATTCCATGGCAAGGATCAGTGCAGCCTCTGACAGGTGGCACAAATGACTGACATCAGCTGTGGGCACTTCCACATGGTGATGTACGGGCTCCAATGATGTGACGGGACGAAATGGCCCAGCAGGATGCTCTTTTTCAGTGTCTCCCAGTTGAATGTGCACCAGTCTGAGCACCAACTCCCAGACACTCAACGAGGTTGCCCTGTAACACGCCTATAAAACAAGAGCAAGTAGGTTCACAAAGAGCACTCAAATTTTGGAGGCACGCAAAAACACCTTTTCGGAGCATTGAAGACTTCAAATGAAGATAATGATGATGCTTGTTTCTGACAGCCATTTTATATCATGTCACATTCATTTCACACAAAATGTCATCCTTCTGAATCTCAAGACCATGGTTCCAAAACATATGTCCTCTTGACGTGTTTCCAAAAGTGACTTTTCAGCACAGGATATCCATTGCATGCAAATCAAGTGAGGTCAGTGCCAGACCCGCACAGCATGCATGAGGTCATCTATAATTCACGCTGTCAACATAGATGTCCTGTACGCATCCCTTTACAGCAGGATATCCAAGCACCATCTTGGAGCCACAGCTGACCACTGGGTGTCAGGCACCACAAGACACCCGCTTGGCGACATGCGACAGCGGCACAAGTTTCTCACCAGTGCCAGGCTGACGTCTCTGGTGCGGGCTCGCCCCATAGATGACCAGTGGCCATGAGTGTCAGGAGGCATTCAAACACGTGTTGTTGTCTCATTGGCATCAAAAGACGCCCCCTCCCACATGTCGCCCGCCGGACGTACCGATTGCCGGCATCCAAAGACTGCCAGATCTGGACATCTGGCAGGCGCCTATTGCCGCCGGCGTCCCTGCCATGTCCCCTGACAAGGTGTCACATGACGTTCTGATATACAAGTCACCATACAGCCAAATCCTCATTGTGCAAAATAGAGACGCATGCTCCAGCTGCAGGCCAGTGCTTTAGTCTGCAGGACTGTTGCAGAGCGCTGTCTTCTTGTGAGAAGTAGCAAATGCCCTAGGCCTTCCTTTGGGAGAGTCAGGGGAGCATCTGCCTGGCTTGCTCTGCAGTTATGCTTTTCTGCAGCATCCGCTTCACCACCTCATCAAATCGGCCGGGCATCTGCATGCCGCTGCTGACAGTGCGCAGCATTTTCCCGATCTGGTATACATCTGAAGAGGTATCATAGCGGCCATCCTGTAAATAATTCCTGTCAGAATGTATAGCAACAGTGGCATTGCATAGATGAATACACTGTAGAGCACGAAAACATGCCGTAGCTGTGAGGACTTTAGGAGACATGCAACTTTGCTGCATAGAAGTCATTTGAACATTAGTTGCAAGGCTACAAGGCAGCTTTGTTATTCTGCACGCCTGCATTATGCAAGAGTCTGGAAAGCTACCTCATCGAGAGTGCCCTGATCCCAGTCTAGCAGCGGCTCCAGGGACCACACCAGGCCAGCCCTTCCAGCATGCTCCATGTCGATGACAGTGTACGAGCCCTCGGACCTTCCGCTCCTGACGACATTGCTGAGCCTGAATTCCCTGTGAACAAGTCCAGCGCCGTGCAGCTCGGCAGCGCCTGTGCAGCAGGCCTTTGCCAGGCTGATGACGTGCTGCAGGCGGCAAGCAAGCTTGTGAGGATCATGCAGCTTGCAAAACCACATGTGCATCAGCGCTCTTTACTCTTCCAAGCAGATTTTTGCGTCCTATTTGCCCACCCTACTGGGGGATATCAATGCAAGTATCACAGAGTAAATGCGATGCTATCTGGCTGATCATGCTGCCCAGATAGACAGGATTCCATTGTTCGGATTGCAAAGGACAGCATGTCACCTCTGCAGTGCGCGGTCGCGCAGGAGGGCCGCAAAGCTGCATCTCCACTCTATAGGTTCCCGTGCGGCTCAGCGTCGGAGCCATCATTGTGCGGACCAGGGCTCCAGAGGTGGTATTGCACACATCGTACACTGAGGTCAGCACGTCGAAGGCTGACTCAGCACTGGACTGGGGAGCATGATTGCTGCTCCAAAGTGGGAAGTCGATGATGGTCTTTCTGACCCTGCAGGCAGACCCACGCTCATTCACTACCAGCCAAATGACAATTACTCTGGTGCTGGAGAGCACAGTGGATGCATGCGCAAAAGTGCACATTACAGAGTCAAGGTTGGCCACAGCATGCCGGTTGTCTGTGCATCAACCTGGGCATGTATGCTCACCTGTCGGTAAGGAACTGGATGGTGACTCCATGGCCCCTGTCGATGGGCTGCAAGATAGTGCGTCGAAACTCCTCAGCGGGCAATGACTGGACCAAGCGCCTGATGATCCTGACCATGGCCACAAGGGCGCTGACAAACAAGGCGCGGTCGCAGGGCTCGCTCAGATCCAGCACACTCATCCAGTCCACCTGCATGGGCTTGGAAGTAATCTGTATTGAAGGGTAACCTAACTGATGTTCCACTTTTGCCCAGTGCCCTTGGAAAGTCTGTGCTGCACCACAGACTTGCAGGCACTCCTGGCCGCAGCCGTTGTGTCATCATCGTAGCGCATGATGCTAGTGATGTGGCTTAGTACTTGACAAGTGCGGATTTCACAACTATTTGGGTCACAGAGGGCAGGGACAAGCCAGCACCTCGCCACTGGCCATGATGAGGCCAAGCTGAACCTTGCTCCCAGCCGCAGCGTGAGCAAAGATGTATGGTACCTCCCCGTACGCCATCTTGGGCAGCCCTCCAACCACATAATTTTTACGTTCTGCCTGGCCTCGACAATGTTTTCCCACCCCTGCGGTTTGTACTTCTTCAGCACATGTGGAACGTACATTCCATAGTGTTGCATTTCTTATGCAACGGTTTGCATGTACTTGGCGGATAAATCATGAGGTGCACACCTTGTCCTCATTCTCGCCAATGTAGACAGTGGCGCCCTCGGCCCATATCAGCATATCAGGGGGCTTAAGCCTCTTCAGGACTGTAGATGCGCTGCTTCCCTTCTCTGCCTTATATCCGAGCCAATCCCAGTCCAGGGCTGGGAATCCAGGAAGGTGCTGCACAGGAAAAAAGAAATTCAGTGCCCCAGCCTTCTGTGCCGCCACAGCGGCTCGCCCGTTGAGCGCACAATCGAGCTTGGACAGTGCTGGAGCTGCAGCATCATGCTCCAGGTGCTCTGTAGCAGGCGTGTCAGACAGCCAGCCATATATATGGCCTGCTGCGTCTGAAACGCATTCTATCCTAAGCTGAAGAGACACGTAGCATCTGCCAGTTCGTACCGATGCCAGCAAATCGAAAACGTCGGGAACAAATCTCCCCATCATCACCATTGTCTTATGCTCTGATTCAGACTCCACAGCCAAACCAACGAGGATGGAGAAGACTAAGGGTGCTTTGTGCAAGCCCTGCTCGACCACCTCCAGAAGATTTGGCGCCATCGCCTGTTTCGCACTGTTGCTTGAGCACATTTGAATTGGAGAAATTTTTATAGGAAACCTTCCTGTAATAGGCAAAGCCATAAAGACGCGTGATGCACGCACATGACAGCACCAAATCGGAGATGCTCCCGTATCTTCTGAGCTTAAAGGCTAGTGAAGACACGTACCACTTGAGCACCAAAGGCGGTCACAGGTATCTTCCTCCGAGGCTCAGAGGAGAGCAGCATGCGCTTGGCTTCCTCAGGGCTGGGCACATGGTCCAAGTCAGACAGCAGCTCAGCAAGTGCAGTATGCGCATCAAAGGTTTTAGCCTGTGGGGCTGCAGCACCTGCAAAGCAAACAGGCAACATCTAGCCTGTCAAGGGAAAGCAACCTTAGAGCAGCTAGCTGCAAGCTGGATAAAAGCGACAGCCATCGACACTTCAGAGTTGCACAATTTTATGCACAACTATTGTGCTTGTGCTGTTGATGCATGAAATCACTGTAAAAATCACTTGCCTGAAGGGTTTGATGGGTAGAATCTGTACAAGCCCGCTTGCAGCGGGCCTGTCTCAGGAGTGACTGTAACAGAGGTCCCATCAGGTCCTTTTCCTTCAGCGTTCCCTGCCCTGCCTTTTGCAGCTCTTGCAAAACTGTCTCCGATGTTGTGCCGGGACGAAATGGCCCAGCAGGATGCTCTATTCCAGAGTCTCCCAGTCGAATGTGCACCAGTCTGAGCACCTAGATACACCAATTCCCAGACACTCATCAAGGTTGCCCCGTAACCTCGCCTATAAAAGAAGAGCAAGTAGATTCACAAAGAGCACTCAAATTTTTAGAGGCACGCAAATTTACCTTTTCGGAGCCCTCGGCACTCGTCTCAGGCTTTGCTCTCTTACGGGGGGTGTCACCAAGAACTTCCATTGGTGCCTACTAGTCTCGTGTCTGCCGTGGCACGGTCGCTGACTTGATCATTGTAATCATAAATCTACAGACCTCCAGAACCCAACACATATGTAAACTGTAGAAGGTTCTGTGCGTCCGGCTGTAAGGCAAACGAAGGGTGACAAGCACAATGAGGCCAAGAGCTCTTCCTAATCAGCGGTAAGGACAGTGACAGGCATCCTACTTTGTTTGTTTCAACGAAATTCCTGAAATCCTGAAAATGTTTAGTCTGCAAGTCAGAGGAGGCTGTGCCTTGGGCATAGGGAGCCTTTAAAGGAAATTTCACACTTGGCGGGGGGGGTGATCACATTTTTGAACGAACGAAAGATTCATGAACGCCCCGCGGCGCATAGTCCAGCTTAGCGGGACATCCACCTCTTAATCAACGCGCTTTCTGATCGCTTATACAATACTATAGCATCTTAAATCCTATTTAAACCTGTATTATGACCTATCAGCCCTCCTTGCAGCCCCACGTGAAGTTGCAGTCCTCACATTTGGCGCAATCCCGTGGCGTAGAGGCCTGCAAATCACTCCTATTGTTGCCGGAGGATTTGAATCCTTCGGCAACGTAGAGTGAGCAGCAGGACCCCACTCGGTTGGACAGGTGTTCCCCTGCTGATCGATAGCTTGAGCTACAGCTTGTGGCTTGCGCCTGTGAGACAGGCTCAACAGTCTTGTAAGCTGATCTAGCTAGGATACTATATCCCTGGGATATGAGCTTGACTGGCGCAGCTTCTGGCATTTAGTCCTGCTGATGACAGTGCTGCCGAGCAAAACCAGGACACCATTGCCAGATCACCTACTGAACAGTCTCTTTTGTGTTGCACAGAGTGATCTAAACATATTTCATTCCAGGTTGACCTGGACATCAGTAGTGATTTAAACCAGGTGAGCACTGCTGCCCTCCAGCGGTTTCCTGCTGGCTAAGTGGCTTTTTGCTCTGCATGACCATTGCTGTGAACGCAGGTATCACTCAGCATCAGCGCAGTTTAGTTCTGACTGCTGTCCCCCTGTTTTGGTTGCTTGCGACAGAGCATCTTTGTGTGCACAGATCTCTGGCGTCCATGCTATACAGTGCATAGCTGCGTTATTAGGAATATTATATAGGAGAGGTTTGTAGAGTAGGCAAGACTTGATCACCCCCGTCCGACAGCAGTAACTGCAATTACCACCTTCATGAAGTTCAGGGGCTACGGTCATCCATTTGACGATTTATAATCCTTGAAAAGCAGCCGATCTTTCCAGCCAGCTCAGCCCAGTAGTGCAGCTTGGTTCTGGTTATCACTGTATAGCCGCTCTTGTCACTTTGTTTAGCCCAAACATGCGGCTAAATTTCCGCTCCACGACGCCCGGCCACAGCCACTTCTGCAGGAAGCCGGCCAGCAGCGCCGTGCGTGCCCTTGCGCCAGTGACAATCTCCCGGGGCGGCCGCGGCCGCGCGATGGCGGCTGCTATGGCCTCCGCTGCCTCCTCTGCTGGCATCACTGCCCCACTCTGCGCAATGACACAGCTGTTGGAATATTTGTTCACATCCTCCTCTCCGTAGGCCCTCTCATGTGTGACTCTGAAGAACTCTGCAGCGAGAGAGCTCTGCTGCGCCCTCTCTTGTCCAAGCTCTCATTTGAAAATTCCAAAGTGCAAGTTGTGCAATGTTGCGCCCTGCGTTGCTGCAATCAGCCTTCAACCATCTCATGAGCTGGGCCAATCTTGTCACGTCGCCTTATAGGAAGCTGTGCACTTCCGCAGTGAGCCGACATGTTGCAGCAGATTATAATAGTGTGCTGAGATGACTTACTGTGGTGGGAACTTCCATGCGGTGCTTGATGGCGTCTGCCATGGAGCTGTATGCAGAGTTACTGTCATAGTAGCGTTGCACGTCGCACACATTCTTCGCGCCGATGTCGCTCGCTATCACACCCGCCGTCACCGCTGCACAGCGCAGCAGCATTAGTCTGACAATGCTCATAACATTTAAACAAGTGTCCCATCCTTGTCAAGTTTGCACGGAGAAAATTTTTGGGCAGCTGAATCCTGGCCTCTCTCTCTTGGCATTCCTCTTCAGATGCAATACCGTGCTGCGCGTGATATCTTATATCCACACGGCATGAGCCTGTGGCTATTGACCATAGCATTATGGTCACAATGACTAGCATGACTCACGGCACTAGTAATATTGAACAACAGTGATAATTTGTCCCTCTTTCAAGAAAAAAATTGACAGGATACTCACTCATAACATGCACTCCCAGCGGCTTCAGCTCCATTCTGAGAACATTGGTGACTGAAAGCAGGCCTGCCTTGGAGGCATTGTAGGCTGCTGACAGTGGCAGGTCCACATAGGATGACACGCTGCATACATTGACAATGAGCCCAGATCCCTGCCAAACAAGCACAACGCACTCACTGCGAGAAAACTTTCTGACATTCTGATGTCAACATGCTAATGGTCAGGCAATGTTCAGTGTGTGGTGATTCAATCCAGCTCACAGAGAGCAATCTCAACAGCACAAAGTTATGCCTTGCTTGGCATCTCTACTACTAGGTTGAGAAGAATGTGAGCACATATTTGCAGGCTTAGCAAATGTGTGTGGCGGTCGTAACAGAGGAGCATGCATGCCTGCTTGATCATGGCAGGGGCAAAGGCTTGGATCATGCGCACAGGGCCGGTGCAATTGGTGTCCTGAACCATCTGAAAGTGTTCAATTGGCTGCTCCACAATAGGCCCCGTTGCCTGCATGCCTGCACAATCAGACATGTGCTCGCACAGCTGAATTTGAAAATATAGGAGGATGATGCAAGGCAAATGCGCCCGGTCTTCTGATCTAACGTCTCAATCAAGTAATTGGTTGAATGAGATTGGTTTTGAGCACCTGCATTGTTGACCAACACATGCACAGCGCCTGCAGCTTTCACCGCAGCAGCTCTGCATGCCTCCACGCTTTCAGCTGATGTCACATCGCAGGCCACTGCCTCTATCCCGTCTTCCTGTAGTTTCTGCAAGGTCTCCAGCCTGATTGCAGCAAAGAGGATTTTAATATAAGTGGCGAATGTATCATTAAGGCAGTTGCGCTTGCGAGAAGGTTCTCTCAGACAAGGATGGTTCAAAGAGAAGCTCACCTCCTGGCAGTTGCAAATACTCTGAAGAGCTTGCGCCCCTTGGCATCCACCCTGGCATGCAGCGCATAGCATAGGGCTCTACCTATACCTGAAAACATCCATAATGCCATACCTGAGTCATGCCTGCTGCTTGGTGTGGTCATGCCTCATCTTGAGTGGGTATAGTAGGACTTGTTCAGGTGACGATGGCCAGACAGGGACAAAGGTCTAATTTCCCAGTCGTACCTGAAGAACATCCTGTTACGACTACCACACGAGGTTCCATGAGCATAGGCTTCGGTGCGCCTGCGCTATTAATCGAGAAGCAAGACGGTTCTTCTCGAAATTTCCCACCTTCAGGAATTTCAGAGAGCTTCAGGTTCAATCAGAATAAACTCTAAGACTCATTTGAGGCCTCTGTCAATGAATATATTGGCAACTGCGTTGTCCAAGGTTTCAACCCAAGTCCAAATTGGCCTCCAGTTGGTTTTAAATCGCGCCCTTATTAATTGTTTGACAGGATGTCTCCTTCTGTATCCTATACCCGACCCGACGTCAAAGGTGTAATACACCTGGTGTATGCATTTGGACTCGTCTATTCAAAGGCTGCTCCGCATTCACTGGAGTGTTGTTGGGACATTTGACGGCGTCCCGTTCCTGGCAACTTTATGTCAGTGAGGAAGGAGGCAAGGTTTTGTCCATGATATATTTACAGAACCGGCTCAGAATGCTCAGCAGCCTTCTGTGCCCATAGATAGCAGTATGGCATCAGACATTACATCTTTCCATTCTCTGCCAGCACCAACTCCCCATCATCCAATACATAGGATTGCCGGGCCCGGCCCGGGGTAGCACAGCATCAAAGATTCATTGTCTGGCTTCCGTTCACTGATAGCATCTCGAGACCCACAACCATGTCCCCTGCAAGTATCGCTCCATATGCATATACTTCACTTTCTCTCATATCTCTTCTTTCGCTCATGCTCCCTGGGTTATCTGTCACTCACAGCCTCAACTGCTGTCTAGGGCCTGTTGAGCTGCCAGCAGCATTGCTCTGTGCTGGCTGCTCCTGCTTGTTATTTGTCCTGACAAGACTGCGCCTCCATCAAGTCATCCTCGTCCCCATCATCAGCTGTTCACAACATGCTACTCATCAGATCTGCATGAAGAATGAGCCTGCAGATTGCATCCCCACGTGGTGGCTCTCACATGCGGTCACGTCAATGCCAACACAAGTGGCAAGAGTGGCCAAAGGAAATTCTTATATGCACATGAATACCCGAGGTCCTGCACAGCGCCTCTTCCGGGCATCAAAGGTTGGTTGAACGCAGTATAGCATGACTCGAAAGACCCCGATATAAGTTTGGCTTGTGCATGCTCCCGATGACTTCTGTTGGAAGAGAGTAATCACCTGCTTCCAGGGTCTTCAGCAGCCGGAACAGGCTGGCTGCCTCTCTGATGCGTGAGAAGGATATGCAGAATGCCTGCACCTCCAGAAACAGGTCCTGCAGCAAGCAGCATCCCAATTTGAACCCACTTTGTGCTCTGTGGAGTACTGCAGTGAGAACGCAAATAATGTAATAGTACGTTATTAATGATGTCACAAGCGTTGTCAGAAGGTCCTGAGCCAAGTCTCATTGCTCCTAAACATCGAATGGTTTGAAAGTTGAGGCCCCACCTGAAGGTTCACAATGTTGTTTCTGATCAGGCTCTGCAGGAAAACGCACACCAGCCGGACCAGCCTGTTCTGCACAAAGTTGTCCTGCATGGCAAGGAACACAAGCATCAGAAACAGCACCCAACATGGCAATGCACCCGGCGATACCTCTGCAATTTGGCCCATAGCTTGACAAACCAATAAATGGCTGTCCACAATAAGAGAACCACCGGAAATAGAAGCAGTGGCCCTCAAGACCAATAAGGCACAGAGCATGAAAGAAGACCATGCAATGCAAATTATCGACATCAACATCAGAATTGTAGCTTCTTAAAGTCCAGGCTTGCTGCAGAGCCAATGCCATGCTTGAGCGCAGCACATTATCAGACCAAACAAAGCACTTTGAGGACTGCCAAAACCATCATTTAGCTTTCCTAGACTGCAACCTTGCTGCAGTGTCAACGTTACGCTTCACCGCACCTGTGCGCGCTCGCAGGAGGCAATGCAGCCGGCGATGTAGTCCTGCACAAACTCCTGTGGCAACTCCGCGGACGTGGCCAAGCGATTGACAACCTCCAGGCTGTGCAGGCTCAGGTCCATGCCCACCATGACCGCCAAATAATCCGCCGCTGCCGCCTTGGACTTCAGCAGCCGCAGCAGCACCTGCACCAACCACCATGTGTCGGGTACAAGAACATAAAGTATGACATTCAGAGGGATCACAAGCGTCAAAGAGGTCAACAGAATGTGTAGATTGTCTCCTTGAGCTACACACTCAAACGCAGTAAAGAGTGTCTGTTTGTCCTGGTGACGGCTAATAAGACAGCATAAGAGGCTGCGCATTGGAATGCAGCCCTGATTGCACAGGTTCTCACGTTGCGCTAACATCTACGCCTGGATATGCCTGATGACATCCAGATCAGATGCATGTGGGAAAAATGAGCCTCGAGGAGGCTGTCACCTCAACAGCAATGCTTGGGTTGTGCTCCACCAGGGGCGGCAGCGCGTTGGGCTCCAGGCCAAAGCCGGCAGCAGTCGTGGGGCGTCCCTCCAGCTCCTTCAGCAGCTGCCAGCAGCCCACGACAGGCTTCAGCTAGGCCCCACAATTTTCTGACTTTTACTAGAAATTCTCACCTAATCCAAAATGCCCTGTTTATCGTAAGGGGTTCAGTCTTGTTACATGACAAAGTGGCAAGGATACAAGGGTCCAGTAACATTGACATCCCTCATCAAAGATGAAGGGGAAGGGTGCCAAGTACCTGCTGCTGCTGATTGGGCCTCAACGGCCCTTTGACTGCGGCTGCCATGAGAGCTGGAGCCTGCTCTGAGGCTGGTGCCACATGGGCTCCATCGCTGCTCGGGCCATCCCCATGCGCCTCCCCTGCACATACACATGCACCGTCTCAATATGCGTTGTTGTTGTTGTTGTTGTTGTTGTTGTTGTTGTTGTTGTTGTTGTTGTTGTTGTTCCTGTTCGTGCCAAGGGGCAAGGTGCATTTGCAGACAAGTGCAGGTAAAGGCTATCCCTAGATGGACTGACATTGTCTATTGGAATGTAAACATAAGGAACAGTGGGTACTGAGTACAGGATTGCCAATCAGACTGTAGTGTCGAGAGGTCCACAATGAATACGCATAAGTATCCTTGGTAGGTTCAGTGTGAGGAATGGGTGCGTGCCTTGGCTGAGGGAGGTAAGCGGGGCCTGTCGGCCACTGGAGGGCAGCTGAGGGACGTGGCTGCCCGCAGCTTGTGTCAGCTGAGGGGCTTTATGGTTAGAGGGCGTTCCCTGGCCACTCCCAGCATTGCCTGCTGCTGCACCCTCTACTTCACCTTTCTGATTTGTGTTTGTCCTGCAGCACCGAAAGACCCCTCAGAACAGCCCATTTCAAGGACTTCCACCCCCTTGCTGATGTGTTGTGAGTTATCTGACTCCACGGCCCTCTGGGAGATGTCTGAGTTTATATTGCAGCAGTACTGCCAAGTTCAAAGGGCTTGATGCATGCCTGGCAGGAAGAAACTGCTCCCTGAGAGCGATGCGGTCGGGGAATTGTACCCTTGATGGGAGCGGCAGGCAGGCTATAACCTCTCTTGGACTAAGTTGTGCAACCTGCACAGCGCCTCCGTTCATTCCATATTGCTGTCCTTGTGTATTTAATCGAATAATATGCTTAATTGAAAAACCTTCAGGCGCAACAAGCAAAGAGCTGCTCTCACCTCAGCAGTGACTTGGCCCGTGAGCAGCTGCAGGGCAAAAATCCGCTCTTCCACTGATCTGACTTCGTCACAAGCAACCTGCGCGATTGGCAACACTTCATCTCACATAGTTGTCGCCCAAGTGGACCTTCAGCTTGCTACACAATAAAAATTCGCCCCGGTCTGAGCCTGAGGAGCCACACACCTCGATCAAGTAGGCTGTGAAAGGGTTGTCTGTGCTACTTTGATCTCTGTAGACAGCGCAGAACAGATATAGCGCTGCAATGCGTTCCTCAAGGCTTAGAAGGCAATGCTCTTCGACCTGCCGCAGGAGCTGCAGACGTTAGACTAACGCACGAGACCATATCAAGCATACAATTTCTGACAAGCAGGATGAATTTTATTGCCGTCTAGTTATGAGCAACCATGCTGCTGTATGTCCACGGGCCAGTTACTGGCAAGCTCCAGTAATACCACGGGGCAGACTGCTCAAGACTCACCTGCAACTGATCAATGGCCGCACACAGGGCACGATAATAGCCTGCAGGGGAAAACTCCTTGCGAAATTCCTGTGCTGTAGTTTCTAGAGGTGTCGTCTCTTTCCTCAAAAGCAATTTCACAACTTTGCCAGCCTCCGCGGAGTTCACAAAGGGCATATTTCTTTTCTTCTTGCAGAAAGCATCGTTTAGACCCCAGGCAACCCACACAGAAATATACTTTGACTTGCAGCAGAGATCTTGCCGAAAAGATAAAGGCAGATCTGTGGATAATACACAGAGGACCGATATAACCGCTAATGTCCTTAGTCGCGATTGCTCTCCATAAAATTGCTCACGATCTGAGAGTTTCGCAGCCAAGCTGCAACATCCTGCAGTGCTCCCAACCGGGCATTTCCCCTGCGAAGCCAAGGGTCAACCCTTAGATTTAACCTGTCGAGATTGAACACATTGGCAAGATGTCTCGGCTTAGCCAACACGCAGGACTGGGAATCGCTGCTACCACTTGGACGCACATCGAGTCTTCTTAAGCTCGCATTTAATCCTGGCTTAGAAACGTGTGAGTCGTGACAGTCACCTGTCTTGCCACCATCTTGTAAAATATTCTGATATAATATAGGCCGGGTGGGACTCTGACGATCATCAACTTGCAAAGGCATTCTTTGATACAGGTATACACACTCTAACGACAACGTGCAGATTTCTGCGACCAAGGGTCGACGTTTGTTACGGAGTTAAAAGACACACCTCCTTGGACATCATAGCCAGACCGACAGCGATGATAATAAGAAGCACTATAGCTGCGCTCTTGTTGGTAGCATTGGCAGCAGAACCTGCAAGAGGTGAGCCTTACCCGTACACTGGTATGACTAAGCATGCAGAAGCACTTGTGCCTGCAAGAGGAAAAAAAGCAACGCTGGAACACGTCATGGCCACATGCGAGTGACGATCGATTCTCTGGACCGTCTTACATGCATCCAGCCTTTGCCTGGCATGGTCAATACCAAAGGCTCCTGTTTGCTTGCTTGAACAGGGCTGCAAGTCTTCGTGACAAATTTGACAGTATTCACAAAACATCGCCTAAAGTGAGCCTCCGTATGCTCCGAGACTCATGGCAGGACATTGTGAAAGGGTGCCACAGCGCAAATTGCCTGCTCTGTATGCCCTGCTGTGCAGCTAGCAGGATCCTTACTTGTATCGCTGTGCAGCTTTGAAGGCGACCTGCGTGTGTACTTTCAATGCCAGGGCAACGACAGAGTGAATCTGCCAGACGTCACTATTGAGGTGAGCTTGCCCAGCAGGAGCCCTGCCTTACACCTCTGCAACTGACATATGCAGCTAAAAGACCTCGATGCAGCTCCACTTGCATATTTGTTGCGCTCTTGCATCTGCAAGGTAAAACACTGTTCATTTGTTTGCAGGGTCACCCCTACTCGTGGCCCAAGGAGAACCAGCTGCTCACAACCATCACACGCTCCACCTGCAAGCAGTGCGGCTTCTACGAGGATAGGCTCATACCCTTTGTTAAGGTCAGCTGTCAACTCATAATCTTCCTGCAACACGCGATTAATACAGACACCTGAAAATCACATGAATTGGTCTTCAGTAGGTGGTTCAACATGCCACCGAATCTTGGTGCATCTCAGCGGCGCACTTATCCACAATAAATGCCAGCAAGGCCACAAAGGGAAGGATTTGTCTGGTCTGAGGTTAATGCAAAGTGCGTTCTTTTCCAGCCACTGGTACACTTGCTAATTGCGCACCTCAACAAGTCAATTTCAAATTCGAAGTTGCATGCAGGATGACCCTATCGGAGCGGAGTTCCCTCTGTGCGAGTCAGACTTCAACAGCGAGGACAGCGAGGACAACATGGTGCGCTGGTTTGCAGACACACAGTTTGACGCTGTGCTGTTCTGCGGAGACTGCAAGATCCCCTCACCGCCGCCGCCGCCGGCCGCCGCCTTCGATCCCAACGGCGGCGTCACCAACTTTGCTGCGGTCAGCTTCCCCATCCTCACAATACGAATGCTCTCATTGCAACACTGCTGTCATCATGATGGTGGAACACAAGTAGATGCCAAAGAGCGGTAAAATGTGTCCTGGATCTGGTTGAAACCTGTCTGAAACCATGGGCGTTATCCCGGTGTATGCGACATCCTCATATGTGCCTAGGATGGGGACTTGACGAGCCTGCATCATGCCCAGCAGTTGCTTGACGCAGAACTGATGTATGACATTTATGAACACGGAATTTGCTTTGCAACAGGTGGACCCGGCAGCGGCGGGCGCTGCATCCAGCGGCGGGGGACATTGGTGGGCGGCCACGGGAGCCATTGTGGGCATGTCAGTCAGCGGCGCAGTGCTCGTGGGATTCATGACTGGGCTGGTGGCATACTCCTGGTGCGCAAACAACGCCGTGCCAAGCCTTCCTTTCCCTTCATCCGTGTTACTCTCAAGATTTGCTTGCACCGCAGCATTACAGAGTCTGCAAGGTGTTGATTGGGCAAAGTCATGCTGGCTAGCAACATATACCTTATCGTAGCTACTCAATTGCTCCCCTTCTTTAATTGCAGCATTGTGCTGTTGCTTTGTTCAAGCAGAGAGCACTGCTCAAGTAGTTTTCATGGTATTATTCAGCGGGTATCTCATGCATGCGCAGGTACAAGCAGCGGCAGTCGAGGAAGAAGGAGGAGCGCGCGAGGGCGTTTGAGGCAGTCTTCAGCGACCCAGAACTGGACTTGGAGGAGGTGGCAGCGCAGGTCAGTCACCACACGCACTGAAGCATATTGCTATACCACCAAGCCCTGCCTGGCGACATATGCAGGTCGATCTCAGGTCATATGCAGGTCAATCTCAACTGGCAAGTGTTCAGCAATAGATATCACCCACATCGTTAGAGAGTTCTGCATACGCCAGAACAGGACTGAACTCATATCTGTATGCTCCCGTCCAAATCTCATTTCCATGATGTTGGGCATCTGTTCCCTGAAATGGTGTCTTGGGCTGCAGGATGCAAAGGCAGCCGGATTCAACCTCTTTGGCGGCAACAAATGGACCCGGCTGCGAGACACGCAGGTGTCCAATGAATTGTAGAGCTGCCACTTGTTGCCCGGCACACCACGATTGCTGCCTTGCGAAAGCGGCGGCCCTCGGGCTGCTTGTGCATTGTTTCCAAGCTACTTCAAATCGTTGCCACTGGCAGAGACTGCTCAGAGATGGTCCTATGGCGTCAGGCCCTTGGACATGGGCCCAAAGGATGTGCCAGGGGATGCATGGGCCCTTGAAAAGTAACGCCTGTTGGAGATAAACATTAGTGTAGGTACAGATTTAGATCCGCGCATGACTCGGGTTGTCTAGACAAGATCTTATTAGAAGTGAATGTAAGCCTATATAGCTGCTGTACTACTCAGCTAGTAGCGCCTGTAAAAACGAATCTGGACCTTGCAAGCCACTGTCTACTTTGCGACAATCACACCTGAATCAGACCTGAATCATCTAGATCAGGTGACCTGTTCTAGATGAAATATTAAAAAAACACAAAAAAAGTCCTTCGTTACCGAAGCCAAAAATCGGCATTGCCTAGCTTCCCACAGCTTCCCATCCTGCTGCTGCCTCTTCAGGCAATGGTGAGAAAGTTAAGGGAATTTGTGGTGCGTATCGGAAAGATTGATCAACATTGTGGTTATCAGATCGAACTAGATCATAATATTTTTGCAAGCCAGTGGCTGGGCACAACAGAGTGCCATCTTTGAAGGCATGGCGCAGCTCAAACAACGACAACTGAGGGGGTTGTTGGTCTCTGATCAGGTATGAATGACGATCAATCTCCGATACTAGCATTTCAATTTTTAAGACTGCAGAAACCAGCAAAGCCGCTTTACTAGGGACGATAAAAGTCGCTTATCTCTGTCGATGTGCACGCTGCTGCGTTGAGCAAAGCAAAAAGTTTAAAGTGCCAAATGCTCATCAAGCTCACCAGCATAATTTCCATGCCCTCCAGGAGCTTGTTATGATCGATCGCATGCAGCCTGAATTCTGTTCTGACCGACAGCCAGGCCATGCACGAAACATTATCAGACTTCAGGTGCCCTTATAAATTTGCATTGTAAACGTGCCATACATATTCGCCTGGATTTGCAGGCTTTCTGATGGGAAGCGGGCTGCTGAGAACTGCCCTGCAGTCGTCCAAGAGGCACATGGGAACTTCCCTTGGGCAGGCAATGCTGAGAATGCAACAACGAGGCCTCTCAAAGGCGGTGAATGAAGAGACCTTTCAGCGCCTGATCAGGGAACAAGAAGAGGTATAGGTCTTCTCCTGCGAAGTTTGGGTCCAAACGTCTGACGCGGGATGGTGCAAGCGCGCTAAAAAGCCCTTCACCACAGCCACGACTATCTGACATGTGCATCACAATGCCTGTCAAGGGCGTAGGATATCTGCTATCATGCATAAGGTTCGAAGGCATTGGTTGAATCGTCAAAGACTTATGAGGATCGTGGTTGTGTCACCAGGAGTATGCTGAGGCCGTGGAGCAGGAGAGGAGGCGGCAGGGGATGCCACTGCCCTATCCTGGTCTCAGGTAACTTCCAGGCTAGAAATTGAAGCAGTCACTTACTGTGCAGGGACGTGGACTTATTTGGAGTCTGTTAGAGCCACATACCAGAAAAACATTTTGTCGCGTGTGCAGGTTGGAGGAATATAATTATTCAGCTGCAAAGGGGCCCCATTACCCGGAGGCCTACCTGGAGAGCAAGCACACTTTGCCCTTCGCACACTGGCGTACGCCAAAAGGGGTGGGGACCCACCCATGCCTGCTTTCTTCTTCCCCATGACTTTCCTTCATGCACATGCTCCATCTTCTCCTCTCATTCCAGCACACTGCATGCCAAGCAAGTACATCAATTAGTCAGGGACATTACATTGCTTCCAGCCAGCTCAGAGCTGATTCAAAGCATATTTTGACTCTGTTTGGCAGAATTGGCGCCCAGCATGACATTGAAATGCTCGGATGTGACCTCGGGATATTTTAGACATCATGATTTCCACAGCCTACAGTGAATAGGAGAAGAAATTTGCAAGTGCGAGGCCCCTGAAGACAGAAGAAATTGTGGCTCACAGGTGGCAGAGTGGACAGGTTTTCTGGCAGCGCAGGCCTTAAATGCAGCAGCTGCCATGTTGGCGCACGGACCCGCGTGGCTGTTCAGGATTCCCAGGGACACTGTCTGGTTCCGGCGCGTGCTGCTCCTGGAGTGCCTCTCCCCTGTTCCCGGCACTGTCGCAAGCATTGTGCGCACTCTCATCTCCTCCAGTATGAATGCACGCCGTAGATTGACAACGGTAAATATCTAGAAAGCAGCATTGTCGAAGGAAACTCACATGTCTTAGCTCATCATCAGCACTGGTCACCTGCAGGTGCACAACGAGCTGAAAATGGCACAGGGATGAAAATGAAGGTTACATTGCAGTCCTCTGTGGACAGATAGAAATCAGCGTTATTTGCAAGGATCATCACCATCTTGGCCAGTGCTCCAGAATGGTATCCCGTGCCTCCATGGCACAATACGGCGGCCCATGCATTTTAGGTGCCGCTCACTGCATTTTCGCTGTGAGCCTTCAGGAACAATGTGTTCCCAAAAGAAAGCATTGAAAAACCTGAAGACTGATCATGGCATGTTGCGTGATCAGGTGGCGCATGTGCGGGCGCTAGCCACGCTGCGCGGCCCTGGAAGCTTCGTGGAAAGCTACCAACGTGAGAGCGGCAACGCACATGCTCATCTGCTCACACTGCTGCAGCTGCGCCCCTCTCTATCACTCCGCGCACTCGTCCTTCTCAGCCAGGTGTGTTCTTGCTTGCCCCTACTCCCCTTTTCTTGTACTTCTGCTTCTGCTTTTGGGCTCTTCTGAAATAGGACACAGGCGTGTGTCGACGGGAGCAGAGAACACTACAATGAGCGTGCTCAAGCGTGGCAGCCAACAGCGCAGCCGAGACGCCAATCCCGGGCTTTTTTATAAGGAGTTGACGGTAAGTCCAGAATCATTGAATACATCAAATTCCGCCAGTCCAGTTGCAGCACAAAGCACTTCTAATCCCTCATCACAGATGTAGGGAGCAGTATTTCTCTTGAGCACCATCATGACAACATCCTTGCATCCTTACAAATATTCTCATCATGCCTGCCTGGATGTGATCATTGTGTGGCGCCGATAAACAGGCCGCATTCGCGCTGCCGTACGCTGCGGCGTACGCTGTGGCACCGCGGGCATGCCACGCATTCGTGTGCCACCTCAGCGGCCTGACCGGGGAGGCCATAAGCGGTGCACTGCGGGACCTCGACTCCGGCAGCATTCCCTCCTGGCAGCGCCTCCCCGCCCCTGAATCAGCAGCCGCCTATTGGGGCCTCCCGGTGCGCCTGTCGTTCAATGCGCAACAATGTGACTAGTGCCATGCTTGTGAGTGATACTTTGAACAGAGCTTCCTGCTGCAAACAATGCTTGACAACGTTTGCCATCAGCCAGAGGATGTTAGGGCCTGCCGATGGCGCCCTTGTATCTAGGCTGCATACATAGTTGCCTTGAGCCCACATGTACACACAGTCCTAGACGACTCCATGAAAGTGCCCGCGTCAGCAGCCGCCTATTGGGGCCTGCAGGTGCGCCTGCAATTCAGCAGTTTGTGCCCGTTTTGAATTTGATGTCCTCTTAGTAGTATGTAGTTACCTGGCAGCGCCGTTCTGTGCGCGCTTTAGCCACTGACAATGTGAGCTCGTCACTGTGGTTTGCATACTTGGCAAAGCAGGCGCAGTGCGTGCCCTTGCTTGCTGCTGGTCCCTGTGAATGATTTCACTGCATGTTTTTTTGAAAAGTGCTTTCTGAGGGCAATTCAGTGACAGTATTGACCGATACTTTGTCAAACTGCAGGAGGGTGCCACTATGCGCACGGTGCTGCTGGTGGTGCGCGCTGACATGGTCGCCAGGTCAGCCATCAACCAGGATGCCGACCCCGCCACCTTCCAGCCGGTAAATCTTAACACCTTCTACCTCATGCATAAATAAGAACTGCTTCTGCAAGACAACGAAACAGATGTATGCACAGCGCCGCACTTGCAGTCTCCTAGCAGCAATTATTTAATTCTATATGAGACGCGGAGTACTCTGGTTTACTGACATCTGTTGCACGTGGGCGCGCAGGGCTGCCAGCTGGCGAGTCTGGAGGACATCCTGGCAGAAGAGTATGCGCTGGATTATAATCTGCCGCAGGGGCCGGTCATCCTGCGCTCACGTTCCAATGCAAGCTCCCTCAGCGACACCGGCAGCTTCCACTCCGGCAGCCGCAAAGGTAGACACAATTTTCTTCTTGTTCCTGAGCGCTGCTGTCCTCTCACCTTGCTGTTCATTGTCCTGCAAATAACTCACCGCAAGCACCGAGAAGAAAGCAATAGTACAGGTGTTGCGTGACGTACTTGGTCCTTCAGACTGGAAAACGTGTACTGTGATAATAACAACGAAGAACTTAGCAAGTACTGGTCCCTGAGAGTGCAGCTTCCACCCTCCTTATATCTGCGTATGCCCTGCATGTGCCCCTACTCACATTTTTCCATGAGCAGGTCTTCAATGTATGAACACTCATGCTGCCATCATGATGCGGCGTGAATTGGGCCATTCCGCTGTTGCGGGCCTCACAACATGGTGCCTGGCACATCAGATCATTTCTTTATTCTTTCTTTAGATCAGAAATGCCTGTACTCAACTGAAGGGATCCTTGGCCTGTGTGCCAGATCTGGCGTCCCCCGCAGCAACGCCCGCGCATCGGCGGCTGCACAGCGCAGCGCGTGCAGCTTTCCATGACCTGACCCCCGCCAAGTTTGGCCGTGCCAAATCTGGCCGTGCCAGCAGGGCAGACCCCAATCCTGCGCTCACCAGCATCAGTCTCACAGAGGTGACACGCCCGCTGTTGCATGACTGACCCTTCAACTCTTGCATGATGCCTTGAAATGATGATTTGTAGGAGGCCAGGTGCATCCCTTTTACATATTTTTAGACATTGGGAACATGAGGTTCCTCAATGTTCTTTCATATGTGGAGAGCACTTGAGCACTTGCCAGAATTGGCAGCAAACATTTTGTGTCCTTGCAGGAAAAGTATGCGCAGCTGCAAGCAGTGGAGGAGGACAAAAGCTCCAAACCTGCAGCTGAGAAGGGCCTTGCAGAGAAGTTCAGCATGGAGGGCAAACAGGCTGATCTGGCAGCCATCATGGACAGCATGTGGGGATCCAGCCGTTTCTGAGGTCGATGTACATATCAGTCCCTTGAAGCTTGTAAAAATATCTCTCCGGTGAGGAGAATGCTCAATCTGCACTGTGGAGAATGTGCACCAAGTATTGTTGCTCAGACAGCATCCTTCTGGAAAGGGGGGTGGGGATTGGACAAGTCAGTCAGGGCTGCCAGAGAAGTGAGGCATTGCCTACTAGTCAGGCAAAGAGTGCGGGGAATTAGGGCAACAGCGCCCTTCAGAACTGTGTAGCTGTAGCTCTGGCTTTTGTCATCGTTACATTGCAGCACTTGTGGTCGAGATGCCTTTTCTCTGAAGTGTGCCACAGCGCAAGGCACAATGTATCTGTGCACGGTCCTACAGCAGTAGTTGTATGATTAAATTGAATGGCGGGACGCGCTGATGTGGACCTCTTCATGGTAGCCTTGCTTCACCTCAAGAAGCCTTTAAATTTACCTTTGCCATGTCGGGCGAAATACACTCCAGAGGCAAGCTATCAGTGTATCATGGTCACTCTGTAAGATGCAACTGCAGAGCAGTGCATGTTCCAATTTCAGGGTTCTTAATTGTGTATGTGACTTATAGCGCAGATGCTCGTAGCGCTGTCTGTAAAACCCGGCCCAAAGGTCACAGACTGTTTTTACAATAGCATTGCGTCTTCTCAGGAGTTCACAGCACCTCACTAATCTGATTTGAGCTGCAATAGCTGGCACATAAAAGCAAGCCTCAGGGCTCCATCCTAAGCAAATCGTATGTGCATGACCTCTCAACCTGCAGACTTCAATGGCTGCCACGCATAATCTACGTGCTAGGGCGTCACACATGCAGGCAAAACAATCATAAATATGAGGGACAGCAATATTGGCAAGAATGATGATGTCAAGAAGCATGCATGCATCCCAATAGTTCATAATTGCAACAACGGCAACATACTGACCTTGCACAACCACGGACACTGTATGCCTTAAGCATATCAATACTGGTCGTTCCTTGTGAGTTCCTCTTCGGGTCTCCTTCAGACTGAAATTTTTTCTTTGCTAGCCTTCTCTTTAATACCTAACTTTAAGGGCTTGGAAACTTGCCCAAAAGGGATGCTCCAAATGCTTTTAAAGTTATTCTGTGCCACTCAGCAATGACAAGGACTCTGCAGACAGCTGTGTGTGATGCTGTCAATTTCACCCTGCACCTGATTACTCCACCAGAACATTAGCTTATAGGCCTAGGTAGTGTATTCGTGGCGCGGAACCATTGGCTCCCCACAAGCAGGTATTGATAGCTCCTTCCTATCTACTCAAACCAGGCGCCTACAGAAATCCTCATGTTCATGCCATAATCAATGTGCATGCCTGACTACAGGGCTGCACCGCAAACAATTGATCTAATTCCTTAATTCCCAGGAATGGTGGTAATATAACTTGCTACCTATTTTGTAATCTCAGAGCTATTTATCTCCCACATGCTCCTTCTCAGTCACGCATGGCAATAATCAGCAATCTGGCATAAGCGACAGCCCATTCTCAGTCAGATAAATGCTCATCTGCAACTAGTCTCACTTCATTTGGTATGGAAGCTTCAGATGAGAAGGTCATCTTTTGAGACTTCCTTCATGAAGCCGGCGTTCTCTCAAGGGGTCGTTTTGAGGAATAGCTAACTGAGCAGGCTTGGTGAGAAGTGCCCAGGTCATTGCCAAACTTCAAATGGGAAACTGGAGACAAACTCTCCACAGCTTCACCAAGCACCGGGCCAACTCCAACAAATTTCTCTTTTGAAGATAAAGGCTCTTTGATCTACCACCTACTAAATTCAATCTGAAGGATGTACCGACTCTTCTGCATTCTGTTCTGCAAAGCCATTGGGACATCGAACATTCTGCTTGTGAAGCCATTCCAGACTGAATCTCGGTTGCTTTCAAAAGTCCCGCTCAGTGCCCGCGACTGGCTAGAAAGCCAGCCCGCTGCCTGTGGCATGCCGGCAGCCATCCAATAATAATATCACTGCAGCAACTCAATGGCTCTCAAGGGGGCGGCTCACACCTATAATCCAAACTTCAGCGATCTTTTCAACGTCCTTGTGCAATCTCAGAACTGTTTTAGCCTTGCCCTGGGAAATTGCGCCGGCCAACGCAGCGCGTGTCCAACCACTTTCCTGACCCACAGTCACCTCTTAGGAGCAGTCATGCCTGTTGAGAGCAGTTGTTCCTTTGCAGCCAGAGAAACGTGTGACACAGCAAATACAGGAATCCATGCGTGCTTCGAGCCCGGCACAATCGCGCGACGCTGCAAAAACAAAGAAAGGCACACAGCTTCTCGTTGAGATGTCTCTCTTGAGGCAAGAGCATGTGAGCCGCCCATCAGTGCGGGGGCAAACTCAGGCAGGGAGTTGAGGCTCTGCGCTGCGGACGGGGATTGTGGCCTGCCAGGGGTTGATCTGAGTCAGCGGCGCGCGGCTTCCCGGCGGCTGCGTGGCCCAGTCAGGCAGCGCATTGGCCAGCGCGCACATGGACAGCGCGTCGAGATCAGGCTGCATGTTTGCCGGGCACAGCCCGGGCAGCTCGCCCTGCCCGAAGCTGCCCGCTCCGGGCAGCCCGGAGAGTGTATATTGCCCCAGCCATGCCTGCTCCTGCTGCATCTGCTGCTGCTGCAGGTGCTGGTGGTAGAAGAGGCTGTTGGTGTTTGCTGACAGCCCGAGCTGCTGCGCAGCGTTCTTCATGTAGAATGCGTGGTTGCTGGCAAGCTGGCTGTGGATGTCAGAAGCCGAGCCCATGGCCCCATCTCCCAATCCCAGGTCTGGGCTCAGGGGGTACGCGCCGAACAGAGCGGCGGCGTGCTGGGGGACGAAGCTGCCGGCAAGGGAGTTGAGACTGCTGCTGCCGGGGTTTGTGTAGGCAGGGGATAAGCTGCGCAGAGACGCGAGGCTGCCGCTGTTGGCCGGATGCAGGCTCGGCTCTGTCTTCAGGATCTCACCGAGCTGCGCGGCGGAGGCGGCCGGCGCATCCGCAGAGGGCGGCGCGGATATTGCCGGAGTCGCGCGGCCGTCTGAAGCCGGGGGGTCGGGCACGTTGGTGGGATCAGCGCCTTCTCCTGAGAAAGACCCAAAGTGAATGTCATGAAGTCCATGGTCGGAAGACATCGTGTATGTGGGGCTACCTCTTAGCAATTTTCAATAAAAAAGTATGGGGCCATCATGAAAGGGGTGCAGAATAGTGCATTCTCTTGCCAGCGAAATGCACAGGAGAAAGCTTCAATGCCGGCAGGCGCCACAGGCTTTCAACCGCATTGGAGGTTTTTGAGTGGAAATTGCAGGTGAGCACCTGTGGCGACCGGGTGGGGGACAGGCACGCCGATGTCAGCGACGCTGCCGAGGTCAGCAGCTGTCAGCCACTCAGCAAAGTTGCTGAACGCTGCCTCCAGCCGCTTCGGTGCAGAACCTTCCTTCAAGCTGAGAGACAGAAACCCACTGCTCAGCCAGCCATCAAACAAATCTGCCAAGCACACACGTCTTCAGGGACAGCAAAAGTCCGCCGTAACCTTCGCAGTCTCCATTATTATCCGGTCTGCTTTGCCAAAGCAACGAAAGTCCTGACCAGTCGACTCCAGGAACTCTATTGAAATTTTGCACAAGGGATCTTTTGTTGCATGCCAGGCACAAGTGACTCTCACATGCAGGGGCAGCCCAGGGATTGCAGCATGGCGATGGCTGTGGCCTGGACAGACGTCTCCTGCCGGCACTCCCGCGATGCTGCCCTAGAGCCTCGACCTGCATTCATCCATACACTTTTCCTCGAGCACCACGGAACTCAATGCCGTTATAAGCGTCTTCAGCCTCGCATTGAGAGTGTAGTTGCCATGCTTAAGAGCACTTTAGATCCTCACAGGCAGGCCTCAAGAAACATCCAGTCACCCATGTGTGGCATCCAATGAAGCCTCACAGCCGCCTCTGCAGATACTTCCTTTGGGCTCCTTTGGAACTGTGCCTGGGGGTCTTGCACGCCACAGTACAGGACAGCATCTTGGAATATCCTCAGTAGGGCTGCCTTCGATATAGTAGCCCCGCCCCAAGGTACAACACCATGCAGATGAACCCCCCAGCAGGAGGGGGGGGGGACCCTAGCCTAATTCCTGCACAGTGAGCGATGGGCTGGGACGTGGATCTCACCCAGGGTGATGGATATGATAGAGGGAACGCCGTCGGACGGGCCCTGGAGAATCTGCTGCTGCAGCTCAAGCAGCAGGCGATGCAGCGCCAGCACAGCAGCGCCCGTCATCAGAGCAGGCGTCACCACCTGTCGCATGCATGCACACAACTTTGTCGTTTGACATTATGGGTGTAGAATGCACAGAGACGTTGTTAAACCTCAGGTACAAGGGTTGGAAAGATCAAGAGGATGCCTCTGCCATTGGGGGTGTGCATGCATGCAGAAGTCTATGCAGCCCCGAGCAACACCCTTTTCATGGACTATGAAGCATCCAGGAGACTCTTTGGGACAGGAGTGCCCTATACTATAGTTGCTTTTACTATTCAAAGAGTGCCCAGGCATTCTAGGAACCGTTCATTTCCACCAAGCCTTGCTAGCAGAAACATTGTCAAGAAAGATATGTGCTACGGAGCCTTCTGCATCAACACGCACATGTTGCAAACGAGGTATCAAAGCAAAGGATCGGAAAAAAACTCCAAATTTCTATTTACACGCACCTCCAAGACGTCCCCCTGGCGAGCCTTGACCGCTGAGAGGCCAAAGACCCCCAAGCGCGCAGCGCCGTCGAACAGCTGCTCCGCCTGCGTGCAAGCATGGAACAGAGGATGACGCATTCATTGTGAAAATCTGATCCTATCCTATTCTTTCCTAGATGGCCCCTCAGCATGATCTGCTTCAGCCCCTGGGACGTCACTAGAAGTTACAGGAAAGTTGCAGTCAAGCATAGCATTTTTTGTGCTGGCCCTGCAGTCCCTCCTCCCAGAACCCATGATTGATCCCATCTTGGGAGCACCAGAGATTGAAACCGGTGAGCATTCCCCTTGGGAAGTGGGAACCCTTGCCTGAGGGCGCAGCCGCGGGGGGTCGCTCTGCCACAGCGCCTCGATGACTGTGCTGTACAGCGCTGCATCAGCGCGGCCGCCCGCTGACATCACGTCCTGCAGCACCTGCGCCCACATGCCGGCACATGCGTCACTGTACAGCCAAAGTACTGCGTGCTTCTCATCTCTAGCATGCGCTGCCGGAACTGTTGTTCCTCAAAGCAGGTGTGAGTGACCCTGCAATGGACGGAAGCTTCATTGCCTGCGAATGCTGAGCGAATACATATTGGCATATGGAGCATCCAATGCTAGGCAATTGGCCCCTTTGCTCTGAGAGATGGCAGCGCATCACGTTCTCTCTTTTACGGCTCGAGCCGGGTGAGCACAAATTGAATCGCAACCACCTCCCAGATCTTGTGGAAATGGAACAAAATAACGTTTTAACTCACGACCCGCTCCTTGTAAAGGAGCATGTAAGGCTTGAAAGCAAAGCCGCACCTTAAGGGCGCCGGCCCAGTCGCCGCAGCGCTGACAGGCGGTCGCGAGCGCGGTGTGCGTCAGCGCATCTGGCCGGCATGTGCTCCGCTTCATGGCTGTGAAGATTGCGCGCGCCTCCTCTGCACATGCCCCTGATGACAGACAGACACACTCTATTAAGGCACTCTGTGATGTAAGCACATTTGCGCTGAGGCGCCAAGAGGCACCCTGCCGGTCGATCGATGCAGATCTGCCGAGCCTTGTAGGCGTCAGGTTGCAGGATACACTGCACACAGCAACAAGAATGATATATCTGGCATGCTCAGTGTATTTCAAGTGCTGCCCAGGCTTAGCAAGCGCCTCCCTGGTCCTTCCGTCAACTTCCAGGGACTCCGAAGCGAGAGAAGCGGACCTTGCAGTTCGTTGGGCATAAAGGCATAACAAAGGCACACAAGTGTATTCAGTAACCACTGCAAACAAGAGAAGGTGCTTACCCTGCGCGCAGGCGGACATGGCGGCGTTGTAGATGGCGGTGTTTGGCGCGATCCCGTCGCGGCCCATTTGCGCGAAGAGGTCCAGCGCCAGCCGCCAGCGGCCGGCCTTCTCGCAGGTGCCGATCAGGGCAGAGTACGTTATCACGCTCCGCTCGCAGCCCTCCTCCGCCTGCGCGTGACCGCAGGATACACTCCTGAGACTTCCTCGGCCACTTTGAAATGCGAGTCAGATTTCGAATTATTCGGCAGCCCAAAAGAAATTGTCAGTGCATTGCTGTGAGACTTGCAAAACTGCAGATCTGCCGGACATTCAAGATTGAACTACTTCAGGGCATGTTTATCATTGCTGTGTATTTTAAGCAACCAGGCATTGCCATCGACCCAAAAAGACAAGAGAGTGATGATCTCTTCAAATCAGGATGACTCGTCAAGATTCAGAGGTCCATCCCATGAATGGTGAGCGAAGGCATACCATTCTCTGGAAGGTGGCGAGCGCATGGTCCAGCCGATCTGCCTTGGCATGGGCAGAGATCAGGGCAGTGTATGTTGTGGCTGTCGGCGTGAATCCCCTGGCTGTCATTATGTCGAACACCTGCCAGCACACCCCCGAATGCTCATGCACATGCATCATGAGATGGTGCCCATGTGCAAGTGCAAAGACAAGGTTCAAACACGCATCAAAGTCTTCATGTAAAGAATCATTTCACAGAAAGGTCTATGATGTGGCCTTTCTTCGTGGACTGGCTTGCAAAAGGCATAGGATGAACCCACTGTTCTGGTGGAAGGGAGTGAGGCATACTCGCAGCGCCTCTTGGGGCTGGCCGCACATGTTGCAGGCGATGATGATGGTGTTGAAGGTGCGCGCCTCCGGCTCCAGCCCCTGCCACATCAGCGTTATGTCAGCAACTGCATGACATCATCAATGATTGAAGTGACCCCCCTCCAGAGATCCACAGGGAAATTCTTGCATGCAGAGCTCAGTCCGCCATGTTGCATGGAGCAGCGCAGAAACAAGATGCTTTCTGCACAGAGGACAGGTCATGCCATGCCATGGCAAACACAGCCGTGCTGCTCAGGAGGAAGGACTACGCAAAAGACTGATGCAATCCAGCCTCTAGATAGGAAGAGATTTAGACCTGATGGCCAACCATGTCCAGCACACCGATGGCGTCCTGCCAGCGGCCCAGCTTGCCGTAGATGTCGATCAGCGTGTTGTATGTGACCACATTCGCGCGCAGCCCATCCACCTGACACCCCCGGGCTCTAGAGGATCAAAGGCCTCTCAAGAGATATCTCTATAAAACCAGGGCAGGCACTCCTGTTACGCCTCCACGCCGGGCTGGGCACCATGGACAGCAGTCCCAACGTGACTTGCTTGATGCAAGACCCCAAAATAGTACTTGCCCATGTCCAACTCTGAGCTATGATCTCACCATCTCGACAGTCACATGCACTACCCACTTCACGCATTGGCTATGCCGTTGTAGGACACGTCAGCAGTCTCTGCTCAGCTCACCGTCTTCCTCCTCAATGTGAGAAATGCATATTATCTCCCGCCGGACTCCTGGGCCTTTGCATTCAAGTGAGCAGGTCTTTTGTCCGCTCAGTCTCTTACAATCAGAAATGTATCCTTCTCACCTGCAGCTGGTGGAAGACGTCCAGCGCGAGCTCGAGCTCGCCGCACTTGATGGCGACGTTCATGAGCGCGGAGTAGGTGTGCGTGTTGCATGCAATGCCCCGTGTGCGCATCTCCCCCACCAGGCCCAGCGCATGCCTCAGCGCCTGCCGGTGCCCGCACAGCGATATGGCTGCGCAAATTGCACTTAACAGTCAGTTTTATTTGCGGTGGAACATTCACTTCTAGGGTTGATCGGCGCTGCACCAGTGCGCAAGGAAGCTACTAAACCTGTATGGGTTGTGCACACTCGACTCATGGTTGTTTAGGCCAATATGCACTTTTTCTTTAACTTTGCCAGTACATCTTCAACACAGCATCAATAGCAGAATGGACTCCCTTTTAAATCAAAAGGCAAATAATTGAGGCCAAACCTTTTCTTAGGCAAGGCCTTGCAATCAGTCACAGAGCATGTCCTCTAGCCTGTCAATGGAGCTTGTTTGATATGACCGGACGCAACAATCACAGCATCCGACAATGGCGCCTCACATATTGTGACATGCAGCTTCAGCATGTCACACCATGGGTGGTCCATTGCATCAGCTGCATGCAGTGAAAGCATGTCACCTGCTTGCGCAGTGCTGCAGCTTGTTCATGACACATGAAGGGTTACAGAGGCAGGTTTTGAGATGACAGCACGTCAGTGACCTGTGGTGAAGGTGAAGACATCGCAGAGGGCGGCCAGGTCGTGGGTGGGAGGGAGGGAACGCAGCCAGTCGAAGACCTCATGCGCACGGCCGCCGCAGCCCACACGTGCCAGCTCCTTCAGCATTGCCGCCACCGCGCGCGAGTCCATGAAGAACAGCCTGCACGGAGCAGCACGCGTATGTGAAAAGCAGCACTGCAAGGTGTGATATCCTTTCCAGACTTCTTGTAGCACGTGAAGAAGACTCCCAGAAGCTGATGCTCACTGCACAGTGCTAGAGGTTGCGTAATGCTGCACAGGACTTATCTACACCCTTTTGGCATGAGGGATGATGGCAGGTGCTTGGTGCATAAAGAAGTTTATTGACCAGTCTGCTGGCCAGCTGCCCGGTTCCTGACCCCTTTGGTACTATAAAGGATCGCTAGCTGGTGTCATGTGTCACACGGTGCCCCGTTTTGTGAAGTGAAAGAAAAGTCAGAGAGGGTTGCCCACCCCTGTGCAACGGCCGGCACGGCACTGGTGTCAGGTGGAAGCTTCCGCACAGCTTCCACCAGATCCTCCACCGTCGGCTCTGGCGTGACCATGTGGCCGCCCAGGCCGTTGCGCCCGCCGCCGACAGCAGTAACCTGCTGCCACAGCCGCCTGCATTCCATGTCCAAGAAAGGCAATCAGCACAGATGTAAAGCTGGTTCCGTGCAGCTGGTCCCATGTCTGAGGCATATGCCTGCAGGCTGAGCAGTCTGCGCTGTGCAAAGAACAAGAGCAGGCTGGTTTATATTGTGTGCAGGTGGTCGCATATTGTGTGCAGCTAGGTCATGATGTGAAACAGCCTGTGGATGCCTTGTCTGTCACCTAGAACAATCTAGAACACAGACAACAGGAGAGAGGACAGAGCGATTGGAGATGTGGTGGGAAAGGAATTGGCAGGTGTTTCTGCAAGGTTGGACGTTCTTGCCTGTAGCTTTTTCTTCCCGAGGCTTCTCGGCGGCCCTGGCCACCACGCCATCGTCCCCGTTGCCCGTCAACGCAGCCCCTTCCATCGGCGAAGATGTTGTACGAGGTCCCCTGGTCGAGCTTCTTCTGCTGAATCTGGAGCAGGTCGCTTGCGTTGGCCACATCGTTTAGCAGCCTTTGACCCGCCCAGCCTGTTGTTCCGTCAGAGGCGCCATTGTCGAACAGGGGGCTGCTGCCGCCTTTTATTGAAAAGGGATCAACCGGACTGTCAACGGAACAGTTGTGATATAGATGGCCGCCATCCATTCTTGTCCAAGGAAAGCCACGTCCTGTACACCTGCCCATAGGCAGCTCGAGTTGCGCTCTTTGCGCGCCTTGTGCCGTGTGCAGCAGCATTGGATTGATGCAAAACCAGCGCTATACTTCTTTACAGGGGGATGAATATGAAAGTGCTGCTGCCATCGCCCTTCCAATGCTTATGGGCAGTCAACAGCCGGTCAATCAAGCACGAGGTGACAGGTGAGTTTCAAGCAAGATTACCTTCTTGTTATTGATAAATTATCGTTCAGAGCCGAATGTTTGACGTCTAAATCGTAGAGTCCTTGCCGCAAGCTCGTTCAGGCGATGTGCAAGTGTTGTACAACACTCAAACCCCAATAAGATATACACAATCTACGAATGTCACCTCACCAGTCCAAAACAACATTTCAGGGCCAGTACACATGCCTACGAAATCATTCTGACATCTCAGTCTGTGATCTTGGCTCCCAAGTTGGAAATTGGAAGCTAACGAGCCTAAACAGGTTCCTGTGTTGTGGGACAATGCATGCTTGGATCCGCCAGAGCGCACAAACCTTGCCGATTTCGTTAGATGCTCTTTTGATGTCTTCGCCACATTCGATGCTGCCGCTGATCAGAAATGAAGAATTTTGACGTAGCGCGCGCTTGAAAAGTGTAGGCGTCTGTAGAGAAGTCTTCTTGCTTGGTCTTCACTGCAGCTTGTGACAATGAGGCTTTCAAGTGCTGTTGCTTTCTTCCTTGGGTTTCTGTCTGTTGCCAGCGCTGGAAGCGGGAGCGCTCCCAGCCCCTCGCCAACGGCGAGCAAGTCTTGGACAGTAGAGGCACGCTTAAAGGCGCTGTCGGCTCTGCGTTTCCTGCCAGAGTTATTAAATTTCTATGGATGGAAAGCTGTGTTTCCGATCATCCTCTCCCTGATGTCAACAACATGCTCCGGTGTTTGCAGATTAGCCTGCCGAAGAATTGCACTGCAAACACCCAGACCAAGGGCTACGAGCTGCAGTCCTGCAAACTCCCCTGCGACGTGAAAGGTGCTTCCTGCCAACAATCCCTTCTATCATTTCTGTATCGTCACAATGCCTGATCCATTTTGCCTGTGGGGAGCATGTTCATCTGTGTGATGTGCAGGGCCAACCAGATTCTTTTTGGGCACTGGAGCTGAGATCAAAATATCCTTCAAGACCAAGCCCACCCTGGTGGTCATTGGAGGCTCCCAGAACCTTCACTTCCTGAATGATGAGGTACCCATTGGCCTACAGTGCTAAGCTAAGCCGCATATGCCTGTGCCTCCTCGCTCTATATTTTGGTTGTGGCTGGCTTTGTGGTGGCAGGGAGAAGACCGTCTTGCAGCTCTTCTATTTGCATGCAATTTGTTCAATGTACCTGTGTGCTGATGCAGATCCCAGACATGACAATTCTGAAGGCACCGGCGCCACCAAACCCCATCGTGGACTACGGCTTCACAGGATTCAACTTTGCTCCGCAGCAGAAGTACTACAACATGTTCAAGGACGGGGTCCTTGCAAAGCTTGCGGTGCGCAGAATCTGTCCTGCCTTTTCAAGAGCCACATCTGTCCAGCTGGCTCACCATCTCCCAGCATGGGATCTGCAGCTTAGAGCAGAGTAGTATAGCTGAGCTGCACAGCTGCAACCGTGCATGCAAGACGACATGACTAGGCGCTCCCCTGTAGGCACTGCAATTGTGTCAGGAGCATGTTCACCCCTGAACACAATGCATTGTCGTTGGGAACATGGGCATTCCTGCACACAATGCATCTGTACTCGTCACTCTGCAACGCCGCTGTTCCAGGTGGTGTGGTTACTCGTTTGTGCAATGCATCTGTCTTTACTACACAAACGCTGACCAGGCAGTTGCATGCGCAGATCTATGCCTTTGACACATCAGCATCCCCCGGCAAATCAGCCGTCAAGGGTCTGGCCACGTACAAATCAGCCGCCTGCCGCATGTTCCTGTACGTGCAGATGACCAGCCAGCCAGCCAATGAGACTGTGGGACCGGGCCATCTCTTTGTGGCTGCCAAGGGAGCCAACACCTCTGAACTTGCCGCCCGCAGGAGGCTGCTGAGCAAGGTATTCCATGCGTCCCCATGCAGTCCTCTACTACCACGCTTGGTGATTCCCAGCTTTGTCTGCATGGACTGCTGGCATGGAATCCGCACTGGCTGACTCAGTGCTGCATGCACTGAATGCTGGCATGCATGCCAGCTCATGGCTCATGATCTCCAACTTGGCAAGCTGCCTGTCTCTGTACTATTGAAGCACCACCTGAAGCACCAGGCCTGCCCTAAACTCAGGAATGTGCAGATTATTTGACATCTCTATGGGATCCTAATCCTTAGTACGCATCATGTGGTGCTGCAGGTGCTGCCCCCCAGCCTGGTTGGGGGCCTGCTGCTGATCATCTGCGCAACAGGCTGCCTGCTCGGCAAGTGCGCACAGCGGAAGCGGCACAGTGCATATGGCGGTGCATCATCATGCTGAGGAAGGCGCAGAGTGCTCCCACAGGCGACTGCAGCCGCAGCTGTGACATGCATTGTCCTGTGCAAGGCCCACAACACAAAGATGGCATGAGAATGGCAATCAATAGCACAGCATGCATTGGGGCCTGAGCTAAGGCGCGCTACCTCGAGGTGCAAGAGCAGGAGAAGGAGTCCTGAGCAGCTGTTACAAGCGGCAGTCAGAGGAGATTCTGGGAGGTCTTGGGCAGAGATCCATGGTATCGTCCAAGATGCAAATTATGCAAAGTGCTGCTCAGAGTGTTACAGATGCGATGCCTTCTGTGCGCATCATCAGCATGTGGCAAACATGCGTGAAGAGTCTTCGGCAATGCCTGTTGTAACTTAGGATCACGGAGTCCCATTGTATTTAATACTATTGAAGAAAGGTCTTTTTCATTTCGACATGACTAGAGAAGCTCCTTCCGAGCAGCGGGCACATGCATGGTACCATTGGACCTGTTCATACCTGTGCGCTCTTCAACATATTTGAATAATGAGGGGGAAAGAGATTTCTCTGCTTCACTCCACTGAGGCACCAGACCTCTAGGTGGGGCACTGTGTGGGGCACCTGTGACAGATAGCCGCCTGCTGCACCCTGATTCATGCCAGCTTTAGGACTTCCCACCACCACACTCCTCTTGCAGCATTGCGTTAACGTTGCATTTCCCTCTCCCCTGGGTGCACCAGGGGACTCTAAACTAACTTAGTTAGTATAGAGTCCCCTGGGGTGCACCGTACGTACTACGTAGTACGTATACGCGTGTGCCTCGTGCTTGCCATGCACTGCTCATTGCCAGCAGCCGCCCTCTCCCTGCCCTGCCATCTACTCTTTGATGAGGGGAAATTTACCTAGTAATGCTTAGCCTTTCTTGGTAGCTAAAGTGGTGAGAGCTTCAACTAATCGTGAGAAAGGGAGCGCTGTCTGCGTTGGCGTTGCCTCAGAGCTTCGGTCGTCTGCTAAAGCCTCGAGAGGGCGAGCGCCATGAAGACATCCGAACGCTTTCAGCTGCTGCAAGCATTGATAAATTTTTGATGAGCTCTAATATTATTATTACAGGTTGGAAAACCCAAAGCCAGAGGCCATAGCTCTAAGCTTCAGGAATTTAAGAAATCTTTTCATATCTGCTGCCCCTGCAAAGGTGCTCGATGAAAATTCCCATTGCAGACATCATGGACGTGTTTCCTGATTACCTCGTTGCAGACATCCACTTCTGCCCAGGCGAGAAGTGCTTCCAGGGTAGAGTCCTGGACTGGCTTGATTTTTATGCTACAATATTAACTTGCAGCAATGGCTAGGGGACCTTGAGGTGCGACGATCACACTTTTGTAAGAGACCTGATGCCTACGGCGATCACGTATGGTCATTATGCTGTCCTAGGGCTGCTTAATTAAGCTTGCTTGTAAGGGATCAAGTTTGACAGTGACTCAACAACGATCCAGGGTTGCCTTGACAGCACTTCTGATGTCTCTGTGCACTTGCCGGACATGATCTGCCGAGGAACCTTGGCAGTCAATGTGCAAAAGGTTCTGAGCGCACCAGGACCCCGTTCCAAAACCCAGAAGGCAATGTGCAAAACCCCTTTGAGATTGAGTATTTGTGTGCTCGATCCCAAGGAGAGATCTACCTGGAATGTCAACCTGTCCCTGATACATGTGCACATGTGATAATTTTCCCCAGCAAAATAGCACCTGAGACCCAATGCGTATGCCAATCAAGGGGCCCTAGCTCACTACTACAAGTTGAACATGGGTTGGGGGTGGCGAGCCCTCACAACCAGCATGCAGTCCTTGGATGCTTGGGAGAGCTGCAAGCACGCATTCATGGACGAGTTGTCTGGCCCAGGCTTTGTGCTTGTCTATGAGAATTGCATCAAGCTGGATGAGGAGGGAACGTTGTGGTGCGCCCAAGCCCTTGCCTTGGCTTGTAGCAGGGACCGCTCCTGGCGTCCACAGCAGGCCCTGTGTCATTGTCTGACTCATTGTTACAAGCAGTAAGAACAAAGTAATTGTGTGTACTCGAATGTGCTTGCAATGCTTCTTGTCATTGCTAGGCAGCCTGCAGGCTTGTATGCCAGGACAGATTGTTGAATGCTGTGTCGGATGGTAAACTGCTATCCATGCGCTGTTGGATGTGGATTGTTGGTCCCCCAGAAGGACAGTGGGCAGGTGCAGAGCATTCAATGCTACAGTATGATGGGTGCTGCTGGTGCTTTGCCAAGAGGTGCTGGTGGGGCTTGATATGCCCCCAGGGGACTATTTTAAAAATCCAGCCCTTCAAGGAGGGTGCAGAGCTGCAGGAGATTGCTCCACCCTTCTTCATCCCAGATGTGCAGATCAGCGCGGAGGCCGTCCCTCCTGCGAGCGGAGTGGCCACGGCGAGGTGAGGAGATGACTGCCACGGGCCGTCTACCCTATATTTGTCTGATGCTCCTATGAGCATGATAATCTGCTGACTCCGATGAAGGCTTTGATTTACGCTGCAACATAGAGCAGCACTTGAAAATTTGAAGCATGGCGGAAGTAACTTCGACCAGAACGTGTGCTTGCTGGGCTTCAGAGCAAAATATTGGCGGCGTTGCCTCCGTACTGCATTGCAGCTTTTGCATGCAGCTGTAGAATTTTCAGCTCCAGCTGGCAGTGCCATAATGCGGCATGCCTTGCACAGATCTGGTTTTGTCTTCGGATTTTGTACTTCGCAACCTCCCAATATCAATGCTGGACAGCCTGCATTGCTTTCCTTTCCATTCAATCGTCAAGGGCAGCTTCCACCTTCGTCGAAGCTGCCGATGGCCCAGGAAACTATTCCTTCGCCAGATCAACTGAAATTCCCCAGTCCCTTCAATAACGTAGACTTAATACAGACTCCGTTGTGCAACACTAACATCAGAAATTGTTGATTGCTCGCGTCATTTTGCAGAACTGAAAAGCTTCTGCAAGCAACGTTGAGCCCTACGCCTGTTTAGATCTCTTCGAATCAATACTGAGACTTGTACTTGTGGCTTTGCATATTTGAAGAGCAAGAACCTATGAAGTAATCTCGAAAGAAGCACAGCAGGTTTAAAATCATGCAGAAGAGCACCAAAGATCAAGTGATTACAGACAGCAAAGCTGCGTCAACAGCCGTGCAGCAGTATTACGTGGCTGTGGGATCGTCTGAAATGAAGATGGTGCGCTGCTCATATTCATTTGCACACCTGAAGGCCAGATCTGACAATTTCACGTGTACAATGTCCTCTCAATGTCCTCCATCGAGCGCAGACAACTCTAGTGGATCTCTTGCTTGCTCTGCAAGCGAATGGTCCCTTCGGCATGGCAGTTCTCTGCGGGTGAGGCGCCTGCTCCCCAATTGCTTTCAGCATGCCCCTGCTTTGAATTCCTTCAGTCCAGGTCTGACACATTCCATGGCCTGCTTGAAAGGTCGCGAGACACTTTGGACACGTTGGTCAGCTGTCTCACTCCCATTCAGAAGACAGAGGTCCATTATTTGGTGCGTCATTCCACTTCCGTCTCCTCCCACTACTGCGCCTCATTCTGCAGCTATTGGGCTCTGTACTTTCCAGCTGCATCGGCAGGCATGTGACCTGCACAGGTCACAGTAAGTGCGCATTACCGTTCAAATGCGTTTCTGCATCTGCGCAGCATTCAGATCTATCGGATGATGAGCGCATGGCAGTTCAAGGCCGATTCTCGCGCAGCCTTGAGGCTGCGCTGCACCCACCAGCAAGCACAGACGATCAGGATGCAGACACCGCCAGAAGCAGCAGTGCTGGCCACATTGCCGACCATAGGGCAGCATCGATTGGCGAAGATGGAAGGGGTGGGCATGTGACAGAGGAGGGAGGTGGAGGGCTTAGCAGGGAGATTGAAGGGCAGGAGCAAGAGGGTGAGCAATGACAGGTGTCCTGTCTCACATAGACAACATTGCAGACACTCGTCTTTGCCATTTGCGCCTGTGGCAGTGCAGCATAGATGGAGGAAGTGAAGGCAAGGGCTCGGAACAGCTCCTTCTGCTTGATCAGTGCACCATTTGCTGAGCTTCTGGTCATGCCTCCTGCTCTCCCACTTATGCCTGTTGCAAATGGGGATGGGCTGTACATTTTCGATTGTTCTCCTTTTGAAAGTCAAAGATTTTGGTTGATTTTCTGGTGTTCATGCAGAGCGGCCGATTGCCTATGTTCTTGCGTCAACAGACGCTGGCGTGAGGCTAGCAGAGAGCAGCAGCCTGCCATCAAATGTGGCGCTGATTGTTCACTATGACCTGCCCACCAGAAAGGTGATTGCGAAGGCCTATCTTCATGTTCCCGGTCTCAATCTTGTCGTTGGTGCAGTTGGTGTAATCTAGCAAGCAAGAAAGAAGCAATCTTGTTAGCATGGTAACATAGGCGGAGGGATTCTGAGCTATTCAGAAATGTGCACACAGAACACGTATGTCAGACGCCTGGGACTGTTTGGGAGATCGGCTGCGCTGAAGATCGCAGTGTATTTCGTTGTGGCGGGAGAGGTGGCAGCGTTCAGGACCCTGGAAGGCTTTGCTGGCAATGCTGTGATTGATGTCATGCCAGTGCACATATCAGACATTTTCCCTGCTTCCAGAGGATAAAGGAACACTCCTTTTGGAACAATGCTGTTGTTACCATGATGCTGATTTCCACATTGGCTGATGGTTGCAATTGGGCAAAAGAGTCATCTACGGAAGATGTGGGCAATTGGTTCACAAGCACAAGACATACTCCACTTTCCAGTGCAACTGCCATTGCTCTTTTTCTCACACAATTGGGAACCCGGGGTGGCCCCAGGAGGAAAGCAATTATAAGTGCATGGGCGCCACCAAGCGGCACGCGCCAACATGAAAGATAGCACAGCCGCCACATAGCTCTCCAGAAGGCCATGAGAGGTATCCTCAGTGTAAGAGCTGATGCGCACGCCTGTGCTTGCTGGAACCCCTTTTGTGTAGAGAGCATGGGTCTTCTTCCTGGCGAAAAGACCAGTGTCGTTGCAGACGTGACGCGCTGAAGCAATTCAGGGTAGGAGTCCTGGGATGGCCCGTACTCGTCTGCTATGCGACTGAGCTCAAGCAGCTGCTGGTGATTTTAGAGGTGGGATGCTCGCACCCTTCGGGGATGAAGACGTCATGCAAAGCAGCGATTCTTACCATCTATTTGGTTTTGTTGCAGGTATCAATGTCTTGCGCAACTTACATTACAAATATGTACTTTTTGTGATGTTCACATCGATAGTTCTGTCGTCACAGCGCACACGTTGTCAGTGACACTGTCCAACTGCCACATAAACTGCTGCATGGTCTCCATAGCGGCACCAAACAAAGCAATATACTGGACTCGAATAAACTGCACAGCAGGGCACTCAAACACGAGATGGCGCTCATCCCCATGGGCAATGTAAGCAATCAACGATAAGAAGACGGCAGAGAGACTGTTGCTAAAAATAGGCCACAAGTTCTTCGATGAGTCATTTGCGTCATGCGAAGCAGCTGACGAAGAAATCAAAGGATAGCCTTGGGGATCTGAGTTCTCAGAAATCTTGCATCGAAAGGAAAGTAGAGAAGTGCAAATTTCCACAACACAAGAAGGGGCGCAGTGATCTTCCAGGATCTAACTTTCTGTCTGTGCAGCTGTTCGCCACTATCCCTCCGGTTTTGGCGCTGTCTTGTCTATCAATTTTCCCAAGATGTCGAAGGAGGTCGATGAATTTTTCAGGGATTGCCCAGGTGAAATTACAGGCGTCATAAAGGTTGTTCAGCAGTTCATCGACAGGCAGCGAGACAGTTCAGGTGGTCGTATCCTTCTGTGTTGTCCTTGCCACAATATTACGGAAATGTCGTGAATTTGGCGTATATTATTTATGCGTGCTTACTTGAGAAGGGCGATCGACCTGCTTTGCCCTGTCTTTTACAGGACATCTACTGAGACCCATAGTATGTGTAACCTCTGGCGGGACCACCGTGCCCCTGGAACAGCATTGTGTGCGTTTCATCGACAACTTTTCGGGAGGGACCAGAGGAGCTCTATCTGCAGAGCAATTTTTGCAGGTCTTGCTCTTTGTGGCCTCACCGCCCTGTGCGGCCTCTTCAGAGCTGCTCTCTCTCATGCAAAGCTATAATATTTGACCTGCAGACTTCCTGTCGCAGGCAGGATATGCAGTAATCTTCTTGCACAGACGGCACTCCATACAACCCTTTACGAAGGGATTTCCTAGCGGCCAAATACTGGACTTCCTAACAGATGTCCTGGAGCCTGATGCAGGTCCTTTTCTGACATCTGAGGGGCCCATGTCCACTCTTGTTGTGGCACTGCAGTCAACACAATGATAGCAACTCCACAGTCTTCGAGTATGTCCTGCTAGGCAGTGGTGGGGCTAGTGAGAGCAAGCAACTCTGAGGGGCTGTCATTTTGGTGCTCTGCAGCGCCACTGCATGGGGTGCATGTAATGGAGAGTGCCAGCGAGCTGGTTTCTGACTGCGTCTCACGCGCAAAGGAGGCTGCTGCACAGGGCGTGCTGCTGAGAGCACCCTTCGAAACACTGTTCGAGTACCTGCAGGCAGGACCTTCACCTCTTGAGCATCATGCATGCTGGTTGTCAAATTTGATCGTTTCCTGCCTGCATGCAATGTCACCTTGATTGCATGCCGAAGATCTCGCTGAAAGATGACAGCAGCGTAGTCATGCATTGATATGCATACGTGCCACGAGCAACGTAAGTTGCATGCCAAGGGCTACTTGATCTCAGAAGCTGATATGTGATGTTTTGGTGCAGAGCCTGCGAGTGATATCTGAGGGTCTGCGGCCGTTTGGGCGTCGCGCAGCATTCTACCTGGCAGCGGCAGTGTCTGATTTCTACATCCCCTGGTCGAGCATGGTTGAGCACAAGATCCAGTCTGCTGACATAAGCGATGGCCTTTCACTGCACCTCCAGAAGGTAACCTCATATTTCCCTCTGTCTTGTGGTGATCAAAATTGCCACGGTGCATTCTGCTTGGGGGTGCCAGAGGGGGGCTGCAGAGGCCCAAAGCACGGCTGTGGATTTGTACATACTTTCACAGGTGTCATGGGGTGCCTCGTCAGCTGGATTCGATATATACTGTTTCTACAGGGCAGATCATTATACTGTAGTTGTCATTCTAAAACCCGCAATGATTTAAAAATTTTGGCCGAAAAGGGTGGATAAATAAGACCCTAACTCTCAAAATATAAAATCTAAGATTATTTTGAGACCAAATTCGAAAAGCTCTCGACAAGCCCAATCCAATGGAGCAAGACCCTGGTACATTGAAATTCAGGAAGGCCACTAAAAATTGCTTTGATACATTTCCCGCACCGCCGAGGGTGCGGGTTTTGGACTATTACAGTAATTCCTTAACGAAAAGGATGTCTGGCGCAGGTGCCGAAGATGCTTGGGGCGCTGCGCTCTGACTGGGCACCGGAGGCGTTCCTGGTCAGCTTCAAGCTGGAAACCGATGACACCATCCTCATCAGCAAGGTCTGCCCGGCTTCAAATGACTACTCCATCTTTTGCTGCGTCACTGCTTATCTATGACAGGAGCCTGCACCTCACACTGAATCACCTGCCAGAAGGCTTCTGCAGAAAGGGAGCCCTCCCATCTCACCTCAGTCCATCTCTCCTGGAGGTCTCTTGCTGAGCACCATGGCTTCTGCTGCTCACCCAACCCCCTGGTGCTATTCAGGGCACTCAAACGGGGCTTCTGTGTAGATTCAATTACAATCGCCCTTCGTTGAGAACAAGACAGCAAGGGGTTGAAGTTCTTCTCTTTGATACCTGTTTTCTGGCCGTCCTGACTAATTCTGCTTGTGCTTTGGCAGGCCAGCAAGTCCATTGCGCGCTATGGAGTGCATGCAGTGGTGGCCAACATACTGGAGAAGCGAAAGGAGGTGGTGCATCTTGTGAGGCCAGCCGCCTCCTGTTCTGGCGCCTGCCAGGCAGCCGCCAATTCAGGCGCTGGCCCTGAGGGGTCGCTGGAGGGTGTGCAAGTTGATGAGATCCTCCGGGGTGATGAGGCGTTCATTGAGGCGCCGCTTGTGTCGCGCATTGTACAGTTGCACAAGGAGTATCAGCAAGGCGGCACATAACCCTGACTGGATCAAGCCAGCAAGACATACGGGGCATTGAGAGCGCCAATTTCAGGAGAACGAACTGCCTCGTGGTTTATATGCAACATACAAGACAAGTCTAGACTGACAACAAAGATGCCAGGGATTTTGGGGGTTCAGATTGATATCCTGTTCTGCATGCAGGTCTCTGATTTTAGTGTGTGGATAGGACATACCAGATCTGTGCTGCACATTGATTGACTCTTAGACTAAGCCATAATTGCGAACGCGCCGGAGGATCATTGCATTTGAGAGAGCTAACATGCTCGATAGTACAAATGCCACATGGCAGCCCCCAGAGAGTTCGGTGTTGAGCTCATGCACCGGCTACAAGGTATTACACACTCAATTGCATGATAATGCCTCAGAGCATGACCAAACATTGATATTTAGATGGCGCAATCTAGATCCCCCGGCTGGCGGGGTGCGGGTTAAATACTGAGCACCGTGCCCACGGTTGATTGGGTCTTGCTTGGATCTGGCGAGTCCAACAAGGGGTAGGATTGTGGCAGCCTTTAACTGCAGCTTGTCTGCAGGACGCACCTTGCCTCTTGGCAGGAAAAGCGTGTAAAAAAAACTAGATCTAGAAGTCCTCCCCTTGCATCAAATCAGATGAACTCAACGAAGTGTTCTGAATCAGAACTTCTTGTTGAATTCTGCACTCATAGCCCTGGTGCCCAGCTCTATAATTGAGCGGAGCAGTAGAGGTGATCAAACAGGGGACTTGCAGAATGCCTGGATTTGCACACGGCACGGTCCCTGGAATAAGAAACGATTCATCCTGCATTTTCTGAAGAGCACAGGACCTCTTCCAAAATCTCGTCCTGCACAGCACAAGCACCCTTGCACACATACCCTTGGACTGCTCATTGTGCTTTGCAGCAGATAACAGCAACTGCAGAGCGTTATCAATCAACAGAGCTGGACTCACCTCTTCAATGACCTTGATTCTGCAGTCACTCTGAGGCTCTGCAACGCACATCAGCGCATAGCCTTTCTCCTTTGCTGTCTCATCCAGCATCCCAGCGCTCTGATCTACCTCGCCAGAGAGCTGCAGACCAAAAACCAGTGCTATTGATCAGTAATGCACCATGAAATACAGCTCGAGGCATGCATGGGGGCACCATGCAGACAATTGCATGCGCCAAAGCCTGCACTGTCCAATTACAAATCTGCATGATGTGAGAACACTGTTGATGGTAGCAATTAGCCATTCCAAGGATGGGACAGCCCAGCTTCCATATTTTCATTTTAGCTTCCGTGTCTAGGCCTAAACTTACCAGTCGAGCTGGGCACGTCATGCAGACTCCCATTTTGCAATCGTGTGTGAGTTCTATTCCCTTGTCAAGGGCTGCCTGCAAAATTGTCTCCCCTTCCTCTACAGTGATCGTCTCTACACCTGTCTGTGTGTCGATGTCTACTTTGTACGCCCGAGCGCTGAACATCATTCGGCGACCACTGGTGCCAGCACATCGGCTCTGGGCTGCTCTGTGTGAGTTGGGACTTCCTGGCCTCCTTGAACAACTAAGCACGGATTTCAGAGCTAAAATCTTAGCCATTCCGAACCAATCTTTTTATAAAGTTCAGATATCAATATTCGAGCAATCACACTTTAATAATTTTCTTGGTCTGAATGCGGAGACAACTTCAATCAGGAAATTAGACACAAAGTACATTGGAATTGTTTGGCCCGTAGCTGCCTTTATCTGGATTGGGTGCACTTTTTGGTTCGGCCAAAATATCATGAGCTCTCGGCAAAACTTACTTCCTCCGCAACATTCCTTCATCCGACGAATTGCGCGAGTTCTACCCTGATTCAACCACCACCATCTGTCGTATCTCAAGCTTACTCAAATTTGCTTTGCAAAATCTGCTCTTTCCCGGATCGACAATAGCTGAGACATGCTGCGCACTCCTGGTCTCAGAGCAGGACCACTGCAGATAACATCAAGTCGTCCTTCCCATTTATGCAGCACTTTCAGACCAAAGTATAGAATGACAGCAAATCCGCCTTGTAGGGGAGCAAGGTACGGGCCAGCACCACTGCCTAGCTCCACGTGTACTCCCATGGTCCTCGTCCAATTCTTTGTTTGTAAGGAAAATATCAGCAGAATAGGGTTGCTTTTTGTTGCAGGAGGGAAGCCTTGATCACGAGCTGCTCCTTGGGACAACGCACAGCCATGGCAGCTGCAGTGCTGTCCCTCCTTGCAACCTCCTGCACGCCTGCGACAGGAGCAATGCCCGCATTCGCCCGCATGTCCATAGACATTGCGGAGGCATCAGAGGTGGAGAGTTCTGCTGAGGCCAGCACCTCAAAGGCGCCTATGCCAGTGTATTTCGGCAATGGCTGCTTCTGGGGCAGGCAGAAGGACTTTGTGGATGCAGAGAAGGCCCTGGGACGCTCTCCTGAGCAGATCTCCTCAGTTGTTGGCTATGCAGGCGGCAGGGAACAAGGTGAGACCTTGGTCACCTCATGGCAGCAGGGTAGCTGCTGTTGATACGTTTGTCTGCCCAAAGCGGCAGCATCCAAGGAAGATCGGTGACTTAAAATACGCAGCAGCTGAATAGCAGCAGCCAGCAGCATTCAACATCTATGTGGCATTTGCATGCAAGGCGCATGCTCCTGGAAGCTCCCTCCCTGATTTGTTTCGTTTGGCTGTCCAGGGCCGAAGGGGCGGGTGTGTTATTACTACGGCCCAAAGAGCACAGTGTACGAGGAGCTGGGCCATGCAGAGGTGGTGCAGGTTCAGCTGGACCCTGACCAATCCCAGAAGGAGATGGAAAAGCTTGCAGACGTGCGCACCATTCCCCTTGACGATTTACTCTTGAGGAGTATATCACAGGGGGTTCCATATCTAAGTTGAATATGGAACACCCTGTTCATCCCAAGGGCCCTAATGTAAGTTAATTAGACGGTCCTGGCCATCAACCATGCAAGGCACATGCCATGCATTGACACCACTCTGTTACTGCATCATGGTCGGCACCGTTGCTCTACCCTGCTCTCATTGGTCCATGCGATGAGCTGGCCATGTGCATTGTAAGTGCGACAGTGCTTGACACAGTATTACTGACAGAACTAATGATTGTTATATGGGTGCAGGTGTACTTCAGCCAGTTCAGGAAGACCCCATTTGGGATGCTGCGGCTGGATCCCCAGGATGCTGGCCCAGGGTACAGGAATGTCATAGGCATTCCCGGCGGCGTTCATTCTCCCCTCTTCAAAGTCCTGCAGGTGCGCTGCTTTTTGAAGCTTGGGAGCTTGAAACGGAACTTGAAATGGATACATCTATGTGCAGCGCGCTCCTCATGATCCAGAGGCATTGGGCATCAATAAAGAGCTGGCGCTTTGTGGAGACATGCAATAGCATCAGGGCTGCGTGGGACAGTCATCATACAGCAAGGTTTCTTCTTATCAGGAGCGCAACACGCTGTTATTGCGAGTGGGATTATTACTACGAAGTGGGTTCGCAGTTGAGCTGCATGTACACATCTGGCGATGCACTGTCAGGGCTGTCGTGAGGTCAAATCACAACAGCGCACCGATATAAAAGTCCACATAACAATTGATTGGCAAAAATGGAGTAGCAGAAGGATTCCCACTGTGCTTGCAGGAGCGGAATGTGCACAAGATGAATCTTGTAGAGGGCGAGGGCAATGCCTTTGTGGATGGCAGGCCGCTGGAGGATGACAAGTTCAACACCGTGCATGTGCTGGTGAGTCAGTCTTCCACCAGCTTGCCACATTCTTGTCTCCAATGCAACCAGTGCAATCTGCTGTGTTAGCTATCTCTGCATGAGGTCCTTGTGTACTACATCAACTCTGTGCGTTTGTATGAAGTAAGTAGCAATCTCAGATCTTACCCCATCATGTACTTCATGAGTCACCCCTGATGTGACCACCCCTGTTTGCTGGCAGGGGCTACCTTTGAAAGTATGATTGGTCAGGGATGACCTTTTATTGTTCTGTGCCACGCAGGACTCGGACAAGCTGCCCTTCAATCTAGCGGAGATGTACCACCAGTTTCACAATGGCATCGGCGTCCCATTCCCAGCCTCCTACACCCAGGACCTCAAGAGAGTGTCTGAGTCAGCCGGGTACATCCGGGAGACAGGCTGCCCAGAGTACCCATTTTGATGCCTGCCTCCAGCACTGCCAGTTTAAATGTTTCAGAGTGGCAGGGATAAAAAATACCTGATTCCAGCCCAGTGATTGAATTTCTCTGAAATCATCGAATAGAACTGGGTAGGGTACGTTGGTACCATCACAAAGTTTGCAGCGGGTGTTTTGGCCATTGTTGAGACCATGAGATGGGCTGCCAAATGGAATGCCACAGTCAAAAGAAGCGCCGCAATGATTGGCAAATCACTTCTTTAATACTGTGCGGTGTCTTTGCAGTGCCCATTATGTGTCTTTCATACCGGCATTTCAGACTTGACTGGATGTCTATCACCCACAAGCACAGCAGTGCACCTACTGATCTGCAGGCGGATTGGTCTGGTGATACTATAAGACACCATCCGGCATTTACAAACCTTCAAGTTTTTCGAGTTCAAACGTGTGTCCTACTGAGGCGCGCCGGCATACACACAGCCTGCCTGCTGCACCGGCTGCAGCACGCTGATGTCAAAGCCCAGCGCCTGCGCCTCCTGCGCAAGTACACAAGCTATCAGATGCCAGCACTGTACCGCAACAGTGCTTCAGACTGTTGAGCAGCATCTGTTTTACTAAAATATTGTCTTATTCCTTAAGCGTGGAATATTCTAGTGAGATGCACCTCACATGAACCCTCCCAGCATGAGCAGGAGAAAAGCCGTGGCAGGAATTTGTCTCAGAGATGTGCTCTATTTGACCGAGAAGCCTAACAAGCCAGGTAAGAGAGCACACGCGTCGCCCAGGCGTAAGCGCCACTCAGATTATCAGCAGTGCACAGAAACATGCTTGCGTTTACTTGATTCAACATGCCTGATGCATGCACATTGTTGTCGGAGAATTTTAGATGGGTATGTGCACAGAGCGTGACGCATTGCCCAAAGTCCGGACGCACCCTCGGCGGCAATGACTAACATCACTGCAGAAGGGGCGTTGTCACTTGGTGACTAACACAAGGCAGCCAGTGAGGCCTTGCAAACTGCGCAAAAGCTGGTGAGCCCGAGAAGAGCGGCACCTGCAGCATGAGCTGTAGGTTGGTGGGGTCGGCGGGGATGCGCGAGTATAGCCAGAGGCCGATGTTGCGAGTCTGCACTCGCTCCAGCAAGATGTTCGAAGACCCCGTGCGGCAGGCTCCGTTCGACGGCGTTGTCGGGGCCCCCGCGCTGAGTATGGCCCACTGGTAGCCTGATCAGGTGCAGGAAGTAGTCAGCACGGAAATTACTAAGCAATTCTCTGCATCTGTTGCGCCATTGCAGTGTGTGCTGTGGTTTTGATGCTTTCAGGCAGATCTCAGGCAGTCTCTCTGCCGAAATGCCAATCTCATTGGACAGCTTGCATTTGTAGAGACACCGGTATGCACGTCTTCCCTAGCTCAGTCTGCAAAATTTGAGGCACCCATTCACCCAACCCGGCGCTCGCACGGCCTTGTGTGTCTTGCATCCCTGGTTGAAGTGCAGGGACTCCAATACCACACACTGAGCGCCAGGCAAAGGAGGTAATCCTGCATCCTAACAGCAGGGAGTGCTTATTTTTCGAACAAGGATGAAATTGGGGATGTTGTATAAAGAGAGGCGCACCTCTGTAGTCTGGCTGTCCTGGTGCGCTGGGTCCAGCAGCCACGATCCAGGTGGAGCCCAGGGTGTCAAGGGGCACGTCCCGAGCAGGGTCCAGGGGAATTGGATCGGGCACTGCCACCTGCGCACACATGACTGAAGCCATTAGTACCTTGCAAGGATCGCGCACGGCCACCTGTGTGCTGGGACACACAAGGTGAATTACCAACTACCAACTTGCGAAGAAATTTACGTACTCCCTGCCCGTTGCTGTCTCCCATGCTAAGCCTACTCTCTGGCCTGAATACACGACTCAAGTAAGCATGCGTAGCCGTTACAAGCTCCAGACACATGCAAATGGCATTTAGTTCTTTCCAGTGAGACAGAGACTCTCTGACTGATGAAAGGAATTACGAGGTGGAAGCAAGTACAGCCGTACAAGGCTCCAGACAAATGCGCCTATCATCTATCAATCACATGGGACGGCAGGACGAATGCATGCAGCACCTCGATGCTGCAAAGAACAGTGCCTCAGCATATCGTACAGCCTTCCAACTCGAGGGGCATCCAGCTAACAGCCTAGAAAGAACGCAGTCGAAAATGGAGGTACCTACCTTGACATGGCCGGTGATGTTGAGGTAGGGGTATGGGAAGTAGGGCCCAGTCGCCCAGGATGCTAGCTGGGTCTTGTCAGGGATTCGCGCCGCCCAATCACTCCTCATGAAGCTGCACTCAGACACCCAGCCATTATTACAGTTGGGCAAATCCAAAGCCAAAGGCCATAGGGCATACACGCAGGGCGTCTGTAGCCACGTCTGCGGGGCCTACACAAGCCTGCAGCCTTAAATTGTCTGTGTCTGCGCAACTGAATCTGGTCAGATCAAGATGTGGCAGGGAACAACATGCACGGCTGGGTGTGCTTTGATGGATTGCCGACACAGTGCAGACATAGCAGCAGAGCACTCCCTGGACAGCATGCAGGTGTGGGCAGGCTTTGATGTGTTGCTGATCCATAGCAGACTTTGCAGCAGAGCATTCCTCGGCCTGGCATGTTTGAGGCTCTGCAGAAGGGAGGGGCAGAAATGTGGTGCACCTGATGCCTCCTGTGCCCAGCTGTTGGCCGTTGGCCTGGTACAGATTCGAGTAGTCCTTCACCAGAATGGGCTTCTGCGCTTGCAGAGGAGACACATCAGCGAGCATGAAAATTGTGTTTTGCTGCAATGGCACATCGATTTTGCAATTTGATGACCTGCCCACGCGATGCAGCGTGAGATAGTTGAACTTGGCTTACTGTGGAGCAAAGTGGGACAGTGACTTGCCGAGAGGTCAGTCGAGTCGCTGGGCGTGTATAGGGTCCGTACACAGTAAAGGGTCGAGACGGGTTGGTAGAACGTGGGTTGCTGCAAACCATGAATACCCAGTCAGGCAACAGAGCTGCACTCACAAGCCGTCAAAAGCGTGAGAGGTGCAGCTTTTGTGCAGATGACTGAAAATGTGGGTAGCACTGTAGCACACACAGAAAGATGGTCTAAGATGTCTGAAAAGTCATGAAAGATGGTGTGTCAGACGCACCATTGCCTGCGCAAACCAGGGGCCTGAAATGAAGTTCTCAAGGTCGAAGTTTTTTAGTGGGGCAAGGTTTGCAGGCGGGCAGCTGGCTTGTGATTGCAGCAGTTTTCGTCGGCCGCCGACTACTTTGGATTTCGTCTGATATGTTTGGCCGTCATCCCTGAATGCCTGCGGTCAATATGAGCACCCTTACTTGTGAGCATCTTCAAATGCCTTGCCACAGACTTTACAAAACATCCCACTGACGCTTGCATCTTAGATGATTGTGTAATGGTGGGTGATTTAATGCAACTGTTCGCATTTGTTTTTGAGAAAGTGTCGAAGAAGCCATCGTTTACCCAAAGTGCACCCATTGTTGGGCTCACCTCTTGTCTAGGCAAACTATATTGTGGCATGTTATGGAGTCCCCCGTTCTTCTCCAAGGCTTCACATGCTAAAATCTGTACAATGCATATGAAAGTCATGGCAATCGACATTGCTCCTCTGCTCGGTCTATTCGTCATGGGCCCTCTGCCTGAACAGCTCGCGGGCTCATCCGGCTCAGCACTGCCTCTTGACGCAGCCGTCACTTCCATAGGAAACTTTTCAGGGCCCGATTGTCTCCTTGTAATCTGCACAACCGCATAAAAACCAAGCATTTGTCAACATCGGACTTCTGTCCGGAACCTGGTTTGCGTGCGAGCCAAGATAGGCTTAATCAGCATGTGACTTACACGTGCGATGGAAGCCGCCGCTCACTAGGGGAGGTGTTTCTTGAGGCGCAACAAGAGCAGAAGTAGACCTAGGTGCCCCTGGAAAGCATCACGCGCTGCCAAAGGATAAAAGCAAAGTAGTGGAAAGATGATCAACGACGAGGGAGAGACAGTTGACTTGTATATCCCCAGGAAATGGTACAGTTTCTTATCCTGCTGATGCCGTCAGCAAGCATACCCTCAGATTGGTGCTAGAGGAAATGCCTCGAGGTAGCAGAGTGGACGTTTTAAGATTGGATTTGGAGCTGTACTGCTGAATCGAGCTATTTTGACAGTGTTCATCATCCTCAGTGGTTTCAGTGAACTCTTTTCATGTCTGGATTGTCCTTTGAGTGCACGGATGACTTCTTCTAGGTTGCATCTTATGATGTTATGCTTTTGGTGCCGGTGCAGCTCGTGGACTAACAAGCTCATCACTGCAAAGGACCACGCCAGTGTGCAGATCAACGTTGGCCACCTCAACGAGGAAGGCGTGTTCAACGGCGACTTCACAACATTTGCTTTGGCAGGGAACGTCCGTGCCATGGTGCGCATCTGGGATCCTTAACAGAGCCTTTATGTTCTGTGCGGTGTTTCCTGATGCAGGCGGGTTCTCTACCGCGTTTCTATGTTCTGTTATTCATTATCATTGGACATTGATATGCAACCCTGTCGGGGTCTGTTATCTAGCAAGACTGGTGTGTTGAGGTAAGAGCTTTCAAATGATAACGCTGCGGGTGGTTCAGGGCTCTGGAGACTCCGCTGTGGACTCTCTCTGGAAGAAGAAGGCAGAGACCTCTAAGCAGCAATAAGTGCATGTGAACGCTCGGGGGCTTCTCAAGACTCGGCCGATGTGTGGCGCTGTGACGGCTGCGCAAAGACAGTGTGCCTGGTAGCTCAGCTTGGCTTGGCAAGGCTTGTGCTGTGCGACTAGCGTCCTGCACTTGTCAGCTCCGGACGTGGCCATCAGGCAAAGTCGGAGAGACTCCAATGGTGTAACGTCACGTGCTTGCTCTTCTTTGATTCGCGATGCTGATTCATGCTGATGCTGGAAACTCACCGTGCAAATTTTCAGGAAGACCGGAATCAAACTTCTGTCTGTCGGCCCAAGCAAAGACCTTCTGTTCTCGCGCAAACTTTGAATGCATCGCTGCATTCCAAAAAATATTCGGTTCAGGTCAGCCAAAACTCTGGACAGCCACTCCAGCAAATGACAGAGTCAGTCTCTCTTGAATAGCAGTAGCATCCAAACAATTGCTGACACAGGACTGTTCTTCACAAGGGCACTCAATATGACAGGATGGCCCCTTGCGCTGCCGGTTGAATTAAAAGACCCTCAGGAGAGCCCGACTTAATACACGTTCTTCATTGTCAACACCATCTACAGCCTCAACCCATGCTCACGAAGCGCAGTCACACTTTGACCTCACCAACTCATCTCAGTGCTGACCTCATTTATGATCTCACATCACCCTTAGTACGGTATTTGCTCTGCCACCTAGAACCCCCATATTACAGAAAGTCTGCGCTACTGATCTGGGCCTTGAGCCTTCTGGGGCCCTCATCTGTCTGAACTCTCTCCCTCCATAACCTCTCGCAGGACAATCTCACAATGGTAGCTCCCATTGACCCGCACTTCAGATGGATGTCTCTTGCTGCTTTCCACCTGACAGCCAGCTCCTGCTGACCATGCAGAAGGCCTGTTCTAGGAGCTAATGTGGTCTCCAGCGCAGCAAATATCTCAACACCACCCAAAAAACACCACGCCTCAGCTGAATATAGAATCGCCACCGGGCTCAGATGTAGGGGCGCAGCGCGGCATATATCCCCCGCCACGAAGCCACACTCCAAAGCGATGCAAAAATCACCTCCAGCTGCAGCACGAGCACCAGAAGTCAATAGCATAAACAACATCCAACACGTTTATTGCACAGGATCATGCCAGTCCTACACTGCAAAGCTAGGTTCAAGTTGACACGAATGTAGAGCAGTTTTGCCATCTGTGAAAGCTGAGCTTGCCCCAAGCCCAAGCCTTCCCATAAACTGTCAAACAGCTGGAGATGGGGTCTGTGGGGCCAGCTCCGTTCTGAATGCCGGCCTCCCAAAATGCCAAATGGTGTACTCAATGGTTCGTTCGAGATTGTGAAGGCCGTGCATGTGAGGAGTGCGGTACCTGAGCTGGCAGCTGCGCATCGCTGCTGTGGGAAACCAGCACTGCAGGGTCCAAGATGTGGTGAGTCACCATGGATGCGTAGCTGGCTAGCACTGTGGGCACAAAGAGAGCCTGCACACAAGGACACAGCCACCATCAAACATCAGCGTTGCCTATTTATCCCTTGAGCCAATAGTGGAGCTGCAGCCTGCACTGTGGGCGCAGAGAAGGCCCCGCGCATAAGCGCATAATTAGCCCATCATTCCCTCAGCCTAAGTCAGAGCTACATGAGCTGGTCCATGTTGTCCAAGATAACATATTGATTGCGACGATGTCAATTGATTGTCAGACAGGGTAATTTGCCAAAGGCAGGGCAATTCTATGTACAAGGAATGAGACTGAGAATGGGAAGGAAATGAGGCGCACCCAGGTGACAGCTGCAGAGAAGCTGGCAAGGATCATGGCTGTCTGCTGAGCGCCAAAGACCGTGCTGGGCGTTCTGTACCTGTAGTCACCCTTTGCCACCGCCACGCCAACCCATGCCAAGATCGTGACTGTGCAGTGCAGTCCGCAGACAGATAAGGGAATTCGCTCGCTCGCCTGCAGGTGCATTGCAATTGCGTCAATGCCGGTCATTTGCATGCCCTGTGTGCTTTGCATTTTCTTGAATGCTCACACTCACACAGGGAAACTCACGCAGGATGGTGCACTTTTATGCAGAACGTGCAAGACGAGACACCATCAAGGCATACCAGCTCTGTTGCCATCAGGGTCAAGATATCTCCCCAAGCCATGGTAGTGTCGAGCACATTCTTGGACTTTGGACGCCTAGGGCTCTTGTCAGAACCCCATAAGAAAGCCGTGGTTGGATGGCTCAGGTTCTTCCTGCTTTGTAGCCTGCAAGATGGGCTCGATCTCCTGAAGCATCGAACCTTGTTCGACAGACTTGCAAGGCTACTCAGGAGCAACCTTGAGCTTGAATCGCCAGTGCCTGCGTCACATCAGAAGATTGAGGACTCGCATGCAGGTACAAGATGGGACGATGCACCTAAGAGAAAGAGATGGCAACAACCCTTTGTCCTGGCGCGCGCAAAGGACTTGCGATGTTCTCGGGCAGTGTTTGTATGCGATGCGTACGGATGATCACTCACCTCTATGGACACCCGATTGGAGAATTTGAAAATCTGCTGCCCATCCAATAGAGCTGGTCTGCATTTCAGTGCAGGAAAGCGCTACGGATCCTGTCTTCCAAAGCCAGGACTTGGGAGTGGTGGAGCCTGATCTCAATCTGTACGGATCTTCTTTTTAAATTGCCCGTTTGTATGGCAAGTCGTTCTCCGTGTTCTTTATGTAGGACGGGAACTTAGGGATTGTCGGAGACCCCGATCTGAAGTCGAATTCAGTCAAACGAAGCGACGACACCTGAAGCCTTCAAGACACTGGTGTGAAATGAATTCTGTGCTCAATTAATGGAGGAGCACGAACGTTTCGCGTCGGATATGTGCAATCTCCGCACATGCATGCACATGGCAAAAGGCCACGACTGCGCAACGGCGATTTCATATCACCCAAATAGGTAGAGCATTGCATAGCATTCTACCAAAAGATCAGGGCTGTTAAGCTTACACAGAGGCGACTTGGAATCCGCACACCGCAGCATGTTGGCACAATCCTGCCGCCAATATCTTATAGTACCAACGTGTGCAGCGGAGCTGTCTGACTGCGCTGCCTGCATGCACTGCATGCAGTGCTAGCACAATAATAATACATACCAACATGTGCTGAAGGCATAACTTGGAGCACTCTCATTATATCTGTCAATTCTGCCAATACAAGTTCAGACACTCAACTGTGCCCTCAGTATGGCTACTCAGCCACTGCGGCAGCGCATCCTCCTCCTAGATACTATCGTAGCACCGTCAAAGTATTCTACAATCCGTCAATGTGATCCAGAATGTTGCGATGCATGCGCATTGCCTGCATGCTCGGCCCACTTTATTGCACACGGATGAACGCAAGCTTTGTGGTTCAAGGACACAGAGCAGCAATAACCACCATCAAACCACGGCAATCAACACGGATATCCAGTGGGACAATCATCGGGGCGTCTTGGAATGTCAGACACTGTGCTTTCCTTGCAACACTTGGCAGGCCATGTTGCAGACATCCATGGACCCAACTTTAAATAGCAGTTCTCTGGAGTCAATTCATCCGTCGAGACATAAGTATTTCAATACTGGCTGTCTGGCATAATGCAGGTGTCATCAGCAATGCCTAATGAATTGCAGTTGTCACTGAACTCTCCCCTAGTCATTGAGAAGCACTCACTGACGGCAAGTGGTGAGTCTCTGGGAGACAGAAAGGCAAGTGGTGAAATGTCTCCCTAGCTGTCAATAATGAAGTAGCTCGCATCGGTGCTGTCAAGCTTGCTTGCCACGCTGCCCGCCCTGCTGGCAAAGCGTGCATAGCGTGACACAGCCTCGCTGATAGCCTCAAAGTCTGGAGCCACGTCCTGGTCTCGCGCCAACGTTGCCTGCACGAAAGAAGCCCCCTCCCGATAGTTCACTCCTGCACAGACAGCGCCTGAATTAGATACCAGCGGATGCTGGCACAGGCAGCCTGCACTGAGAGCGAGCGCCATGAATAAGAGGAACTGTAATTCACCAAAAACAGGTGCAACACCACAATGAAAGTTCTGAGGCAATGCATGTACATGCAAAGTATAGAGACTCCTCAGCAGGTGAAATCTGTGCTTTAAGCACCCAGACCTTAGTCCAGCAAAGGGGTGTTTCGCTGCCCCGCAAATCAAGCACTTGAGCAATCTAAAAATCTAGTGAACCTTGGATCTAGGGGCCGTACCGGCGGGGTGTTTTTCGAGCTGCGAGGGTTTGCAGCGCGACTCATTGTTCAAGTGGATCTGGAAGGGCAGATACTCTTGTCCTGGCGGTGGGGATGCCAGAAGTACTGGGACGGCCAAAACAGGAGGCTGGGGTGGGAAAAGCGGCAGGGGAAAATCTCCAAAAAGGCTGACCCCGGCCGCATGAAGTATGTGTTCACCAGACCCGCTCCATGCACCCCCACCTGTTCACAAAATGTGAGCCGAGTTTGAAATTTCACACCCAAACTTAATGTCAAATCATGCAGCTCAAACTTGATTGCTGAAGATCTGGTGAAACAGCCACCATGCTGCTTCCAGACTCCGTGAAACTATTCTTGATCATGGCTGCAAGAGCGTGACCAGGGAAAGAACCACTACAATTTTGTGCCCTAAGGCTGTTTCAATCAATTGCTGGATGGCAAAGTGTGGAATAATCCCCTCGCCATAAATATGTCAAGTGAAGTCATATAAAGGCTGCACTTGAGCTGCTGAGAGTGGCACTGAGCGCAATATGTGCGCGATATCATTTGCAACGAGATGATGTTCTTATATGAGGAGCATCAGTCTATACATATGTGACAATCAGGACAAAGTTCTTAGAGCTACGCACCACCTTGTTTGCATGCACTTTTGGGGCCAGAACAGTACTAGAATTGCCGAATATTTTACGGAAAGCAGACACATGAGAACTTCAGTGAGTTGAAGATGGGCAGTGACAGACTGCCCACAAGACCAAGGAGCCTCAGGTGGCTTCCAAAAGGTCTTTTAATGTAATAATAATTGTAATTCTTCAAGGGGTGAAGGAGTCATTTCTCACCAGGATGTCGATGGTCTGCAGCTCTGCCAGAAGGCCTGTGAAGTTGCCCACGTCATCAAAGCTCACAGCCGTACACTGCACGCTTCTGTTGCGCGGTGCTTCTCCCACTTGCAGCTCGTTGCATCGCCTGATCAGGTCCTTCAGGTTGAGGATGTGGCGCGATTTGGTGCGCTCTATGAACGCCACCTGTCAAGCAAGAATGATATTTTGAATATGCTCAAAAATGCAAATTGAATATGCTCAAAACGCCACTCTCATTACAAGAATGATGCACCCTTGGTGCAAAGGGAACCAAAATTAAGCTGCCAACGTCGAGCATGCCCGTGTGTGCTTGGCAGTTTCTGCAGTGCAAGTTTCAACTCAGCTCAGACAATCCGGCTTCTTGTCACGATGGTGGTTGTCTGTGGCTTTGGCTGGCACTTACCTTGATTGCAGTGCCAGCCTCTCTTGCCATTGATGCATTGGCTTGCTGTTCGCTCAAGTGGTGATTCACAATCTGCACATGAGCAAAGATATGCACTCAGCAGAGCACCGAAAGGAGTCACGGATGCTGAGTCAACAAGGTGACGGGATGAATGACTGGACACTCATTTATTTATATGCAGGCATGCACGCCTGATTTTTATTGCTTCAGTGAAGCGCAGAGCCTATTTGGTACCAATTAAGGCATAGGATCAGCTCTTGGGTTGGCTGGAAGCGATGCATGTGACTGGCTGACTGACTAATTGACCGAATTTCTGGCCGAGGTCCCCTCAGAGAGGGGTAGGAAGTGCACAAATGCCAGAGAAGAGATCCTACCTTTTGGCCAACCCTGGTTGGCTGAAGCCCGGCGCTCCAGTTGCCATCAGCTGGCTGGTTCCACAATCCCTGCAGATTGCAGAACAGCAGACGCTGGAAGCAGCGGCTGCCGGCCCTTGTTCTTGCTGACACATCAGCCAACGGTGTGACCTGCAGGAGTGGACATAAGACAGTCTTGTTATAGGTCAAACCTCAGGGCCCAAATATGGCATATTGCATGCACGCGTGCCAGGTATGCCCCGATGCATCCCAGATTACCCCGATGCCTTTGCAGGATGGAACGCCGTAGCGTCCTACGGCAGCTACCTCTCTTTCCTGGGAGGGTGAGTGACTCAAGAATACGTGAGGAGTGCCCAAGATGTCAAACTCTGGAGTACAGAGGGCAACGCATCTAGCAGAGTGGAGTCACTCTGTGCAAGCCAGAAAGCCATCCCAAAGAGATTTTTGAGTGATGACCAACCGTCTTGAATGTCAAGTGCTCAGCGCAGGCATGCATGGCAAGCCCACTGGCACAAAAAAGAGTATCTTGCAGCACTATCTTCTCCTCCAACCTTGCGTGTGGAGTCCTGAATCTCACCGGTGGATCCGTCAGCGGCGCAAACCACCACTGGTAGAACCTTGGCGGCCGGAGACCGTCCAAAACAGGCACCAGCTGCACACTGCTGTCAATCACGCCCTCTCGCAGCATGCGCTCAAGTGGCAGTACACTGTTTAGATAGACGTCCGCTGGGTTGAAGGGCCACCACGGCCACCAAACCAGAGGCACCTGCGAAATTCACCCCTCTGATCAGAGAAACAATTTCGATAGTGCTTGCAGAAGCTGCCTCATCTAACAGCAGGCCATACCTCTTCCACCTGTCCTTGCTGAATATCAGCTATTTGCAAGGCACCTGACATGGCAAATTAAGGCATCCGCACAGATCACACTGCTCTTCCAGAACTTGAGCTGATGGTGACGAGGCTGATACGTTTGAATGAAGGCATCTGCACAGGTTGAAGCTTTGGGGGCAGTGCAGCGTGTTCTGGAAGTTCCAATGTCAGCGGCGAAGGGGATGGACTGCCACCTGGCAGGCTTGGAAGGTGGGTGACTGGATGTCCGGCGGGTCAGCGCTGGAGTTGCCCCGCTGCAGGATGGGGAAGAACTGAGTCTTTGCCCCCTGCACAAACCCCGATAGTACCCCTGCTTTATAAACCCAGCAACTGTGCCATAGAAAAACATTTTCTTTGCAACGCCATGAGCAAGCCATGCCTACTTGCTGGCAACCGCAGAGAATGCATTGTGGGCTGGTCTTGAGATCAGAGAAGCAGACAGGATTTGACATCCCAGGGGAACCCCTGGAATTACTCTCATGCTTCTGAGTCCTGGGACGGTGTTCTGGTCTGCCCAGAACTCTCTGCAGACCAACAGCCAAATTGAAGTAGGCAGATCAGAAATCCCTGGGATTGTCTTATTATTTTTATTACCCGCGTTTCCTGCCCATAGGCAAGGTGCGTTCTGCAGACAAGCTGCACTTAAGGGCTGCCACAATCCTACCCCTTGTTGGACGCGCCAGATCCAAGCAAGAGCCAATCAATTGTGGGCACGGTGCTCAGTATTTGTACCGCCCCCCGCCAGCCGGGGGATTGTCTAGAGACATTGAATTGTGGTGTCTGGGCTGCAGTGCACTTCTGCGGAGGCACTGTCAAACCCTGGTAGCAGAAGAGGGAAGAACAGCATCTTACCCGGACATTATCAGGGAAGCCAGGGATGTTGTGAAAGCTCCCGTGGTCGAATATCAGCCCCTCCTCAAACCCCTCTCCCGGCTGCAGCCTCTTATCGAACACAATGAATCGGTTCTGCACTTTGCACAGAAGGCCCTCTCTGTCAGCAAACCAAAGAAAGCACTCACATGCTGCATGTCAGTCCAATGTAGGAATACAGGATACGTGCCTAGCTGCCAGTCTGTCTGCCAACGCATGGGCTAATGGATACCTGAGCCTGAGTCCGAAGCGTTGAACAATGCAATTGTCTGCGCTAGTCAACTCGAGCAACTGGCAAAGCTACACTGCCCAGTGCAAGCTGCAGTCAAGAGCATGTTTTGATGGACAGGACAGTACATCCTGTCAAGGATGCTACAGTAAAATTCCCTGCAGGAAGGGCGCTGGAAGAACTTTGTTCCCCAAATTCACCTGGTCAATGCAGACCTCTTCGCGAGCAAGACATCCATGCTTCTCCAGCTGTACCCAGTCCACGTTCGGAACTGTGCACTCAGAATCTGTAGCTGATTTGCTCTCCGTTTCACTGCTCGCACCCTTCACAGCTGCATTACAGGGCACATGTAATCATATGTGATTACAGGGCACATTTGTTACACTGGGCAACATGAGCCTGAGAGTATGAAAGTAGTCAGCTGCACTGCGCTGCTGACATACTGTTGTCTTTGCAGCAATGCGGAGCTGTTTACCTGTTGTTGATGTGTTACCTGCCCTAGGGCTGGGGTATGGAATTTGATTGAGATCCTGTGCATCATGAGATGTCCTGCCATACTGGACGCTGCGGGACTTGGCTGTGAAGTTGGAGACGAAAGATAGATCTGGCTTGTAGTCCTCTTCAAGAGTCGTAGACAGGACTGTATCAAGTTGTTTGTCTACAAACTGCTTCCTCTCTAGCGTCACTGAATGGAAGCTGCTGCCAGCACAGGATATCAGTCAATTGACGTGGAACAGGGGCAAGGATCGTCGAATTTATTTCACGCAGGCTTCTCCAGACCATCATAGAATATTACGTGTACAGTCTCCTACCTTCCGTGTGGTGTCAGGGAGACGTGAACGTCCGCTATTAGAAAGACGAGAAGCGCTCCAGTGATGAAGCATAAGATGCCGCAACTCGACCAATGCATCTTCCCTTAAGCATCAGTGTTATCTAGACGACCTTGATGCCTTTAGACCCAAACATAGCGTGCTTGGGTTCCTCAACGGAGCTGCCCAGGTTGCGACAGCTCCCTAGGCTTGTCAGGAGGATATCATGAACCAGGACATAAGCTTGTCTCAATCATGCATAGTATTCTTAGGTAAGCATTCCAGTACTTAAAGCATGCAGAATCCCATTTATAACACCGAAATTGATGATGAAGACTAGCACAACCGGAACCTTGGACGAAATATGCAACTTCCGTTAGAAGAGCAGTAGATTTCGTCGCACCAACGTCCTGTGTACATTCACCAAGTCCATCCAGTTTGGTATTTAAAGCCTCGAGGGACCTGTTCAGACTCGTCTTGGCCGCAAAATTTGCCCAGACTCGGAAGTGGCCCTTACTAACCTTTCCATCACGTGGATGCAACATGACGCCCAATGCATGTCGGCAAAGTGAAAATTTGCAGGATTCAAGTTATGGCCTCCTCAAGTTGTCAAGCGCCAGTGGCTTCGTTGCATACCAGATGCATGTGCCACGCTGGTCATCATTGCAAATCTCATTCTCAGGATGATTCACCATCAGCATGCTATAGGGCTATACTTAGCGCTAGCACTTGAGAATCATCTGGCTTCTTTCAGAATCATAATAGAAAATGCACAAGATGCCAGGTGCCACGGCAGCATGCCTGGCTCATGCCAGCACTGATAAGTCAATTGCATAGCACCTCAAATGCTGATCGACATGACAACGATCGCTCACATGAAAACCCTCGATGCTCAATCTCAATACTTCTGCGGTTATGCAACAGCAATGCAACCTAGCCGGCAAAACCGCGTTTTTGGCCAACCAATGTCTGACTGTTACCTACTAGTGCAATCCCACATCAGCTATTTACTCATCGCCACCCAAGATCAGCTGAAGTTTTGTAGCCTGCAGGCTGATTAATCTTCACATCATGTCAGATTGCATGTGACAACACATTCCCTTCTCAAAGCTCATGCACCAGGAGCCATCAGTGCATGCACTAGCAGCAGAAAAGTGTCTTCACTCCTGCCCGATGACAAAGTAGCCCAGGTCTCTCTCTGGCACGGCTTTGAAGTCTGCAAAGGTGCCATTCATCACAGGCAGCACCGCCTTTCCGGCCCACCAATGTCTCAGCACTATCTACTCAAAGCCTTCCACTTCAGTCCATGCGATCAGGGAAGCTCAAAACCACACCTTCTCAAGATCTGACAATGAGGGGTTCCCTCGTCCAGGCTCCTCAACCAGATGCTATCACTGCATTGGACTAGCAGCAGATGAATACGACTACATCCCTTCTCTGACATAAATTAAAGATAGTAACCATGACTACGAATCCTGCCCGATGACAAAGTAGCCCGGGTCTCTCTCCAGCTGGGCCCTGAAATCTGCAGAGGTGCCATTCAGCACTGGCAGCACTCTGGACAGCATGTCTGCCAGTGCCTCAAAGTCCAGAATTATGTCCTGGTCTCGAGCCAGTGTCTGGCGCACAAACTCCGGGCCCATCTCGTGGTTCAGCGCTGCACCACACACACACACACGGTGACAATTCAGCAAGGCAGGAGACATGTACGTCTTAGCAAAGCACTATCACATGATCACGCACGCCGCAATTTGTTCCAAATCAAACAGAGGCTTTCTGATACCGGCCAAACCAGGCTGTCTCTGGAGCCTTGCTTTGCATGTCATCCAGTATGGCGCCCCGTCTGACACAATTCCAGTGGATTGCAGTCTGCTATCACTGCATTAGTCACTGGCTGTCTCAGAAAGCCAACGCGCCTGTGCGCACCTTCAGGTTTAGATGCAAGAGGGCTGGGCATGCAGCGGGCAGGGTCCTTGGTGTACAGCTGGAAAGCGTAGGTCTGAGCCTCCACATGGCTGGGATGCCAGTAGTAATACCTGCGATTATGCATGATCATGTCACCGATTACTATAGATGACTCATTTCCCAAGAGCTCGACAGCGCCTGTCTTGTGGCTGAAATGCCAGTGATACTATCTGTGATCGTGCATGGCCATATTGCAGGGTAAGACTGACGAGCCACTCCCTGGGTGTTGTCTTCCAGAGAATCCTAAATCGTGGCATTTTGAACACTTGATAGTTGATCAGCAGCTTAGCAAAGAAATTATTACCGGTGGTGCTCCGTGCCAAAGTCGCAGGGAAAGATCTCGACAAAGGCGGTCCCTGGCCGCATGAAGTAGGAGTTCACCAGGCCGGCCCCATGCATGCCCACCTGAGAACATGCATCAAACTTTTATTCTTGAGCCTGGTCTTGTCTGAAGTATCTTGCTCAAAGATTTGACGATATGCTTCAGCAGAGAAATTCCCCCGTTGACAAAGCCTGCAGCATGAACGAGCTGCCCAGCACACGAAAAGGCCAAATGCCCTTAATTGTGGGGTAAGGCACTTTTCCTCTTGTGTGCACTTGTTCGATTTAATTCCGCAACCACATGTGGCTCCAAGGGAAAAACCAAGTGAAGGCATCCCGAAAGCGATGCCAACTTCAGCTCAATGAGCTTCAAACCACTCCTGAAGGACAAAGTTTACCAGGATGTCGATGGTTTGCAGCTCGCGCAGCAGGGCAGGGTAGTCTATGATGTCATCAAAGCTGATGACGGTGCAGGTGAGGGCGCTGCCGTCTGCTGGGGCGAGCCCTCTGCAGCGCTGAGTCACCTCCTCCAAGTTCAGGATGCGCCTCTGTGTGAGTCGCTCTATCAGCGCCACCTGCAAATTCGAATGCACAGTTAAATGGACTAGTCAGAGGTCATCTGAAGCCTTGCGGTCCAAAGAAATAGGAATGCACAGCATGATTCCCTTGGCAGTGTCTGTCCGGGAAAACTCTTGACGCCCTTGCACATGAGGTAGGCTACAGAAACCTGCACAGAGAAGCTGCATGCCAAGAAAAGTAACAAATAAGTGCTGGCTGTCAGAAATGTACTTGATTAGGCTCTGTTGCGTGCCTTTATGCTTCGGCGTGCCGCAATGTTACTCGTAAGGCTTCCATTCCTTCCTGTCTGAAGATGATATTCCACTATCTGCAGCCAAAAAAACAGATGCAATGGCCAGATTTGCAATGGGTAGATATCAGCCAGAATCTCGAGCCATCCTTGTGCGTGAACTTTGTACAAATGGCAGGCTGTGCTCCAGGACCTGGCAAGCCTGCAATGTAGCTCAACTGCCTGGGAGCGCCACAAACTCGCAAGACTGTACTCAAGGGGAGAGCTGTGAGGTTCCTTCAAGAACTTTCTTAGATTGATCTGGGTATCTGCATTGAGAGGTAATAATGGGGGCTGCTGGGGTGTTTGCCCGAGTTACCTGGTGCGCGACAGAGCTTGGCTGCAGGCCGTCCAGCCAGGATTTGTCTGGTGGCCAGTTCCAGAAGCAGTGCTGGTCGCACAAGACCACCCGTTCAAAGCATCGCCTGCCTACCCTTGTCCGTGCTGACATCTCATCCAAGCTCTCAACCTGCATGCAACGCTACTGCTCTACTTTCTGCAAATAGTACTAGATTGGCTGGGCATTCAGCTGGGCATTGTCTCTGTGTGCTCGGCAGAGTAGGCAAGCAGGTGGCAGTGAGCAGGGAAGCAAGAGGCCCGTTTTTCATGCACTGGAGGCATGCATTACTAGACACTTCACTCAACAGGTGCAATTTTGTCTGTGAAACTCTGGCATCCACATGGACTGACTGATGGAAACGCTCTAGTCAAAGTAGTCATGGATGCATTGCCGCAGGCAGGTTTGACGATGAGTATCATGCGAGAGCAGGCTACAAGGTCTCCAGCTGGGCACCTTGTGGTCAGAGAAGGGCGAGAGAAACCAGCTGTGGAAGGGCATGCTTTCCAGGCCGTCCAGAACAGGAACAAACTGGACCCCGCGATCCACAATGCCATCCCTCTGGAGGCGTTCCAGCTGCACCACGCTGCTGAGGTAGAAGTCCGAGGGGTTGAATGCCCACCAGGGCCACCAGATGAGGGGGACCCTGCACCTCTGGAAGGTGGGGTCCCTGATGTCCGGGGGGTCCTTTGATGAGTTGGCGCGCGCCATGACCGGGAACCAGGCTGTCTTTGTGCCCTGCATGCCACCCCTTCTGCATCGGCAACTTAATATTATTATGATTACTAATCACAGTGTTTCCTGCCAGAGGCAAGGTGCGTCTGCAGACAGGCTGCAGATAAGTGCTGCCACACCTTCTAACTCTTGATGGACTTGCTAATTTCAAAACAAGACCCGATCAATCGTGGGCGCAGTGCTCAGTATTTGAACGCCCCCCATCAGCATGTTAGTATGTGTGCTGATACAGCCACAACTTTGGTGGCCAGCTGCCAAAACTCAGCAAACACAGCCTTGCTTGCTGTGCTCAGGAATGACCAATTAATGAGGTTGAACTTGAATAGGACCAGGCGATCTAGCATTGCATAAACCCACGTTGCAGCAAATTCTCGGCACACTGCTGGGCAGCATGCTTCGCAGTGCGTGCATGCCTCTTCTCAGGTGAAGGCTGCCACAATCCTAACACGCCTCCCGTACAAGTGTGAACAAATTGAGGCTAAGGGTCAGGGTGGTCACCTGGAGATTGTCAGGGTACCCAGGAATGTTGTGGGTTGACAAGGGCTCAAAGAAGCGCCTGCCCCTCTCAAAGGTCGCACCGGGCCGCAGGTGCTCATTGTCAAACGCAATGAAGCGATTCTGCAGCAAAGTGCCACACAAATGTCAGGCGCATAATTTTAAATATTGTTATTATTATCATCACACGCTTTTCCTGCCTAAAGGCAAGCTGCGTCCTGCAGACAAGCTGCAAGGCTGGCACAATGCTACACCTTGTTGGACTCGCCAGATTCAAGATCCAGTCAACCGTGGGCACGGTACTCAGTATTTATACCGCCCCCCGCCAGCTGGGACCGTCGTAAATATTATGAAAGTTGTATGATGCTGTCACAGCCTTCTAAGGCTAAGTGCGTTTAAGCAGCACTTCTATAGATCTATTCCAAACTTCTCCCGCAGTGGCCAAGTATGCGCCACAGTACGACGCCTCACGATTTCTGCAGAATGCATGCTTGCATGCCAGCCACACAGAGCCTGGAAGATTGACATCGATGAGCTGTAAATGACCCACATGGGAGGATGGCGTGAATTCATTCTTTGCTGTCACCTGGTCAATGCAGATCTTTTCCATCATGGTGCACCTGTGCCTGGGAAGGCGCTGCCATTCAATCTTTGGTGGAGCACAGTCCTGTTCCTCCTCCCACTCCCCTGCAAACCCCCCATCCCATACCTTGTTCCCTGTTTGTCTCTCAGGTTGAGAGTCCCAGTGCAGTCTACACATCTCAATGTAAGATTTGCCCATCCCATAAGCTCACCTATTCTGGTGGCGCCCTTGGAGCTGACTGTTATATCGAGGGTGCCTGAGGAAGGTAGGTCATTGTGCTGCGTGAGCTTGCTGAGTAGGGAGTGTCCCTGCGTGCTTACTGGTGCACTGCTGCGCAGATCAGACCCCACTGCCATCAGCCTTTTCATCTGATAGGCACGTTGGCTTACGTGACAGGCAAAAGTACTTCAAGGACTGGTGTGTCACGGAAAGCTGACTGGCCCACCTGCCAATCAGTTCTGACCGATTTGATCGTGACGAGTTTGATAAGACGATCACCAGCACCACAATAATGCAGAGGGAAACGCAGATGACTTGTTGCTTTGGCAAAGCGATCATCGTGGAATTGGACAGCACTTTCTGATGTTGTCTGCCGCATCTCCTGCTCAAGCATCTTCAAGACAAACGCTGCAAGCTGTTTTAAAGCTAGCAGCTTGTGAAAACAAGAGTTGTTGCATATTTGTGGAACCTTGGACCTATCGTACAGAAGTACGCACCCCGCAGCACGCAAAATTCGATTGTCTTCCGAAAGGCAATAGCATTTTCTCTTATCAAACAATTGTGGGACTTTAACGAGACTTGCTCATGGGCACGCCAAATGGCAGCTATGTCTGGCAAGGAACATCGATGCCTGTTCAGGCCCTTCAGGACATGCATATCGTGTACTAAAGTTGGAAAAAAGTTAGTAATCAAACAATGCAACCAGACTACAGCTGGAGCAGAAATGATCTTCACTTAGAGCAGAAGTACAGAAGACACAGGCCGGAAATGCAGCCTGTAGTCCACCAGAGGTAGTGCAGAAATAGAGTGGCCCGAGAAATAGTAGTGGCCGTGACCAGAGATGGGGCGGTGCTCTGCCACAGTGGAAATTAGGTGCTGCGGTGCTTGTGTAGAAACAGACCGGTGTTTTAGACACGGGTCAGAATTAGAACAGTGGTCCGCAGAGGATCGGTACAATCCCGACCGGAAGCGAAGTGGACTTGGAGTGGAGATGCAGTAGAAAAGCTGGAACTGCCGTGGACGTCAAATGGACGCAGGTGGGAAAACGGTAAGAGAAACAGAGTGGAATTACAATAGACAGTGAACGCTGCGGTACCATTCAAGCGGTGGTTTGCTCATGGAGCAGACTTGGAGTAGTGTAGAAGGGCAGCGCTGTGCGAGTCTGCAAGCGTATCTTGCCAGGATTGATTTACTTGATTATTTCAATCTTTTGATTGTGTGCCAGCTGCAGGCCGGCTGTTTGACACCTGTCTCGACACAGGCTGCACCCACTGATACCTACAAGTGGGCTGCCCACGGCTGACTGGTGCGCCTCTGTGGGCGAGGGGGCGGCAGTGGGCGCAGATGGCTCAGCGCATGGCGTGCTGCTCCTCAACAGCAATGCCATGGACGTCGTGCTGACATAGACGAGAGTGCAGTGGAGAGTCACTGGTGGCATGCTGGACTTCTACTTCCTGATGGGTCCCACTCCCAATGCAGTCCTGGACCAGCTGACTACCATCATTGGCCGTCCTGTCATGCGCTGGGGCTGATGAACAGCAAGTGAGCTCCTCTGCGACAAGCTGTGTCTCCTTTTGTTTTGTCCCTGTGTGGCTGTGCGCTATCTATCACACATGCATGCGTATTATCCAAGCTGCAGAAATTGGTGGTTCCAAATCGCTGCGCATGCACATCTGACCAGTAGAGCTGTTCGTGCTGCAGGTACAGATATGGCTCCGCGGAGTTCTACCACCAGATCCTCAATGGCTATGGAAAGGCTAGCATTCCCTTGGAGACCTTTGTGTCAGACTCCCAGTACATGAACCATGATGAGGACTTCACCCTTGGCGACAAGTTCCCTCTTGCTGACATGAAGGTATATACCGTAATGCATTTTCAGCTGGAGTGCAATTTGGATGCGTTGGAGTATGAAAGAGCAAGCTCATTGGCCCTGCACGCTAACATGCCACTGGTGTGGCAGGATTTCCTCAACAGATCCAAGGCCCAGGGCCAGCGCTGGGTTCCCATTTTGGACCCAAACATCCACATCAGGAAGGGCTACACACCGTATGACAGCGGCATCAAGCAGGACAACTTGAAGGATGTCTCAGGGAAGCCGTATGTTGGGCAGGTGAGCTTCACCTGTGCTCACTATCCAGAGGGTCCCTGTCCTGCAGCACACTTATTGCATGCAGGCAGGCAGTCAAGAATGCCTGTTTCAATCATGACAAAGCTGGTGTGCTTTGCAGCTTTGGCCTGGAGCGTGCCATTGGCCTGACTTCAAGAATCCCAATGCACCTACATGGTGGACCAGCATGATCAAGGTGCTTGCTTCTCCTGCTATTGACATGTTCACCATGCATGACTGTGCATGTTCCTGTCATGCTTTGTGGTCATTTTTATTGCCTGTGGTACCATCATTTGCTAATTACTCATGCTCTTTGCAGAGCGTGTACGACGATTTAAGCTGGATGGCCTCTGGATTGACATGAATGAGCCCTCCAACTACTGCACAGGCGATGTGTGCTGGAACGGCGGTTAGTTTCTCCTCTCTGCATCCTGGCCATGAGTGTATACATGCAATGCATAGGGATTACACCTGACCATCATCACCAACTTCTTCGTGTGGCAAATGTAAACGAGTTCTGTTGGTTCAGATTTACTGAGACTACTGTTACCCTCTTCTACCAACGATAACGGTAATTGAAAAAAGCAAATTGTGCGCATGATGGGAAGAAGTTGATCTGCTGCTGTTTGTGTGGGGACATGTGCAGACACTGTGCCGGCGCGCAATGACTTCATCTGCATGCTGGGCTGTGTCAGCGGGAGGGACCAGGTGATGGCCACAGCTGGCAACAAGAGCATCACGCTCAACGAGAGCTACTTCAACCCGTACGCCATCAACAACGGCGACAACATTGCGTACAACATTAGCTACAAGTCTGCCCATTATGCTACCTTTTCGTGAGAGTTTAGGCTTCTTTGCTTGCTTGCTTGTTCCTGAATGCCCAGTGGATGCATGGCTTTCTTGAGCATATGAACAGGCGTCCATGTTGTGCGCCACTTCAGAATGAACACCTTTTATTTCATATGGCAAGCGTGCATGCCATTATTTTGCACAGAAGGCCACATGGCACACAGCTAAGGCTTGTGCACTGAGCTGACACCGTACTTGTGTGCGCGCTTCCAGGTCTCACCATCATGACCGTCATTCTGATCATCCTGGCAGCAGCCATTACCCAGATCAAGGCAGTGTCCATCTGGCTCTTCATTGTGATGTATGCCCTGACTTTCTTCTTCGCCAATTTTGGCCCCAATGCAACCACCTTCGTCACCCCTGTGGAGCTCTTCACAACCAAGTACCGCTCCACTCTGCATGGCATCTCTGCAGCCTGCGGTTAGTCATCACCCCTCCTGATAATCTATCGTTTTCCTTTAAAGAGCAAAAGAAACATCTCTACAGCCTGCTGTGAGTCATCACACCTCTTGATGTTCTGTGCTTTTCCTGAAAGAGCAAAGGAAACATTCGCTTAAAATTTTGGCTCCTAGTCAGTCTGGTACTGGTACTTGACTGCTGCATATGACAAAGGCTGGTGAAGTTTTAGGCGTGCGAGACATGACGATGTCATTCTTGAGGTTCTCACAGAGGACATGATGAGGTGTAACATGAAGTGATATTGGAGTCTTCTTGCTCATTTGAATGTTGACTCAGTAGGCTCAGCAGTGGGTTGTACATGCTAGCTTGAGTTAGGGAGTACTGTAGTCTAAAGACCTGTTCCCCGATCACCACCAATCTAATGTTGCAGTGCAAGTCAAAATAAGCCGACGTGCAACTTTTGGCCACCTGCAACTTGTTTTTTGCAGCCCACAATTGCTCTTTTTTTCTTCTGATGTAGGTACATCATTGGCACGGCATCTATGCGAAAACATCAGGCCATTTGCATAGTCTCCTGGCTAACCATCATATTAGAGATGAGGAAAATTGTGTGTGTGTGTGTGATCACAGGTAAGGCTGGCGCTATTGTGGGAGCATTCAGATTTGGACAGCTCTTCCTTTCTGCCGGAATTTCAACAACGCTTGCAATCTTGGCAGCCACAAACTTCCTGGGTAAACCATGCCCTTCGGAGCGTGCCAGCAATATTTCTGTACTATTAGTGCTTTCTCGTGAGGTAAACGCCTTTCAAAATACGATGCATCAATGGACAAAAACGTTATCCATGACTACTTCATCCGTACTCCACCCAGCTCTTGTGCATTCAGAGTATTGCCTGTGCTCACTTGTTGCTGGACTCCTGGTCATGCATTTCTGCGTGGAGGCCAGGGACCTGCAGAGCATGGGGTCAGCCAGAATCTGACATGTTGCGTTCTCCCTTGTGAAGGGAGTAGGGTGCATGCTGAGATTTGACTTGCGCAGGCCTAGTAGTAGATTCCTGGTTAAGAGCAGGCAGGCAGGCAGGCAGGCATGCATGCATGCATTCGTTGAGATGTGACATATATTAACATGCAAGTTCAACTTGCTGCAGGCCTTTGCTGCACAATCTTTGTGCCTGAGACCAAGGGCATGCACCTGGAGGACGCTGCGCTCCACTCCAAATCCCACTTCAGCCAGATGCTCTCCAGCTGCGGCATTGAGCAGGTGTGTGCTTCAGCCTTCCATTGTCTGCAGCCCATTTCAAATTTGTGCCGGATATTGGATTCTGCCGCATGCTGAGGCCGTGCCCATGTCACCATGCTCATTTGTAATCTTCAATGCCGCAGAAAATCCGCACGCTCTGTTGGACCTGCGGTAGTTACATGATTCACTAGTATGTGTAGGACAGGCGAATCGGGCGAGGCACTATGAGCAGGCATGCACCTGCAGCTGTGTTGGGACATTGTGCAGAGTGCAGAGAGCATTTGTGACCCTACAATGACTAAAAGGACAGCCCTGCGATATCAAGATCTGCTGTTGAGGATCCGCTATACAAGGCTGGGGTGTAGAGCTTCATGACTCCAGAGGATTTTTTTTAGCTGACAATTCCTCAAAGATTTGTGATTGTTCTCCACAGGTGAATCCTGCCATTGAGGACATTGCGGCAGAAAGCAACGCCCCAGCTGTGGCTGGCCTTAAGGAGCAGAAGTTGGAGGCCTGAAAGCCTCACGCTGCCACGCATTAATGCTGATGCCCAGCACTCCAATTTCCCACCGGAGAGTGACCAGGGAATGCTGCCGTGCTGGTGCATGACCACACAAGCCCTTTCTGGAATTCTAGACTCGGGTGGCTCATCAAGAAATGGATTAAATCTGTTTACTTTTTTGTGTTTGGGGCCCTGCATTGTGTGGTCCTTCTTTTTGGGTAGCAGCTGTTCTAGCGCAGGCTTTTGACTAGGCAGAGTCTTCTCATCCACGATTCCAACCGAATTACAAGTTGAAGATCGTTTCTTTTGGATCGCGCACGTTGGCGCAAATGCAGGTTCACCATTTTGTCCTGTTATTTTTTCAATCATGTGGTTGACCTCACTCGCTGCATTGTGCTTGTGACTAGAAGCACGCCATTTGCAATCTGCCCATTGGCTTTGTCGCAATCACTGATACCTCACATCTTCATACGGTATTGGGAAATGTTGAGGGTCATCGTAGTGTGCAAGGGAAATAAAGAACTGTTAATTTTGGAAATCAAGGGCACACCGGGCGCCCACTTGGGCCGAGGACAACGTGTGTGGAAAGGAGTATTGGATCGTGTTGGTTCTGAGCATGCATTGAAGAATGGCCTGACTTGTGGGTTGGGTTCATGAATTGATCAATTTACTGCAGTTTAGGATTGTCCCCATGTAAAAGAGTTCATGTCAATGGGATTTAGATATGCATGCACTTGCACGCACTGCTTAGACCTTACAACCATAACACAGCATTTTGGATGGCAGCGGGATCAATCTCAATCGGCTGCAGGGCGCTGGCTAGCCTAGGCTGCAGGTCCTCATGCATGCGTGCAGGCTCCTTGCCGCAGCACAAGTGCCTACCTTCGTGCTCACGAAAGTAGAACCCCTTCCTTCAAATGCACCCTTTACTTTGCCACGGCAGTGCCAGACATTGTTTCTTGCACATCAATAAGCCCCACCAAATTACAAAAATACAAAAAAAACCACGGGGCGCGCTCTAGATCATCTATACCGTATCGAATGATACGGTATGACCCTGGTCAGCTTCCTGTTGAAGTCAAAGGCATGCTGCAGGTTTTGGCATTTTGAGAGCTCCCAAGAAGCTTCTTCAAGAGCTTGTTGTCCCGGGCATTTTTGGATGCATCATGCATTGTCTGGCAAGCTTGTAATGGTGCCATGATGTGATGATGATGATGATCATGATGATATTTTCTACCAATGGATCAACACAACAGATTGCAAAAATCAAATAGTCGCCACAGTGTACTTCAGAAGTCATTGCAGAGGCAAAACCACTGATACGAGCTTGGATAGCATGTAAAATGCTCAACATCAGCCACATTGGAGTCCTAAGGGTACATATGTGTATCAGATGCGACATGTCGAATACATACATTCTGATCTTCTCCACGCCTAACCTGCAATTCAAATTCTGCTTTACCAGCTTTAGTCACAGCCTGTCTCCTTGGCAGCTTGACTAAGAAGCCTGTCAACTGAGTCGCTTGTCCCTAGGATATCCCCATTAAAGTGCTAGGAGGGAGTCCAGCTCCTCTTCCTGCAAGTCATGCACATCAAAACTTAGCTGATATTTCTTAAAACGCGGCACCACCTTGCAAACACTGCAGCTGCATTGCATGCGCAATCATTGGCCGATCTAGGAGGATTCAAAACTGCCGGCCCAAGGCAGGACACCGTCTGGGAGCATTCAGGATGGCCTGTGCCAGGGAGGAGACCAGAGCAATTGGCCAATATGAGAGCTTGCAGAATTGTCCTCTTCTTTAAGGGTAAAGACCATTCCAGAAGACAGTAAGAGATAGCAGCTGGCAGATGGGTGTAAGGGACAGCAACTGACCTCTTCCTTTGCTGCCGGTGCCTCTGACTCGGCATCAGCGCCCCCCTCCTTCTCTGCGCGGCCGTAGACGTCAATGCTGATGTCCTGCTTGATGTTGTCATCGTCGTTCACCATGTTCTCAAAGTTGAGCACCCGCTTCTCGTCCAGGTTGTAGTTGAAGTTGTTCTTTGTACGGCCCAGCGGTACAATGTCCCTGCCGAACATTACCAATCATCAGGTATTGACAAAATAGTAATGACAAGAGGCAGCAGTGAGACACTACTTGGCGCTGGCATTTCCTTCCGATGTCTTGCATCTCCCCGAGACAGAGTCTGACATGATCAAAAAAGGTATGCATGAACACACCTCTCTCACAGGTGGCTCAGATCAGTAGAATGTGGTCTGATCATTGCAGATCCTTATCAGTAGCTTGCAAAGTGGATGGTAGGGCATACACAATAGGCTGCAGCCCAGGCAGGAAGGCACTAGTAGCCACAGCAATGCAATTCAGCAACATGCAAGAAGGGGGCTGCATAGAGGCGCACATGAGGTTGTCCTGTGCGTGCAGGCGGGACCATGTGCGAGCACATGCGCCGCAGCGGAAGTCGTACTCATTGCAGAAAGAGGCGCTGGCCCATTCCTCTGGCAAGACTGATCTGTCGCGGGCCATTGCGTCGCCAAATGTCACGCTCTTCACCTCCTTGAAACAGGTCTTGGCGCCCGTTGCCATGCACTGCCAGCACCCACATCCCATCCTCAGCATGCGCACATGCATGGATCCAGTGACTTGTCTATGAGCGGGTGCAGGATCACTTGTGAGCCCTGAATGTGGCCTCGATGCAGGTGCAGAAGTGAGCCTCACCTCCAGGGAGTTTGCTGAGATGGGCTCGGTGACAAACCGATCCACCAGCTTTCCGTTGTCGTCTTTCTCAAAGCAATGAGCAAGGCCCTGCAGTGCATTTTGTGGGTAAATAAAATTTCATAGAGCACCGAGATACTGGGAATAGCCGCAAATCAAGTGAGAAGGAGCGAGCAGTAAGGATGTATGAACGTACCAGAACCAGAAAAGACTCAGGAGCCTCCCCCCAATTGGCGCCGTAGTCTGAAGTTGCCCATTGCCGCCCCCTCGCCCGTTCCTGCCCCCTCGGCCGCCTCCTTCACCTCTGCCTCCGCGCCCACGCCCGTCGCCGCCTGCACCAGTGGATTGTGAGATGAGGTCTGGGAGGCTCCGCAAACGCCAGCTCCACAGAGCAGGGCACAGCAGGACACCCTAAGGAAGGCACATGTCCTTGGCGGGTGGCAGGACCCACCTCCTCTCCCCCTCCGAGCATCAGCAACACCAGATCTGGTAGCAACGCCTGTATGCAAATCGAGGACACAGCCAAAAGCTTGCCATGCTGGACTAGATGGGAAGAGAAGCAAGGATCAGCAGGGCGCCAGAGCACACCTGCTCCATTGGCCATAATAGTATCTGCGATGTCATTGACGTCGTCGCTGTCCGGAGCGTCCATGTATGCGTCCTCCACATGGCGCGCCCGCCCGCTGGAACCAAGCCTGCTCCGTTGGCCCTGGAGGTACAGAGCGGCCATCCGCTCCGGTGCAGCGTCCTCTTCTTGGTGCGCAGAGCGTGCGGCAATCCGTGAGGAGTGCCGCTGCTGCTGCCCCTCCAACGACGTCTGCGTCCTACAGGCAGAGTCAGGAACCCTAGTTCCCAGGTTGCTGCCCATCCCACTTCGATCCAGGCGATAAACCACGTTTCATCGACGGCAAGTGCTTGCCAGAATGCAAGTCATCGGAATCCTGCACTGCTCATGGATGCCGGATCGGTCTGAGCGCGTCCAAGGGAGGCAAGCGGGGCGGCGGGCTCACCTTTCGCAGGCTCCACAGCTGCTGTCGTGCGGTGCCGCCGGAGCGCTCCTCGCACGTTGAATGAGATTGCAATAAAAGAGGTCTGGTATCGTTGCCGAGCCCAAGAGGAATGATCCTTGGGCGCAGGCGCCCCATGTGTAAGGCTGGGGCACACGGCTCCGCCTGCAGCACCTGCAGGCAGGAGACCTCACGTGCTCACCTCTTCGCCTCGCCTCGGACCCAGTGATCAGGTGCTGCTCTGACACCGATGAGGGAGCACGAAAGGAGTGCATCAACTCTACACACCTCCAAGTCCAGACTAGCAGTGATTGTGTTCACTGCTGCACTTGCATCACATCTCAAGCGCTGTTCTACATATCTTCCAAATTTGTATACAGGGACTCGTCCATGACCGGACCATTTCTTTTGATTTGTACTCTAATTCCGTTCCAGATCTACACCAAGTGCACAATTTCTCCCAAAAGACTTCACTAAGTCTGCACCACTCACCGTCTCCTGTGGTTCCACTGCGGTTCCACTCCATGTCTTCTCCAACTCCGCTCGGATGCTGGCTCGGGCACCACTCCATCTCTTGACTACTTGTGCTCAGAGAGCGATCTGGTTCCAATCTAGTTCCAACACTGGACACTGCTCTATCGTCCATTCTATTACCACCCTTTTTATAGAAAAAATACACCGTACATGCAGCAAGCAGCTCAAGTTCAGCAAGCCCAGTGGCGCACTTCCAGATCTGGCTTGAACGTACGGGTAGGTGCTCTCCAAGGATTTGCATTGCTGTCCATTGGACAGTGTCCAAGGGAAAGCGCAGCATTGGAGAGTTTAGCAGAAGAACAGCCGAAGTCTGAGAAGGACAGGACGCGATGGGAGCGGTGCTGAGTGTGGTAAGCACTGTCCAGACTATGATCCTGCTGCCCAGTGACTTTCCTGGTTGCTGGCTCTGGGATCTGGCAGAAGCTAGGTCACCCTGCATTTCTTCATTGTGTGAATTTTGTCGAAATATCAATTAGTACCAGCTTCTTTGCTCGAGTATGACTTGCTTGGTTGACTTGGTCTGCCCATCAAGCTGCAGGTCTTCAGCGTTCTTGTGAGGCCCGTATAGGGGTTCTAATCGCTATGGATACAAAAATTACTCTTGCAACAGTTGATAGGGTATCTGTTTGGTCGCACAAACTTATTTTGTTACCGGGTTGTGTTAGATCGTGCTGACTCACACTTATCATTTAACAGTCGCTTTGGCCTTTCAGATGGCCTCAGACGTGCACCACATATTGTGACTTTTCTTAAAAGATACATGCTGTGTTATTGAGTCTGCTGCTATCATTAAATAATCCTTTTTGGACTTTGACCTCGCTGGCATGTCCATGCGTGCAGGTGGTTGCAGTAGCTGTGCCTCTTGGCGCAGGCTTTGGTATCGGCCTTGCGATCAAAGACGATGTGAAGGGATGGTACAAGGTGTGCCTTGCAGCTCTGGACAATCACAACGTGCTTTCATGAGGTCCCAAGGACTCTGTTGGCTTTTGGAGCTGGAGTACACTGTGCCTGTCATCGACTATGTGCATTAAGCAGTGACAATTTCTTCACACTGAGATGACCCTACATTGTGTGGCTTCTCTGTGGCTGTCCAGACTCTGAAGAAGCCTGACTGGAACCCCCCCGACTGGCTGTTTGGCCCCGTCTGGAGCGCCCTCTACACAGCCATGGGCATTGCCTCGTGGGACGTCTGGCGCAAAGGTCTGTCAGCAGCAATCATTCCCTGCTTAGAAGCTACCAGCAGAATACATAAACCCCTTCATATTTGATGGCATCCTAAGGTTCCATCACTTCCTTGGTCTGCTGCCCTGTCACTGGACCCCGTTTCCCTTCAAGGCTATCATCAAATACCCACATGAGCACCTCGGCCTGGATTGTGTATCATCAGGTGTTCTGCAAATTCGTGGATTGTGGGGTTTGACTCCGAAACTGCTTCTTGTGGCTGCCAGGTGGCGGATTCGTTCCCCTGAGCCTGTACGCAGTGCAGCTGGCGATGAACCTGGCCTGGTCCCCCCTCTTCTTCAAGAAGCACGAGATCGGCTTTGCTCTCGCTGACATCACAGGTGCGCACACCTCAGCTCCTCTCCCACCCCATCTTCTGTGTCTTTAAGCATACCATTGCCGCACAGTAAAGGGAGGCACTGAGAGCAATCAGGTCTTCTTTGCCTTCTCTGAATTGTCAGATGGCTGCCTTGTCTGTTTGGCTGGTGATGCTTGCTTTCAGATTCTGCTCTGCTTACTGCTTTGTCTGCAGCGCATGGCCTGATGTTCCTGCATGTCAGCTCTTCCTGCTCTTGTGAGGGCCGTCTTTGCAGTGTTATGTCATGTGAATGATTGGCCCCGGCTGGCGGGGGCGGGTATAATATCTGCACCGTTCCCACGGTCAATTGGGTCTTGCATGGATGTAGCGAAGTCACCAAGGGGCAGGTTGTGTGGCAGCCTTCTGTCTGCAGGCGCACCTTGCCTCTCGCAGGACCAGCATGATGTCACATCACTAATGGATGATGACAAATACCTTTTGCTTACCTACAGCGTTGTTGGGCGTGCTGTCAGCGACCATCGTCAGCTTCCACCAGGTCTCGCCTACAGCGGCGTACCTTCTCGTGCCCTACTTTGGCTGGTCCCTCTTTGCCACCGGCCTCACCCTCAGCATCTACAAGAAGAACCCCAAGGTGAGTAGCAGAGTGTTGTCTCTACCGCAGTAAAGCTGCTGCAGTGCTCGCTGCATGCAGGGGGTTGTTAAGGTCCAGTTTAGCACCGCATGGACCATGCTGAAAGTTTGGGGTCTGCCTTCAAACAGTTTGGACATTTGTGACAGACTTGCTGAGGGCAAGCTCAGGATTTGCAGCAGGCTCCTTGGGTGCTCTGCTGGACTTGAACATTGGCATGCAGTGGCAGATTGTGGCAATCTTTCCTCGAGGGCTGCAGCTAGTAGGCTGTGTCCTTGAATGTACTTGGGAAGCGCCTGTCACATTTATTTCGAGCTTAGCCCTTCAGCAATTAGAGATTCAAGCAAGGGGAAATTTACACATAGGGTGAATTCCCACCGGCAGACGTGGCCGTGGTTGATTCAGTCTTGTGTGGTTTGGTCTGGTCTTTTTATCAGGGGATAGGATACACGGCAGCCTCCGCCTGAAGCTTGACTGCACACCCACCTTGCCTCTAGCAGGAACACTGTGCAGTGACAGTGATAGTGATAGTGATAGTGATAGTGATAGTGATAGTGATAGTGATAGTGATCTGTGTGCTGCAGCACCGTGGCACTCTCAACCACGAGGAGGGGCCACTGAAGGAGGGCATTGACAAAACAGTGGAGGCAGCCATTGTCACTGCTGACAAGACCATCGAGCTCAGCTCTGCCGCCGCCGACAAGACGAAGGAGGTAGGTGCCTGTATTGCCTCTTCACATCTAGCCAATGCATGCATGCATCATGCACCCTCAAGTGCTTGGGAAGTTTCGGCTGACAGCAAACATCAACATGGATTGTACGCCCGGAAAAGAAAACAAGTGACTGTGCCTCTGGGAAATTGACATTGGTCCAGCGAACCTCTGTTGCGTATGCATGACCTTGTCTCGGCAGCAATGAACGTAGATCTTGCACCTCTGGTCAGGCATGGAAGACAAGTCTTTCTTCTGAGATGGGTAAAAGCGTGATGCAACAATGAACACCTTGATGTTTGGAAAGCATAGGGCGATTGTTTCTTGTGCATTGCTGCACAGGCTGCTTCCAAGGCCAAGGATGCTGTGCCAAAGCTGGACCTTGGAGGAACTTCAGACCCTGCTGCCAAGGAAGCATGAGCGCTGACTGCAATTTCTCGTTAGGTGCTGGGTATAATATCACCTCTGTACAAAGCCTGACAGTGCATGTGACGTGGAGTCCTGAGAAGCTACTGCAATGCCCATTACTGGTTTCACTGTGGTTCTGGCTTTGTGGCCGACAGGACGACAAACTCTGACTGCACCTTTTTGCAAAGTCTACCTTCAGGTTCATGTCCCTTTGCATGCATGCTTACTAAAGCACGGTGTGGTAATTACTGATAAGGTCTAGGTTCAATGAGTTGTTTTCTGCTGATCTCTCAAAGTGTGGGACGGTTTTGGACATCTGGTTTGCTTGTAAAATTGTTTGCACTGCAGACCATCAGGCGATTTCATGCGTGCTCCGACAAACTTTCAAATTTTTGGTGCAAGACTGTGTAAAGCTCTGGCAGCATTTCCGTCAATTTTGTCAACCACAGTTGTAAGGCTGCACCTTGTTGGGCCATGCCGACAAAATAACACTAGCAACTGCAGTTGTATGCATACATTTCCATATGGTGCTTGTGCGGACACTTTACATCCTTTCATATTTGCCTTGATTACCTATCACGTCTGGCCTCTCCAGGACTTGCACTTTCAGAGTTTCCAGAGCTGCTGGATCAAATCAGGTGCAAAATTGTAGCTTACAACGAGACAGGGTTTGACAGGGGTCCTGGAAAATCTCAGGCCAGCCCCTGAGTAGGGCAAGGCCGTTGCCGCGGTAGTAGCTGAAGCTTGGGAGCGCCCCTGAGATATTCCATGAATCTTAACATGGATATGCAGGCATTCCTTTTGAGTCTGGCCTCTAAGTGGTTCAGACTGTCTAAAACGTCCAGGGTGCCCCTGAGTCACAGCCATGTGACTATGAGGCATTGGCCTGACGCCATTTTGCCAGACCTCTACATATTCCCGGGGTTGCCTTGAAAGCTTGCCGCTGGCCCTGGACCAAATTGGCCAATCTCTTGGGGCCCCCCCTGAGGGCTGTCAAACCCTGCCCTGAAAAACAATTTAGCGACAGCAATACATTGAGTGTCATCAGACACCGACACCAGCATGCTTACTAAGGACAGTGTCCTCGACATGGACATGGACAGCACGTGAAGGAGAGCCGATTTGCCCTGATTCACTCAATAAGTGTTGCTCCAAATTCCGCATTAGTTCTAATTCTGCATAGCCCTCTCGCAAACGCTCGAAACAACAAAACCATTATTTCTCAAAGTTCCCAACCGTAGGCTCGCAAATTTGGTGCATTTTTCAGCAGGCCTGCTTAACAAATTGATGCTGCTTACAGCTGAGAAATATATCAGTGCACTGCAACGGTTCTTGTCCAGGATACTGTCTTTAGCATGATCAAGCCGCCACCACTTCTTCAAACATATAGTGACCTACCAACACCAGAGTTCATTTCACTATGTGGCGCAGCAGTATTCAAGAACAGAAAACCCGCCTGCTTCAAATGGACCTGTAACCTCTCATTGTACTGGGTGCTCCCTTGCCTGAAAGGGTTAATGCTTGAGTAGGCCCACTCAGATGTCCGGCAGGAAGTGGATGTCGAAGGGAAACTGCGCCTGAAACTGCGCGGCGTTGATGTGCTTGCCGTGGAAGCCATGCGGCACCCGCTGCGGAAGCTTCACGCGCGCCACCGGCTCTGCCGAGAAGCTGCACGCGTCATAGACCATGAACTCGCTGCTGTCTGTTTGCTCGTCGTACACATATGTCGCCAGATATCCGTCATCCTCACCTGAACCAAAAAGTTGACACTTTGAATAAACGGCACTGTAATGCTCTGTCCAGTCCAAAGGTGCAGAAGGTAGATTCTCTGCATGCCTTGGGGGCGCAGCATGAGAAAATAGTAGACAGCAGACTGGAGCACTGACTCTTACTCAAGCAGCAACCAATGGCACAGGAATCTGGCACAGCAGGAGGAGAGCAGTGGACAGGAAGTGACAGCGGTGGCTTTCAATCAGAAATCATCAGTGGTGCAAGCATGCAAATCTGCAATGAGCTGATGAGCAGAAGAGGGGACCAAAAGCTGCAGCTACAGAGCTCTAACAGGAGCACAGCTAAGCAGGTTCACAGTAAATGGAAGTTTGCGCACTTTTCAGAGCGGCAGGATCTGTGCTCCTGGGCACAAAGACGGCCTCGCCGCCGAAGCGGCCGCGGCCAAAGCCGATCTGCGCGGGGACGGCTGCTGCCGGTGAGCTAGCGGCCAGGTCTATTTTGGCAAGCCCATAGGGCCTGTCAAATCCGCCCCCGTACTTGTACGTCACCACATATGTATACCGTGTCTTGCGCCCTGCACAACAATGGAGACTGCAAGCTGATAAAAGCTTATTGAGGCGATCTTGCAGGAGCTTTCTCCTTCCTGCTTGCATGGCTACATGTTGCAAATGGAGTTCAGCGTTCAAACAGGCATAGCTATCACCCACTGCGTGTTTGAGGGAAGCCCTGCAAGAACATGCCACTGTGTAGCACTTGATACCTTTTGCAAGATAAGGCATTCTTGCCCGGATACAGAAAATGCTTCATGTTCGGACCTGCAGTCCCCTTCCCAATCCCAACCCAGTCATACCTGCTTTAGTGGAGGTAATCTGCAGGAACATCCAGACAGAAAAGCAAGCCTTGTAAGCACGCAAGACACAAGACTTTACAGCCGCAGGGAGAAAATGACTGCCTCCTCTAGGGTTGTTGTTCTGGGGGATCTAGAAGGGGCGCGCACCGACAAGGCGGTCAGGGATGGTGGGAAACTCGCAGTGCACGTCGGCTACTGTCCGCATGGACGCCTTGCCGCTGTCAAGGTCCAGACTGATCTCCGTCAGCCTCGGCAGCGAGCCATCCTTGCCGGCAGACACGTTCACAAAGTCGAACTGCATGCGGCAATCAGCCATTCAATGACCTCAGAATGGTGCCGGGCAGATATCCAACCACCTCAGGAAGGTGACTCAAAAGTATCACAGGTTGCTACTGCGCAAGCTGCCAGGGGTGCATTGACGCTGCAAGCACCCACAATGGCAGTGAATGGCTCTCCTTTAGATGACTTTTATTGTCCGATGTTGCATGTACAGGGAAAGCAGAGTGCATTGCATGGTTCAATTCCTCCTGGCTGCGCTTCCCAACAGGAGGTAGGAGCACCGCATGTATGCAAAGCTTTTTGCTTCTGCACGCAGCGACAGATTTGATGGGTGGTCTGACAGAGTAAGGGACCACCTAAAGTCGGATCTCACAAGGACAGCACTTATACAGCGCATATTCACCTGCGCTCCGTTTACAAAGTCTGACACCATTGCTGCCCCAAAATCTAGCCAATCAACGCCTTCGTAAGAGGAGGGAGCATATTTCCTTAATGACGCCCCCAGATGGGTCAGAGCACCTGGAAGTTCTCCTTGGAAGTTTGCATGTTAATTTTGATTTTGATTTTGAATTTGAAAACAGCACAACATGGCGCACCCCTTCTGCGTAGACGCATGCGAACAGGTGGATGGCGTTGCCTTCCTGCCAGGCATTGGCCACGTGGAAGGCGAACATGGCCGGCAGCTCAGACCATCTGACCTTGTCAGCATCCTCACAGCGCTTTGGCAGCACTCCGAAGCGCGAAGCTCTGCCCTCATTGAAGTTCACCAGCGGCTTGCCCTTGATCATATCCTGTACCAAAGAATTTGCGAAGATGACTCAGCAGACCTTCTTGCAAGAGGAACCGCCAATAGCTTCATGACAACTTTCTCATAAGTACTTCTCTTTAGCACTAGCTGACTACTAGCTCAGAATTCAAGCAAATTCCCCAACAAGCTGGGTGCGCATCAGCAACACAAATTCAGAGCTCCTAAGGAGAGCTCCGCAAGTCCGGATTGTCATAATTACTGCAGCAAAATGTACTTATTGCCAGATGGGGTCAGAAAAGCACTCACATGTTGGTTGATCATGAGGGGTAAATCCATGAAGACGGCGTAGTCTTCAGTGATGGCGAAATCGTGCATCATGACTGGGTCCGGCAGGGGTATGTCGATGTCCAATTTGACAGTCCCCCCGCTGCCGATGACGTAATAGTGCATCAGCGGCTTACTGAAGCTGTACCCGATGCCGTGCAGCTCCCCTGCAGCCGTCCAACCCTTCACTGTACTGTTAATCCCTTTAAATGCACACAGGGATGCACCACAAGAGCGCTTGTATCATGGCTCTCATGCATCTCCTCAGATGTCAGGGTATCTGCATAGGAACTGCTTCTCCATGAGCATGACTGGGCAACTGGCACGCTGACATTTGTTCGTCAGCATGAGACTGCAGACTTTTGTAGACCTCGCAAATGTGGCTGCAGACGTCCTCTGTGTATGCCTTAAGGCCTTTGGCTCGAAGTTTGCCATCCTGTGATAAGAATGAGGTGCATCTGCGGCACCCAAATGGGACAGGTGAGATGTACCCACCTGTCTCGGGGTCAATCTTGGGGTGGGCTGTGAAGGGGCTCCGCAGCTGGTCCCCATAGGTCTGTCTCTCCAGGGTCTCTATGTGCGCATCATTATTCACCCTCACCTGTGCAACAAATTGGGTCACTGAACACAAGTAGGTTGTACTTAAGTATCCCTGGCAACAGGTCGGAGCATAATTGCTCGGTTATTGCCAGGCGAGGCACTGCACATGTCAGATAAAACCACCTTGTTCAATAATATTTTCTCCTGCCGTCAAGAAGCCCACATGCACAGCCTAGAGCACCTGCTCTTCAAATTTCATTTACTGTAGATCCTCATTTGCACCGTCACATATGGTTCAGGAAATTTTAGAGAGTCAGCTGCACATTTGCACATCTCTCAGGCGAGCATGCCATTGCATTTGCCAGAGGCATTACAACACTGTAGTACTCAGTCTATAACCCGCACCCCCGGCAGTGCGGCAAAATTTTCAAAGCAACTTTCAGGGGTCTTTCTGACCTCCAAGATACCAGAGTCATGCTCCATGGATAAACCTTGTCGAGAGCTTCATGAATCTGGTCTCAAAATTATCATAGGGTCCATGTTTTGGGAGATACGATCTTATTTATCCACCCTTTCTGGCTAAAAATAGGCAATATATTGCAGGTTTCAGAATGAGAAATGCAGTACTTGGAAACGGAGGCAGCGCACCACTTGGGGCAGGTCAGTTTCCACCAGTGCGAGCAGCTGCTTGTTGTGGAACACCACCGAGGTGTTGGCAGGCCCATGCCCATCCTGCCAGCACACCCCTGCATGTGAGTCAAGCACATAGGGAACGCCGGATATATGAACCCGGCTGGCAGGGGGCGGTATAAACACTGAGCACCGTGCCCACGGTTGATTGGGTTTTGCTTCCGTCTGGCGAGTCCAATAAGGGGTAGGATTTTGGCAGCGTTTACTGCAGCTTGTCTGCAGACGCACCTTGCTTCTGGCAGGAAAAGCGTGTAATAATAAGAATAATATATGGACATGCATAAACTTACAGCCAGTAATTGGGTGTGACCTTCACATCCTATCAGCACCACCCTTGAATGTGGGCCAAGCACATTTGTGAGCCCACATGCATGCAACAAGCGTCCATTTGCAGGCAAACCCTGGTGCAACCTTTCCAACAACGATCTGGACAGCCCTTTCCATGGAATGCTGAGAGAGCGCTGCATCAATGATTCTTAAAGGTCCCTCTTGGGCCGGAATGCCCAGTGGATCTCGGCCATTGCGGGGTGTCACGGGACAAGAGAATGGGGCCATGTACGAGGGTGCTAGAATAGACAAGGAGATGGCAGATGTGCTGCACCTTAGTGTCCACAACACCCAGCTTCTCCTTCAGCTGCTGCAGCATGTAAATGAGCACCCCAGACAATCTCTCCATAGCACCCAGCTGCATACGCAGCATTCACTCTCAGGGAAACTCCCTTGAAGCTTGCATGCATAGCATGTGCAACATTGACTCTCAAACTCCATCGGAGCATGGATCCAAAGCATGCAGTCCCACAGCATGCTCTGCTTCGCGCCCTATATCAGCATGCAAGGACATGTTTTGGAGCACTCAGAGATGAAGGCAAGGAGGCTATCTGCCCGTAGTACAGCAACACACAGGCTGTATATTGCTGTATGCAAGAAAGTATGAGAAAACAGCGATTGGATGTCACCGTGAAGAACAGCGGCCGGCCAGCTTTCTTCTCCTGCTTGTACTTGGACGTCTGCACATACGCGTTGCTGTATGATGCCTTGCCATCCTTTATGCGCACCGCGTGCAGCATCCCATCCCCATCAAACCTGCATACCTCCTCACAATCACTTGCTCGACACATACGAGGTGCACATGCACATGCCAAGGACGACACCCTCAGGCCAAGCAGCATCTGCTCCACTTACGTGCATCGAAAACATGTATATATCATAATTTTTATTTGCTTGCAAGGGCAGCGCACCAGTGGTGACCCCCAATGGGTTGGTGCAGGGGGTTTGGCCCGTTGCGCACATATGCGCCATCCAAGGCGGCAGGAAGCTTTCCCTGCACAGGCAGGTCGGCTTCCAGCAGCTCCTGCTTCACTGGCGCATAGCTGCCCTCCAGCCACGGGTTCTTTTTCCCCCTTGTCCCTGCGCACAGAAGGTGATCGATCAAAATTCCCCAACGGTGCCTCTGTAACGAAGGCCACCGCTGCAGAGGCTGCAGCAAAGTTTAGATCGGCTGGCTGACATGTATATTACCCATTCAGGGAGGTGTCCACTTTGGGCATGCGCTTCTTGCCCACGTCAAAGTGCTGTGTTGGATGAAGGCCGATCAAGTCAGACCTGGACAATCCCCCTTTCGGGAAGTATGTACATCACTACTAAGATAACCTCATTTTTAAATAAACATAAGATATAGTCCGCAATGCTTTAACTATGTGCGAAAAGTCTACGAAGGCACAGCTTCGAATGCACACTTCAACAACCGACCTGCAGCATTGCTGACGGCCACCTCCAGCCAGTAGATAATCAGCCCCTTGCAGCTATAAACCGCAAGTGCCGCACCAAGCACGAAAAGAACGATGAGCACGGCCATCGCCGGTTTCGGAAGGTTGGAGCCTTGTCCTCTCAGGCCCACGGAAGCTTGTCGAGTTTCTTCGCCTATGAACAAAGCTTGCAAAGATGAATGCCACCAAGATGAATTTTGATAAGACGGCCTGCGATCGGTTCTCAGGAGAGCCGTCTCCTGTCCCGAGGTTTTGTTTCAAGGGGAGCGGATTATGTCACAGATTATGCAAAGGATTATCAATGGCAACGCCTGTTCTGGCAACCCCAGTCCCTTCAAACTTACAGGGACAGCCAGGATGAGGTTAGTCTGAGTTCCTTGTGATCCTGAGCCCTTTTCGCACCACAGAATCTTGCACGTGAGGAGCCAATTGCTAAGCGCTGCGCTGGTGCGCTTTTGTGCCATGAATGCATTCAATTTGTGGGCTGGCCGCTAGGCGGCCTTGCCATTGGCAAGTTGCCAAGTGAGCCCTGTAGCGCTAGCCTTGCATCCACAGCTGACTGCCAGCGGATTGGGACATTCAAGAGTTTTCATGCCATGTCATCATTCAAGTCACGAGTCAAGCACTTTAGGGTTTACCTACACTGAGATCATATTGTCAATGACTTGCCGCAAAAAATCTCAAGAATTTTTACATGCGCCAGTCGATAACTATTGTTGTTACAAGCACATGCTGTTCCTGCCAGAGGCAAGATGCGTCTGCAGACAAGCTGCACTCAACTATATGTTCAAACTTTCAGATACGGTACCCTCAAAATCTGCCAAGCATCAGGTTGTACTTGACCAGAAGCTGGTGCCAGAGGGGTGTGAACCCGCCGGACTGCAGCTGCGGCGCAAAGGCATTGAACTCGTGCTTCTCCAGGGCCTTCAGATACAAATCCACTGCCGCAGCTGGCAGCATTAGCGGCTTTGCCTCTGCCGGTAACTGCTTGCTAAGCGCCCTTGCCTCGTCCAAATGGCCCTGCGCATGCATCACAACCATGCCTATCAGCTTGTGCTCTGCAGCCGAATGTGCAGTGCAGCGCTCTGATGCAGAGTATTGCCCCTTGTCTGCTGTATTGATCCTGGCATTAATTTGCAGGCCAAGCACCCTGCACGCGGTGGAGATGCCTCTGGTCCCATCGCAGCAGCGGTCTTGAACGGCATTCTATCTCCTAACATGCATCAGCATGAGGTTTTATTATCATAATAGTTCTTTCAAGGGAACCTGGACAGTGCGAGACTGTCGCACGCTAGGGGCAACTGATCACATACCGCTATGCTAGTCGCTGATTAGTAAGTCCCAGTACTGATGCCCACCTTGGCCTGGGTGGCTACTTGGAAAACAACGTTGGAGACATTGTCGGTGTTCTGGCCCCGCAGCACATCTTCATCTGAGACTCCCTCACTCATGCACAGGTCGCTCGGCAGGTAGCACCGCCTCCTGCAATCATGCATGATTGCACCTCAGCCTGAACAGCCTGGACAGGGAATCAACGCACAAGGATTTCGCACCAAAGAGCGCCATTCAAAGGACATCTATCGGTTTGCATGAGAGACTGCTCTGCGCACTCTAGCACAACTCCTCGAACACAGGCGTTTTGGGTGACCAGGATGTTCGGGATAGACTCCCCTGCCTCCCTCGTGATGTCATCCAAAGTTGACAGAGCAACATCTCATGACGCCCTCAAAGCGCCACAAGGAGGTGGCAGTTTGGCAGGACCTGCAGTGGCTGCATGCAGGAAGCAGGTTCACCAGGTGATAAAAAGTAAGGATGACTCACCTGGCAGCATGGTAGGCGGTCCCCCGCAAAAGGTTGGCGATCCCCACAGCTTTGCCGAGGTGGGAGGCGGCGTGGTCAAAGTGCTCATCATCCACCCCTGCAACCCTGCCCTGTGCACCAAAGCCCTTCAGCATCCGTCCATTCACCCTCAAACACGTTCCTCCCTTCCTTCCCCGTCTCTGCACCTCCAATGTCGGGCTCTGTCTCCTTTCCTCCCTTTGTTCTGTGCGCCATCACAGACAGTGCTGATCTGCAGAGACAGCATGCAAGGGCTGGTTTGCTTGCTGCGCAGCTGAAGGGGCTGGAGATAAGTAAGGGCCAAATGTTAACATTGCGGTCACATGCTTTCCCCTGGGCCATAATTCACATTGCTCATGGATCTTCGGTTTCTTGCCCCTTGGACGGGTCAATAAACACCACATTTGGGGAGTGGCCCTACAGGCGCATATCTTGCATGCATGAGATTGTCATTGATACACTACTGGTGGAGGAAGTGCAAAATTCGAGGAGACTGGAGAGCAATAAGTCCAGGTGTTGCTTGACGTACCGAGTCCTCAACAACTGGATAACGTGTAATAATTGTAAAAAAAATGGAATGTACAAAATTGCTGGCCTGGACAGCACCTGGAGGTAGAGCAGCTGGGAGGAGCTGCCCTCTGCATACTGCTCCAGCTGCTCCAGTGATTGGGGCGGCTGCGCGCGCATGTAGTCCGCCTCCAGGGTGCTCACCATGCGCAACAGGTGCGACTGCGTCCGCGGCACCGACGCCACCGCCTGTGTTGACAGGGCATGCATGTCATCAGCCATAACTAGAGTGGTGGGTTGCACATGGGTCTTGTATCCCGTTGAAAACGTCTTAATACTTCAAGCTTCTCGCTATCCTGTATGTGAATTTGCTGGTGCTCTGAATTGCCCAGCATCAGTTTCACATTTTTATTTGGGTTTGGGCAGGCTACAATCCGTGGATGCACACAGTGGCGAGCACCTCTGTAGTACGGTATTGGGCGTCACTAGAGTGGTCCGCAGGTGGGCGCTTGCTTGCAGATTCATTAGTCTCTACTCTATGTGACTGTGAATTTGCTGTTATTACGAGCTCCCCAGCCCCTGATTTTGCAGCCCAATGTCTCTTTGGCTCCATTTTCTCAGGTGCTCCTCTAGATTGGACGGACTAATAATACCGGCTTTTCACATCACAGGGGGTGCAAAATACGACGGGCTATTAGTGTATTAGACAGGGGGTAGTATTTAGTACCCCCTGAGAAAGGCAATCCCCATGTTCTCATGCTGCCTAGATCTGGCAAACTTGGGGACCCTATACATGTAACAGGGCCTGTGCACATGGGGGTGGGCCTAATGCATTGCAGATCTGGTGGTAGACAAGACAAGTGACTGCATAGTACGTGGGTGAGGGCATCACAATCGCACAACAACCCCACACAAATATCCCATTTCCTAGGTTTAGGTAGCAAACTCCTGGACAAATGTGATGTCCCCGCCCATAGCCGCTCCACCAAGGCTGCTATCATTCCCCATAACAGTGGCTCAGCGATATTCAGAAAATTAGGAATGCGCACCGCGTGCAGGGCCTGGATGACTGGATTGGGCTGCGGCTTGTCTGTGTAGGCGCTCTTGACGGCGTCCCGCCACCACTGCATGCGAATCTGCATCAGCTGCTCCTGCTTCACGTTGTCAGGGATCTGCGTCAGCTCCACATTGAAGGCTCGCAGCGCTATCAGCGGCGCTCGCAGCTCCTGTACAAGCAGGGCAAAGGTATCACGAGACTTGCAATGACATTGGATATGGTGCAAATCTCACGCTTGAGCTCCTGACATGCTGCTGCACAAAAGGACAGAAGCAGGGCTTGAATTGTGCAGGATGTCCCACATATGCTAAAAGGAGACAAAATAAACCATCTATGGGCAGCTTACATTAAAGATCTGACGAATCAAATCAGGTTAAAAACGCTGTAATTTCTTACCTTTGGCATCTGAATGGTCCAGACGTAGTTTGTGTAGTCAAAGGATCTGCAGGTCAACAAGCACATGCTTAATCATCATAGATCTGTGCTGCAAGAATGCTGCTCGATTTTGGCTTCAGACAATATTTCATCGTTTGAACGTTGATCTGTACATCCTGCCTTGCCGATGCATATTGCGTGACAGGTGGAAAGCATTGAGTGTTCCTCACCTGACTTGGTTCACACAATACGCCAGAGCAGATCGCAGATTTTGCTGGGCCATACTGGCTGTAGAGGTTGTCGAGGTGATAGCTATTGACTAGAATGTGTCTCTCGCACAGTGGAAGCTGCTGAGCTCGCAAGCCAGATCACTGTCTTCAAGATGAAGTCAGTCAAAATGCCTACTTGACATGTCCTAATGCGGCAGCTCTCAACTTACATACCTTCTTTATTCTTAAAGAATAATGGACTTGTTGCCGCTCTCCGATCTCTCTTATGTGCATGGGAGCAGGAAGCAACGAACACGTTATGATGAGTCACCGAAGGAGGAGGACGGGCAGGACACCGAGACCACGAATGAGTCTCCGACCCATTGTTTCATCTCTCAACGAAACAAACTTTCTGGAAGCTGCTGACTTTACTGAACGGGATGCGGCAAGGAGCATGATACCAGGCTCAAGGTAGGGGCCAGATGCCTTATCCAACAAAAACCTGATCGTCAGTTTGACCCTCTGTGTCCTGACCTGTGTCACTTTCATGTTGCTTTGTCGCGGTTTCAAGCTGATCCGATAATCCCCTTATTTGACAACGAGGGTATAACCCCCTCACGGCAGGTGACAACGGATCTTTCGAAGGACCCGCGAAGCCGAGTCATAGCGATTTCGCATGAAGCGGACGTGTCTGTGGCATACTGTGGTCAGTAGGGCTTATATAATTGCCTGAAGGCTAGATCTTGCGGAAAGTGAAGCGCTTGAGCGGTGCCGAACGAGAGACGTCAGAGAGCAGCATCTGGGTTCACACAAGCGACCCCAAGGCCTGTCGAGGCTGACAAGGGTATTTCTCTGTGTTCCAGGACTCTTGAAACCCGCGGGACACTTGTACAGCGGGCTTAGAGGCTTCGCGAGTTGGAAGGTGAGCGGTCAGATTAGAACATCTAAGCAGCTTGCAGCCATCCTTCTGACAAAATTTCAGTGCCGCCCGCCTCTTCTTTCTGCTAGGTGGGACTTCAGGCTCTCCTCCCACTGAATGTGAGGTGCTGTGCAGACTTTACGTGAAGGGACCACACAAGTCACAACGCGCGCATGGAACATACAAACGGAGGGGCAAATGGTTTTCGGCAGGGCACGCCGCCCCGAAACGCCGGCAACCACCGCCCCGGCCAGCACCCGGCTGTGCAGAGCCATCGTGAGCGCCGTATTTCCCCCATGACCATCTGTGCAACTCCCCATACCGCCGCCGTCTGTTTCTGTCCGGTTTTTGCATGCCTCTTTCCTCCTATTTGTAGGCCTTGTGCACTCTACACCTGCCTCTGCCAACGTCTATCCCATCTTTGACAGGATGTCACTCAATGATGCCGCAAAGGTGCCTCATCAACATGGCACTGCAGCTTCGTTTCTGAATCGATCTCTTAATTGTTGCAGCGGGGATTTTTAGCGATATGGCTACCACGCACGCTCCTTACAGCCAACTCGTGATCACTCCATATTGCTCAACATTTTGTGCTACGCAGCGGTGGAGGGAGTGGGGGAGTGCACCGGGCACTGCTGCAAGCCGCAGCAGCAGCGGCTGACGGCGGGGCCAAGTCTACCGGAATCCATCCTGCCCTACGCCTATCCTGGCGTGCAGCCGTCCACCTACAATCTGCACAGCCTGCCTCCCCACATCCTGGCGCAGCTTCACCCCGGCCCCTGGTTCAACCCCAACGGCTCGCCCAACGGCCAGGTGAGAAATCCTTCTGTATTCTTGCTTCTATTCTTGCAATGTGGACACCATAGCTTGCAGATTCTGCCCTGAGCCCTAAATTCCCGTCCTTCATGATGTTTCTTCTCTTTTGTATTGAGAGAAGGCAGTAGCGCACTGTGTCTCACTCTGCTGCACATCAAACAAGGCACTTCATTCTGAGCGCCGGGTGAACCCAGGGACAATCAGGGTGGTGGATGGTGTGCCAATGTCATCAGCAGGGGCTGGTTGCCTTCCAACATTTCATCAGAGCCGGCACGTTCAAGTCATGGGAGGGGATGACTAATTAAACCAATCAGCACCTGCTGACTCACCTCCGTCGCCTGATCAGGCGCACGGCGGCGCGGCGGCTGCCCCGGCGGCGTTCAGCGTGAACCTGGCGCCGGACGCGCCCGAAGACGCGGCGCTGGTCGCGCAGAACCTGGTGGACATGCAGCAGCTGTGGGACGACTGGCACGCCCTCTCGCCCCGCGACCTCAAGGGGGACCAGGTACTTATAAACACCTCCTGCGCCCTGCAGGCTGGAGGGGAATTGGGTACTTAGTAATGGGCACATCCCTTTAGTGCAAGGAATCACGCCAGTGCTGGGCCAATTCAAGGGGGACAAGATTTACTGGCAGAGTCTGGCGCCGCATGACCTCAAGGGGGACTAGGTAACGGTTACTATAATGGAATCATCCTCTTAGTGGGATTGGGGATTGGAAGACTCCTGCGCACAGAGGATAGAGCAGGTTTTCATAAGGAATTCTCTAAGTTGTCATTGAAGCCTCCTTTGCCCCGCAAGCTTATGGGCGAGCAGGTACTTGTGATGGGCACCGCCTCTTGGTGGGGGCCGTTTGATCAAACAAGGTCCAGTCAGGTGGCCAGATGCATTGAAGAGAAACTCACTGCTCACACGAAGGTCCTGCAAACAGGGGTGAAAGATTGCTCAACAGGGCAGCGATGCCCGGAATGTCCAGGAGTCTCTGCTCTGCAAGGCCGTCTTTCACCCCTGTGATGTGGAAGACTGCCTGGGAAATTGGTCCTGGCAATCTAGGCACGTCTTGTTGCCCCCTTCTCCACCTGTTCTCTTTTCCCAGGGCTTTCAGTAACTGCTTGATTCCTGCGCAGGCCCTGAGCGATCTGAAGCGGCTGAGTAACCGCACAGTCAGCGCGGCGGGCGTTGCCTCCCAGGGAAGCCTCAACCGCCAGCAAATGGTGGAGCTGCTCCAATTCGCCACCGGTGACTTTTCCCGCCCACAACTCTTCTGTTTCATTATTTGCATGCAAGAATAAGACAGACTGTTATTTGCCCTGCTTCCACCATGGCTGGCATGCCGGGTGGTAAGGCAGCTTCCTAGTATTGATCAATCTGATCATGGGCAGGTGTCGATTGCCTTTTGAGAAGTGGCGATCAGGCATCACGCAAAACAACATTTACAGTATCAGGACGTGTACTTGGATTGTGGGTTGTTCATTTTTGGTGATTGTGAAATGCTGCAAGGACATGTTAGTTTGGAAGAGATCTATAGGAGTGCTGCTGGAACGCACATAGCCTTGGAAGTCTGGAAATTGAGTTGATTACGTCTTCTTTAATTATTATATCTCCTGACATTAAAGTTCGGATCGCATGTGCAGGCGTGCTGGAGGGTGCGAGCTGCCACAGCGATGCGGGGTATCTGGCGGTGCTGGCAGACAAGATGGCGGCCACTCCGGCGCGCAGCGGCGGCGGCGGCGCTCTGTTCCAGAACATCCAAAACGGCGGCCGCCAGTCGCTCAGCGGCGGCGCGCAGACTCTCACCTCAAGACCTTCGATGCACGCCGCTCTGGCCGCCCGGGTGCGCGCAGAGCACAGTGCCTTCTCAGTAGATTGTTCAAAGGCTGCTCAATATACACTGTTGGTCTAGGGGGTGTGAGGACAGCTGGAGGTGCAGACTGCAAGGGTCTGGTGCATGAGTGCATGTTAGGGGTAAGTACTCAACTGACATGTTAGTAGAGCATACTAGCATGTTAGTGTGCTGTACGAGCATAATAGTATACTTATTATCCCTAGTGCACATGGTGGGGTGGTTCAAGAGGTGGGCCATCGGAGGCATTTCCAGGGGCTTATTGATTACGAGGCACTCTGAAGGAAGGCCTTTGAAGTTCCCCCTTGGAGGCCTGCAAGTGCTTTGTGTGGTCAATCTCTGCCTCCCTTATTGAACTTGTCAGAATAGATCGTGCACTTCATTTGGCATGCAGTTGTTGACTTTAAGCATCCCCAGCAGTGCTCCTGTGTTCTACCTTATCAACATGCCAAACATGCAGGCACTGGCACCTTTGAAAGCCGGCAATGCTTGCTCAGGAGGTTTTGCACTGTTGCCTCTTGGATAAACGTCTACTGGCTTTTGTATGTAGTCCAATCTTGCCTCCCATGGATACAGTCATATGTAGGATCGCACCCGCGAATGATGAGTGACTCTGTGTGTGCGCAGAATGAGGCGGATGCGCGTGCCAAGTCGGACGCAAATGCGCTGTCACGTGCAAAAGCGTGGGTGGAGAGCCGCGGCTGCGGCTGGCTGGGATTAGTCGCCGCCGGAGCCGTCGCCTTTCTTGGCTCCGGACTTCTCAAGCGCGCAGCCGGAGCGGCCGTTGGCGGCGCCGTGCTCGGTGGGTAAATACGAGTCATTGCGAGTCATCATGACATCATGGCGACTCTTTGCGAGTCATTGCTACGTCATGCATAATACTGTGACTCTCCGCAGCGTGCATGCAGCTCTTCCACTGTACACACTCATCAGGAATCTCAAAGCACTGCTGGTGCAGCTAAGGTATTTATTAATTCCGCCGCTCTCAGCGAGCCCTGATTTTCCGATGACTCCCAGGTGCGCGCATGGCAAGTGTCACAGACCCATCGGTGCCGGCCAAAGTAATGCTCACAGAATTGACTATATCATTGTTAGAGGGTGTCGTTTTTGTCAGGCAACGGTGGCGGCAACGGCAGCGGCTACAGAGGGAACAGCGAGGAGAACCGTCGGCAGCGGCGGCTGAATGACATGAGCGAACGGCGCCGAGTTCAGTGCGAAGCCGCCAACCAGGTCAGCACAAATTCATTTTTCCCTTGTCTACCATGACTGTTACTGTGATTACCGTAGATCTTTTCATACACCTGCTTCGCCGTTGTCTGTCCCTCAATTGCAGCACCCCTGACATGCTTTTCCTCTGCCATGCTATTCTGACTGCATCCTACATCCAAGTTGTTGGGGTACCTAGGCGGGTTTGAGAGGTGCAGAAATGACAGTGAACTACAGTTTTCGTCCACAAGAGCATGCAGGAGTGTGCTTGAGGTGCCTTGTCTGTGCGTGGCAGCTGGCTCGGGAGTACCTGAAGGAGCTGAGGGAGAATCGCGCGAATCCGCTGTGGCACAAGGACCCCCCGCCCAACACCTGCCCCATGCCCCCAGACAACCTCCCCTGGAGGCCCACAGACGACCTCTGGTAGATGGGTTGTTTCTCACAATTAATCTACCAGAACTTTCTTTCTGGGGAGTTTTCAATGCTTGTATTGGCGACTATCGGAGGAGCTTTGTTAGCTTGCGTTGATGTGGAAGCGCAGCTGTGCAGCCTGATCTGGCGTTTGATGGGGTATCGTCAATTCAGGCTGTTGATCTGGCGTTTGGCGGTATATCTTGAATTCAGGCCCTAGCCTACAAATCGCCGATGCAACCACTTGGTGGAACAGTGCCTCTTCAAGCAGCACTGACTGATTTGGCAGCGTCAGTGGCAGATCATTAGTTATCACAATTCAGAAGTTCTGGCTGCAGCATGATGTGGCATTTTCAGCAGCCTTCAGTGGAGGAGTGCCAATTGAGGCCGGGGCCCATGAGCTTTTTCTGGGCCTATTGATGGCTTTATGGGAGATTTTGGGCGGCCATCAAGGATATATATGCACTGATGAACTAACGCATGTACAGTATCTCATGGAATCTCTTCACCACATGTGGCTTTCAGCCAGGAGTCTACGGGTGGAAGAGCACCCTCGCGGGCAGTTCAGATTGTGATTACGGGCCATCCCGGGTACTAGTGACTGCATTGCATTGGGTGCATCCTTACTCTGTTGTTTTTTTGGTATTCTTCAACACAATGCAATTGCACCCTTCCTTTCCTGCAGCTGGCTATTGGGAATATGGTCGGTCAGGTGTGTTTGCTGGCAAGAGCCCTTTGCACTGGTACACTGTACAGAATTTTGTTGGGGATGTGTCAGAAAAGGACAGGAATTTCTGGAGTGAGGCATGCATATTTGTTGCATCACTTCTGAATAGGTTGTATGTCTCACGTTTGGCCATCCACGGTTGCCTCAATGAAGCATTCGTCAGCATGCACACAAACATTCTGTCATTGTTGTACTGGAAGATCTTGATGCACTCGTCACGTTGTGCTGTACTTACCGTTATAATCTAGGAATATAGGCCTGTTTTGTTGGAACCAGAGATGACCCTTGTTCAACTCACCACGTGCATTAATGCTTTGCTGCCCTTGTTCTTGTGCCACTGTATTTATAGGGGTTGGCTAGACAAAAAATGTCCTTTTGGTGAGTGAAGGGTATGCTAATGGCCAATTTAGTTGTGTCATACCGGTGGACACTTTCATCATCATGATAAAAAAGGTGTAGTTACACACAAGACATGCAGTCATTAGCGTATGTACAGCACTCATAAGAGGCATCAATTGCTTTCTGTCATGCATAGAAAGAAATGGCTATAAGAGAAGATACCCACACAAAGCGTCCACTACTCGTTGTAATCTCAAGACATTGTCAGTAGGCTTGATCTTCAGCTCAACATGTCCCTTCTCAAAGTCTATTTCCCATTCTGTACTTGGTACTTGCAGCTTCTCTTCTTGAATGTTTGCACGCATGCACATCCATGGTTGCCACAACTTGTTAGACTAAGTAAAGGATTTCACCCACAAACAACACAATCGGCAAGGTTGAAGGTCGCTTGAAAACCAGGCAAATCCTGGTATGAACAGAAAAAGTACGACAGACATCTTGCTGGTCTGAGCGCGTTGAGACAACCCGAGGTGACCCAAAGAAAGTGAGGTAAGTATGTGCGCAGCCCACTCAAAGGAAGGTCACCGTATTTGAATGCAACCTTCTAAGGTACAAATAATCAACATCTGAACAGGGCTGCAGTTCAGATCTGAGGGCTTGGGTTCCAAAATTATGAAGACATTCTTGGGAATAGCTGTGTTTGCATTTCAGAACTGCCTATATTAAGAAACCCGGTGTGTAAACAAAATCACCCCACCCCCATTCCAATGTGGCCTGGAAACATGTTATCATTCTGATATCCACATTTTGACATTCAGATCTCAACAGACTTCTCAGCATGGTTCAATCATTGTTGGGCACAAAAATCGCCAGCATGCCAAAACAGTATATCCATTTTCAACTTCGAAATATTTTTTTTGCATCCAGATTGAGGAGCAAAAGCAAGGTGGGATGCTATCAGCCAGGCACCCACGCAGGCAGCAAGCAAACAAGTGATCTTAGGTAGTCAATTCTCAGAACTTAAAAAGCCCCGGAAGTCCAAGAGGTCACACGATGCCTGGTGAAAGACATCAGCCAATCGCAGTCCAGCAAAAAGCGCTCAATGAAATATTCTCAACAAATCAACAGACCCCGAGGCTCACAGCGGGGCCTTCTGCTGCGCTTCTAAACTTGCTGTCTTTTCCACCTGACTACTAGCAGGCGAAGTTTATCATTTGTGGCTTGTTTCCCACATCGTTGGCTTTTGCTTCAGCTTGCCAGCGTCAATCAAGGAGCAGGTCTGTGAATGTAGGCACCCTACAGCCGCCTGCATCACTGGGTCAGGTGAGTCACCTTGGGTGGGAATTTGCCAGCGATGTCAGGAGAGGAGAGATCAGGTGCTCAGCCGAGAGGCTCATAGTAGGTAGACACAGTGAGGCCGCAAGTCTGGTTGTTGATAGAGGCGGATGTGGGCTTGAGTGCGGCAGGGTCGCTGAAGAACACGATGGTTCCAATGTTGGCTGTGTTGCCTCCAAAGGGGCGTAGAGTGTCATAGGTGCCCGTCACAAGTCCAGTCAGCTGCAGGCAAACCACAGTATGCTGAGCATCTGTACTTTTCCTTGTTCATTAGTCACCAGGTGACCTCTAGAAAGGGCACGCTATCACAGCTTGCATAGCAGCGATGCGCAAAAAACAGGCATGGCTCGGGCAAAGGGGCATCACAGACTTGTTCTGTGCAGTGCTGTGTTTTGTTTTTGCAGACAGGGCCATAGGATCTGTGGGAGTCTACAAGAGTACGCCCATTAAAAACGCGTTGAAATGATAGAAAATCCTCCATTTTTTTTATCCTCAGTGTGTTGGCACAAGATGCATCTTCTGAGCCACATGTGGCCCTGCTTCTGTCAAGGCTGCTTAGGATGCTTGCCACTACTTTGGGCCAAGAGTGTAAGCAAGACAAACAATGCAAGGCGAGCGCCATGCAAGCAGCAAGGGCTGCCTTAATGCCCCGCCTGCTAAATACTATATTTTGGAGCCACAAGAGGCCACAGGGGAACCAGGGTGGGCTTACCCCTTCCGGTGTGATTGTGGCCTGCCACTCCCAGGGGTATGCAGCGCTGTAGGGGGCGGGGGAGGTTAGGGTTACGGTGTAGGGGGCAACAATGGTGTTGTTGGCAGGGGAGCTAAGATATATCTGCATCTTTGTCCCCTGCTGCGTGCCGCCCGCTGGCCACACAGGGCCCACCTGAACTTATCAGCAGAGGAATCCTCAAAATAGATACATATAATGTAGCGAATCCCTCAGGAGCCAGCTTGACCTGCTGGGCATTGAAGCACCTGGCAGGACAGGCAAGCATGCAAAGACAGGCCTGGCTTGGTGACACAACGAGTGAATTTTAAGGGGGAAATGCCTAAATGGGAATGATATTAGAACTGTGTCCAGAAATAGCCAGGCAGAACCATGACTAAACTACACAGGTTACTAGAAACCAGTGATGTTTTCACACAGCAATGCTGTGAAGGGATTTCTCTGACGATGACCTGGCAGGTGGGGCAGTCTACATCTTCCATACAGCCTCCGGCATATGTCCTCTCCTTTTCGACCTATGAGAATATGAGTTCCCCTGAAGGCTGGGGGTGAGAAACCGTACCGCAATGTTGATCTGGCACTTGGGGGGTCCGCTGGTGGCAGGGCACAGGCTGCAGCGGCCGCAGCTGGCGTCGCATGTGCCAGGCCCCAAGAAGGAAACAGCCGAGCAGTTGCCCTGGTAAAAGCCCGCCTGCAGTGACAAAGCAAGCTCTGAGTCCCAGGACAGGATCCTAAGGTCGAAACCCACATGCAGGACTGATTTTGTTAATGTGACTGTGCTTGGAGTGTGTTGAGATGAGCAGCTTGTGTGCCCGCATCCTGCGGAATGAAGATGAGATGCTCGGTTCCAACAGAGGATGATCAATGGCTTCTCACAGTACCTCAACAGCCGCAGTTGGGTGTATTAGAAGGTGCGCAATACCAAATCCTTCTCCGGGAATGCATTGGACCTTAATATTACCGCATGATATAGACTGGGCGCCTAACACGCAGCCCCAAATTCCCCAAACATACCCCTCAACCCTATAGAAAAAACTTAATACCCCCCTCAGCGCACCTGCTCCTTGCAGGTGTAGTCCAGCGAGGGCGCCTTGTCGGTGCAGGACTTGCAGTAATCGTAGTCAGCGCAGCGGCTGCAGCGGCCGCAGCTGAGGTCGCAGATTCCGTTCCCCAGGAAGTTGACCTTCGAGCAGTTGCCTTGATAAAAACCCGCCTGCAGTTGCACACACGAAACCGTTGACTTTGGTGCACCTTACACAGAATATCACCAAAATCCCCCCCCACCCCCCCTCCCTATGACAAATAAAATTATATATCATGCAAGAGACTTTGGCGCTGAGTATGGTAACCTCAAATGTCTCAACCAATCCAAGAGCGCTTATGGCAGGGGCTGCTGTGACATAATCTCCAATGGAGGCTTCAGAGACGCTTTTGTAGCTTGAGCAACCATCAGACATTCACCTCTTGTCGGGGATGTGTCACTGGAGACTTTGCATGCATGCACGAGCGGGCATCGCTACAAATGCCCCTAAAAACGGCGAGGTGCAACTGCAGATCGCAGCACAGTTCTACATGTGAAACTCATCCCTTGGCTGTATAAATGTATAGTGTAAAATGTGCAGTGAGCAGAGCTTGCAATCACCTGCTGCGGGCAGGTGAAATCGGAGGATGGAGGCACGTCAAAGCAGGTGCAGGGGGGTGTAACTGGCGGGCACACCCCGGACGCGCATGCGATCGTCTGCATGCAAAAGTGACAAAGCGCTCAGCCAAATTAAGCTTCATGAGCTCCGCTCTGTATATACCACTGTCTGATTGGGTACCTGCCTGCTGATCAGAGCATGCACTGCCTTCCCTGCAAGCATCTTGGCTCAATCCGCAAGGCTTGCCAGTAGCGAAAGCAATGATTTCCCTGTTACCAATACTCAGATATTTCTGTAGCTTCAACAGGGGGACTCTAAATCATCTTGACAACAATTAGGTAGATTTACAGTCTCCTGGCATGAGGGTTATCGAGTTGGTAATTCATTGTGAGCAGGGTGTTCTTCTAGTGGTCAGTGCGGCTGAGTCAAGCCCAAAGGGACTACTCAGGGAATCAAGACAGCGCGTGCAGAGTCCGCACCCTGTTCTTCTGGTAGGCGATGGCGGCTGATACGGGGCCGAAGGACACATCGTCGATGCCAAAGTCATATCCGCCACTGTCCCGCGCGTCAACGTGCCATGCCACGAGCTCCCAGGGCATCATGGCCTTTGCGTCCGAGCGTTGCGCTGCGCTGAAGAGGTATGTGTAGAAGTCTGGACGGTAGAGCGGGTACGCGTTTACCTGCAGACCACACACAAACACAACCTTTATTCTTGGTCTGGAGCATTGTGTACCGCACCCCTCCTGGGTTACAAGGGAACCAGGTGCAAGCAAAAAAGCCCATGCAAGCCATGGCCTTGCGCGTAGGATTGTCCACCGCTGAAGAGGCCAGAATGTCCTTGTGATTAAATGCGCAAGACAAAGTGCTGCTGAGGCTTGCATTAGCTGGGTTGACTGATAGAACAATAGCAATTCTACTCGCTTCTCTTGCCCCAAAAGCTACATGCATGTGCCATGTAGTATTGCGCCATGCTCAGGTGCCAGAAACCCAAGCCCCAAAGACCCTTGCAACCCAAGGAGTGTTTAAATGCTCGTCCATGCTGATTTTCTCGAGGATGAAGGGGTTGCGGAGGAAACCTAGTCTGAATGACCCTTTGAATGAGGGTGTGTATATAATCCTTTAACTCTATAAATCTTAGGTGAATGACAGCGCACATTCATGCCGGTCTCCTAGCCCTGTACTCAATGACCCCTGTAAAAGGGTGGGGAAGGGAAACGCACATCCATGCCGGTCTCCTCGAGGATGAAGGGCTTGCCGATTGCGTTGGCGATCTGGGCGCGGCTGTAGATGAAGCTGTTGGCAAACTCCGCCACGTTGTCCGCGGGGATCCCCCAGCTGCCGGGGTCTGCATGCGCACACAGCAAGTCGGTCATGTGAATATGATGCAACGTGCAAATTAGAACCACAGCTTGAATGAGCTCAATTCCCACGTACAATGCTACAAGCAAATGAGGCCCTCATGATGTCGGCATATACCCCCAACTGCCTGACTTTGTATAACAAGCACAGCAATAATTTATCAAGTATGTATTGAGACACAAGATGGTCTGAGATTGCATGTCATATCATTGTACGCAGAAAAGCTTTCAAGTCTCTTGCTTCATGCCTACAGCCAGCCTGCAGTGCATATCTTTTGGGTCATGCGGCAACTTTACAGTCAGCAAGACAGCACTCAACCCATCTGCTGCGCCAGGCATGCCTGTGTGCCAAAGGGGCTCGCAAGGCAAGAGCTTGGACTCGCCAGGGCCCAAGAAAGGTCCTTGCAGTCATATCAAAGAAATGAGAATTTATTGTTTTCAGCAAGGAAGGTGGCACGCACAGACGTGGACGGTGCCAAAGTCGATGTTGGGGTCCTGCAAGTTCAGCGCAAAATCAACGCCCTTGGTGCCGTCGTTGCGCCAGCCAGAATTGGGACCTCCAGTGCTGATGAATCCCTCCTCTCCAGTCGCGATCTGCGCAAACAGCGAAGAAGATCAGCTCATGAGATTGTGACTCTGTCTGTTGTCAGGACTGATGGCTTGGCAATCCTCCTGTGCGGTAAGTGCCATTGTGTGTGGATAGTATGGGATCACACGTTAAAATCGACAACAGGACTGCAGGTCAGGCAGCTGTGCAGGGCAGCAAGCTATTGCGTCCGGTGCTGTTCTGAGCGAGGAACCAATCAGAAGCAGCTTCAGGTCGCATGCATGACTGTATCGTCCAAAAAGACAGGGGAATGTAGCTCCTCGAGGAAGCTCAACCATATTCCAAGGACAGTTCAGGCAAGCAGCTTCTTTGACAAACGCAACGGAGAAACCAAGCAACAGTGACCCGAATCATAAGTGGTGATTGGCTACCCCGGAGCCCAGCAGATACTGAGTGACACAGATACTCAGTGAGTGTGGGGGGGCAGGCCCCCCAACCAACCACACAGTAACACATAGTAATCTGTTACACTCTGCAGCAGTCAAGCATGCGTCCGCACCATGTGGCCGGGGTCGAGGCTGCGGATGTAGGCGGCCATTTCAGCAACCCACGCGCGCACGATTGAGGCGTGGGGAACTCCAAGGCTGTCTTCATAGCCGTCAGTGCAGTGGGGTTCATTCGCGAGCTCCCATGCGAAGACCGTGGGGTCATTGATGTATGCCACTCCAGTGATAGTGTTGACGCGCGTCACAATCTTCTTCACGTAGTTCTTGTACGCCTGCGGCATGCATGCACATTACTGAGTCATCATTGGTAATATTGCATGTCTTCCGTAACAGGCATCTAGCCACTCGACTGAAAATTGGTGGTTATTTCCTTTGATACTGACTCATCCTGGCAAGGGCCAAGCTGCCTCTGCAGATGAGCTGCAGTGGAAGGCCGCTCAAGGCAATCACAAAATTATCTTCTACACAGCTTGAATCTCAAGTTGAGGGTCACAAAGCTTGTGTGTTGAGAGGATAGGACAGGGCTTGAGGAAGCAAAAGCTGCTGGGAGTTGCAAAGGCATCTCTTGGACTTGGAAGGCGGCAAGTGGCATGTGTGTCTGGAGTGCAGAGAGGTGCCTAACCTGCTTGACTGTGGTGTCGGTGTAGAATTCATCTAGAGCATGTCCTGGGCCCAGAAGCTGCAGCATGCATGCGTGTCAAAGCATTGGAGCCTTGTGCATATGACAGATATCACAAATACAACAAATTTGCTGATCCGGTCTTTCTCCTTTGCAAATGAATAGTCCCCAAGCGAGGGAGGTATGTACACAGAATGTTCGTGAAATTTTCACCAAGCGAGAATGCAAAAATGAAATACAGAGCGAGCGTAGAGGAGGGCAGGAATGCCTGCCTCGCAGAAATGACTATATGCAGGTAGGAAACTTTTATATAGAAAAGTGTACGTACCTGTGTGACATACCACTGCATTCCTCCCAGGTCGGCCCAGAAGTTGACAAAAGGCAGGATGATGCGCACGCCGTTGGAGTTTGCCTCAGCAAAGATCAGATCCAGGCGCTGCAGTGACTGCTCGTTGAATACCCCAATCTGGTGCAGCAATGAGTCAGTCGCTTAGTCACCCCAACATCAATTCCAGCATATGCTTGACCACAGTCCTCACAGCATCGGCACAATCCGCACTTGACTGAAGTTTGAGTACACAAATAAAGCCTAATTGTGTGGTAGTTTGTCAGTCAGTCACATCACGAACCTTCAGTGAACTTAGAGCTGATCGGATGCCTGGCTCTAATTTTCACGGGCAGCGCCCAGCATGACAGCAGAACACAGGCGCTATAGGGGTGAGCTCATCAGGCATTGGTGGCAGCATGGCAGATGCCAAAGCATCCTCTAGAAGTGAGCTGCGCTAGGACTTTTCTGGAAGGAATGGTGAGAAAGGGGAATCACCGATGGCTGGATGGAGACGCCAGCAGTGTAAGGGTCGTCCTGGCCGTTGAGGAAGCCCCAAGTCCTGATCAAGTCAATGCCGTTCCCAGCCATCACCTGCTTGCGCAGCTCACAGCTGAGTGCACACCACCTAGCTGATTAAATCAGTGACGAGCACGACTGAAGTTTTATATCGTCAGTGGCACTACGAGTGTGTGCAGAGCAGAGGATGTTAGCAACATCCTACCCTGAAGAAAAGCCTGACTTGGTCGTCCGAAAGGTAGGTCCTGCAGAGCACACGGGTGTCTCTTGGACTCGTGCAACCAACATTTTTGTCAGAAACTGCAATTTCACGGCAAACATGGTCCCATATAAATAGCAATAGTGACAAGGACGGCACCTGAGGATGAGGAAGTAATCGTTTGACCCGCTGAAGTACGTGATCTTGCCGTTGAGGACGAAGTTGGTGCCATTGGTGCCGACAAAGCCAACGTTTCCACCAGATTCAACCTTTGCCGCGAGCTCTCTGTTCTCCAAGGGCGCGAAGGAATCATCCGTTGGCTGGGAGGGCAAAGTGTACTTGTCGCTGCGCATCCTACTCTGTCGGGCAAAATCCACTACTTTGGTGGACATGCACTCCACTACATTAGTGGATTTGGCTCTCTTTCTGAGCACGCCCCTTCGGGGCGTGCAATAACAAAAGCAATGCTGCACATCCTTCAGATTTACCTACAACAATCTCAGCATTGCATAGTACCTCCGTCAAGCTAATTATTTCGGTCAAGCCTGTATCTATAGGATCGTGCGCTACTCGTTTCTGCGAAGACAGCAATGCCATTTGCCAGGTTACCGTTGCAAAGTAGGATTTGAAAGGGGGGTGGGACGGCCGCAAATGTTTATGGGAGTAATTTAAACGAATTCTTGAAGTCTTCTGTCGCTGGCCATGTGAGGTTCGCACTTTTGCCGGTTTTTTGGCATCCCCATCCTTGACTTGTTTGGACTCAGCTAATCGAATGTCACGACCATCGACGTGCATGTCTACTTCTTTCGTAGTGACTGCATGCCCTGCCAAGCCAATTCCTTGAAATGAAATGCGTGCAGGCAACACAGAGCGTTCACCTGAATTGAGCACTGATGCACCGGACAGACACTGAAGTCGTCTACAATCTAAACCAACATCAAGTTCAATTGTTCTGGTGAGCGTTACGATCCCTCTGCTGCTGTGAGTAGCCGTGGGTGTCTGCCCTGACCTGGCTTTGCTTGGAATGCCAATCTGATGAGGAGCATCTGGAGAGGACTGTGCACCCCAAAGAGTAGCAAGTAGCCCAGGTGCTTGTAAGGATAGTTGTATCACTTGTACTAGAAGGCATGCTGCTGATGTACTTCTCATTCCTTTAATGTCCTGGTGGATCACTTGCAGAAACCGTTGTGTGATGACTTCATGCAGGACGAATGGTCAGGAACAAGAGGTGGAGGGTCAGTGTCAAGGTGATACCATCAGCCGACACTCCTGCTCTGCTGCAGCCAGGCCGCAGATTTGGGAGGAACCTAGGCAGCACTGTGGCAACATCTGCACCGAGGGGACCCCGGAGGCCGGCCAGCGCCCTTCCATCCTGGCGGATCCCTGCAAGAAACACAGCTCAGCAGGAAGAACAGCAGGATGGCTTTGCAGATGGAGATGGAGAAGCCGCTGCTGCCTATTATCAGCCTCCGCCCTCACGCCGGCGTCTGCGGAAACAGGCAGCTCAAGAGGATAATAGACGGCTGCACCAAGCATGGGATGCGTGCTTTGATGACAATGTATTCAGGAACACATGTTTCCAAGCTGGTCAGCCTGCACGCCAAGCAGCACTGAAGCAGCAGCTGCAGGCAGAGTTTTTGACAGCTGCCAGAGCAGCCCTGCCCGCTTGCAGTCCATGCAGTCAGGCTGGGAGGGTGGGATCAGTGTGGGAGCAGGTGGAGACGATCAGCAGGCTTGTGTATGTCTCGATCAGCGGCAGGACAGAGGTCAGCCCCCCAGCATTCAGGTGTGGCGGGTGCAGTGCCGCCTTCACAGTCGATCCTGTGAGCATGGGATGCTTTCCTGCAACGCCACAGAGGCCGCTGGTTTACTACTCTGGAGCGCTCATGTTGCAGACGCATGAGCTCAGCCTCGCCAGCCCAACCTCAATGGTCGCCTGGACTAGCGCCCTGGAGGAGGTGCACGTCAGGAACGGCTGTGTGCCGTACGGGCAACTGAGTGGCCTGCCCAAAAATATCTGGAGGAACCTCCCAGTGGCGGTCAGACAGTGGCGCAGAATGGACATCGCCACACATGACCTCAACAGGCTTGGCGTGCAGCCCATCTGTTCGGAGGCAGGGCTCAGCGGTGACTCAGACTTGCAGCTCGGCCAGCCGCCGCCGCCCCAGGAGAACACTCAGAGGGAAGCAGCAGCGTCGTCATCGCCACCAGAAATGGAAGCAGGCAGCCTCGCGGCTCAAACTGGCAGAGATGCAGCTGAGGTGGGCCCGGCGACCCAGGAATCTCTGGACAGTCGTGCCTCCGGGGGCCCCACTGTGCAGTGTCCTTGCTGCTTTCGCACTTGCGTGGCAGCCATTGCTGACGCCTGCCTGGGACTCACGCAGCTCAGGGCGGCGGGCAAAGCCTCTGATTTCCTGCAGCCGAAGCTGCCCTATAGCCCCTTCATTGCTGATGAAGAGGTGAAGGCCTTGCTCGCTCAACGGAAGGCCTTGGACCCGGCGGCGCTGGAGCGGCCGGTCTGCTCTCAGTTCGTTGCTGCCACGCCAACCGCCTCAGACACGCAGCTGCGCCTATATGTGCAAGTGAGTCTCCTCGCATTTTTCTGGGATCTTGTTGCGCTTACTGATGTTGGCATGCATCTCATATATCCATGATTTTTTTCTCTTTTTTTCCTGGCCCCGGCTGGCAAGGGTAATACTTGGCAGCACCCTAGCGTGCCTTGCTTCAGGTGGTAAAAATACTGAATACCATGCCCACGGTTGATTGGGTCTTGCTTGGATCTGGCGAGTTCAACAAGGGGTAGGGTTATGGCAGCCTTAAATTGCAGCTCTGCAGGATGTACCTTGCTTGGCAGGAAAGCGTGTAACAAGAAGATGTGCTGGTGCTTTGGAGCCGGTCTGACACTCCCGCATGTGCTTGTGCGTAGGGCGTGGCAGCAGCAGTTTGCCGCCACGGGTATGTTCTCGTGGCGGCAAACCTGTTCACACCGGAGTGCTTTGTTTACTACGAGTTGCTCCTGCAGCGTCTGCTGAAGGAGTTCAAGCCTGAGGAGGGCAAGGATCTGAAGTACTTCTTCATTGACATTGCTTGCCAGTTTGACCCATATTGGCGAAGGTATAATCTTTCGTCCATCATGCCTGGCGTTTACGTCAAGATGTGCCCTGTACAATTATTGCATGGAACAATTTCACTCCTAGTGTCTAGTACTAGTCATGCTATGAGTGTGTGGATTCGTCGGAGTGCACAGCAGCGTCCCCTTTGAATGGTGATGTGTTGTGCTGGCAGGATGGTTCAAGGAAACGTGGAGGGTATGCCTGGCCTGGCAGTGGGGCCGTGGCATGTGAAGGCTCACATTCCGGCATGCCAAGAAAAGTATGGCGCCCGCCGCATGCTAGCGGCAGGAAACTCCTTTGGTGACAACATTGAACAGGCTTGGGCACATTACAGGAAATTTGCACACATCTTGAAGCGCATGGCGACTGCCACGCGGGAGGACTACATGACGGACCTGGTGAGTTCTCCTTTCATATGATGCAAGCTCTTGTAGCCTTGCTCGATGTTGCAGTTTGTAACCCTGTAGGTGCGAGAAGTGACAATGTTGGTCCATGTGCAGGCGATGGCTTGGCAGCGAAAAAAGGAGCGCAGGTTGCCCAAGCAGCTGCTTGAGTGGCATAGGAGGGCTGCTCGACTGCTGGCACAACTGCGGCAGTCCACGGGGGCCCTCAAGCAGGAGATTGCCCAAATCAAAGCCCCCGAGTTGCAGGTAAAATGCACCCCTCCTAGTTGCTGCACCTGTCTCTACTGATTCTCTGGGGAGATGCCATCTTGATATATCCTGCAGTCTGCAATGCTTTGCATGCTCGCTTATTGGCTGATGAATCAGGTGCAGGGTGGCGGTGGCTCAGGAGGCGTCCCATCACCGGCAGGCCAGGATCCTCTCCAAGGCGGCGCTGGTGCAGGCGCAAGTGACGAAGCAGAGGTGTGTTGGTCCTTTTTGAAGGCTCTTCTCTAGCATGGAATAAGTATCAATGGGTATGCTAGTGAGAAGGAGGTGCTCAGAGGACTCAGAGTAAAGAGCTGCCTCAGAAGAAAGTATGCAAGCAGATTGTTTGTTTTGCACGCAGGGGTCTGCCCGGGAGCAGCGGCAGACATCGTCTGAGGGGGCATCAACAAGCGCGCCCACCATCCCGGTGCTGCTCCACTCTGCACCTTCAGTTGGCTGTACTGGTGCTTGTTCATATGACATGATAGGACATTTGACATGTGACTTATGACATGACAGGACAAGACATGACAGGATGTGCATACTGGTGGAGTTTTTGTAAAGAGCAAATGGGATGCACACCTTTGGAAGATACATAAAGATGCATGAATCACTGATGTCAGGATTCTTACTCGCAGGCCCGTCTTACATGGGAGCACCACTACCAAGGCTGCTTGGAGGAGTTGTACGCGCTGGGTGGCAGTGTGACTCTCGCAGCTGAGGGGCAGCAATCGCTCTCCGAGCAAATGCGGCATGAGCACCGCCGAGTCCTTGAGGGCAAGCTGGCAGCGTGGGAGCGCAGGCACCGGGTACAGCTGCGGTGGGTGGAGGCAGACCGGTTGTACCAGGAGATAGGGGGTCAGCGGAAGAGGTTCATGATTCAGCAGCTACATGCTTCCATTGCAGCCAGGTTCGTGGATTACTACGCCCTACAGAGACAGCTGGAGACAGCGGCATATCGTGAGCGCACTAGCCTGAAGCGGTTGCGGCGCCAGATGGAAGCCATCGTGTCCAAAGTCAGCGATGACATCCTTCAGCTGCGGCGCTGGCATGCCGCCCCTGGGGACTATCAGGGAGCGCAGTATGACTGCCAGCGCTTGACCGCCCCTGGCTTGCTCGCGGTAGACACATTGCCGTGGCAGCGACAATCTGCTCAGGCAGGGTTGCTGGCTAGGAAACTGGCCGCGCTGGCGGAGCAGCAGGAGCGCTTGAAGCGGTGCTCCGAAGAGATGACCATCGTGCGGCGTGAGGCCAGGGATATGGTAGTGTTTTATGAGCACTACGCCCAGCAAGTGCAGCAAGCCGCTGGGAGGGGAGAGCGCCGCCTGCCCAGCGCCCGACAAGTTCCCCATGCGGCGGAGCTGGGGGAGGCGGGTGTGCATGCAGCCCTTGAAGCTTTCCAGCTCGGGCAGCAGGTGGTGCTCCTCTCCAAGCTTGAACAGTATCAGCACTTGGGCGGCATGGCAGGCAATGCTGTGGAAGCGCTGCACGCCGACCTCACAAACCTGGACAGCGGCACCAGCTCCGACTCGGACTGGCAGGATGCGCGGTCCGATGCCTCCTCAGACAGCAGCGGCGGCGATGATGAGG